TCAATGGGAGCCCCATGCCATCCTGTATACTTTAACACGACAAACATCAAAACATGCAATGTGGCGAATGTGCAAACCTCCTTAATGTAGGAGTTTTGCTTACATCCCATGCTCTAGTGCGCGCCAAGTACAAGCTATACTCTATTACCCAGCTCAAATGCTGCACGAATACGACAGGAGCTGTCACCTACCCTGATGGGAACATTCACACACCCATCCACTACGATGGCATCTATTGCCTTTATACCCCCACGCAGCAAGCCATACTGCTTAAGGCGCCATGCGTCAAACTGTCCAAAGACGGCAAAGCAGTCAAAGTGTAACCGTGTAGGGTTGCGGTTCCCATTCCCACCCACAAACCAACACATCCCACCCAAGAGTGCTGTACAAACAGATAGTTCCCATGCGGTGACCCACATAGCCACCGACCCACATCGAAATTGACCCAAATGGGGCACACTGACAATCTGCAATGCTGACCCACATCACAGCCCGTCCTACACAACCACAGGACTTCATCAGGTATGTAGCCTCTTACGCGCGACTATCCGCCGCACGACGGGTTTCGTCACGTTTCGCCGATACAAAATGCCATTGGGACTAGGCCACGGGACACCGGTGGCGTAGTTCACAGCAATGACACATTGCAGATCTGCGCGCCTCTCTTCATACAAGGCTAACCGCTAACATTACATCAGCCCAGCCCCTCTCCATCCTCCACTCCCCTTCTCCTGCACGCAGCGAATTGGAGCGAACTAACCGGGCCCTTCTATGTACTTCCCGCCCGCACTCCATCCGCTCACTCCTCACCCAACAGGTACATATCCCGCAGAACGCGTGGCACGCGGCGTAGTCGCCCGACGGTGGCGATCCCCCCACCGGCAGCTGCGGTGGTCGTTGCTGTTGAGGTTGCCGGAACTTTTACCGCTGGAACTTGTACAACCTCCTCTGACAGCGCGTGGGTGGGCGCTGTGGCATCATGTTGGAATACAGCGCTCGCGCTGCGCTTCCTACCGCTGCCGCCACTGCTAGGTATGGGCGACGGTGACTGACGTGCAAGCGCCGCTCCGAGCCACTCGCCCGCTGCTGCAGTTGATGCGTCCTCAGCAGCTGAGCCCTCGCGGAGAGCAGAGTGGTTGGGGTTGGCGAAGGTGGGGGTGCAGGGAGCTGAGGGATCGGAGGTGAGGGCTGCCGTGCAGGACTTGAAGGGCCGCAGCTGAGAAGTTGGGGATGATGAAGCTAACAATATCGGCTTCTGGGTCTTTAGCCGCTGGTTGGAAGCGGCAGCCTCGGTGAAACAAGACTCCAAGCCCTCCTCCTCCTTTTCGGGACAAGAGCAGCAGCTCTTGCTCTTGCTGAAGGGCAATTTGGTTTGGGATGAGCTCTGGAGCTGCAGGAGCTGAAGCTTTTGGCAAGCTAACTGAAGGTTGTCATCATTGCTGCTTGAAGGAAAAGTGACTGACTTGGGGCCCTCATCAGCAAGCCAGTTCCAGCCAGTTGCCGAAGTGCAGGTGACTGAAGCTGCACGGTGCAGCATAAACTGTTTGGTGCTGTTGATAACGTTATTGTGCTCTGGAGTTGGCTGTGGAGACGCCTCAGCCTGGAAGGAGAGGATGACGAGCGAAGAGCGACGCCGCCGCCTGCTAGAACCCTCGGCAGCTGGTGAAGCAGGCGGTAGGACAATTGTTGTCGCAGATGAGCCACCAGACCACATGCTAGAGTGAACGCGGCGCATCTTGCTATATATATGTTAACTACGATATAACTATGTCCTGAGAAGAACCATGCAAATGGTTTCCAGGCAAAGGCGGCTGAAGCTGCAACGTAATCCAGGGATAGTTGACTTGAGTTGAATGTATGTTGCTGTATGAGGACTGTGCAATTTTCAATAAATTACTGAGGTGTGGCTGACAAGGCCAAGACGCGTAAAATCTTGCATGGTGTGCGAATATCCAGCTCACCGATGCCATAGGGCCTATTCGTACACTTCGCGCGGGAAGGGCAACCAAAACCGCATATAAGGGTTTACTACGACTTTATAAACATCGCAGTAGTAAGGCTTGTAGCAAAGGATCGTGAGCCACCTCTATCGTGACCCATAGTATATATCTATTGCCTGGTTCATCACCAATGTCTCCAACCAAAGCAGTCGGCCGCCGGCCCTTCTCTGCTCGCCCGACATCAACGCCGTTGCTGGTGATGGTGACCATGTCAGCTTTGCTGTTTTCGACCGTTCCTGCCCGTGCATCTATCGGTCGGCGAGGGCTGCAAGGAATGCAACAATACGACTACCAACCGCAACAGTCCCAACAGGTACAGTCCTCACGAAGGGAAATGGTTTCATCAATTCGTGAGGTGCCGCTCCAATCAAAAATCGACAAAACACCCATATCGTTATACGCCTTGATAATCCATTGCCTTCCTCCTGAGCAGCGTCGCGCTTCTCCCAACTGCTTAGTGCTTTGTTGCGTCCCCGTGATTAATGTTTTGCTAACTAATACAAACTTTAATCAACGAAAATCATAGCCCGCTGCTCTTAAACTCATGAGAATACCTTCAACCTCCCCTTCGTTACGCACAGGCCGTTCCCGTCAACTCGTACACGCAAACCGTATACGGGCAAGCGCAATCATACGCCCCGCAAACCGTAGACAACCAGCAAGGTCAGCAGCAACAAGGCACCAACTCGCCCTACTCCCGGGGTCAACGCGGTAGCTACGTCCAGGGTCAAGGTAGGTTTGCAATGAGCTTCTCCAAGCTGCTACGAGTTGCCTAGCCACTACGAGCCCTGACCCACATCCCAGCGTGCCCTATCTGCCGAATTGCGCCCGACCCACATCAACTATCCACTACCCAACCCTGCCCACCTGCCCTCTTCCCTTCCCACTCCCGCCCGCCCTTTCCTTAGCCCCCGCAGACTCCAACACACCCCAGCAGCAGTACCAACAGCCATCCCAGCAGCAGCAGTCCCAACAGCAAGATGCTTCCTCCCAAGCTCCCCCCCAAGCCCCCTCTCCATCTTCCTCCGCCCCTTCCTCCGCCCCCTCCTCTGCCCCTTCCTCTGCCTCTTCCGACATCCTTTCGCTGCACAACCAGTACCGCAGCCTCCACCACGCGGGCGCCCTCTCCTGGTCTTCCTCCCTGGAGTCCTCCGCGCAGAACTGGGCCAACAAGCTCGCCTCCAGCTGCTCCTTCTACCATAGCGGCACCAACGGAGTGGGGGAGAACCTAGCGGCTGGCCAGAACTCCTGGGCTGAGGCCGCGTCTGCCTGGTATAATGAGGTGAGTTGGGGCTGGCTGGCTGGGGTTGGGGTTGGGGAAACCGATCGTGTTGTACGGCAACTGGAGACGAACCCCTATCCAAGCTGGGAACGTGCTTAAGTATGTCGTATTTACGCCGCCACGTTACCCTCCGTCCCTTTCTTACTCACTGCCCCCCACCCTTATCGACCCTTACCTTTTAACCTCTCCATCCTCTCCACCCTCCGACCCAGATCAACCAGTACAGCTACTCCTCCGGCGGCTTCAGCGAGGCCACCGGGCACGCCACCCAGATGCTGTGGGTCGGCACTTCGGAGCTGGGCTGCGCCATCGCCCAGTCGCCCTCGGGATGCTGGCAACGCACCGTCTACGTCTGCCAGTACAACCCACCTGGTGCGTATGTTGCTCGTGTCGCTGCTTGTCTCACTGCTTGTGTCTCGCCGCTGTAATGGCTATCCTTGGACTGCTGTGCATTCAAGCATGGTGCATGGCGGGATTGTAGAGGGACCCGGGGAGTACTAGTAGGGGTCCGTGCAGCTGGGGCGGCACAAGCTGCAGTTGCATGGTAGACGCCATGACCGCAGCACAGCAAGCAGCACACGTGAAGCTTTGTACTGTACCTAACATGTTTATCCTGTTTCTCCCTTGATGCAGGCAACGTCCTGGGCCAGTTCCAGCAGAACGTGCTCCCTCAGTGATGAGGCGGATGAGCAAGATGCAAAGTCAGTCGTACGTACGACAGTACGACTGATCAAGAAACAACAACACAACTGACAACCTTGATGTACGTTCGATGCTGTTATGCCAAAAGCCCAAGTGCTTTCGGTCATACGTTCCCACAAGAAGAGCTACAATGAAGTCTGCTGAAGATTTTAGCGACAAGGCTGCATGCCATGAATAATTGCCGTGACGGCCAAATGAATGCTTAATTACGCCACCCGGAATTATGGGTGTTTTATTGTCTGCGCTTTGCCTTCTTACTTTCGTTACTTAACCTTTGGCCATATGCCATAGTCATTAGCTAGACGCAGCGCGATGTCGAAATGGATCTACTCACTGCGCACTGTACATTACAGTTCTTTGGCACGTCGGGTGCTACCTAACTACCACACTGTCATGCACGTCGTTAGCTGTATGGTGTATACGTTACATGAAGTGCGCTTTGCACGCTCTTCCGTTGGAAGGATATGTCAGGATGTAACAGCAGGATGTGATTAGTGTCCTTCAGTACAACGTACTTCCGCTGACTTGCAGTACCTGTCATAACGTTTGCTTGAATTGGGCGTTTGTAACTTTTAACCTACCGTGTAAGATGTAGTGTACTGGCTTATGGCCCAATGCGCTTTTGTAATTTTACTCGCGCTGGCAACGAGAATCCCTTGCCAGGCACGCGACTTGCGCTTACGAGGGCAGTCGTCATGGTCAACTTGCCGACGTAGTTACCCGACGATCGGGGCGTCCAGACATTCTCTCAAATTATGCGACAAAATGGGTCTTCGACTCAATCCATTAACGCCCGGCCGGCAGCTGTCCTAACGCTGTGGAATCCAACCGTCATAGCCACTTAACACTTGTCATTTCGAGGCTTCCTTGAGAGGATCACCTTCTGTCACATAGATTGGATCGTGTGACACGTGAGTTTATCGTTGTTCTTGCTTACGCGCACAGCAGGTTATACTGTACGGCTCGGAGATCGGCGACGGGCTCGGAAACAATTCGGCTTCTATCACAGTAATGATATCTATACGAGCCTTCGCTTCAATTTTGCTTCTCTACTTTGTCGAGCTCAGGGCCAATCCCAGATCCGCGTACAAGACCTATATCCCTTCCATTCCTAACTCCCGTCAACTGTTAAATTCTTTACCGCAAGGAACGAAATGATGGCAATTCACAGCAACTTCCGGGTGCGGCATGGCTCGGTTCAGCTTACGCATCTTACGCATCCAGTCTGTAACAAGCAAAGCGCAATCACGAACCCAGTGTTACTAATTCTGCGCAGACCCAAACACCTAAGACGTCAAACACTTTGACAGCATGGCGTGTAACATCGCCGCGGACAAGGGTGGCTCGTCCCATCCGCGAAATGCCGCCGGCATCCTCACCCTCAGCCGTCAGCGGATGGCCCGCAGCCCCTTCAATGCGCACCGTAGCGGCAGGTGCCTCGGTAAGCGCAACAAGCACCCGTCCATCGCTGGTATTATCACATTCCAGATCCCACACACCCTTCTCATCACATCCATGCCCGCAAGCTAGTAGCCATTGGCTTTTATCTTGCAATCCAGCCTTCAACCACCCACTGCCTGCAGGCCTCCTCCTCCCCCGCCCCCGTCCCCTCCTCCCCACCTAAAACCCGGGAGGAGGAGATTCTCTCCCAGCTGCGGAACGTGATTGATCCGGACTTTGGAGAGGACATCGTGGCGTGCGGGTTTGTACGACAGCTTCAAGTGGACGAGCAGGCCGGCCACGTCAGCTTCACGCTGGAGCTGACCACCCCCGCCTGCCCGGTGAAGGAGATGTTCCAGCGGGAGAGTGTACGACACGTAAAGGTAGAGCCGGGCGGCGGGGAGGGGTGTACGGCACCAACCCCTGCACTTGCCAGCAGCATACACAGCGCCATTCTTAACCTCCCGTTGCAACCATTATTACCCCAAACCCCAACACCCCACACCCAAGGCAGCCCATGACCCCACCTCTTGTTCCCCTCTGCTGCCCCTTCTCCTCCGCCCCTTCTCTGCCGCCCCTTCTCCTCCGGCCCCTCTAGGAGCTGCCCTGGGTTCGTGACGTGACGGTTCGCCTCACCGCTCAGCCGCCCAAGCCGCTGCTGCCGCAGTCAGGCAGGCCGGGCGGGCTGTCGAATGTACGGCATGTGATCGCGGTGTCGTCCTGCAAGGGCGGTGTGGGGAAGAGTACGGTGGCGGTGAACCTGGCGTATACGCTGGCGCAGATGGGGGCGAAGGTGGGCGGGTGGGCGTGGGTGGGGATATGGGATGAGGGGGTGGGTGGAGGGGTGGGGTAAGGAAGAAGAGACTTAACTACCGGTAACCGTGCCACATGTAGGCTGCACCATGGGTGAGAACGTGGGGGTGAATGTACTGATGGTGTCCCTTTCCTGCGTGTTTAGAGGGTACAGGATGATGCAAAATGTGTCCCCGCGGAGTTGCCATGTTTGACAGGGCAAGGCATCCCGCGCGTTCCTCCCTTGTCCGGCGCACCTCCATCAGCCTATCCTGGCCTCTGTCTTCCCCTGGCCCCCTGCAGGTTGGCATCTTCGATGCGGACGTGTACGGCCCCTCCCTACCCCTAATGGTGGACCCCGAGGTCAAGGTGGGGGAAGGGGTGGGGGGGGGGTTGGGAGGGTAAATGGAGGAAGAAACTGCCGGTGGTGACCGTAGTAGTAGCGGTGCAAGGGGCGCAGGAAGGGGCGACGCGGCATGTGCTAGTATGCGACGCCCCAAAGCAACCCATCCCCAACTCCCCAAGCCCTTTGCTGTGTACCGGTATACCAATCAACCTCTAACCATCAACGTCCAACCGTCAACTGCAAAACACATGTGTCAGTTGCTCTACCCTCCCCCCCCTCCCCTCCCCTTCCCTCCCCCCATATGGGATCGGGACTCCAGTTGCTGCACTTCTCAATTACTCCCCCCCCCGCCCTCCCCCCCCCAGGTCCTTGAGATGGACCCCGCCACCAAGGCCATCTACCCCACGGAGTACGAGGGCGTGAAGCTGGTGTCGTTCGGGTGGGCGGGTCAGGGCAGCGCCATCATGCGGGGGCCCATGGTGTCGGGGCTCATACAACAGATGCTCACGACCGCGGAGTGGGGTAAGCAGCGGGGGAAGGGGTGGGTGGCCGGGGTTAGGGGGTAGAATAAACCAAACCACAAAGTTAGGGCAAAAGCAATGGGTATTGTTGGCAGGGAGCCACAAAACATGGGAGGGTTAGCAGTCCTTACCGATACCGATGCTCCAGAGGAAGCGATTTTGCTGCATCCGGTGTGCTGTAAAGAGCCAACTATGGAGTAGTCTACTCGTCGCTGAGTGTTGAGCGTCGTCACCAAGGCCCCATGGGATGTCGCTCGGACATGGCAAAACAAGTAGGGTGAAACGTGGGGTTAGGGGGGGAAAAAGGAAACTGACGAGCTGTATGACGAGATTTCGCCATGGGGGAAGGGGGGACGAGGGAAGGGGGGGCAGGCTAGGGGCGAGGTGAACCCGCTACCCCCCCCCCTTCCTCACCCACCCGCCCCCCCCCCCTGTCAGGCGATCTGGACTACCTGGTTGTGGACTTCCCGCCCGGCACCGGTGACATCCAGCTAACCCTGTGCCAAACCGTGGCGTTCAGCGCCGCCGTCATCGTTACCACCCCGCAGAAGCTGGCGTTCATTGACGTGGCAAAGGTGGGGGGCGGGTGGCGGGGTGAGTCGTGCTGGGGGCTGTGCGACATGGCGCACAGGGGGAGACGGAGGATACAACTGCCCGAGGGGGGAGCGGGGAAGGGAGCGGGGAAGCGAGGAAGGGAGGGGGGCGAAACATGGATGTTAATGTCGTCATGATGTCAAGGACAAGTGACCCAGGCGGGGCTGGGGTTTGGCAGGCGTTCCAGGGCTTGTCACCTAGTGTACCACTGTTACACGACACATTGGGTATGCTTCCCTCTCCCCCCCTCCTTCTCCCCTCATGCGCTCACTGCATGAGTCGGGATTCGGGATTGGGACTCCATTGATGCATTTATCTATATCCCCCCCCCAGGGCATCCCATGGGCATCCCATGGGCATCCCATGTTTGCACCCCATGGTGAAGCCTTGTCATACAGCTCGTCAGTTGCTTCGTCAGTGTCTCATCATCATATATATATATATTTTTTTTTACCCCCAGGGCATCCGCATGTTCGCGCGCCTGGTGGTCCCCTGCGTGGCGGTGGTGGAGAACATGTCGTACTTCGAGGCGGAGGGCAAGCGGTTCCACCCCTTCGGGCAGGGCTCGGGTGAGGGAGGGGGGGGGAGCGAGGGAGGGGAGGGAAGGGCCCCGGCCTGTCACCCTTGCCATACAGCTCGTACGTTTCCTCGTCTATTTCTTCACTAGTTTCCTCGTCAGTTTCCTCCTTTTTACCCTGTTGGTAGGGCAGTGGGTGGTTGCGGGTGGTGTGGTGCCGAGAGGGGTCCTGGCGACCTTGCGGTTGCTACCCCCATCCTCCTCCCCATCCCCTTTGTAGACATTGTAGTACTCCCAACTCTCCTCCTCCCCTGGCCCCTGGCCCCCACCCTCCCTGCAGGCGAGCGCATTCAACGCGACTTCGGCTTGCCCAACCTTATTCGCTTCCCCATCCTGCCAGACCTCTCGGCAGCCGGGGACGGTAAGGAGGGGGGCGAAGGCTCTGGGTTTGCTGCTGCTGCTGTTGCTGTTACCCTTACCATGGTGCACGTGCAAAGGGGTTTGGAGCATCATTCTGCCTACACCGGCTACATGCCTCCCCTCAATGTTAGATTGACCCACGGGTCGGCCTCCCTGGGCCACATCTCCCCCCTCTCCTCCCCCCCTTCAAAGGCGGCAAGCCGCTGGTGGTTTCCTCCCCCGCCAGCCCCACCTCCGCCGCCTTCATGGAGCTGGGGGCGGCGGTGGTGCGCGAGGTGGCACGCATGGCGGGGCGGCCGGGGACCCGGCAGAGCGTGTACTTTGACCAACAGGAGGTGCGGGGGCGGGTTGGAGGAGGAGGAGGGGGAGGGGGCAGGGAAGGAGGGGGCTGTATGCATGGGGAAGGGAACGAAGCGGAGGGGAGGTGTGCGGACGTCTTCTGGGTCGGGGCAGCGGACAGGAGAAGTACCGTTACCGTTAGTTGGAGTGTTCCAACCGCATCGTGCCCCTCGCACCGGACGCCATTCATTACCGCAACCCGCCCCAAGCCGCAACCCAACAGGTGCAACAACCCTACCCCTAACCCTCCCCCAATCCTCTGCCTTTCTCTCCGCCCTACCTCCCTGCCCCCCGTCTCCCCACTCCCTGCCCTGCTCGTCACGCCTCGCCAGGATGCGGTGGTGGTGATGCTGCCCGGCCAACAGGAGTTCCTGCTGTCTCCGGAGGTGGTGCGGGCGAACGACACGTCAGCAACCACCGTGGATGAGTGGACGGGTGGGTGGTTGGTTGGTGGTTGTACGGTTGGTATGCAAGCGGAGAGTGGGGAATGGTGCTAGAAGGGCACACACTGGCGACGTTTGGTTAGCACTGTGTCATTAGTGATACAGGGCTGCTCATGTGCCGTACAAGTTTGTACGGTAACCATCCCCTCACGAGATCAGTCATCATGCCAGCCGTACTCTCCTTCAACTGCTCTCATTCAACTGCTCCAACCACCTCCCACTCACCTCCCCAACCCTCGGCCTCATCATACAGCCCCTCCATGTCTTCCTCCTGTAACCCCCATGTTAACCCCCATGCACAGGTCAACGCAAGGCCCAAGAATTCCCCCCAGACGCCCGCCCCGCCTCCATCAACCCGCTAGGAAATTATGCCGTACAGATCAGCTGGTCTGACGGACACAATCAGGTTGCGCCGTACGAGCTACTGGACGAGCTGAGGAGGTTTGCCGTACCGCGGGGGCAGGGTGCCGTGGTAACAGAGCTGCCGGGGGGGCAGGTGGCGCAGGCGCAGATGGTTTGAGGAGGAGGAAGAGAGAGAGCGGGGAAGAGGGGGAGGAAGGGGAGGTGCTGGCGTGTGTAGTTGAGCGGAAACAAGAGCAAGCAGTTGGGATAAGCAGCGCGTGTGTATAGCCAGCTAGGCCATGTTCATCGTGTACGGCCAAGAGTGCGGCCACTTGCATAGTGAGTTCAGGCAAGAAGATGGGGTATATTCTTCTACAGAGAGAGGGGTGTTTGCAGGGCAAGGTATAGGGGGGTGAAAGGATGCAGGCAGGCGTGCGTGGTTAGCCGGTTATGGTGAACGATGTGGTTGGACGGCAGAAAGCATAGACGTTTGGGCTTTTGGCGCAGCCAGCGTATGAAAATTTAATACCATGGGGTAGGTTTTCAAATTCCCTATTCAATGGTGTTGATTGACGACGATGGGCCCGAGAGTGCATCAGTGCGACATTGATGTTGATGTTGCGGGCGTCAAGACATACATTGCTACACAAGCAAGTGCCATGTGCACCACCAGAGCGTCGTAGCCTTGTTTCTGTGTTCCTTTTAGGTGCATGAATATCGCCTGACCGGAAGGGACTTCCCCTCTCCCAAGCATTTGCGGCACGCATCACCCTGAGGGGGGAGGGGACTCCCTGTCCCCCCTTTTACCCCCTCCGCTCCCCCTGCGTTTCTTCCTCCTGTTCCCCAGCGTGCACATCAAGTGCATATGTTAGCAGTCATCCCCACCAGACTTCCCCTCTCCCAAGCATTTGCGGCACGCATCACCCTGAGGGGGGAGGGGACTCCCTGTCCCCCCTTTTATCCCCTCCGCCCTCCCTGCGTTTCTTCCTCCTGTTCCCCCGCGTGCACATCAAGTGCATATGTTAGCAGTCATCCCCACCAGCAGTCAGCAAGAAACCTCCAACTGTCTGGAGGGTGACAACGGGTCAAGTCCTACATCTACCAGCGTATACACAATGTATCAACTGTAGTGATGTAGCAGTCTCTGATCAGTTTCTGCTGTTCTAGGCACACTGCGCAGCTAAGACTGCTATGTAGCGCTTGAGCTGTTTGTATAGCTGAGCGCCTATTAAGATGCAGCTGCTTCGTCGTAATTGCACATGCGCAGTTCCACCAAATATTGTCATACGGTGAGAAATGGGACTTTTTCTACGTTTGTCCATTGTATCAATGGCGGTAATGCGGCTGGCAACAGTGCCTGAGCTGAAGTGTCAGGCTAATGAACATCAGAGTGATGTACGATTACTGCTGTCCTAGACACACAAGTGTTTTTAATCCTGTATACACGAGCTGCTCGTATATCTGGCCTTCTAATCGGTTGCAGCTGAACCGCAGTCCTTGCACATGCGCAGTAAATAAGTAACACTGCCGAAATGCAAGCTCGGGTAGGCTGCCACGCTACTCTGCTGTAAGACAGACGGATCACATCCGCTGGCGAATTAAGCATGTGGCACGGTAGCTTGGAAACTAAATCAGAGGGCGTCGACGTGGAAACCTGGCTGGCATTCGCAAGATGCATGCACACATTCAATGCAACGCCGACAATACCACGCGAAGCGGTGAATACGCCTGCAAACGTAAAAAAGAGTAAAGGTCAGTGCATTGCGAATAAGTCCATTAAAGAAGCACGGCAACACTAATCTACGAAAGGCGCGACTCGCTTGCAGCTTTGGACGACGCAAATGCGCTTCGCGCGTCCCAGGGCGGACGCGACGCGGCAGCTAGCAAGTGGTGGTGCGGATGGTGTCCATGACCCATAGCACCGTGTTAGACGCCTCTGCTGCAAGGAAGGCCGCAACTTGCACGACAATGGATCACAGAACATACAGTCATTAGGATGATGACTAGACAACATACGCCTTCAACAGGATATACCTGGTATGAAGCCAGTGCATATCCACCATATCGGCCCAGCTGCCGCTCAAGCTTTTAAGCCCGTCGGCGAAGCGCTAAGCGACTCCATCCTCCATCGTCGCTGCGCGCGGGATTGCCCTATGGTGCATAGATACGCTACATAGAAGGAATACAAGTGATAAGAAAATAAAGTGAACTAGCCTGTTGGATAGCCGCTGGAATGATCAGGTGTCGGGCGATCAAGCGTCGTACAACCTCATCCCAGCCGCCCACTGGCTTTGGCGCTGCCAGCGATGCAATATCTAGTCCGTGGCTACTTCTTTATACGTTTGCAACATGTTGTGACCATGAGCTAGGCTGGCGACGGAAGTGCGAAATAGATTGGCGATGTTGCTCATGTTCCCGATCACGATGTCCAGTAAAATCCACACCTTCCACTGGAATGCGTGCAATACATGTCTGGACATCAGCAACATCGCAATTAATGTCGCACTTTCCTTGTAAGCTTACTCGCAGCATACGACAGCATGACGTGCTCAGCATGACGTGGTGGCCAGCTTAACCAGGCGGCTACACCACAACCGGCTCAAGGGCTAAGTTAGGACAGGTTTGATGGCTGCTGTAGGTGAGTAGCGAAATTTGACAGATGCATGGGATGGGGATTATGGTTGGGGGCGGGTGGGCAGGCGAGGGTGATGAGAGGTGATATGAGTGAGAAAGGCGGTGGAACAGTGGTGATGTGAGGTGTCATCCAAGCGCTGTGTATTCAGGCAGCAATGCGTTGCTGTAATGTTGTTGTTCCCGCACTGGAAGATGTGCGGACGCGAGAGATGTGCGAGCCTGCTAGCATGTGCACCCCCTTTCACCATGCTGCAAACACCGGCGTGTTGGACATATGGTGTGTTTGAACAGGGTACAGCCGCTGCGAAGAGCCTTAGACTCTCTGGGTGCAGTGCGTGTTGAACGATAGGTTGACAGACACCGTATAGTTGTCATTACATTCCCACATCCAGCCTCCTTTAACACTGTGCAGGGGTATGCATTACCCCCGTTTCCATGTATTACACCTGACCTGCAACTCTCTACAGTAGGAAAACTGAGAAAACTGCGGCATTCTTTTGCAGTCCTTTTCCTCAGCATCGGACTCTCCCACACCAAGCCCCCGCTACGGCTGGAGATGCCATCGGCGCACGCACTGTGACTACCAGTACTCTCCTGGTTGGGACACGCAAAAGAAATGCCCCGCTTTCAAAAGCGTGTTTTGTGTTTCTTCTTCTCAATCAACGACCTCTGGTCCGCACACATAGAAGGGCCGGAAAGAAAACCTGGACAGCTCCTCCCAGGCTCCTGCCTTGCCGCCGCACAACAACGACCACCACCGCAATCCGCGACTCATGAAGCCAACCATGTATGAACATACACACGAGCACACAACAAGGAACACTGCAGTCGGTCGCTTCAGGCAATGCTACAGCTTGCGTACAATTCGTAGCATGCCGCGCTGGCGCGTTTGCTGCAGGCAGTAGAGGGGGAGAGTGCTAGAAGGGCACGGCACGGCACACCGAAGCCACATCGATGACGATGATGCCAAGAATAATGGTGGTAATGCAATAGCGAGGGCCCATCTCATGGTGTCAAGCCTTTTCGCCTCCGCCTTCACTTTTCTCGCCTACCCACGCGCGCACCGCCGGACATTACCGGCGTTCGCTGCAGCTCTTCTTCTTCCTGTGCATCTTCAGCGTTTCATTCTTCATGCCGCCCACGTTGTCCACTGCCCACACTGTACAGCACGGCACGCGGGCCATCGCAGACATCGCTCGAGATCTAACCCCCTCTTCGTGACAACGGCATAACATGCAAGCATGGCCTTCCTGCACGCGGCCTTTGCCATCCCGTTCCGTTCGGTGGTCTGGATGGTGGCTGGCAGCCCGACTTCTGAGGTGCACACGACAACAGTTCTTAGGGAAACGACCGACTCGCCTCGGTCGCCCCAGAATGTAAAACAAAACAACAGAGACGCCACGCACACAAGCCACGATATGCTAGGCACTTGACACACACACAAATACACACAACGCATGAGGAAACCGCCATGACGAGCAAACGCCGCATCAACAGAGACCACCTAACATGGTCATCCAACCAATTCCGTACTCCTCTTGCTCCTCCTCTTCCTCCTCAACTCAAAAACGAAATGACGACAAGCCACATCCCGCATGTCACCGCATGCAACACCTCCTCCCACGCGCACCTCCTCCACCTCCACTTCCGCCTTTGCAACATCAAAATCTGTCACCCATGCCTTGCTCTTACGCGGCGGCGGGCGCAGCACCGCCCGCGGGCGCCGGCGGCGGCGCCTTCTTGTGCTTGTTCTTGGACGACATCTCGGTGTACAGCCAGGTGCCAGCCAGGGCGATGACGGTACCCACCATCGCCTGCGTGGTGAGGACCTGGTTGAAGAAAACGACGGAGGAGCCGATGATGGCCACGCGCTTCACCACGTTGCACACGCCGTGCGACACGGGGCTGACGCGCTCCAGGGTGTTGAAGGCGAACTGCGGGGGGGAGGTGAGGTGAGGTGGGGCGGAGCGGGTACGGTGGGGTGAGGGTGGGTGAGTGCAGGTATGGGAGGCGTGTGCAGGTGGGAGCTGGGGTAACGACGGATCAAGGATTAGGTGCTGGAAAGAAGCGCGGGGTTCACGTGTGCGCTCAATTCGCCGAAGGCACTACCCTCCTAAGCCATTCCTTGTCGTTGACGCCCCCACTCCCTCTAGCTCACTTCCCCCGGTCTCCCTCCCTTGCCTCGCTCAACCTCTCATCCCCCTCCTCTTCCATGCCCCTCTCCTCCCTCCCTCCCTCTCCTCCCCCCCTCCCTCTCCTCACCTGGTTGTAAAGGTGGTACAGCATGCCCACCATGAAAAGGTCGGTGTAGAAGCGCTGCGCGCCCACCTTGGCGATGGCGGTCTGCACGCCCGCCGCCAGGCTGGAGCCCTCCGCGAAGAGCGCCCAGGGCAGGCAGATGAGCACGGAGATGAGGGTGGTGTAGGCGTACACGGCGGTGCCGTCCAGGCTCTTGGTCATGGCCCTGGGGGTGGAGCATGGCAGAGTGGGAGGTGAAGAGGGAAGGAGTCACGAACCATGTGATATGGCAGGGTAAAAAGGAAACAACTAACTGACTGAGGGATAAGGCGTCAACATGGGTTGTGATATGGCAGGATGGGGAATGGCATGATGAGGGGAGGTGTATGGGGATGGTGGGGTTCAATAGGGGGACTCAGCGGGTATGAAGGGAGGGGACGGTGAAGCTTCGCTCCCCTCGGGGTGACACCAGTGTAGACGCGAGGACCAACAGAGGTGTGCTTCACATGTAGAATGGGTTTGGCACAAGTTTGGCACACGTACGGGCGGTTGTCGTGATATTCAAGTGCGGGGGCCATGCGGACGCAGCACCTCCCCGGACGCCATTGGATTAGCGAGATGGGAGATTGCTCGCAGCACCGCAACGTTGGGCATCTCCTTTTTGTGTCCCCGTTCGTAAGAGTGTTCTTGCCCTTTCCCTCCCAGCCTGGCTTAGACCGCGCTGTCCAGCGCGGACTACACCCTGTCCAAACAAACATGCAGTGTGGCTGCATCCCCCATGACCCACATCCCCCAACCCAACCTAACCACAGCACGCAACACCAACGCACGCACAGCATCCAAACACCCAACAAGCCAGGTCGCTGCCCCGCCCCTCTCCCTGCCAGAACCCCAATAACATCCGCCCCCTCAAGGTCGGACTTTGGGATTGGGACTCCGTTGCTTCACTTTTCGTTTCCCCTCCCAAGGTGCTCACCTCTTGGACCACACGGCGCGGAAGCCGAAGGTCAGGTTGGAGGCCATAGCGGTGAGGAAGCCAATCCAGTTGAAGGACAGCTCACCCGCGGAGGCGAGCGCAACACCAAACTGCGTTTGGGGGAGGGGCGGGGGTAGTGTGGGTCATTCACGGTTTAGGGGGGCATGCATGGGTTACTTGTGGTGACTTGCCAATTGGGCCATGGCACGTATGGGTCCTAACGGTTTGTGCGCAGTTAGGAATTGCACGAACTGAAGGCTGGGTCATGTGGGTCAGTGCATGTGGGTTGTCTCATGCGGTTTAGCTCGTGCGGGTAAGGAGGGATAGTACCAGCGTGGAAGGGTGTTCTTGTCCCATTGTGGTCTAACAGGGGAATGGTGAGGGTCAGGCCATGTGGGCCGGGTGCACTAAGGATAGTGGTGAGCTGGTGACCTCTAGAGATCGCCTCTTCAGGCACGTTCAAGGGTGCTGGGATCTGGTGGGGGATCTGGTGTGTAATTAAGCTGGACGCACCATGATGGGGACGAGCGACAGCAGCACGGGCAGCGGGGTAGCCTCGCCCAGGATGACCTGAGACAGCACCACGTTGAACGCCGGCTCCAGCGTCTTCACCGTGTGCGTGAGCGAAATAGCCACGGCAGCGAAAGAAATGTTGGCCGCGACGTGGCCAACGGCGTGCATGGCAGCAGGGCCAAAGATGTTCTTGAACTCCTGGCCGGTAACAGGCTGAGGGAGGGGGGAAATAGCTGTTAGGCTTTGCCTTCTGGCGGACTTGGTAGAACAGCAGAAGGTTTAGCGAGGATTACTTACTCGGCCGAACGACCAACCCTTCATTCCGAGGACGTAGACGACCACGCAGTAGACGAGGCCAACCAGCACGTGAACCGTCGAGACGGTGTAGGGGAAGGGGAAGTACTTGAAGATCGTCTTGTTGAGCAGGTTGAAGCCGATGTTCAGGGCGTACCTGCGCGCGTTCTTGATCAGTCAACTCATGCACATGGGAAGTTATCAAAGTTGAGTCATGACTACCCACCAGATAGCAATGAAGGAAAGAGTGACAACAGTAGGCGCCAGCTTAACGCCCACGACCTTGGAAACCGTCCTGCGCAACGCAATGCGAAGGGGTAAGAAAGACATTCGCAGTTAACGCGCACGAGATAATTGACCAGCGCAGCTAGTAATGAAGGACTACATAAACTTGATGTTTTAACAAGGCATGCCCAGCGACCATATGCGTTTGAGGCGTAGGACATGGGAGGTTGTCTGCGGCGTTCCGAAAAAGCTCACGTCTCAAGGGGGTCCAGCTCCTTGGCAGCGTCCGCAGCTTGTGCCCTCACAGCAATGGGCTGGCGTGCACGCACAGGGGCAACAGGCTTCGCGGCCGGTAGGCGCGAACCCAGGACCTGCGCAGATGATCAGACTCCATCGCAACCCTGAAGCCCAAGACATGAGCCATAGACAATCTATTTACGCCATCCTTTTCATACCTGAGAGCTCCTGATGGGCAGGCCGCTCAGCAGCGCCACAGGCGCCGCTGACCTCCTGCCCACCGTGACCGGGACGCCCGCGCGACAGGTTAGGGTGGCCATTGTTACTGCCTTTTATGGAAGTGAAGGTAATACTGGCAACCCGCCTGTGTCGAATCTAACGAGCTACGAACAGGTTGCGAGATAGGGTTCGCAGCGCTTTTACGTCGCAGTTCCGTACAGTTCGGCATCCTGCGCGAACTCGTCCTATAAGAGCAGTGGATACACAGTGTTCTGTTTATCGTCTGTTTCCAAAACATCCTTTAACAAGTTATTATCTAACCAACCTAAAGTTAAGCCCCGCAACATGTCTCCAGACTCATATAGCATGGTTGCTCAAGCCGCGCTTATGACCAGCTCAAGTTCCCTAGATCTATCATGTGGATTAGGACAACTTACAAATGCGACGAAAATGGAGTACCCATAAACCTTCATACCTGGGGCTTGGCCTCCTGGACCTCACGCTTGGGGCGCTGACTCACAGCTTAGTGGGCTAGCCCGTGCATGCCTCATCTCCAACCCCCTCCCATGCACTCTAGCTGCTTCATTCTCGGATGCCATATAATATACGTGCTATCCCCTCTCAACGACGCGTAGTCTACTGCCGTGGCTCCTGTGAAGTACCGGTAAGGCATTTCCTGGGCCTGTTACGGGCGGGGCTACTGTTCCACGCTTTCCGCAGCTTCACAGACTCCCACGGTCCCAACTGCGCGGTCCCCTTCATCCCGCCGTGGGCCAATGACTGTCACACCGCTGCCCATGACCCCTGCCTCGCCACGTGGGCTGAACGAGACTCGCTCGCCATTGTGAAAGTTGCATTGGGTTACATAGTAAGACGTGCTGCAATGGACTCCCAACGTCCCAAGTCTAGGTCAGAAATGGTCAACGCGTGGTCAAGTAGGAACCGCGGTCTGTCGATCAATGCGTCTGACGCAGTCAAAGCATCGTGAGGAAAATCCCAAGTACCCACGTTCATTGAACCCCGGGGCCTCGATGGGCCTTATACCGTACGAATCATTAACCGGCGGCATGCAACCATGGCAACCGCGGCAGAGGGGCCCTGCCATCCCAGGCGCACACCGGTGCCCAACCTTCAGCCTACAGTCGGGAACAGCCACAGATGAGTCCTGACCACCGCTCATACTACGCGTTACTCCCATACATGTTGCACTGTACACGCTAGCTCGTATGCTGATGTCCAAGGCATAAGGGACAAGTAAGAGCATAGGTAGCAAAATGCATGCGAGGGTGAAGGCGGTCCAAGCAAGGTCTTCCTAGGAGCCAGAACAGGTAACAGCACAGCAGCCTATTGCAGCATTTTACCCGTCCAAGCAGCAGTATCACACAAACGCACCATAAGGTCTTACGCAAGTGGAGGGTGCAGCATGAGACAGCAGCTCTGCATGTTGCTGCAGAAAAGGTATCGGTGATGTCCAACGGCGCCTTCATATGACGATGTGGCTATTTTGGCTGACTTGCCACGCACCACACATTGGAATTCCTCTTTCAGCGCCCGACCAACCTCTCACAAATTATTCGTAGCACTCCGTCTATATATCATATGTCTCGACGGCATTTGGCCTGCTTCTTCAAGCAAGTTTGAAAGCTCACACGTCGGCTGCCAGCATTCCTTCAACAGGAGGCTAAATTCAAATTTGAATTCAAATCGCGTCACCTGTCAGCAGCATCCCGCTTCCATCTTGGCAAAACCAAACCCCTGCAAAACCAAAAAGCCCAAAAGCTGAACACGCAAGTAAAGCTTCTTAGCAATGCCTCACAACCTCTCCTAAAATTGACTGACATCACAACCCAGCGGAATAAAAAGGCCTGGCATGATTATCTAGCTGCAATCGATCAGCAGCTGCAGTCCGTCATTTAAGCAACCAGTCTATTAACGTATCAGCACGAACCGGTAATCAACTCGCACGTCCTCAACGGCTGCTCACCGCCAGGAGTCGTGGCCACATCGGCTCAGCCAAGAGCAATCAACGGACCAACAGTTGCGTCCGCCTTACTAATACGTCCTTATCCGTCCTATCCGTACCCTATAGATTAAAGTTGCCACACAGCTATGTACATACAAAACTTATCATTTGCAGCAGCAGTACTAGGAGCACCATTTGCACAACCACGCACAGCAGTAGCAGCAGTGCCAGCGCTAGAAACGTAACAAGCAGCGGGCCCAGCCGAGACTGGGCTGCTGGCGGCGCGGGTGTGCCCTACCTGCTACACTCCCCCGGCTCCTAGCATGTCGCTGAGTCGATCACGCACCAGCAGTCAACAAGCAACACACTCTCGCATGCGGTTCAAGATGTCACATGAGACGAGGAGACTCGACTCCAACTATCGTAGGGTTATAAGTTAAGTCGCGCATATGTCGTCGCACCTAATGCCGATATACGTTGAGCAAGACCCTTGGGCTGCTTGACGCACGGCTGGAACCTATGTCATTGAATTAAGACCCTGTAGCCTGAACCTCTGCCATCATTTGCTGCGTGCCAATCACGCTCTCATACCTCCTGCTCAACCCACCCCAACACGGCGCAGCGCAGCATTTCCGCCTTTATTCACAGCTCTGGCCTCAACGCAGCAGTACACAGCAGAGTAAAAAATTCTTGCGTGCAACGGCGGGAGATGTTTGTGAGGACAACGTCAACTCAACGGACCCCAACGGTTGTCAAACTGTCGGTCAACGGTCAAGGGTCAACGGCAAAACATGTAACGGAATTGCAACACATCTTATCTAATAACCATATATACCCGCCCCAAAGGCATCCACTCTAACAGCAGCAGCAGCGTCAGGAAAGCAGTGTCAGAAGCAACCATGGCTGCGTTTACGTGCACACCTTTATTACCCCTCGTCATTATCGCTTAATGGAAGTGTTCGTTGGTTCGGTAGATGAGTACGGCGCTTCGTGCGGCCCTGATGACGTTGAGGATGGCGGGCGTCACACCCCGCCCAGGGGGAGCCTGGGGGCGGGGACAGGTAGGGCAGGAGAGGGTGTTGACCCTGGCGACGCAGATACGGTAATAATCGCAGATAATAACTAAAAAACCGCAATGAAACACCATGAAGCCATGTGGATGGTGGAGGTGGAGGTGGAGATTGGTAAATGGTAATGCCTAATGCGTGTATTACATGGGGTGGTATCGTACTCGCATACATGGGCCGAGACTTGTGTGGGAATTGTACGGATCCCTCGTCCCCGTCACCGCCCACCGCCTTTGTTGTTTAGGGTTTTCACACCTCACCTGCATGGCAATGATGTGCACCTTGTCGTGCGCGGCGTACTTGAGCGCGCCGCTCTCGAAGGGCTCCTCCAGCTGTCGCTTCACAACGGGAACGTGGAAGCCGGCGGCGATGTCCGCAAAGTTCTCTAGCAGCCGCCGACTGATGGGGGGGGAGTTGTTGTGGGTGGGGTTGCGGGTAGTAAGACGAAGTGGAATGGGGGGGTGCTGGGAGTAGGGGTTGTGCTCCGCCGCGGCGGGCTGACCTTGTTGAAGTGTACGGGTAACAGCAGCAGGGATCGTAGGCCACCCCAGTAGGGCGCATACAGCACCCCCCACCCCGCTCCCACCCAGCGCAGGAGCCCACTCCAACCCCCCACCCCACCCACCTGGTTACGCCATCGTTCTGGCTCGCCTCCCGCCCGCCCGTCCTGGCCAGGAACACTCTGTCCCCCCTCAGCGGCGCCGCCAGCTTGGCGCAGCAGTAGCGCAGCAGCGGGCGGGAGGCGTGGTTCACCTCGGCCAGCAGCCGCAGCCGCTCCTTGTCCCAGCTGGGGCCGGAGGAGCTGCGCGCCAGCTTGGCGTTGGCCTGGAGAGAAGGGAAGGGGGGGGGAGGGGAGGGGAGGGGAGGGGAGAGGAGGGGAGAGGTGGAGGGAGGGGAGAGGGAGGTAGGGAGGGTGAGCGACAGGCACAGGCAAAAGACAGGAAGGGTGAGTGGTGGCGCTGACGTGGCCGTGGCTTCTGGAGCCCACCCAGATACCCACCTACCTCCTCTTCAGCCCCATTTGATAACCAGTAACCGACAACCTCACCTCCTCCTCCCTCCATCCTCCTTCCTGCCCCGCTCACCTTGACTATCAACAGCGGTCGAGTGGTGGTCCGTAGCATGGCTAGCGCCACACTCGCCACAATCGCACCACCACCCGCCAACCCCAGCCCTCCCGCACCGCCTCCAGCACCGCCGTGACCGAAGCTGCCACTCTGACCCAACCCCAACACCCCACCGCCCCCTCCTCCTCCTCCACCGCCTCCCAGGTTGCCACTCCCTCCACCTGCACCCCCCCGGGAGTTCATAGAGGAAGACGCAGAGCCGGGACCCGAGGAAGGCGAGGAAGACGAACCGCCGCCGGCTGCGGAAGACGAACCGCCGCCTGCCCCCAGTGCTGCTCCCAGCAGTGAGGCAGAGGAGGTGACGGGGGAGGTGGAGGCGGTTGCGAGGGCCTGGCTGCCCATCACCACCAGGTGGGCCCCCAGGGAGTCGCAGTAGGCCTCCAGCTGCTCGGCCAGGGCGCTGCTGGGGTCCCGCATCTAGGGGAGGAGGGCGGAGGGGAGTGCATGGAAACAAAGAAGATCAAGTCGGCAACGTCAAGTGGTAACTCCTGTGATAGACATGAGAAGCCCTGACAAGAGGATGCAAGTGGGTCGAGCCGAACGTACTACTGCCGGAACGGTTCCCTCTTCCTCTATCCCCATGCAAGCTTCCCCCAACCCACCCCTCAGTCCCCACCCCGTTTCCTCCTCCTCACCAGCAGCTCAGTCGTCACCTCCACCATGGTCTGCCCGACCAGCGTCTCATACCGCCTCAGCAGCGCCCGCCCCCCCACCTCCCCCAGAGTGCTCCCCACCACCGTCACCAACACGACACGGTCGCGACCCGCCTTCACCAACCCACACAACAACTGTACGGCCAGCTTGGTGGCTTCGTTGTCGGAGAGCAGTGCCACGATGAGCTGACCAGGACCGGGTTGCTGGTGCGGCTGGAGAAGACAGTTGCCTGCTAGGTTTTGCTGTTGCTGTTGTTGCTGCTGGTTGCCGGTGCCTAGGGAACTGTGGCTAATAGCGGTGAGAGCGGGGTTGCATGTAGCTGTAGCACCGCCACCGCCGTCAGCTGCCGCGCTCGCAGCACCAGCAGCACCTCCAGCCTCACCCATGTCTCCACCACCACCACCACCACCACCGCCCGCACCCGCAACCCCTGTATTATTACTAGCCAGGCGGCGGAAGTGGCTGCTGCCGTCCTGCGCCGCAATCACCCCCATCAGCTCCTCCAAGTCAAGTGCAGACAGCAGGCAGCGGGCGGGCAGGCCGGGCCGGGTGGACAGCGCCACGCAGCGGGCGCCCGCCTCGGTGGCAGCGGTGAGGTCGGCCATGTCAAAGGTGAGGTAGGCCAGGTCGCCAGCTACCTCCAGGGCGGGGCGGAAGATGCTGGGACGCTGGACCAGGGCTGGGGATGGGAAGGGGGAGGGAAGGGAAGAAGGGAGGAGGGAGAAAAAATTCAATGAGAAGTGCAGCAAAGGGAGAGGGAAGGGAGCTTGGTGCATGGTATGTTAAGTGATGCAACCCAGGTACCGGTAATCATGAGTTTCAAGCCGGCACGGCTGAACTCAGATGTGCGAGCGGTATGCGAACAACCCCTGGTGTGGCGCCTGCGAGCTCAAACAAACGTCTCCTCCCATTCCCCCCCAGACAAACGTCCTTCCAATCCCCCCCAGACAAACGTCCTTCCAACCCCCCCCAGACAAACGTCCTTCCAACCCCCCCAGACAAACGTCCTCCCATCTTCCCCCCCTCCCCCCCGCCCCTCTCACCTTTTAACACGTCCAGCCTCCACATGTACCTCCGCGTGCTCACCACCAGCTTGCCCTGAGCCCGGGAGCGGGTCTCGTTCAGGATTTGGGTCACACGGGGGGTCTGAGGGGGGGGGAGGGGGGCGGGGAGGGGAGCGGGGGGCGGGGGGCGGTGGGGAGGTGGGGGAAAGGGAGCATGGTGGGAGGGAGTGCAGTCAGGTGCACCACAGGGTGAGGAGCGTGCACAGCATTCCGCCACACCAGCCTAATTCCCACTCCTCTCCCTCCCATGCCCGGGCCCTTCTTCAACTCACCGCTATGTCGCTCATCTTGACATCGATCACCATGTGAGGGTGCAACCGCCCCTCGCCGCCTGCTCCTCCGCCCCCTCCTCCTCCTCCTCCTCCTGCTACTGCTGCTTGTGGTGCTGGTGGTGCCGCCCCTGCACCGGCCTCCGAAGTCCGCGTCCCAGGCGCCCCTGCCGCCCCCTCAACCCCTCCACCACCTCCTCCCGTCCCTGCTGCTCCTCCAGCTGACCGCTGTGCGTTGCCGCCACGCCCACGTCGTACCGCACCTGCCGTAACTCCCGTACCACCAACACTGTTACCTCCTCCGCGACGCCACCTGGGCGGCGCCAACAGCACCCCACTCTGCGCCGCCCGCGCCGCCTGCACCCCCTCCACCATCTCCGCCTGTACGACCATGTTGGCCCCGATGTTGTCGTACAGGTACATGCCGTACGCCAGCACGTCGGCATCCAGGGTTTGGTCGGGCATGTAGAGCGCCATGTCGCGCAGGCGCCGCGTGAGCAGCCAATCCACCCCCTGCCGCGACAGGTGCTCCAGGACGGAGGCGCCTAGGGGAACCAGACCTAGCTGGGTCTGGGGGGAAACGGGGGCGGAGCCGCCGCCGCCGCCGCTGCCACCGCCACCACCGCCGCCTTCGGCGGCGGCGGCGGCAGCCGCTTCCGCGGCGGTTGGCGTCGCTGCCGTCGCTCCCTCGGGCACTCGGTACGCCTCCTCCGGCCACACCAGCTGCATGATGGCGTATCCGCTGCCGGCGGATGCGAGCTGCGAGGCGTCATCGCGCGTGAAGACCTGCTGGCAGGGGTCCCAGGCGTATCCGCGGCGGCGCTGCTGAACCAGCAGGATCAGGTTCTCGGGGCGCAACCTGTACGGCAGGCGGGTGGGCAGGTAGGAAGGTAAGGCAAGGCAGGAGCGCGGCATGTGTTTAAATGATGCAATGAATGAGCAAGGCCATTCACATCCCCACCTCATCTTCAACCTCCTCAGTCCTCACCCCCCCCCACCCCCCTCACCCGCAGAACCCCCGGGCCCTCAGGTCCGCCAGCAGCTCGCCCTGCTGCCCCTCGTGCATGTGCAGCACAACCTGCAACCGAGCCACGCCCTCTGCCCCCGCCAGCGCCTCAACAGCCATCACTAGGGCCATCAGCAGACGGGGACCCAGCGGCACGTGACGCACTCGGTCAAGCGAGGAGGCCTGGAGGAGGGAGGGAAGGGCGGATGAGGGAGGCGGGCGGGAAGGAGAGCGGGAGATATCGGGCAGCAGGGGTGAAAAGGATTATGAATTAGGGCATGTGTATAGTACAGTGTACAACGCCCCGACGGACGCGGCCGAGTGTGGGAGCAGGGGGTGCGAGGTGGTGTCGATTGTCGTACCTTGACCGGGAAGGCGAGTGCGATGAGGTCCCATGGGTCGGCACTCCATAGCGGTTGCGGTTGGCCGTTGGAGAGAATGATCTGGTCGTCTCCCGCTAGCAACTGACGGAGGGTAAGGAAGAGGAGGAGGAGGACGTGTCGGGGTAAGGGGAGTGAACACGCTTACATGAACGGTATTGAGTAATGGCGTTCACATCCCATCAGAGTGGATCCCTAACACGGGCATGGTGTGTTTGAAAAGGGAGATCTTTTACCTGTACGGCGATTCTGCCGGCTCGTAACGCCGCCGTCACCTCCGCTCGGAAGGCCGCCGACTGCGCGCCGCCAAGTGTGGCGGCGAATCGCGACGTGTCGTACACATGCGGCGGCTCCCACCCCACATTCGTCCCGCCGCCGCCACTGGAGGCAGCGGGCGCTGCTGCTGCTGCTGGCGTACCCGCTGCGGCGGCGGCGCCGCCACCAGAGGACGCGGCAGCTGGTGCTGCTGCGGCAGTGGAAGCGGCGGAGGCGCCGGCGGCGCTGGGGCGTATGGCCATTTCCTCGACCCAGCGTGCGTTGGCTCGGTTGGCGTACATTTGCATGAGCCGCAGCGCTTTCTCATGAGATAAAACCTGGATGAGAGGTGAGAGGTGGGAGGCAGGGAGAATTACTCAGGGGAGCCACTGGGAGGCTGGAAGAAGGCCCGGGGGGAAGCCCTTTGCGTGTGAATGTGTGAGTAAACGGGGAGGTTATTTCGCCACCCCTACCGAGTACCTCACCCGCTATGAACCCGACCTATTTTCTCGATGTGTTTGTCACAAGTCACATCGAAGGGAAGCCCCGTTGTCGTACATACACTGCCGCATACCCTGCTGCTGCCGTACCTCTTCCTGACCCTTCCCCGCCGCTTGTTCATTACAGCCGTCCGCCACAGGCCGCCGCGCCCCTCCGCCGCTCTGCGAAGGGGCGCGCTCCCGTTCCCTGTTCCTCTCACGCTCCGGACCCGGACTCACGCCACGAGTTGCGGAGGCAGCGCTGCCGTCGCCAGGAGTGCTGCTCGCGGCGGCGCGACCCGCGGGTCGTCGCCGTACGAATGCGGCGGCGGTCGCGACAGCGGGCGGGCTGTGTATGAACCCAGTGGAGCTGCCGCTGCGCGCCACTGGCGGACCCGACGACGGCGGCGGCACCGGCGAGTGGGCCAGCGGCGGCGGCAACGGGTAGTACGGAGCGGATCCCGTACTGAAGCCGCGCGGCGCCAGGGGACCCGCCGACGGGACTCCGAAGCGCGACGGCGAGTCACCGCCGAATGTGCCGTACCCGCCTTCCGTCGCCGCCGCCGTCATTACAGCCGGACCCATGCTCGCCGCCAGCAGCATTAGCCCCTGACTCCTAGGGTTGCGGTTCCCGGCCAGTGGCAGCGGCGCCGCCGGCGGCGCGGGCAAGACAGCGCCGCCACCGCCACCGCCGCCGGCAGCAGCGACGGCGGTACTTCCGTACGGCGTGTTCATACCGCTGGAACCGGCGGTCAGCGGCGACGCGGGACTGCTGTCGGGACCCAAGCTACGGCAATGTACGACAGAGTGCCCCTGAGCCGCCGACGACGGCCCCGCCCACGACTGCGCACGAGCCACCATGGCTTCCTCCGCCTGCAACGCGGCACGGCGATTGGCAGCGGCGATGCACGTCGCGGTCGTCGCGGAGCCCGCGCTAGCGCCGCCGGCTTTGTCACGCCGCCGTGCGATTCGCGGCGACGTCGACCATTGAGACCTGTCAGCGGCAGCGGCGGCCGCCGCCGCTGCCGTCGATACTGTGTCGTGTATGCTGGCGAGGCTTCCGTCGTCGGTAACGCGTGCGGACGCCACACCCGATGCCACGGAGGAGGAGGACGCTTCGCCGCCAGGCGCCGAAAAGCGGCCCATCTTGCCGTGCGGCCGCTCGGCTTCCAGATAGCCCGGCGTCGGCGGCAGACCCAGGCCCGACGGCGTTGACATGCGATTGCTGCTCGCCGGACGGAGTACGGGCAACGAAGCGCTCGGAGGTCCGCTGGAAGGCGCCGCGCCGCTGATGGAGGTACTGCCAGTGCCAGTGGCGGCGGTGGAGGTGGCGGCGCCGCCGCTGCCGCCATGATGCCCTGGACTAGGGACTGAATTGCTGTGTACGGATCGAGTCGGAGAGGAAGCAGCGGCGGCGGCGGCGGCGGAAGCGCTAGGTGGGCCGCCGCCGTGCAGGTGCGGAGTGGCGCAAGGGGAGCCGGCGGCGGAGTTGCCGACGGAGGCGGGGGCCCCGCCGCCGCCGCCAGCGCCGGCCTGTGTGATATGGTGCAATGTGGGCGTCAGGTTGATGGGTCTGGACCGCAGCAGCGGCGAACCAGGTGTGACCGGCGGAGCGCTTGTCGTACACGTCGGGGCGCCGCCGCCGACACGGTTGCTTGGCATCCGCAGCGGCGGCGGCGGCATGGCTTTGTACCCCGCGCTGCCGACGGCGGCGGCGCTGCCGTCTCCGGTGGCTGAGAAGCTGCCGGCGGGACTGGGGTAGCGTGGCAGGCCAGAGTATGACGTACGATCATCCGGAGGCGACGGCGGCTGCGCTGACACAGCTGGGTCGCCGCCGGAGTACGGCAGCGGGCCGACGTCGCCGCCGGTGGCGGCGTGGGCCTGGTGATGCGGGGTATCCTCCGAGATGGCCTGTACGGAAAGGGCAGGAGAGGCCACGCACAGGGCCATCATATCCAAGCCGTGACCCATGGGTCGTCAGCGACCAATGGTCTTGTTTTCCCTGTCCCATTGCTTACTGGAGAGTAGGCGCACAGGAAACCAAGCACAAAAGACAACCCTCCTTCCACAGCTCCTCAACTCCACCTAATCCTTCACAACCCGGACCTGCCGTACCCTCTCCTGCCGTACCTGCAAGCCATTCGCATTCGTCATCGTCGCCCGGTACAGCACCTGCTCGTCCACAAACCGAGGCAGCTCCGGACCCAGGTGCTGCGCGATAAAGTACGACAGAGAATCCAACCGCTGCAAGCCGCGGGCGCGGTGCTTCCTGCCGCGGAAGGCGAGCACCACGGAGATGATCATCATGGCTTTGCGCTTGGCGCGAGCCACTCGCAGACGCCAGTCGGCCGGAGCATCTGAAGGTGGTAGCCGTACGGTATATGGGTTAGGAAGAAGGGCGAGAGACGGGGAAAAGTACCGTGTGTTGTTGGGTTGGGAAAGGGCGAAAGACAGGAGGGCAGCATCTGTTGGGCTTGGGGACAGCTAAGGGGAAGCCGAGAGAGGAACGATGGAGGTGTGCATGGCAAATGGGTAAGTGGGGGAAGAGGCTCGGCTGTCAGAGCGCATGTGAACCCGGACAACCTGGAAGGATGACCCCTGGGTCGGCGAGAAGCTCTCCACAACTCGAGTCCCTGAGAAGGGACCTTGTCCCATCCCAACACACGCTCACTCACATTTCCCATTACGTTGTTGCGGCTGCAGCTGCTGCTGCTGCTGCAGCTGACGTAACAGGTGGCTTTCATGCAGCTCGCCTCGTGCGCTGCCAGGCCCGCTCGCCGCCGCCACCGCCGCCGCATCCACCACGCCCTTGAAGCGCGCCGTGCCGCCCGCATGCGCCCGCGGCGACACCCCATCCAGCGACCCCACCCGCTGGTAGGGATGCGGCGGTGTGGGTGGCGAGATCAAGCCCTGCTGCGTTACCGGCCGCCGCGGCGGCACCTCCCGTGAACCCATTGGAACTGCAACTCCGGCTGCTGCTGCTGCTGCTGGTGAAGCGGAGGCGGTGGTGGTGGTGGTGGTTCCGGACGCCCCTGTCAGCAGCCCCTCATGGGCCCACAGGAGGCCTGGCGGGGACCACTCGGGCAGACCCTGCTTCTCCTGCTTTTCGAGCAGCCGTCGCTCCATCTCCTCTCGCACTTGCTGCGCTCTGCAGGAGTGAGGAGGTGGGAGGAGGAGGAGGGAGGAGGTGGGAGGAGGACATGCATGGAGGGAGGCTGAAAGGGTGGGCTGGAATGGGGTGTGGCGGAGGTGGCGAGGCGTGGGGATGCGGTGCAGGCCGGACCCAAATGGGAGGGAACGCAGAACGTGCGGAGGGGTCACTGGGTTGCAGGCTGGTCAGGGCCTGGGAGGTCGCATGGGCAGTTGGGAGGGTTGCCTTGTTGGAGAGTGGGGGAATAGGAGCTGGGAAGATGGGAGGGTGGGAGCTGGGAAGATGGGTGGGTGGGAACTGGGAAGGCCTGAAGCTGCCCAGTGGCGGAAATGGTTGACACCAGTCTTGGCACCCCCGGATCCGACCAGTGGCTAAACCCGTAGGGCTCCGGAACCATCGGCCCGTGGACAGATTCAGTTGTAAGGGACTTACCGGAGTTCGGTGTGTCGTACAGTCTGCCATTCCTTAACGGAGAAGCGGTGATGACCTCCTCCGCCACCTCCGCCGCCTCCGCGATTCGACTTTGCAAGCTTGATAGCTTCTTGACGGGCTATCTCGTGCCTGAAAAGAGATATGTGTGTTGTTACGTGCTGGGAAAGCTTAAGCCCAGCGGAAAGCAGAAGCTGCACAGTCGACAGCCCTACCTGCCGGCTAGCGGGTCTTTTGCTAGCGCTTCTTCCATCCTATCACCTTGCTCGTGCACGGCATCCTGTACGGTGTTACAAAGGAGCGTCGAAAAGGGAGACCCAACGGCATGGCGATGCAAGCAAACCTATCTTCACGCCGCACTGACCTTTAACCATTCAAGCTTGTACTTCGTGCTCTGACCCCTTTTCACAGCAGGCCGTTGGCTCCCTACACCGGAGGTCCCGAACCGACGCGAAAGGAAGCAAGTTCCAATACGTAAGCGGACGGCAAGCATAGATAGGTAGCAAGTAATTCTACAAAGAAAGCACTTACCCCCTAATCGATCAAGCTCCCGTGCAGTCTCTGAACGCCAGCCTTCCTCTGGGTCGGGGGTCCCATTGGCGACGCCGAACACACCCGCCTGAGCCGAAACTCCTGCACCCATGTCTATGTATTTTGTCTATAAAAGTGAATCTGGTGCAGAAAGACGCGGCAAGGTATTGTTATGGGTTAGAGGCCATTCCTTTTGGGCCATTCTAGTAGGTCGAAGCTTATATCGACAGCACATCTTTCACTAGAGTTGCTGCTTGATGCATTGCGCGAAACAATGGCGCCTGTGCTGACGTTCCTGTGAAGGTAGAGTATGAGCTGCAGTACAGTTCAATAATTGCATTCCATTTTTGACAGCCAAACCTCCAAACACTTGTATTCATATTGCTTTATAGCCTCTTGTATACCAGGTTTCGATGCTGTCCACAAGGCAACACGCGGCACGCTCGCTTAGCACTAGGCGCTGCCTGTGCAACATCGGAAGGCAACCAAGAGCCCTACCAGCTATATGTCGGGCTGCTTCAAACCGCAAAGAACACTTTAATGAGATGGAGGGACTAGCAGAGGCTTACAGCCTCTTTGAGCAGGCCCGAACGATGTCGCACTTCCAAACGCAGCACGAGCTGGAACAGGCGTTCATGGCAGACCTCGGTACTGGCGTGCAAGCGGTCGCCGGCGAGCAGGCATCACGGCTGGCGTTGGTGTCGTTCTGGTGTGAACAAGGGTTAAGTCAGTCATCGAGCGAGGCCCTAGTCCAGAGGCTGGAAGACAGCGGACGAAGATATAGCATCCAGCAGGTGTCCGCCAAAGTCCAGCGTCTCAATCGTATCCTTCCGGACGCGGACATCGCGGCCATTGTGGAACGGGATCCTGCTGTGCTCGACATGGACCCCGCGCTCGCAATTCGCAATATGGTGAGATGCCCCTCTTTGTACGTCCTCTTACCCCAAATAATCATATAGCTGCCCATAATAGCGTCATCAAGTTCCGGCACCACCATTCCCGCCCTCCCATCCAAGATTACAGCGCAATCCCTGCAATCCCTGCAAAAGACCTCCTCTTTCCATCCCCTTTTACCCGCCTTCCCCAGGTCCTCCTCGTCGAGGCCTTCCCCGGCAAGCAAGTCGCCGACCTAGCGCAGCGGCAGCCCCGCCTGCTCTACTGCCCCGACCTGCCCGAGCGCGCCGAGCGGGTGCTGGCGCTTCTGACGCGGCTTCACCCCTCCCGGCAGCGCCGAGTGGTGGCACCTGTGGTGGGCGAGAACCCCGACCTGCTCTTCCGCATGGACTACTACCAGGTATGAAATTCCATATGGGTCACGGGATTGAGGGAGGATGGCAGGGAAAATGAGAAGAAGAAGTACCGTGCTTTGAATGATGGTGGCAACCCTGGGTGGAAGCTCCTGCTGCTGGTGGATGTAAGCACCTCATCTGCTGGGAGAGGGAGGAAAGGATGAGGAGCAGGAAGGGCGTGTGGGTAGGTTGGTCCATATCTCTTGCTCGTGCTTAGGCTCAGTGATGTTGTTGGAAAAGACGATGTACCGGTACGCGCGGGGTGTCCTAGCAAGCAAACGCACCTCCCCATGCGCCCCCTCCTTTCCATCTTCTTCCTCTCTCCCCCTTTGTTTGCAGCACGTGTACATGATCGACGAGCTGCCCATTGAGATCCAAAACATGTTCGTACTGGCGGATCAGGTGAGCGATGCTTGGGAGGGGTGATGGTGTAATGTGAGGGGTCGGGAGACGGGGAGACGTCGACTGGGGGCGCCAGGCGGGTTGCATGCTTGTCGCCTCCTGCTGCCCTGACTGCTTTCTCCGTTTCCGGCTTTCCGCCCACTTTTCTCCACCCCTCCCTGCTGCCCTCATTCAACACATTGGGTATTGTTTTTTCCCTGCCATTGTCAGGGCGTCAGCTTCCTGTACCGCTACTACAAGCGCATGCGCAACGACTTCATTGTGGATAGCACCTCGTCAGATGAAGAGGCGGGCGTGTGATGTGGGCTGCAGCGGGAGGAGGTGGTGGAGCAGGCGGGTGGTAATGCTAGTGGGCTGCGGCAGAGGGGTGCAGGGTATGGCTCGAGGAAAGGAGGCCTGCAGCAGATGAGGGATTCCTGGTTTGCGCTCGCCAAAACATTGTATTTCAACATTTCGGTAATGCCTAGGTGTACACGCCTGGGCGATGGTTTAATGTTTTCATGTTAAAGGCTGCGTTGTAGACATCTCGAGGGGCCGGCCTGCCGGCAAGTGTACATTACTGATGAACACGAAGAAACAAAAGTCGTAGTAGTATTAGAAGTTTAGGACGAAGAAAGCCCTAGCATGGCACTTTGTTGGTTTTGTTTTGTATAACAGTCCATTGTGCATTGTGGCTTCTGGTCGGTGATATCACCTAACAACATGCTGTGTTTGGTTTGGTTTGGTCGTGGCCTTACTTCCTCTCATTGGAAGCGGCTCTCCTTGTTGCATGTGTCTGTTGCACCTTACCTAGTTACATCTAAACACGGCTTGTTTCATAACGTTGTTGTTGTTGGTGGTATGGTGCCTTGGAAGTGTTCCTCTCGAAGATGAAGTTGCCCGCCTGCCTGGCTTGCTGCTGTGCGTGACTGTTGTTTAGAGATTGTTTAGCAGACTCGGGTTAGCGGCGGGCGAAGATTGCTCGTGGCTGTACGAGTCGTGTCCCGTTTTGTACGCGGGTTTGTGCAATGCATGCACTGTACAGCCGTTCTGTGACCCATGGGTCACTGTGTGTTGCATGTGTGAAGCCATGAGGCACATGCGGCCCTCAGGATCCGTGTGCGTGTTTTGTTCGTACGTTAATCCGTACATCCATCATGTTTCTTTGGTTTGTCGTCAACATGGCTATTGCCGTCGTTGTGGGTGTTTGTTTGTTTGTAGTGGTGCCCTGCTCGCCCCCGTTTGTGTTTCCCTTCTGTTGGGATGTTGTCTGGGGGGCGATTGCAATGTACGATAACTACTTTTCTTTCGCTTCCGCGGTTGTACGTTTGTGTACAGAATGCTAGAAACGTAACAGATGGTGCCGGCCACACATAGATGGTCCTGGCAGAAGCCAGAAAAACCGTTCGTGCAAGACATGTACCCTAACTAGGAGCCGCTTTGGTGGTTGCTTTGGTGGTGGGTTGCGGTGGTTTGGTGTTCCCTAGCTGCCGGAACGCAACATTTGAGGTCGCTGCAACAGTGCGTTATTTGCTCTGTTTGCTTGTTCGCTAGCCTTGATGAGTACCGGGTTTTACCCCTTGGTTCGATAATGAAAACGCCAGTGTCCTATGAAACGTCCTTCGATTGCCAACTCCGAAACCAAACATGTGCCGCTTGTGCGCTTCTGGTGTTTGCGGTTGCACAGCTTTGCAGGCCGGTGGGAAACGGGGCCGGTTTGTGGGTGTTATGAACGTGTTTTATAAACGCGCGTTGCTCGTTTACCTTTTAGTCATGTGCGTCTCATGTACGGTTGTGCGCTCTGTTACTGCTGCTGGTGCTCTTTGGTTGTGGAGGTGCGGCGCGGGGACTGTCGCTGTGCTACTTCTCGGCCCCTGTACGGCAACGCCGTGAAACGAAGTACCAATATTGGTGCTTACGTGCTGCGTCTGCGGTACGGATGATCTGATGTGTGGACAGCCCTCAAAATAATGCAGGGAAAACCCATGGGAGTTAGGCTGTCAAAAAATAGGCCCGGAGTAGACCATTATTTCTTTCCCGTCGTGAGGCGCCTAGCTTTGTGCCAAAAAAGGAATCAGTAACTTCGGGAGCTCAAGTCAACTGCTCGTATATACAGGTACAATAGCACCAGCACCAGTTGCTGAGGCAACCAAGAAGCCGTGCCGTACATCATCCTTTCCCGCGTGCTACATACGGCGACTGCGGGAGACTGCGATTCACGACACCCCTCAGTCGCAGCACGGTCTCCCGACGGCCCCAGCCGCACCACATCCCTCGCATGTGAGCCAATCCTCCAGCTCCTCCTTTTCAACTGCCTCCCTCATACCCAAGCTCACGACCACCCTGTCTATTTCCGTACATCCTCCTCCTCTCCTCCTCCTCCTACCTGTAACCCCCTCGTCCCGGCCCTGCGCCCCAACAACAACTCCCATCCGCTCCCTCTAGCCCACTCCCTCGCCTCTTTCTCGTCCGCCTGCTCCTCCTCCCCATTCCCCAACTTGCTGCTCCCCTCCCCCCAGGCCAGTTCTCAGCCTCACTTCCAGCCATTCCTGCTCCTGCTGGTGCTGCTGCTGCAGTTGCTGCTCCCCCAGCTCTGCCCCCTCCTATGCCCATGATGCAACCCACATGGTGAAACCTTAATGCCGTTGGCTAGGCCCCTTCCTCTATCCCCCAACCCCCAACCCCCCATCTTGTGCCGCTACTTGCCCAGCACGCGCGCCTTATCCAGCCGCTCCTGCCGCGCCCGCAGGTTCTCCGTGATGGCTAGTTCGTCATCCGCACTGATGCCCGTCAGCCGCATGTCAAGTAACTGGGGGTGGTGGGGAGGGAAAGATGAATTCCCAATGTGTTGAATGAGAATGCAAACCAGACGACAAGCTCCGTGGAAATGGAGTTAGTGGTGGGGAAGGGAGGGGAGGAGAGGATGGGCGGAAGGGAAGAGGTGGGAAAGGGGGCTTGAGGAAAATGCAGGAAGGGAAGATAGATGGGAAATGGGAAACAGCCATGTCTCGTGTCCCGTGCCGCGTCCAATTGTCCTCGTCGGCAAACCGCCTCCCCTGTTCTCCCCCCCTCCTGTAAAACCCCGGCCCCCCCTCTCCTTATCTTTACCCCCCTCCCTTCTCACCCGCACAGAGTTGTTCTGCTCCAGTGCTCGCCGTATCGCCCCACACGCTTCCTCGCCGTACTGATTGCACGACAGATCCAGCTCCGTAACCGTCATGTTCAACCGCAACATCGCCACAACCGCCGCCGCCGTACCGGGCCCCGCCGCATTCGCGCTAATGTTTAACCGCTCCAGGGTGGGTGCCGCCCGCACGCTCTCCACCACCGCCTTGCATCCCTCATCCCCCATGCGGTTTAGCCGGAGGTTCACGCTAAGCAAGCAGCGGTTGTTTTTGAAGGCTCGAGCCAGGGACTTGGCGCCTTCGGTGTGAATTTGGTTGTCTTGGAGTTCGAGCAGGGATATGACGGAGTGCCCGTCTAGGAGCTTGGCGAGCGCTCGTACGCCCCGGTCTGCGATCTTGTTGTGTGAGAGGTTGAGGTGCGTAATGGACAGGTTCTCAACGAGGCCGGAGGCGAGCATGCGGACCTGAGGAGCAAGAAGGGGAGAAAAAATTACATATGTGAAACAACGAGTCCCATTCGCATATCCCGACTCATGCAGTGAAGGAGCAAGAAGGGGAGGAGGAGGAGGGGGAGGAAGGGAGGGAAAAGAGAAGGAAAGCCATGCGGTGAATGGGGGAGGCGACGCTAGGTGTGACAAGCTGCTGGCGAAGGAGAGAGGAGGGAGTCGGGAGAGGCGGTGGAAAGGAGGAGCGGCGTTCCGTTGCGTGTCACGCATCACGCATCCTCGCGCCATCCCCACCCGCCCACCCACCTTGTCATCGTCTAGCGAGTTGTTGGACAGGTCCAGGTGCGTGAGCGTCTCCGTGTGCTCCAGCGCCTTGGCCAGGCTGCGGCAGTCGCTGAGCTTCATGCCGAACAGCGAGCGGTCGTAGTCCATGCCCACCTCCTTCAGGTTGTACGACAGGGCCAGGGAGGAGGGAGTGCTGCAGGGGGGGGGGGGGGGTCAAAGATCACATCGAACCATAGGGGGGGGAAGGAGGGAGCGGGGGAAAAGTGTGGAGGAATTGGGGTTTGGGGGTTTGACGGGGGGAATGAGTGGGGTGCCCCAAGGCTACATGGGAGGTAAACTCCGGGCAGAGGAGCCGACCCACGCAGCAGCCTCCACATCCCAGCGGCCCGAAGGGACAAACCCGGCTCCTGCCATGACCCTGCCTCGCCTCCCATGGCATGCCTCCCAGCCCACTCTCTCACATCCTCATCAGTCCCTGCTCCCTGGCCATTTCCCTGCTCCTCGACAGTTGTGGCGCAACCACACGGACGGGTGTTTCCTGTGTACCCCACATCCCCATCTCCTCCCTCCCGTCCCTCCCGCCTCACTTGACCATGCAGTCGAACAGCAGCTGCAGGTCCAGGTGGCTGGGCAGCTGCCGGATGGTCACGGACTGCACGAAGCGGCGGCTGTACGTCAGCAGCCGCTTCAGACTGGAGAGGTCGGTCACGGAGGGGTCGTACCTGGGGCGGGAGGGGGGAAGGTGAGGGAGGGGTGAAGAGCGAGAGGAGGCGGGGGAGGCGAGGGGTTGGAAGCGGGGCAGGGGACGTCTGTCAAGCCCGTCAGTTGCCCAGCGGCAACTCCATGTGGGCAGTGGTAGCAACGGTAGCGGGCCTAGCGACCGCTGACAGCCTCCTCAGTCCCAAAGTCGCCCCACAACACTGCACGGTCCAGGGAGCTGTCTGTCAGGCCCCATCAGACCCGCATCATGCAGTGGCGGGGCGGCTAGCGGGGACAGGGGCGCTGTCGTCCTGTTGCTACCAGCGCCCACACCGCCACAACTGAAGGATACACTGCTAGGTAACTGCCTTGCTGGTATCGCTCTCTTTCTTTTATTGCTTGCTGCCGCCACTAGCCTACTACCGCCGCTACCCGCCACCGCTGCCGCTGCCGCCGCTTCCCCAACCGCTGTCGGCGCTGCGGCAGCGCTGCAAAGACGGCACCCGCTAGCCTGCCCCTAGTCGGTGACTAGGGAGGCTATGGGAGGTACCCGGGACCACTTACTGCTCCAGGAACTCCTGCAGGTTGCGCTCGAAGAAGAGCTGCTTCCAGGAGTAGCCGTGCGCGGCAACCTGAGGAGCGGGAGCAAGCGGTGGGAGGAGGGGAGGGAGCGGGAGGAGAGATGGAGAGGGGGAGGGAGGAGGAAGCAAAGAGGTGAGGCCAGGGAGGGCTGTGTGGTGGTGTGCACTGAAAGGAGGAGGTAAGGGATGTTGCTGGAACATAGCGGGCGGATTAGCAAGAGGTAGACGTGTGTTATGGAAGGATAGGAGATCAGAACTTGTCGCAGAGGCTCAGAAGTATGCGGAAAAGAGGTCCCGGATGCCTGGAAACAAAGGAAATAGAAACTTTCGCACCTCGCAGTTTCGCCACCGAGCGTGCGATCTCCGCCTCCAGTAGTCTTCATCCGCAATGAGCTGTAGGGGTGGGAACGCTAAAGCGTGAAAACTAATAGACAGGGGACGCTTCATGGGGCAAGCTTAGGGGCATGCGCGCGTCCCCTACCGTGCCGACTAGCTCCAGTGGCAAGTCCAGCGGCAGGATATCGATAATTCGCTTGACATATTTATCAGGTAGAGGTCCGAAGGTGGGGCAGGACTCAAAGTTCGCTGCGACAACCTTCACGCAGAGGTCCTTCAGAGGAGGTATCAAAAGTGGAGCAGACATGGCTTAAGTTTGATTAAAATGGCCTAGGTGTTGCTCCTATCGGGGTGCTGCTCCCTTGCTAGCGGTTTGCGACCAAACCATTCCTTCCGCTGTCAGGTCAATTTTTTGGGGGCAACAGTATCCGTTATGCCAGGCGTATTTAGTTTGCAGGTTGATACATGTTGCTTGGCTTGGTTCGAAGTGTGGTCGAAGTGGTCTCGGAGCTCCCAACGGACAGGTTGGCAACACCGGACGTTGGTATCATCAATTGTTGGATCGCTAATGGTACCTAACACACGGCTTAGGTAGATTAACATCCGTTTACTGGATCTTTGTGAGCCCCTTTGTGGCCTTGCTCGACTCTTGCACTAGGCTTGGACACCCCATTCCGCCAAGCGCTTTCCAGGAATGGCAACACAACTTAACATGAGGCGTTGCAGCGCTGGTGCGCGTCAGTCGCGAAGGGATGCTGTGCCGTTCACGCCCTACCGCCAGTTCTCTGCGTCGCGGCCTGGCGCTACGCCCTATGCTCAGGCTATCTTCGCCTTGCGCCTTCAAGAGCAGAGGTTACAGCGTACCGCAACTTGCACCGCCGCTGCTCAGGCGACAGAGACTGTGGCCGCTCCAGTTGAAGCTCCCGCATCCGATGCCACCGCGGATCCAACGACCATGGTAACATTGCAATTATAACAAAAATGGGACAAAGAGGAGGTCACCGTATGCCAAAATTGATTGTCCCGGTGTTAACTTGACCCTTGTTGCGGACATCATCCCACGGCCAGGACATCCGGGTGGGTAAAATCGTCAAGTGCGAGCAGCATCCAGACGCCGACAGGTGAGCTAGAACATCTCACAACGTAAAGCCCCATGTGGGTTGTTCCTTGTCAGAAAAAGAAAACTGAGTTTGTAGTGGGCGTGAGTGGCGAAAGCAAGCCAGGCAAGCATATGGTCTCATTCCTTGAATTGGAGGCCCCTGCAATCTGAAATCTCACACCATCTCACAGCAACCAACGAACAACAACTTTACTAAATTCAACTTGTCGTACGGCAGTTTGTACGTGGAGCAGATCGATGTGGGCGAGCCAGAGCCGCGAACCATCGTGTCAGGCCTCGTCAAGTTCGTTCCGCTGGACGCCATGCAGGTGCGGCTCAGTAGTCCAACCACCCCAATGTGACGATGATGGTGATACCTTCACGTCCTCGCGGCCCAGCGCTTAAGACCCCACACGCCCTCCCGAGGGGTACTAGTCGAATTGCCCACCCCGGCTGGTTATTTCTTACCTGTACCTCCCGCGGGGTCTCCTGAACCTGCCTCACGCGCCTTACCCGCTGCCCCACAGGATCGCAAGGTGATCGTGCTGTGCAACCTCAAGCCGCGCAACATGCGCGGGATCAAGTCGAACGGAATGGTGCGTGCACGTGACTGGGTAACCGGGCAACTGGGTGACTGGATGTGTGGGCTGAGTAGCTCGGCGGATGGGTGATGATCTTGGGCTCGACAACGACACAACCACCACTCCCTTTCGAGCAGATGCCCTTTCCATCTCCCCCTGCTCATTATTGTCCCTTGTCGCCAACACTTTTTTCCCTTAAGCCCCCATCCCACCTCCCCGCTCCCCGCTCCTCCGCTGCTGCCAGGTGCTGTGCGCCTCCAACGCGGCTCACGATGCGGTGGAGCCGCTGATGCCGCCGGCGGAGGCGCCTGTGGGGGAGCGGGTGTACTTCGGGGAGGGAGGCAAGGAGCAGGTGAGGAGGGTCGGGATGGGGGGCAGGGGGGCTGTGAAGGTTATAAGGGGCTGCCAATAAGGGGCCGCCAATAAGCCGGGCTGCCAATAAGGGGCTGCCAATAAGGGGCTGCCATTAAGGGGCTGCCAATAAGGGGCTGCCAATAAGGGGCTGCCATTAAGGGGCTGCCAATAAGGGGCTGCCAATAAGGGGCTGCCAATAAGGGGCTGCCATTAAGGGGCTGCCAATAAGGGGCTGCCAATAAGGGGCTGCCAATAAGGGGCTGCCATTAAGGGGCTGCCAATAAGGGGCTGCCATTAAGGGGCTGCCAATAAGGGGCTGCCATTAAGGGGCTGCCATTAAGGGGCCGCCAATCAGGGGCTGCCATTAAAGGGCTGCAAATAAGGGGCTGCCATTAAGGGGCTGCCAATAAGGGGCTGCCATTTAGCCGGGCTGTGTAAGGCCGTTGGGCGTCGGGGCGCATCTGGGGAAGGCGGAAAGCGACGCAGGCATAACGAGCTTTGTTGCTATCGCTACTTGGGGAGGTTGAGATATGAGGAACCGACCGCTAGCGCTAATGTGCGGCTGCTGGTGGCCGCTGCGACCCATGGGTCATTCCGAATCCCTCCACAACCGCAACCCCTCCCCTACCGCCCCTACGCCCTCTGTGCAGCCTGCCCCTGCGGAGCCCAACCGCGTGCAGAAGAAGAAGCTGTGGGAGGCGGTGCAGCCGCTGCTGCGGACGGACGAGCAAGCCACCGCATGCTTCCGGGATGCGGTGATGCTCACGAGTGCGGGACCTGTGCGGGCGGCCAGCCTCACGCAAGCCAACATCGCGTGATGAGAGGAATGTGGGTTTAACGGCGTTTAAGGGTATAGGGTATAGCAGCAATTAAGCCGAGTAAAGATTTAGGACAAAACAGATGCTAAGTTGCGATGCAGGTGGTGGCAAATGGTTGTATTTGTGTTTGTTGTGGTGGTAAGTTTTGAGGGGAGCGAGAAGGAGGAGAGTCTGGAATGTGAGGCTTTGCAGCGTATGTGAATGCAGGACTGGGAAGGATTGCTGCGCATTTTCGTTGCCGCATTTCCGCGTGGAGGTTAACGTGGCGGTAGCTGTTGCGCGAATGCGCCTTCCCTCTTTGTAATGTAACCTAAAGATCTGTCGGGTTGTATGCTCCATGGGTTATATAGCTGCTGTTAAACAATATATCTGATAGCAAGGCTAGCTGCTCGCCGCAAATGTTCTTTACACAGCTGCTTCTAGCTCTGCGTTGGCTGCGTACCAAATCTGCGTGTCGAGAGGTACTGGCGGTACACGCAGAAGCCGGCCAAAGACACGCGTACAGAGGCAGCGCTGGCTACCACACTGCCATCACAGATCAACGCAAAGGTCACAGGATAGATACCTGGCAATGTTCATAGCATAACAATTATCCTCTCTAGATTTGGTGAATAAGCGGCTAATAGACGGCACAGGTAACTTTGCAACCGAAAGTGCCAGCAGGGGGCAAATCTGCCGTACTGGCGCCCTTGGGTGTCGCGAATCGTCCAGCATGGGTAAATCGGGTTCGCGAGTTCTCTCGTCCTCCTCGTCATGCGGCATGCCACCTGTATATACGTTGACCCCAATACTTCGCCACTCCCACGAGAACACAAGGACGTAGTGATACATACTATCTAACCGCTACTACAACGCAAACAGCTTAGCTACATTAGCCCGCTTTCTACCAAACAACCCTTTTGGATCACCAAACGACTAGCTGTGCTTCTATACCTAGGAGACCTTCCAAACCTTTTCAAACCTTTTGCAACATGCGCCGTGTTCAGTCCAGCGCCCCCAACATGTGGTCTTGCGGCCCAGCATCCGCAACCATCGTCCTGCCGCCTGCTTCGCCCGCTGCGGCAAGCCAAGGCTGGCATCGCCGTTCCTCACTGATCTTCCCGCACGAGGCTTCAGCTCAACCAAACAACAGCCAGCGCGCTAGCGGCATTTCGCGAACTGCTTCCATGTTTTGCTCCTCGGCAACCGGCTGGGAGTTATCCACGGCAGCAGGTATCGCAGCGTATACGAACAGCAACAAGCTTCCTGAGATTTCCTGCAACAAGGGCTTTTCTCAGCTGGAGCAGGACCACAAGAATGGGATCTCTTCTTGCTGTCAGCAACACGACGTTGGATTTGGCAACCAAGCCATCAGCCTCAAGAGCAAGAGCTGCTGCGCGATCGCGACCCACTTTCCCGAAGAAGAAGAAGAGGAGCTCGAGTCTTGCTTTACCCAGGCCGCCGCTTCCGACCAGCAGCTGCTAAAGCCACAACAGTCTTCGCTCATCGCTAATCCGACGACTCAACTTCGGATTTACAAGTCTTGCGCTGCAAGCCTTCCCGCGGCCTCATCCATTCCTTCATCAACCTCCTCTACCTTAGCCACCACCACCACCGCGACCACCACCACACCTCAGTCTCCTGCCGCGACAGAGACAGCTGGTGATGGCGAGTGGCTCGGAGCGGCGCTGGCATGCCAGTCGCCGCAGCCTACGCCCCGCTGCGGTAAGCGGTCTGCAGATCATTTCGCTGAGCCGGTGGTTACGGTGACAGCGGCGGCGGCGACGACAGCGATGGCGGGAGATGTCTGGGATGGTGCCGCTGATGGTGGCTTTGGAAGGCTTCGGCGCGTGCGGCGAGTCCTGCGGGACCTGAATCGTCTGGCGGAGGAGTATACTGGCGAGAAGGGAGGTCGGTTTGCTGTGACTGTGGTACATGATGCTGCGATGTGGGTTTTGGGTTGACGACCCACGGGTCGGTGGGTCTGGTTGACACGCAAGCGGGGGAATTGGAGTCATGGACAAGAGCAATGGAGGGTGGGTGAGATGGGATGTTGGGTTAGGTCGCCTGCGATGGATTGTACATTGTTAGGGCTTGCTGCATGCAGCAATGCATGTTCAGACCTTTGGTGGGAGGCTTTGCGTGTCAATCTTCTGTTTGGATCGCCTGTCCTCGCTGCTACATTAGTCTTCACAAGTATCGAAGTAACTTGCTGTTCGTTCGTATCATGTTGTTAATAGTGTTCAACGGTGTACATTACACAGTATGGTGGTTTGTGGACGCAACAAACAACAGTCAGTTTGCTTGCTAAGCCGCAAGCCCGCCATTATCATATAGATAGCGCCCATTGGCCAATCCGGCAGGCGTTCATTCTTTCTTTTTCGAGTTCCTTCGTCGTAGCTTCGTTATGCTTCATGCGCTCTGCTGTCAGGGCTTGGTCGTTTCTCCGTACAAAAGATTGTTGCAAACCGGTCGCCTGTGCGCGCGCGTTGTGCCCATAAAACCTACAATTCCAGCAGACGTGTGTTAAGAGTTGTGTGTTTGTGCCGTAGTCGCGCGGATACAGCTTGTATCGTGGGTGTGGCCGTTGAGGACTGCGCGGTCCTTAGCATGTCTGGGATGACCGTAACATGTACGACAACTGTACAGCGGTTTGCAAAGTGTCGAAGAATGGTTTTGGTTTTTGGGTTATAATACAGTGTGGTTGTGCAACTTGCGTGTGTCTATTGGCTTATTGCACGGCGATGCAGCTCTCCTGCTGGTCAAGGGAAGGACGTTACGTTCCAGACGGTGCTGTCGTCACATGGACCTGCGCTATGCAAGGCCAGCTATCGTGTAACAAATATGGCAACCACGATTGTGTTCGTCTGTACACGTTCGATCCCTAGAAGGGTTTAAGGATCATGGGGACGAAAGATTGTATAGGCAATAAGTACAGGTAGTCAGGTTAGGCGCCGGCGTCTGTGAGTAACCCAGCCAGCAGCCAAGACGAGCCACAAGGAAAGGTTGATACCAGGGGGCAGGCACTGATTAAATATGCATTCTTATCACCAGCCCATCCGCTAGCATGCATGCAACAGCAGCCGCCCGTATATCCAGTTCCGAGCGAGAAGGCATGCTCTTAGTAGGAGCATGGAAGTCATCGTCTACGACCCATGCGTGCAGGGAACTCCTCCTCTGCAAATGCAGCAACACAGCCCCAGCACCTCCCACAGCAATTCACAGCGAAGCAAGGGCCTGCGCGTCACTCCGTACAGCACTCCAGTCGAGTTGTGTCCGCCAAAGGGCTCCGCAGCCGCCTAGGTCCCCAGAGCCCGAATACACAGCTATGGAGACAATCGAAGCCCCAACCCGGCTGGGGCAGCCCTGCCAGTGTTCACCCTTCCTTCCTGCAGCACAGTGGGGCGCTCGGCATCCCAATACCGCAGCCGTCTCCGTACCGCGACACTCACTATACCCATTGCCACATGACCTAAAGGACGCATACAAATCCCTGATGCTGCACTATGACAGCTCTTATCAGGCTCCATCTGTCCCAGTATGCGCCCTCCTCCCTCCCTCCAGTCAGTTTTCCTTACTTCATCCTCCCGCCTCCCTTCTCCCTCATGCGTTGTCCACCTCGTACTGCAGGGTGTCCGACAGCACTGCCATGCGGGTGAGCTCCTCACGCTGCTTGGTCTTCACCTGCGGAGGAAAGCGAAACGGCAATGGCTGGAATCGGGGGAGATAACGCAGCTAATACGGCAACAAGGGGGAAGATAAGGCCGCTAGTAAGGCAACAAGCACATCGCATGCGCTCGCCGCACTGATTCAGCGCCTCGTTCGCCATTTGTGCTGCTCATGACCCGCGGGTCGGTCGTTTATCCGAACGCCGTAGCCTACCCCGGCGACCCACCTCGTCGATCGCCTTCACCGCGAACACGGTTGCTAGCAAGCTAAGCAGGAAGCAGAAGAAGATGAAGGTGGCGGAGGCGCGCTCAAAGGAGGTGAGCTTGGCGGGCTCACCGGCGTACCTGATACCCACGTCTTTAAGGGACGGAACAGGGAAGGAGGGTTGGTGAGATGAGAAGGTGCAGACTGGTGCAGGTGAAGGGGTACCAGCCAACACTAACCCAAACACCTCTCAGCTTCTTCCCTCTTCCTCCCTCTTCTTCCCAGCAGCTGAACCTCGGTTTTGGCACCGCAGACCTCGCTACCCAAACCCGCACCCGCGCCCTCACCATCACAGCCCTCTCCTCTTCACCCATCTCCTCTTCCCGCACCCACCCGTGCACAAGTCCACAAAGGCATGGAAGGCGATGACCATCTGCGCCGCGTTGTAGGAGAAGAACGCAATGATCAGTTCCCGCTGCGCGTTGATGACACCCGCTAGTCCGAAGATCGCAAACATGTTGTTGGCTATGGAGAGGTAGTAGGAGAAGCCCATGGGTGAGCGGAAGTCCAGGGGCGACTCATAAGTGGCAACGCGGCTGGAGACGCTGGCCGACTCGTCGGTCAAGTTGTCGTAGTAATAGGCCTGGGGCGGTGTGGGTGGGAGGGAGAGGAGGGGAGGGAGAAATGGGACAGAGGGATGCGGTGGGGCGGTAGGGGCCAGGACCTCATGAAAGGCTTTAATATTTTGGGTTGTGCAACGTCAGATGCAAAACTCCACGGCTGGCGCTTAGGGTGCCGATGAGGTTGAAGTACTGGACGTTTGACCAAAGGTCACCATCCTGCATGCGGGTCGTCCATGGGCTGGCCAACAGCGCCTACTAGGGCCAAGCATCTCACAAAAACCCAGAATTACGGTACCCTGCCGTTAGTCAGTTTTCTCCAAACAGTACACTAGCACGCTAACATGTCAGACGAAAAGCAACGGTTGATCGACAGGCGACGTGACAGAAGATCAGCTTAGGTATATATCCTCGTTTAAAGAGTCAATAGAACACCATGTCATGAGGGCTTCTTTACCAGCATCCCTATAAACGGTTAGGCCCGCAAAGCCATGCACTCGCGCAAGCTTTTCTCCACAGACAGGAAGGCCCCTACCTTGTAACCCTCGTAGACTGGAAAAGGTAGCAGCCGTAATATGTTTGGGTGTATTCAAAGGAGAACGGGACGTGTAAGCGGTAGAAAGATGGTAAAAAGAAGTTGGCGCCCAGCGCACCTCCAAGTAAGCAGAGGCCCACTACCAATTGGCATGCCGAAATACAAAGAACGCCGCTCCCGCTCCGCATTTTTGTGCTTTACTTAGCAACGCGTCTTACAACTTAGCTGTCGCAAGCTTGGTGTTCTTAGTTCTTGCAGGGATTACCTACAGTAGTACTTATGTGACGCTAGGCGAAAAACAGTGCAGTGCTATGCGTACAGCATAGCAAACTAGCTCCGGACACTTTTTTGGTTGATGCCGTACCGGTACCGTCAGTCGTAACCTTGCGCCTCTTAACGGCATCTAGTGCCTCTGAGGGCCGGCACACTGCGGTAATGCAACAGACGACGCATGCCAACAATTGCAGCCTAGCAAGCATGCCTGTGCATGTCCAGCTTTTCAGCATGAATTGTGTGCTCCGGGATGTGATGGGTTCCGACAGCGATCAAGCCACAACGCCACCGCCCAAGCCATGCATCCTCCTCCATGCTTTGCAAAACAACCTTACATTCCCAAGCCTGCAGTGCCAGGAGCCTCGTTGAGGCTAGGCCAGTCCGGTGTGCCTAGGCGTCCCCGTCCCCATGACCGCTAACCAGCCTCATCGTTATCGTTACAGTCCTTTACGAGCCTCAGTGCCTATTGCATAACAATGTCGAGGTCGCCATGCATCATACATATCGAATGCGCGAGTCCAAAAAACAATGCGGAACCATGCGGCAAGCATGCACCGCATGTGCGGAGCTGCTCCTCTATCTAACCCGTTCACTCAGCAACTACTCGCCAACAGTTTGCAACGAGGCCGTAAGCTTGCACCCTACACAACTACACGACACAACAAAACAGTTGAATGACGTATATGGTGATGTACAGAGTGGCAAACCAATACTTCGTGACACCTAGCAGGGTGGTAGGGTTGGGTTTTAGGGAACCATTGTGACGTCCACTCATTCACCCAGCAGCATGCGAACTAACATCCCTACCATTGCCGGTAGACAGTTACGCTTCAGCAGTTTCAAAGCAGGCGTGGCACGGCCGCCACATCCCCTGCCAGTCAACGCCGACAAAATCCACAGTCGGTCAACACCCTCCTCAAGAAGCGGTACACACGCTCCTCAACGTACACATGCAATGGGCTCTTCTGCATGCACAATACACAGCAGTCCTTTCACGGCGATGGATGGGGTCGTAGCCCCAAGGAGCAGATCCTCAGTAAGCCTGATGCAGAATACCAATCCCAGTCAACTCTCTTCCGGTTCCCAATCCCCTTGCCGCCAACATGACGTCACGCCCACAGCAGCACAGCCCCTCAGCTACCTCCAGGGTTGCCCATACACACCACCTCAGCTCACGCCTCAGGCTTCCAGCGGAGGGAAAGCTCCCGACAGCTACACACACGTAGTGGGGACTTCATCTTCCGACATCCCAGTATGTTCCTACTCGCGGCCAGTTATTTTAACACACGTAACGCTGTCGCGCCCACGCGCACCGGCTTGCACACCTAACGCCACTGGGGTCCACACTGGCAACGCATGCAGAGCCCCGCCAGCCGCCGTACACCTCACATCATCGCTCGTACGGCGCAACCCTCATCCAGCCATTACGCGCCCCCCCCACGCTCATAGGTTGCTTCTTCACACCTCTACCATCCACACCTCTACTACTACTCTTCACGTCTTCTGGCAATCACCGTGGCCACAACCGCTGCAACGGCGGCACGCGCACCGGATACGCACGCACCACACCCGACCCCAGCCCCCTCTCGCAGCGTATTGAAAACACCAGGCTTGACCCCTCCTCACCGCCGCCGCCGGCTGCACTGTCGCCCGCACCTTCACTGTCACTGCATCCATAACCACCGCCGCTGCCGCTGCTGTTGCTGGCCCCCTGCGCCACCTCACACCAGTTTCGCTCGCCGATAAGCAGCAACCCCTCATTTGGGTCATCAGCCACAGCAGTCCGCACCATCGCCGCCGAAGCATGCACCTGTACTGGCTTGTTCTTGTCGCATTCGCCACCGCTGCTGCTGCTGCAGTTGTTGTTATTGTTGTTTGCAGGGGGTGCAGTGGGCGTGGAGATGGTTGCTGTGGTTGTGGGTGTGGTGAACGATGCGGCGGTGGCGGCGGCAGGGGCGGCGGATGAGGAGCAGGAGCAGGAGGAGGCGTTGAGCAGGGTGTTGGCAGCGCTGAGCGGCAGCATGCGAGCCACACAGTTCTGTAAGGAAGGGGGGGGGGGTCAGGAGGTCAGAGACATACCGGTACCAAAACCACAAAAGGGGGGTGGCCAAAATGAAGAGGAAAAGCTACCATGCAATCCAAAGGGGAAGCAGTGGGTGACCAGGGGGACACGGAACGGAGGGCAGCAAGGAGGGCAGGGCAGGCACGGGAAGGAACAGTTTGAACCAACGGTCCCCAGACTTCTGCCATTGGTCACCGCGATCCATACACCGTACGGCATCCGTTGTGATTCTATGCATGCACTAGACACCCTTGTTGCCACCTTGTGTTGCCGCCTGCCGTACCTCCAGAGCCGGCTTGGGCCTAGCTCCCGCGTCCCGCAGCAGCCCCAGCACAAAGTTGGGCGGCGGCACGTTGGTGATGGCGGAGCTGATGATCTGCGGGATGAACCGTGGGTCGCTCGCCAGGGCCGCGGGGTCCGGCAGACCCAAATCGACCTCCTGCTCCTCCACTGCCGCTGCTGTTGCTGCCGCTGTTGCTGCTGGCATCTCCTCCTCCTCCTCCTTCGTTTTCAGGTGCTGCTTGCCCGAGTGCCCTCCCCGTCGGGTGTGGTACAGGCCGAAGCCGGCGCAGTGCACGTCACCGCTCAAGAGCGATACGCGGAAGCCCTTCTCCTCCGCCAAGCCCTGCATACATCGGATCACACCGGGTCACACTGCACACACAGGGTCATGCACACACCGCCCTCCCGCGCCTCACCATGAGCAGCCCCAGCAGCCTGTCCCGCTCCCCCACGTGCCCCGCTGCGCCCCACTGGTCCCGGAAGTCATCCAGCAGCTCCAACTCGCCGAAGCGGGTGGGCAGCAGCCGGCCTAGCAGCCCCGTCTTGCCGGCCAGCAGGGCGGGCAGGCCGGGGGAGCCGAGCAGCCGGTCGGATAGGGACTGCAGGAGGGGTGGGGAGAGAGGAGGAGGAGGAGGAGGAAAGGCGGGTGAGGCGGGAAAGGAGGAAGGACCTAACTAACCGGATGGAGGATGATAGCATGACAGCATGCTAACACGTCAAGAAGGACAAGGCAGATGTATCAGCACGCGGAATGGGCTGTGAGGAGGAGCTAAAGGCGATGTACGGCACACAAGACGGAACCGACGTACATATGAGAGGAGATTGTATATGCCGTACCTGCAAGCATTGTACGACGTCTAATTGCGGGTAGATCGCAGGTACAGTTAGTACAACCACCACATGCTCCACTGAAGCGGGTAACGACCTCAACCGCCGCTCCAACTCCTCGTAAAACTCCGGCGGGCAGATCTGGTTAATCGTACGGAACGTACGAGTGTCCGGCAGTACGACAACGGTTTTGGATCCAAAGTACGACATGTACGAGGAGCCGCTCCAGTAACCGTCAGTCGGCGCTCGTTGTGGTGTTGTGTGATGCTGGAAGAGGTGGTAGAAGAGGGAGGCGGCTGTGAAGATACCTCGCACGATGGGGGCTTGCATGATGGGCTCGGGGTAGGAGCCCCAGCCGTCTGTGCGAGGTAGCAGGGGAGAAGAGGGGAAGGAGGAGGAGGAGCAGGACGCGGCATGGTTGGTTTTGTGGTAGGAGGGTCTCAGAAAGCCAATGGCTGCCAAAAGCTGGTGCCCGTAGCGCCCGAACACGCACTACCGAACATACAAATTGTGGCACCGTCCGGAGCGAGGCAACCCAACGCTGAGCTCCCCACCACTTGCTGCCCCTCCCACACATGCTGTCAGTACCAGTACCAGCACCAGTATTAGCGTAGCTCAGGTTACCGGCATGCGGCACCACGAACACACGCATGCGGCACCTCCCAACCACACCACTCGCCCCAACACCACCCGCCGAACATCTCGCCACACATGGGATAATATTCCTCTTTGCCCCCCCCCCCAACACCACCCACCGAATATGTCATGGTCATCCCAGGTGTTGAGTGAGGGGATGCTGGCCAGGGCCTCGCAATACACCGGCTGCAGGGAGGGTAAAAAATATATATATAATGAGACACTGACGAAGCAACTGACGAGCTGTATGACAAGGCTTCACCATGGGGTGCAAACATGGTAGGGAGGGGGGGGGCGGGTGCGGGTTACCGGTACTTCAAGCCGCGTGAGCGTGAGCGGGTGCGGGTGCGGGTTACTTCAAACCGCAAAAGTGACGGCAGGCATGGGTTACGCCCGCCATCCCTCCCTTTCCCCACCACCACTCGCCCAACTGCTTAGCCGTTAGCCCAATCTCGTGATTTCCTATTCCGGTTTGGTCTATACATCTTGTCAGACCCACCCTCCCAACCCCCCCGCTCCACCTGCCCCAGGTGCACGCAGTAGTGTGCGAAGTAGCTCTCCTCCACCTCCGCCGCCACACGCCCGCTGTACGGCAGCCCCACCCGCGCCGCCGCCTCCGCCGCGCTGCCCGCCGTGTCCCAGCCGCGCAGCTGCGGGCAGGCGAACACGGAGTCGTTGTACAGCTGGTCACCGCCTGGGTCAAGTGATGGAGCCACAGGGTGGGCGGGGAGGGGTGGGACGTGGGAGGGGAGTGGGTGAGGTGGATGAGGAGGTGGGAGGTGGGAAAGAAGGTTCGGTTTGCTGGCGTGCTCAACATCACGATACCGTGTGGCTTTTGTAGCTCTCCAAGGCATTACTCCAAGGCCGATCCGAGGACTCCCCATACCGGTACCTCCCGCCCTGAACCCACACAACAAGGAAGGGCACCTCACCTCCCACCAGCGCGTGAAAAGGCTGCACCGCGTGCCGCCGCATCACGTCCCTCCACAGCGGCTGCACCCCACCGGTGCGCTCCCGGTTAGCGGGGCTGTCCAGCCCGTTGCAGGTGGTGAAGGCCCAGTGCCAGCAGCTGAGGTGACGGGGCGGTACGGCAACCGTGAAGGTGCGGCCCGGAACCAGATCCAACTGTACGGATGTGTGTGTGTCGTGTACGGGAACGTGTCGTACGTGGGAAGAGGGAAGAGAAGGGTGTGGGGGGAGGGGGTCAAGTGCCGTCATGTCATATCATGCAGGGAGGGAGAAAGGGCCCGGAAGGGGTAAATTTGCGGATAGGAAGGGGGCTTTGTGGGGGGTCTAGCTTTTTGCGCATGCACGTCCTACTACGGTAGGCCTGCCTACCGGCAGTTTTCCCTCCTCCGGAAACCCTAACTCCTCCATGTGCCTCCATGAAGCAACTCAAGAACCCGCCCCCTTGTCGTGCCGCTACCTACCTTGTACTGCAGCTGTTTGGCCGCCGTACCGCACGTGGTGCGGAGGCTGAAGCGCCAGAAGTGCCAGTCCCTCCAGTCGTACAACAGCTCGCCAGCTGCCGTACAACAGGAGGAGGAGGAGCTGTCGTACCAGGCATCGGCAGCGGTGGGGGAAGGTGAGGAAGAGGGGAAAGGGGAGGTGGGGAATGATGGGGCGTATGGATGGGAGGGAGGGGAGGAGGAGGCCGGTACTGGTGCCGCAGCGCTAACCGGCGTTGTCGATGTCAATACGGGTGCTGCTGTTGCGGTTGCTCCTGGATTCCGTACGTCAGCTGGTGGTGGAGTGGTGTTGGTTAATGCGGCCGTTAGAGTTGGTTTTGTGCGTTGTGCTGCTTCTTGAGGCGTTGTTGTATGTTGTGGTGGCTCCCTTGTAGCTGCTGCAAATGCCGTTGCTGCTGCTGCTGCCGCTGCTTCCTCAGCTGCGATGGAGGCTACCGATGTCATCTCCACCAATTCTACCTTGCTGGGCGTTGGCCTGCCTTGCGTGTCAGCCTTGCCAGCTGTTGCATCCGTTTTCCTCATCCCTGCTGCTGCTGCTGTGACCTCGGCTGTTTCCGCTGCTATAGCAGCAGCAGCAGCGGCCTTTGAGGCAGCAGAAGTAGTTGCCGCCGCCGCAGCGGCTTCCTCTGTTGCTTCAGCTGTCGCCGTTGCTGAAGCCGCAGAAACATTAGCACCTGCAACCCTCCCACCACCATTACCACCACCACCGCCGCCACCGTCAACACCACGGTTAGCTCCAGGATTGTCGCCCGGATGGACGTCACGCCAGTAAATATACGGCACCGTGCGATGCTGCTGCTGTTGCTGCTGCTGCGGCGGCGGCTGCGCTCCCACTGCTTGAGCCTCACCACCACCACCACTACCGCCGCCGCTCTCTTGATCTAGTAACCCCTGCTGGTGGTGCTGCGGCTGGTGGTGCTGCTGGTTAGCTTCGTGGAGGTGCGCATGGGGACCCTGCGGAACGGTCTCCTGCTGCTGGTCTGAACGCCGGCGGTGCAGGTGCAGGTGCCTTGGTAGGTGGTGCTGGTGCTGGTGCTGCTGTGGTGATTGCGGCTGCAGCAGCCGTTGTTGGGCGGCTTCACTGCATACTAACAGCGCTGAAAGCTGGAGGGCACCCGAGGCAGGATCGTACGATACGAGTTTGAGGAAGGGGCCGAAGACGTCGCGGCCGTCTAGGGCTGATAGGGTGTAATGTGGCAAGAAGACGTTGGGAGGTGGTGGAGGGACGCCGTTGTTGCGCCTGTTGGTGACGCGGGGTGGTTGGGAGGGGTGAGAAGGGAGGGAGCAGCAGGGATGATGACGGGCCACCCATCCGTCAGGGAGTGCAGAGAGTCTTCGTAATCGATCTGGCACACAGGTTAAATATGCTCACACGGCAGCTGGTGCAACGATTCTTAGACCTACCTGCTGGGCGCACACCCCATCGCTCTCCTGGCAAAGCGGCGCGATGGACCCCGAAACCACCGCCAACTGCCACTTTGCTATGCGCCAGACCGAGCTGCCGAGGAGTGTCGCGGAGACGAAACACGAAAGGCTATGGGTTCTTCTTCATTTCTCATTAATGGCTTCAACGCCCATTTCCGGACGTATAAGGCAGGGGCACCGTAGTTTACCAGAAGCGTAACGAAGCGCCTTGGTCATAGAAGTGTTGTAATGGTATTTCACTGTATAGCCATTCTAAGGATGGATGCAGGTTGACAAAGAAGTTCAGCTTTATTGCGGTACGCATTGCCTTGTCAACGCCTCACGGTCGGCTTCGCAAGCTGCTATGTAGGATGTTTGTCGACTATACCATGGCCAAGAGCTAGTTAGTGGAGCTATCCGCAATTAGGGCTGCGAAACCGAAACCAGCAGACCACCGGCAAGCCGTACAGGTACATACAATATATGCGGCACGCAAGAAGTGCCCGCCAGTGCTGCTGATGGTTGTACAAGTTATGTAAGCTTGGTCTGGTTAGGACAGTCCATGTTAAAGCCAAACAAGCTGTCACATCCTACTGCTGCTGCTGCCGCTGCCCCGCTGTCCTCAGCAAGTACCTCCTCAGCACCTCCAAACACTCCGGCAAATCCCTCCGACCCACCCCGATCCTAAAATGCCCCCGCGCCTCACTTGCCGCATGGTCGTACACGCTCGCAGGCAGCAGCAGCACGCCGCAATCCCTCACCACCCGGTCGCAAAACGCCTCAATGCCCTCCTCCGCCTCCCCTTCCTCCTCCTGCTTCCCCTTTGTGCCGCTCCCTCCTCCATCGCCCTCCTCCTCTGTCCCCTCCTCCTTCGACCCCTTGCCACCTCCTGCTCCTCCCTTACCCCCCGCTCTGCCCCCCAGCCACCTGGGGAAGGCCACCGAGCCGGCAGCAGGCGGGCAGTAGGCGAAGGTGTCCCCAAACTCCCGCATGAAGGCTGCCAGGACCGCCAGGTTGGCGCGGATGAGGGCCATGTTGCGAGCCAGGATGTGCTCGCGCGCGCGGAGGGCCATCAGGCCCAGCACCTCGCTGGGTGCGGAGTTGCAGATGGTGGTGTAGTCCTTGAGCTGCGCCACACGGTCCAGCAGCTGCTGCTGCAGCGCGGGCCGCACCGCCAGCCAGCCGATCCGCAGACCCGGCAGACCGAACGCCTGCGAGCATTGGGGGGCAAGCAGGCACGTGTTAATAGAGCATGCATGCATACATGTGATAACAGAAGTGGCATGCAGGTATGCATGTGATAAGGCAACTAAGCCGCGTAACTGAGCTCACCACAGTTGCCGGTCACGCGACGCGCGTGCGTGTGTGTTGTGCGCCCGTGTGCGGTGTGCTTGGGTGTTGAACTTTGGTTTGGACAAGCGCTAATGAAAAATGCGTTTACCGTATGTGGGATTATCCCCGGCCCCTGTGTCGTACCTTTGAGAGGCCGCTGAGGGTGATAGCTTTGTCGTACAGGTCCACGGCACTGGGCAGCCGGGATGCGGGGTCCAGCTCTGTGTTTTGTGGGTTGCAGGGAAGGTGTGGGCGGGTTGGTGGGGGGTGTAGGAATGGGTGAAGCATGTGGTTACTGGGTGAAGCTTGAGGAGGAGGGGAGAGGCCCCCGCCTTGACCACCTACCACCCGCAGCTATGCTCTCTGGCCACTCCGCCCTGCCCCAAAACCCCAAAGCACATCGCCCAGGTGGCCCCAACACGCCCCAACCCCCCGCCCAGGCGTACCCATCAGCCGATACATCTCGTCGCTGAAGAGGTGGCAGCCCACCGCCTTGCATGCCGCCACCAGCTGCCGCCACTCCGTGACGCTGGGCAGGAAGCCGGTGGGGTTGTGCGGGAAGTTCACCACCAGCAGCCGAGTGGAGGGTCGCAGCAGAGACTGCCGGGAAAGGGAGGGGAGAAGCGGAGAAAGGGGCGAGATGGGGCCGGGAGGAGAGAGGATGGGGATGGGGATGGGGATGGGGAAGCGGCTGGTAGGAAGGAGACACCGTGCAGCTCCTCCAGCACTTGTAGCGTTGTAGGCGTGCAGAGGTATGGTCCTATGCGGTAAGGTCCCCAACATCCTGCTCCACTCCCCACCTGCAGCCTCTGCCTTCCCACCCCACCCCACAGCCCCCACCTGCAGCCGCCGCACATCGAATCCCGCGCTGCCGTTCCCCCGCAGCTCCGCCTCCCACAGCTCCACCTCGCAGCCCATGCTAGCAGCAACCTGGAACAGCGACTGGTAGCCCGGGTACGTGACCACCTGCGGGAGGGCGTGTGCGGGAGTGGGCGGGTGTGCGGGTTAAGAACACCGGCAGTGTGTGCCAAGAAAACTGGCCGCGAGTAGGAACGTACTGGGATGTCGCGTGTGTGTACGTGTATGTCGTACGGCATCGCATTGGGTGTACAGCACACCTTTACAGGCTGTTGTGAAGTACACTTGTACAGCGATGAGGAGTCCCGATCGGGCTGTGTTACGTAAGCCGCAGCCCCATCATCCAGGCCCTAGCCCCTCCCCCCGCTGCCCCTCCCGCAGGGCCCCCCAGCAAGGCTCACCCCGACTCACCACATGGTCTCCCGGCTGCAGCAGCGCCCCCATGGCTAGGTAGATGCCTGCATGGGGGGGGCACGCATGGTGGGGTGCGGACATGCATGCGGACATGGGGACAAACCGGCCCAGATCCGTACGTCGCACCCGTACAAGGTACATATGTCGGCTTTGGCTTCCCATGACATCCTTAGGGACCCGTCCGGCCATACCCTTAGCCATACTTACACTCCTGGGGCGCGCACACAATGACGCCCTCCGGATCCACGTGATCGTACAGTTTGGAGATCTCTTGCCGTAACTCCTGCGCAATTGTATGCAACGCCGTACATTCCAGCGAGTCAATACCGACAAATGAACTGCTTACGGAAAAGAGCCCACGCCCTGCAACGCGCATTGCGCGATACCCCGCGCCGTACCGGCATGCCTCTCGTCTCGCCGTACCCAAGCCGCAGATTATCCCATCTGGGTCGGGACGAGGATCAGAAACGAGAAACGGAGGGGCGTCAGGGTTTGGATGACGATCAGAATTGGAGTGGTAGCCCCACAATTGGAGTGGTACCTGCTCCTGCTGTCGTCACCACCCCGCCCGCCCCCACCTGCTCTTCCTACCGGTACCTTTCTCCCACCCCCACCTGCTCCTTCCCCCTACCCCCACCTGCTCCTTCCCCCTACCCCCACCTGCCCCTGCTGTCCTCATCCGCCAGGCCCAACAGCTCCTGCAGCGGCAGCGGCTCGCAGTCGGAGCAGCACAGCAGGTGCGGCGCGGAGAACTCCCAGCGGGCAAAGTAGCGCTGGGATGCAGGGCGGGGCGGGGCGGGGGGGGGATTGATGAGGTTGGGGTCAGGGTTGGGGTTGGTTTGGGTTTGGGGGAAGTGGTAGCGGGTAGGGTGAGGCGACCAGGAGAGGAGGTGTTGGGGGGAAGGAGGGTGCAGCATGGGGGGGAGGTGGTGGTAGGGAGGCGAGAGGGAGGGAGGGGGCAAGGGCATGGGGTCGGTGATAAGTAATTGGGACTAGTGAGGTGTTCGGGATCTGGGTCGACGATACCGGTGGCTGAGGGGCATGCATAAACAAATAAACATGCATTGCTGGGCCGCCCAGGGGGCTGCTTACCTCGAGTTTAAACGCGGGCAGGGTCCCCGCCTGTGGGGTGGTAGCCTTGGTACGTGTGCATGTTAGGGAGGGAGGGGAGAACCAGGGAATGGTAGGATAACGGATAAGGCTGTGCATTGGGGTCGGAGTGATTGCACCCCGACAATTAATTTTTATACCTTTGTCATGCTAATTGTTGGGCACGTCTGCTTTCCAGCGGTCTCCGCCTCGGTAGCTGGTGCTGCTGCTGACATGCTTACAGTCGCTCGCAACCAACAGGTATAAGGTCGTGATACAGCAATTATAAAAGTTCCCAGATATGAATGCACATTTAATGCGTAACTACAAAAATTCACTGGAGGTTAAGGCTCGAACCCAATGCCTAATACGAGCCGAACCCGCTCAGCTCAGGCGACTCCTAAAAATACCGGCGTGGATGTGTCGGCGACTCGTTACTGTGTATTGTGATTACAACGCCGAAGGGTTTAACTCTTACCCAATTGCTGGAAACATGCAAGGAAACCGCCTTCGGAGCCGGCGGACAGGATCCGAAGCAGGATCAGGATTCAGGATCCAGGAACGCGCTCGCTTTCACGTACTTCCGGGCTAGGTACGTCGCAACCTGCACGCCCCAACGTGGGTGATCTGCCTCCCGAGGGGCTGGCAAGAGCCTTGCGTCTGTCTTGGTACGGATTTTGAAAATGCCGACCAGACAGATGGCTTTAAGCACCAGGCGTGCAAACTCACGTACTGAAGCTGCAGGCTCCACATCAGGCGACTGCTTAGTCGTGGATGGAGCCATTCTGCTGCAACCGTGGCCATGGCAGACCCTGCCCCATGGAGCTTCGCTCAAGGACGTGTCAGGACATGTATAGGTCAAATTTTGCGTTAGCCCCAAATGCGCATAAAACGCAAATATGTACCGGTACACATGGCGTGCCCACCTCAGCAGCATCAATTGTCACGCTGCGGCCGTAACAGGGACATCGCCGGGCATCGCCATGCCGTCCTTTAGCGCCTCCCAAGGGATTTACTGTCCAACACCATGACTGTGTCACCACCGCTTCACGCGGCATCCCAACCCATCCTAAAAAGGATCACAACAGCAGATATGCCGCTAGTAAAAAGACACCTACGAGCCGTGCAAGGGTAACCGCCCTGCCCCTTTCCCTTGCGCCTCATCTACCCTAAGACTCATGATCGTTATCCCATGTTTCCCGCGGCCCTCCAGTTTGGCGGCGCTAACGGCCCTCCCCTCACGAAAACCGTACGGTAATCACCAACAGCAGCATGCCACATCCAAACGAAACCAGACATAAGTATAGCAAAGTATGAAGTGCCGCGCACTGACATCCATTTGTTCAATCAAGACCCCGGAATTACAGCCCCCCTCGCCAACATCACCAGTTTGCGTGCACGTAGAATTACCTGGTACACATGTTCCCTCGCTCCTATGTGCAATCAAGCCAATCAGGATAGGACCTATGTACGTTGCCAAGCTCACATCGCTCGGTCCCCCCTCACCCATCCCTCATCCATCCCTCACCCCTCCGTGCGGCCCCCGCACAAGTCATCCCGTGCCATCGGCCCCACACCCTCCCTCCTCCCCAATCCCGCTGGTCACCCCTCCCTCTCTCCCTCCCTCCCTCCCTAGTCACAGCAATCCCTCCCCTCACACTCCCCCTCCCTCCCCTGCCCTCCCCCCCTCACGACCCCGAGTCCTCGTCCTGGTGCATGAAGTTCTCTCGGTAGTTGTAGTCGTAGAACTGCTTCACGTCCGACAGCATGGAGAAGAAGATGCCGCTCATGCCGCTGGCAGCCAGGTCCTCCGCCGTGATGCGGGCGGTCACCTGGGGTGGGGTGGGGTGGGGTGGGGGGGGGGGGCGGCGCAGGGCAGGTGGAGAAAGGAGAAGGGGAGGCAGCGAGGGAGCGGCAGAGATCAAAGGGAGCACAGCAAGGTCTTTCTATGCGCGCGATGCCAGCATGGGCTACCCCACTTCCCTGCATCACGTTAACCCTGCGCGCACACACGCGCAGGGTTAACGCGTTCCTACTCGCGGCCAGTTTTCTTAACACACACCCTCGGTAAGTATCTTGAGTTGCGTGCTTCTAGGATAGTGTCTCCGAATGCGCTCACTGCATGAGTCGGGATGTGGGATTGGGACGCGTTGCTACACTTCAAAACATTTTTCCCCCTGCCCCTCGCCCACCTTGGGTTTGATCATGTCCAGGATCTCGTCCACCACGTCGTATATGGACAGGTCGGCGTACTCGTGCATCACGTGGACCCACATGTGGTGGATCTCCTTGAAGAACGTGTACAGCTCGGCGGGCGAGATGTAGCCCTGTGGACGGGAGGGGGGGGGGATGCAGCCAGGGGACCAAGAAGAAACCAACCCGTTGTAATGGAGGGCAAGGCAATAGATGGGCGGCCAGGGGGGGGGGGCGGGGCCATGGACGAGGGGAATGCAGCCAGGGGTCAGGTGCATGCATGCACTTCAGTTGCTAATGTGTTCACCTGTTTCTTGAGGTCGAAGATATCGAAGAAGTACTTGATGGCCGCGGGGTTGGAGCGGTGGTCCCATGCAAGCACGAAGTCGGTGAAGGCAAGCAGGTCCATCTCGTCCCTGCGGGGGGGGGGGCGCGGGCACACACATGGAGCAGTACGTTCACAGTACGTTTCACCTCGCGGCCAGTTTTTTTAACACACATGAACGGACTTCATCTTCCTGCAAACACAGTACGTTTCGCCTCGCGGCCAGTTATTGTGTCGCACATGAACGGCCAGTTATCTTAATACACATGAAGGTTTCTTATCACACATGAAGGTTTCCCAACACATGGAGGAGGCGGAGGGCGAGGCTCAAAACCCTGGTGGGCCATGCAAGATAGACGAGTCGGTATCTAAACACTGCGCCCCTCCCCCTGGCCCTCCCACTTCTCGGTTCTCGCCCTATGCCCTCCACATGTGCCCAGCCCTCCTCCCTTCTCTTTGACCCCCTCCTGCCGCCCCCACCTGTGCACGTTGCGCCCCTGCATCACCCGGCTTCGCATCACATGCTCCTCAAAGATGCGGCCGATGAAGAGCTGGCTCATGGTGCCGTTGCTGATGGCGCTGAACTCCAGTCGGCTGAGCAGGTTGTTCATGTCCTCATCCAGCGCCAGGAAGGTCTTGTACACGCGCTGGGTTGACTGCGGGGGTGGGGAAGGGGGAACAGGGACTTCTAGCACACGGCTGGAGGATGGGATTGCGCGTGTACCAGGTAGTCAGGGTTTGTTGGGCTCGCGGCGGTAAGGGGTCAGGGAGCAGGGTCCAACGGCACTCCACCTCACCTGGACTGAGAACCAGTTGGAGATGAGCTGGTGCTCTTGCAGCTGGCTGTGCTTCAACTCGTTAAGCTCCTGCACACGTGGGAGGGGGTCAATTTTTGGACCAATTAAAACCATATAAAAACAAAAAAAGGAAAAAGCAGGGATTCACTAGGCAGAGGCGGGGGGCAAGGGAAAATGTGTACAGGGTTACAAGAAACCGCGCATAGGGGGGGCAAATCGGCAAAACACAGTAGAAGTGGGACACTAAACCCCCTATCGGTAATCCCTCCTCCGCCCCCCACCGACAGTGCGAAATCTCAATCACTCAGCACTCAGCCATATAAGGGTACTACTAACCCGACGAACCCTACACTACCCCGCCCCCGCCCTACCTGCAGCACGATGCTGTTGACCAGGTCCTTGATGCGCACGCAGCCGTTCTTGCCGTGGAAGAACAGCAGCTTGCGCACCGCGATGCGCCCGTAGTGCTCCAGGAAGCTGGGCTGCAGGGAGGGAGGAGGGGAGGAAGGAGAATACCCAGTGTGTTGAATGAGGATAGGAGAAAGGAAGAATACCCTATATGTTGAATGAGGATGACCCAATGAACCCAATATGTTGAATGAGGATGGCAAACAAGCCGACGAGCTCCTGGTGAATGGTTAAACCAAGTTAGTCGAACCGAACCTGCCACATAGGCTACAGGGAGGGGAGGGATGGGTTGGGTGCCAGGAAGAAGCGAACGAACCGCAGGATGGGGGTGGGAGGATTGGGTAGTAGTGAGTGAGTTGGGGGAGGTGGGAGATGGGGTTACCCTTGGTGGTGCGCCAACCGGGGTCTACCGAGCTCCATACAGGTAATGCTAGAGAGGGATCCCTTCGGGCATGAAAGGTGGATTACAGGATAGCGGTATGTACTGCTGCTGCTTCTCTTGATGATGATGATGATGATGATGATGATGCCGTAGCAGGGAGGGTCAAAGACCATACCGAACCATAGGAAACCACAGAAGGAAGGTCATGGTCGGCGACCCACATCGAGGTAAGGACAGGTGGAGGCAACAACACCAGCATATGAGCTTGCAGGAGGGCAGAAGTAACGGTGCGGAATGGGGGCCACCAACCGCGCCGGCGCATGTTACGGCAAGGGCATCCGAGCCCCGAGTCCCTCACCCCGCGGCTGAGGAGCTGTGGAGGAGCTGCAGGTGAGCATGAGAAGGGCCCCGAACCGTACCCCCCGCCCACCTGCATGCTTTCGAGTGCGGGCGTGTGCGGCACCAGCGACTTGACGAACGCCTCCAGCTGCTCCGTGCTGAGGCTGCCCGTGTTGTCGGGGTCGAAGGCAGCCAGCTCCAAACGCTGCAGAGGGTGGGAGGTGGTTCAAAGACCATACCGAACCATAGGAAACCGCAGGTTAGGGCAAAGCAATGTGGATAGGAGGCGGCAGGGCGCTGTAATACGGGGGGTTAATATGGAAACAGAATCCGCAAACATAATACGGGGGGAGGGAAGTCAGGAAGAGGGAGGGGTTGGGTTAACAGCTGTAGCGATTATCCATGGGGCTACCGGCAGGGTATGAACGTCGCTAGCATTCCTAGAGAAGGCACCGGGGTTCAGGGAGCCCTTATATGTGGCTCACTGCATCTCACCCCTTGGAATTCCAGTGCCTCGTTCACTCCTTCCACTTCTCCTTTCCTTACACCCTTTGCATCCTACCGTTACCCACGTTTTGGTGCATGGTGGTTCGCAGGTTGAGGTAGTTGCAGAACTGGTTGGCGGAGATACAGCCGTTGGTGTCTCGCTCGAACTTGAGGAACACGTGCGCCTTGAAGTAGGGCTCGATCTGGGGACCGAAACACTCACGACACTGCGTCAGGACCTGCAGGAGGGCATGTGGGTGGGTTTGACGATTAGGAGCGGAATCTTGTTGGCTCATGTGCATGAATGGGTGGAATTTGATGGTGGCATAAGCGTGCCGGAAAGGGACAGCTACAGCTGCACCTTGTTGCGCCGCTTGCCCCCCCCCCAGGCACTCTTCGTGCAGTCGTTCGCTCTCCTGGCGGTTACCCTGCCCCGTCCCTCACACCGTTCCCCGACGATCCACATCCCGCCCCGCCGCTTTTGTTAAGCATCATCCCCTTCAACACCGCGTCATGCAGCCGTTCCCATCTCCTCTCCCCACTCCGCTCCATCACCGGCCTCTTCAGACGCCGCCACACAGCCTCCCTATTCCCTTGCCCTCACTCGTGGCTTCCACTAGCACGGGTTGGTCCCTCTTCGAGCCCCACACAGCCGCGCACGCACCTGCGAGAATCCATCGTAGTTGATTCGCACCTCCTCGCCCTCCTCCGCGTTTCCGCAGCCGTGTTCCTTCATCATGAACCAAATCTGACCCAGATCCTCCTCCGATAGCAGCAGCGTGCTCTGAGAGTGGCCGTACATGCACACAGCAGGGGTGGGAGGGACGGGAGGAGGGACGGAGAATGGAGTCGGGGGCATGCAAGGAAGGTAAGGGTGTGCATGCAGGCATGCCTACATGGCGAAGGTGAAGGATAGGGTACTGGGGTCCGCACGGGCAGCGTGGACTGGCGTGAATCAAGTTGCGTGTAACCCTGTGTGCGAACGTTTGCCGTCCTGCGTACCTGCTCCTTTCGGTGCTTAGCCTCTCGTCGCACAAGCGTGGCGAGGGATTGCGGCTTTGCTTTCTGCGAGGAGGAGCGTAGCTTAGCAACATACGACTCACCAAGGCTTTGTTGAGGTTTGGCGTACCGGTTTATAGAAGGTGGGTATAGAGGAACCTCTTCGTTTGTCCAACTCATATTGCTCCAGGATACTCGTGACGTGGATAAGGACGTCTTGTTCTGTCGCATCGCATGCAGTCCAGTTGAGCTTGCAGCGGTCAAGCAGTGAGACACCCGCTTTATGAATCTTCTCACCTAATTCATCGTTTGTTTTGTCAGACTCAGGGTGAGCCTTTGCATAACCTTGAAGTGAAGACAGCAGCATTCTAATTGTTGAACAGAGTACAAAGCAAACCACCTGGGTGCAAGCGGGTGTTCCCAGGCGGCTCTAGCTACTCCTTTGAAAGGAATAGCTTCAGCCGTAGGGCGTCTTCAGGAAGCATGTTCTTTTACTGACTAAGCGACTGCTCGCCTGTACCTACAGCAACTACGCCCTCCCTACGTAGGTTCGCGCTATGCATAGTGGCCGGAGGAGTCGATGGATTGCTTACGAAGGTCGCCTTGCGTGATGGGTGACGGTTGATTAAAAAGCTGGCGCTGGACATATCGTACCGCAGCAGGTTGACCGGTCACTTTAAACGGTTCTTTACGGTGGTAAGAGGACAACGAAGTCCCGCACAAGCCGTTATGTGCTTGAACTTGTCCCGTCCGAGGCTTCCACTTCCTGCTTTCATACCTGAGTACGATTTTATGGGCAGAGACCTTGCCTGCGCTGCGTCTGCCTTCCACTGCTCTTCCCCGTGCAGCGTTTGCCATTCCCCCTGCGGTGGCTACACGCCCGGCGCACACATGCAGCTCCCGCACTGGCCAGCGTGCATGCGAGCAGGCATGCCCATATGCGCAAAGCCCAGCGGCACCCAAACGCAAGGGACAGACCGCACCGGTGCGGGACACCACGCACGCCACACCAGGTGCACCGATGGGCAGACATGGCGCAGTTCACAGCAGTTCCTAATAACATGTGTACCTTAGGAATGGGTGCAGCACGCCGGTAGGACCGGATGCCACAGAGCGGTACTGCTGTTGGGCCTCTGGGCGTACGTACAATGCGCTAAACCCATGCATCAACGCCAATGCGGAAGGGCATGCCCACCTGGCACATACACCGGCATTAGTACATGCATGCAGCCATGCATACCCGCCATGCCCAACTACCTGCGGCCATGCGGTACGCACAGCCGCCGTGGACCATGCCCAATCACCGCGCTATTGTACGCTTGCATCCCCGAATACCGACATGCATGCATGCATGCATACACTCCCATCGTAAACCACCCGCGGCCATGAGACCAGCGCAGCCGCCGCCCTGCTTATAAAGTGGCGCATATGCGAGCAGGAATGGGGGCATGGGGAGGTAGGAAGTGGGCATGGGGAGGCAAGCGCCACGTGGGTAAGAGAAGCCGCATTGGGAGGGCATTTGGAGGCAGGCACTGTACTTGAAAGAGAGGCCCCGCGGTGAGTCGCAAGAGGCCCGCAAGCACGAAGCAAGGAGAAGCACGTGGGGAGGCAGGAGAGGGCAGTGGGAAACGGGTGCAGCACGAGAATCGCGCAAGATAACGTGTCACTGTTTCGCAAGGCTTTGCTCTCGAATAGGGACCTCTCATTACCTTTGCATTAGTACTGATGGAACAAGAAACGGTGGTGTTTCTCTTCCGTAGGATTCCGTACACCGCCTCTGGCGGTAAACGGGGATGCTTGCACTGCTTGCGTCAGGGTCTCAGGGAGCTATCTTGCGGCTTTTTTCGCTCACTATTGCCAAAACCGGTTTCCTCTGCAAAGAATCCTGGATGAATGACCTAGACACAAATGTTCCGTTCTTTTCTCAACCGCTACCTCGGTCAGCCGGCGATTAAGGAGAACTGAAAGCCTAAGCTACAAAGAGGCTCTTCATATAGTGATTACATGGGGAGGCATTTGTTTCGGCCTAAACTTGGTCCTGAGTTACAGCCAGCTCCAGGATGTAAAAGCAGACAACCTTGAGACTAGACGCAGTGTAATGGCCCTCAAGGAGGAGGTGACTAAGTTGCAGTCGGGGACCACGGCAGTCAAGAGCAGCGTCGCCGAGGTGAAGCGGAAGACCGCGACTATGGAGAAAGACGTGGCTTCGGTCAGGAAGAACGTGGCTGCGATCGAGAAGAACGTGGCTGCGATCGAGAAGAACGTGGCTGCGATCGAGAAGAACGTGGCTGCGGTCAAAAAGGATGTTGCGGAGCTCAAGTCCAACGTGTATAAGATAACGAAGCTCCTGGAGGAACGCTGTCACTCCCGCTGAGCACTAGCTTTGGTAAGCAACAGTTGGCGAAGTTATTTTGCAGGGTAAAATCTTTTGAGTGGGGTCCTGCAGGATAGCATGTACGTTCACCAGGGCGCCCTTCCTGCACATGTTATGCGAACTACTTGACAGGCCCTCGGTCTGCTACCCTTTGTCATTGACTTACCCTCCATCCTGTTGTGCAGGTGGCGTGGTGTTGACAACGGCTGAACTATGGCTGGACTATGGCTGTGCACAACTTCGGCAACAGCTAAAGCCTTGTAAATGGTGGACATTCCGTGGCAGGAATGGAGGGTACTGGTGTGCATGCACCAATGGGTAGTGGATCCTGAAATGGGGCTATAGGACTTGCATTACTAATGAGAAGGCATGGAAGCAGTGGTGACTAGTGTACAAGTCACCACCACTTCCATGGCTCCTCAGTTCGCAATGACTGCAGTGCAAGTCCTGTAGCCTCACTTCAAAATCCACAACCCATTAACGCATGCATGCATTCCCCTGCATACCAGTACCCTCCACTTCTGCCACAGAATGTCTACCATTGCAAGGCTGTTACTTTGCTGCACATAAGGCAACTGGTTTGTGTCGGTTACTATGAGCTGTGTAGCACTGTTGCTACAGTAGCTGTTACCCTGGCTTACAGCACGGCAACCTGGCAACAGGGGCACATGAGGTTTGGCTAGTTTAAGCCAAGGTAACTCCACTACTGTAGTAACAGTGGATTGTGGAGAGGCTGGTCGCAGAGTGTTGACGGCATTGTGAAGTTGCCTCCGTGATGGTTGATGGTTGAGAAACTGGATGTACCGTACGATTGGTACTGCAGTAGGTTAACAAGTCATGGCCATTGCTTTCACCCGGAACGCAATGGACCATTTCGACAGTTATGGTCAATTGGGTAACAGCGTGGAGCATTCTTCCTCAACACACAGTGTCCTGCCAGAGGGCGAGGTTGTGAACACCAGTAAACACAGAACCCGGCATGGCCACATCGGCCTCCTGTAGGAGCCCTTGCTGCCTGTTCCACCACCCCTGCATGCCACGATGTTATGTTCGCCTTAACAGTCGACCAAACACACGATACCCTGGTGTGCTCCTAGCAAAACCAAAACCACAAAGCCAGGGCTTGCCCGGAAAGCACGCCTCCACCGGACCCCATAGCCACCTGAAGGCCCCCTACAGCCTGCACCAGGAGGGCACGACACGCCAGCACAGCATCACTGTGCTGAACGGCGCCATCCAGCCGCAGTGGCCTCGGTTTCGGTGCAGAAGAACTTCTCACCATCCTTGAGGTCAATCCGAACCGAGTCGTAATATCGCCCGCCAGACACATGGTAAATCTTCTCCCCCTTTGCGCTAATGTTCCCCTTGATAGCAGGGCCTTTAGCGCACTGCGGAACTGGGTCGCCTCCGTTGGTGGGTGCAGTGGGGTTGGGTGTGAATGCCACAGCCGCCTGAATGGGACCGGCTTCGGAGCGCTTGTTAACCTTGCGCCATTCGCTGGGGATCTGGAACTGCCCCTGCCAGACACCCTTGCCGGCAGCGTGCGCTGCGTCCTCAAGTGGCGCGTAGGCCTTGCTGTATTCCCTGCAGCCATCAGTCCAGGGACACCGGTATGGCGGTCAAAGTGGGTCAAGTGGCCCTTGATAGGGTCGACTTAGTAAGAGGAATGACAGGCCTAACAGGGCAACTATAGGGATTGTGTTGACAGTGTTGTCGGGTCGAGGATGCGGTAGGATTTTGACGGAGGCAGGGCCCTGTGAGACCTGCGTACCTGTAGGCAACCGCGTAGCCGTTACCGACCAACCATGAGTTTAGCTCCTCCACGGTACCGCCGTTGCTTTGTAGCCCGCAAATAGATACGTTGCGGCCATACTGGTCGGTATTTTTTACATCACATTGGACAGGCGCGCTTCCAATCTTCTTAGCGAGCGCATCCTTGCTCACAAGGCCGCATGCATAAGACGCCCCGCGCGCATCAGCGCATTGCTGGGCGCTCTCAGGAGCATCTACTCCATAAAGGCGAATGCGCTCACCATTAATTACCTTGAGATGAGGGCAGACAGACAGCAGATTACGCCAAGGAAACGAGCTTCAGCGATAACAACCTAGAAATTAGACATCCTTACCAACGTATCTCCGTCTACGACACGAGCGGGGCCTGCGATGACGCTTGGTGCTGCGTGCACACTTGAGGCTAGGACGACGCACGATGCAAGCCCAGCGAACAGCGAGTGGCCCAAACTGGGGCCCGCAGATGGCGCGCTGCAAGTTACAATAAATAGGGTGTCATACTACGTGTTGATCACAGTGATCGGAAGCTGCTTGGGGTTCCTGGCATGCTTGCATCTAGAGTCGCCAACCGAACACTAATGGGAGCGCACGCACATACCTGTCAACTTGCTTTAACCCGGCCCTGCAAATTGGCTTGAAAGCGATCGTGCGGCTGCGGCGGGTTAACCCGGAGGTCGGGTGCGCCAGGGCGCGCACACGCATGGTGGACATTTCGGCTGAGAACCCTCGGGAATTTGCCTACGTACAAGAGCTTTCAGCCTAAATGGCAATGTTATGTATCTGGGCTAAAGTACTTTCACCAGAGATATAGCGAACTCACGGGGCATTGGCGGTTACCGGTAGCTGCTGCAGGAAACTACGGAGTACGGCAATCTTGGAACCCACCTCACCAGCTTTCAACGCATATCGAACAGCCACGGTTTACGCAATGTGATGGCAAGGCGTTCAGAGTTTTGCCCCTTATAGTTACCTCGTGTGTATTGTACATTTGTACTTACAATGCTTCTTACTAAACCACGTTACACCCAAGTTGGACCAAAACTTTGTCGCCAGCGGGTGCTGCCGTACCACGTAGCGACACCATAACGACGCAATTGAAGCCACTTGACCAATCAAATCCGACAAAGCATACTATAAGCCACAAGAAACGTGACATCTCGAATAATGCATACCGCCATCCCATTCACACAGTACACCGCAGTTGCAAACCCATCTCCCAACCCAGGCCCCACGCCAAAGCCAACTACGAACACCTTTAGAACTACAGAGTGCACAAGGGAAGGAAGAGATGCCGAACAATCTGCAGTCAAAGTAACACTGTCAATACCCCCGCACTCAGTTATACGGCTCGGAGCGTTAACAAACCCGCGCGAATGGGGGACCTTTTAGCGCAAGTGCCGCCAAGTGCAAACAAGCACCCGACTCGAGCAACGGTAAGCAGCAATGCGGCAGCAAAACGCCTGCCAGGCCTATCCTTCTCCTCCTCCGTCCCCAACACCACGCCAAGACACAAGACTACCACCCACACAATCAACCGGCCGCTAGCCACCCTCCTCACGCAACGTAGCCCACTGCACACAAGCGATACCACTAGGCATACCACCCAACTCCAAAGGACAGCAATACCACCAAAAGGGTATCAAGGAAATCCACGAATGCACATTACAAGTTAGTCCTCACAACATGTTATAGTAGTACAGAAGGTCAGCGGTGATAGCCCCCTAGAGGCAGGCACCCTGGCATGCTTTCAACTATAGGGCAGGATCAACCAAGACTGTTCGGAATCCTAGCCGGTGAAAGCGATACCGCAACACAACAGACACAACCATTCCTCTTCTGTGCTACACACATACACTCAAAGGGCGATACCTACATGCCTCCTAACCAGATTCACTTCTAAGTGGCGGTGATACAGTACAAGACAAACACCCAACCAACGCTCCGGTGATTCAGTCAGTCCGTTGTTGCTCAACACAGACAAGTGGCCAGACCAACTTGCCAAGCAAATTGTACGGCAGAGATTGCTGCACGCAGTTCCATAGAGACCTGAGGGCCCTACACACGGCCATAGGAAAGCACCGCTGCAACTCCGTTCCCCGTAATGATGAGCAAAGTGCTCCAACGCCCAAGCATGGTGGAAGACCTCCCGAGCGAGTCATAAAGCATCAAAATCCACAACACAAGCCCACCTGAAGCTGTGCTAACCCCAACGTAATACAAGCTGACTAGCTGCGAAAACCCAAGTTCGAAAGCCTAGTTGCCAACCCACACACGCACACGGCCCCGAGACCTGATACATGTATCGAACACAAGCAACCTAGGCACAAGCAATGAGGGAGGAAGCCCTCGAGGGACGGGACGACATCAAACACCGCTGCGACCACCACAAGCTGCGGAGAGTTGCACAACAACGACCCACCAGCAGGATCCAAGTATCCGAACCGAACCGGTTCCGGTAACCGAATCGAGACATGCTGTAACCACATCTCTGTCAGCCAAGCATCAACGGGTAACCGCCATACCTCAACAGTCGCCAAGATGTGCCAGCATAGCGAGCATAGAGTGAAAGCAGTAAAGGTTCGAGTAGCGTACAAGTAGTTAGTTAGTTTGGCGGTTAAGGGTAATAAAGTTAGCGTTGAAGCTCAGGTGAAGCCTTCCAAACGTCAACACACACACAGTAAGCACATAGGGCGCACAAGGCTCAAAAGCCTTCACCGCAATAGATTCCCCCAGCAACCCCAAAACCACACCGAGTCAACCACAGTGCTTCTGCTGCTTACCTCTTGACATAAAACATCCCTGCCGATGTGTCTTGATACTCATGAAATAACAATTGCACAACTCTTAGCACACATAAAACACACATAAAGGTCGCATACACATCTCTCGGGGCTTCTAAAGCGACACACTCGCTCTCGCTTTTTCTCTTGTGCGTCAAGGGTGATGTCCTCTGTTTGCCGTACATAACAATCGTACAACAAACCTAGGATACCAGGAAAGGGAAGAGGAGGTTAGTAATGAACGGGCAGCATCTCTCTCCTCTTCACGTGGGTATATCAAATCACAACCCTATGCGCGATCTAACCACAGAATGCGTGGACACGTGGAATTGAACCCTGAAAACACACCAAACTCCCCAAACCGCATCTATCCTTAATTCGGGGTTACTCCATCAAACAAACACACCTCTCTCGTCTCCCACACAAGCAAATCAAGTGGCATGGAAATCTGTTTCACCGCACAGCGGCCCTCATTTCACACACCAATACCGCTTTTTCATCATAAAATGCATCAACTGTAAGCCAACTGATACAACCCATCAGAGCCATCGCCGTTGCCCAACTTCCCACCTCGTGTCGTCACATTCCCCCTCCTCGCACACGCACACAGTACTAACTGTCCCCCGCACCCGCTCCCGCTCCCTCCCCACACAGCATCCACCATCACCGCCGCCGCGTGTCCCTGGCACGCACACAATCCTATACCTCCTCGCTCCACCACCACCACCACCTCTTTACCACCACCTCTTACAAGCTACTAAAGTTACAACAACAGCAAAAGCAACAGCAACTCTGCACTCTCTTGCATTAACTGTTTGCAAAGCCCCTACAACGCAAGCGTGCACATGTCCTTGGTGCTTTCAAACCAGGGGTGCTCCATGGCCTTCGCAGCTGTCAACCGCCGCGCAGGGTCCTTTTCCAACAGTCCACAGATCAGGTCCTTGAGCTCCTCACTCACCCCACGCCACTTGGGACCCGCAAACAGCACCGGGTTGTAACGGATGGCATCGTGAATCGAGTCCATATCGAGCTGCTCCAGGTAGGGAATGGGCTCCAGCCAGAAAGGCAGGCGGTTGCAAATGAGCATGAAGAGCATCACACCAAAGGCCCACCTGTGGATGGGAGTTGGGTGGGAGGTAAAGCTGGGTAAGCGGAGGGATTCGTGGGGGAATAGATAAAGTGAGCCGCGAGTTGTGGAGGTAAGGCTGTGGGTGGGGTTAAAGCTGGGTTTTCCTAAGGAGGAGAGAGGGAAGCCATGTGTCACAAGGCTCCGCAAAGGGATTTGAAAGCGGAGGTGAGGAACGTAGGGGGAGTACGAGAGAGGTTGCAGGGTGCATGGTTAGGTGTGTGGCCGGCAGAAAACAACAATCCAACCCCCGTCGTACACGCTTACATGTCCGCTGGGAGGCCGTACGCGCCCGTGATAACCTCAGGCGCCAGGAACAGAGGCGATCCGCTCAGGGAACGCAGGGGTGACCCGTGGGTCACCAGCTGCGAGCAGCCAAAGTCCACCACGCGCACGTTCAGGCAGCCGGGATCGGAGCTGCAGGGGTAGACGTCCTTCAGGATGACGTTACCGGGCTTCAGGTCGCCGTAGTACATGGATTGGGAGTGCATGTCCGACAGGAATGTTAGCACGCACCTGGGACGGGTGGAAAAAAGAAATTCCAAAGTGGGACGGGTGGAGGGAGGATGGGAGGCAGGTTTGGGTTTGGTCGGTGGGGGCGGGTGGCAGGCGGGTTTGGATTTGACAACGACCCTGGATCTGGAAGCGTTTGACGAGCGACTGTGCGAGCGTTATGGAGGGATGCACGTGGCTAAGGGGCAAAGGTGAAATAAGCATGCACAATGGGCCTTGTTGAGCTCGTACACGTGCAAGGCAATGGCGTAGTTTGGCGTCAACGTCTTTTGGTGGGGTGTGGACATTTCCCAGACTCACCAGGCAACCTGCGACAGCTCTACCTCCGAGAGAGCGCCCCGATCGTCAAGCATCTGCTGCAGACTGCCGCCATTGCACTTCTCCGCGATAATATAGTAGTTGCTAGCGTCCTCCTCGATCGCAATGAAGCGACCCGCCTGACGGCTTGCAGCGCAAGCACGACGCCATAAGCTAGCCTGTGATAAGCAGGTTGCAGTGAAAGAGATGTATAAATTGCAATATACCGGTATGCTGGTGGTAGTACAGTTGTAGCCTGCATGAACCCCGTTGCACATACCTCGCGGTGCAATGCCGAACGTTGGTGACGGCCCGCATTTGACTGCTTCGCGACAACCTTAACAGCCACTTCCTCGCCAGTTACTCGGTCGCACGCGGACACTACAGTGCCCATCGCTCCCTGTAAGTAAAGCGGATGGCAATGACGACATTAGTTCATTAGATACAAATGTAAGCTTCCTATAGTCGCTGCCATGAGGCTCACTAACGAATTTGTTCGCACCTGTCCCAATGGAGCCCCAAGTGCGTAACGGCTGAGGAAGGATTCAGTTTGCTGTGGTGCTTGAGTTGTGGAAATCCCAGAATGGTTGGCAAGGGTAATACTTGCGGAGGCAGCCGCGGTCTGCGGCCCGCCATGCCCTTTTATGCGAGGACATTGCCGCGGCGATATGGGAAGTACAGCGCGGGGCGAAGCAGCCAAAGAGCCAACGCGGAGAGGTGTGTTGCAAAGGGCCATTCAGAAAAACGCCTGCCAACCGGGTACAACAAACGTTTTTGTTGCGAGGTCCTAGGCCAACAAATAACCAATTATAAACAATAGCAAGAAGTCTATCAAAGAGTATTGTACAACCGTTTACAAGGGAGCTGTTACCGTGGTGAAGACGCAATTCTTGCGCCACCTCAGACTGCTCGTACCCTGTTGTACAACTCTATCCACACTGGCCCGAGGCCGCAATCGACTAGGTTCCAGGTGTCTCATCAAGGCGGATCGTCACACCTACCTGAAACTGCTGTATTGAACTGGGCCCCAATGCGCCTGAGAGGACGGCTGTTGTACTACCATTATTGGCGCATTTACGCGATTGCTATGATGGGACATGCAACCTATTAGCCACATGATGTGTAGTCTGCTAGGCCAAAGTGATGTAGGGGCTCGGCTCCATGCGGCATCTGTCATGTCAGCAGCACTTAAGGAGCTTCGTGCGCGCCTGCATGAAGCAAGATGGGATAACGATGATCAGGTTGCAGCGGCATGGCAAAACGCAGAAACCGAACTTTATAGGTTATGGCCCTCGCTGGTGACAGATCTGGGCGGCCGAGAGACGCAAGCTCAGGTGTTGGAGGAATTGTGCGGTGCTGCGAAAAGTGCAGCAGGCCTACTGCTATACGCGGCTGAGGTCTCCGCAAACAAAACTGCGTCAGGGTTGCGCGGGGGCACGAATGGCGATGGCATGACAGCTATAACGGCCGCAACGTCGGGCTCGGGCAGTCCCTTTGCGTCTGTCAAGGCATCGGTCGTGTGGGCATCGCAGCACGTTATCGGAGCCTCCGGTGCAGCTTGCTGTCACCATTTGTCAGTGCGGCCGGAGTGGGAGCTGGCATGGTTGCAAGTCTTGCGCCATGTATTGAAGGCCCTACGTTGCGTGGAAGCAACCGAGCCATTGCCACTGCTGCCGATGTGGGCTTGCCTGAAGGTATGGCACCTTATGACACCGTACGCTGGATGCCTCTAGTAGGCTGTTGGGTTGCCTTGTGCACACCTTTCACCATACCTGCAAATACAGACCATTCCGCATCACAGCTTCCAACTAACTGTGCCCTACGCTGACCTGCCCTCATCACAGGGTGTTCCCGGGCTGCGTAACTCCAGCGCGGATGTCCGTACGGCAGCCGTACTCTTCCTACATGACGCTCTGGCGCTGCAGTACGACACCAGGGGCGTTGTCGTACCCAGCACCAGTAATGGCGCCGTACAAGGAAGTACGGCATCGGAGACGTCAAAGGGATCTCCTGAAGCAGTCAGCGGCAGCAGCGGTGTTAGGTGTGACGTCAACCCTTGGGTGGTATGCCAGGAGCTGGCCTGCCGGGTGGCAGCGGAGGACAGTGACCCACGGGTCAGGGCAGCGGCGCTGCGGGCTGCGGCAGCGCTGCTGGGGCTAGGGATGTGTCTCGAGCAGCTGAGCGGGCGCGAGTGGCGCAGGCTGGCGGAGGGAGTGCTGCAGGCGGCGGCGCCGGGGGCGACGGCGGCGATGGGACAGTCGGCGGGATCGAAGGCTTCGGAGGTGGGTTGGTTTCCAGGAGCGCTTAGTCAATGGTTTGCAATGAGTGCTGGCCAGGCTAGGCGGTGGGGGTCACAGGGCATCCGGCTAAGCGGTTACTGGCCCTGCTTGGAGGCTCACCGGCATGCTTGCGGACAATGCTTGCGGTGTAATCCAGTGACTCTACCGCAAACTGCCCCATCCGTAGATATGGGACGCCGTACTTTCCTTCACCCGGCAGCAAGGCAGCCACCCCGGCTGGCGGGGGGCTGTACGACAGCTCGGCATGCAGCTGCAGCAGGCTGCGGCAACCGAGGAGGGCCCGATGTCAGTGTACGGCATCTCGACCATCTGCCGTACGGTTGCCGGGGCGGCGGCTGTGCAAGCGGCGCTTGAGCAACCGGCCCTGCCTGATCTGCTGGGGCAGCAGCAGCAGCAGCAGGAGGCTGCTGCTGCATGGGGGTCATCTGGGTCACCGACGGAGGTCGCTGTAAAAGCTGCCGAAATCCATTCACTAGAACCAGACACTCTAGGGCTGTTGCTGCAGTCACTGGCGACCTGCCTCAGCGACGCTATGCGGTGCGACAAGGCTGCTGCGACCCATGGGTCGCTCGAGGAAGCCTGGCAGCGCCTACTGCTCCAGGACACCGACGGCGTCCTGGCGCAGGGCGATGTAACGCCCACAGCGACAACGCCTGACACTCGCAACCCCCCTGGCAATGAGCGGAGGACGGATACCTCAGTGAAGAGAGGTGAACCTGCCGCACCCGTGGCCGATGCTTGGGAGAAACAGGAGCAGGAGAGGCCCGAAGAGCTAGGGGTGGGCGAGGCGGATGCGCTGGTGGTGGCGGGCGCTGTTTGCGCGGCGAGCTGCAGCGTGGGGCGGCTGCTGGGGGCTGCGGGGAGCTTGGAGGCGTTGGAGGTGGGGGGGGGCTGGAGGAGGCCGGGGGCGGCGGGGGATGGGGTGAGTGATAGGAGTGAAGTGGGGTTACTTGGGGGTTAGATGGGGCGTGGTATGGCCGCGCCGCGTGCCTCCGGAGCCCTGCCTGGGAGTAATACCCTTGCAGGCGTGGGTTGCGAGCTTCAGCGGTTATGCTATGCGGTGTAAGGTAGAGTTGCCGTTTAGATACTTCGTACCGTACTTGGCCGCCCATGTCGCCGTGTCTCCTGTCATCATCATCCCACGCTCTTAATGCCCGTGTCGTTGTCCTTTGTCTTTGTCTTGGCCCCCTCGTGCAGACACTAGTAGCAAGGGCCGAGGTCGCGCCGCTCGTCTACCATCCAACGGCTCCAGTCCCTCCGCCGCCAGCCAGTCGGCCCGCGTTGCTGGCCGCTGCCTCGGCGTTGGCCGCAGGAGCTGCTGAGGCGCTGAGGGCTGCAGCTGGCGACGGCGGCGGCAGCGTTGGCGTCTCGATAGCGCCGTACGCTGCTGCTGCTGCCGGGGGCGCAACGCAGCTGCAGCTACCCGCGCAGCACGTGTCGGCGTCGCAGCTGGCGACGGCGGTGCGGCTGGCTCGGCTGATGAGGAGGATTGCGGGGATGCTGCAGGTGGGTGGTTGGCGGTGCTGTGGGTGGGTGGGACCCACTGTGGGTGCAAGCGGCGGCGGCGGCGGTGTGTAAACATGCGACGCCACGTAGCAGCAGCGGCAGCAGCAGCAGCACCGACTGGAAGTTTGACATGCATCCCATGTAAAACCCGGTTCGTTGCATTCATTCTTTAACCAGCTCTTGTAAGCCTCTAACACAATGTATACCGGTACGTGTTTGTACTTCTTTCCTGGCGCAACGCAACTCAGGCACCCGACAAGCTGTTGTTCGCTGATGTGGGCGGCGCGCCGGCTGCTCCGGAGCCGGCTGCAGCGGCCGCGGCACAACAGCACCGGCTGTGTGTGGTGGCGGGAGCGGCGCTGTTGTCACGGCTGCTGGGGGTGCTGCCGGCACCGCTGGGGGTGCGGCCTGGGGGCAGCGACGGCAGGGACAGCAGTGGCGGGGAGGATGGAGAGGATGGGACGAAGCAGCAGGAAGGAAAGGCTGAGGAGGAGCAGGAGGAGGAACCAGCGGTTGGAGGCGCGTCGCATGAGCAGCGGAAGCAGCAGCAGTTCCAAGGCCGGTCCAGGAGGCCAGTGGTAAGTGGCTCCTACCTCGCTAATTCAGCTGCACTGTTGGGCTTTTCGTCGCGCGTCATTTGTAATTACCTGGTGTCCTGGGGAGAGTTGTTTTCCTGCTGTTAACATAGCAACCTTTTACGAAACACAACGTACGTAAAAGCGTCTCCCCGCTTCCTCGCCTCGTCCAGGTGGTGATAGAGGAGCTGCCCAGCAGTCCCACACATGCGTCCTCGCCGCACCCAAATCCCTCCCTGGAGTCTCAAGCAGCGCAGCACTGGCGGCAGCAGCAACAGCCTCTAGTCTCGGAACTGCTCTTGCTGTGCGCAACCTACGCAGCTCCCTCCAGAACGCAACATCAGCAACAACCACCTGCTGCTGCCGTACAAGCAGATCCTCCGGGTTTCGGAGCGGGATCTCGATCTGGGTCAGCGGCTGCCGGCTCCGCCCCCGCTGCTGCTGCTGATCCAGGACTTCCGCCGCCGCCACGCGACGTATTCACACCTTGGGCTGACAGCGGCGTTAGCGGCGTGACGGTGGCTTGCGAGGGGTTGCTGGGGGCGCTGCATGCGCGGACGCGTGCTAGTCCGGCGCCCTCTCGGGCCCTGAGGAGCTCCTCAGCGGCGTCCGGATGCGGTGCGGCTTCGCTGGCGCTGTTGACGGCTGAAGAGGTTTCGGAGCAGGATCTGATCGCGAGCTGCCTACCTGAGCTGTTGCGAGATAAGATCCGGCCGATTGTCGTACAGAGGCACGTGCAGGAGCTTGAAGAGGGCCCTATCAAGCCGTATACAGGCCCAGGTGGGTGGGTTTTGAGGTTCGAGAGATACCGTAGCAGAAGGTTTTGGAGGTAAAGGTATGTAGGTTACCTACGCCCATGCGTTGCGCCGCTATCCCATGCCGTTGGTTTGACCAAAGTCGTTGACCTATTGCTTCCAAACAGCTTAACGACTCACCCGCTGCACCAACGCATCACGCGCAGACACCTTCACACGCGCCGTGGCTGCTCGCCGGCTTGCCTGGTTGCTCATGCGCAGTCGCCATCCCTTTGTTGGCGAGGCTCTTCGACTGGCGCTGCCGGCGGTGCTAGCCTGCTGCGACGACCCCGCACCTGGAGTGGGGCAGTACGGCATCAGCATGCTGCATGCGGTCGCGGTGGAGTGTCTGGCAGCAGGTGGGGGCCGTGATGCTGCTGTGTTGCTGCCACTGGGTCGGACTTCGTGTTGCTGTTGTTGGTGAGGCTACGTCTCCATCTCCATCTTGCTCCGCGCTCTGCTGCCACCTAAAGCATAGCTCGTCGCCCAACAGGCTAACACACAACATACACCACACACGCGCCACCTCGCCTTCCGTCCCTGAACCCTGCCGCAAGCTCGTTTTTCCGTGCCCATTTCCATTCCCCTTTCCGCCTTCTCTTGCCCCTGCCAGACCTGCAGTGGCAGCGGGAGCTGCTTCTGGAGCAGGCTCGGCGCCTGGTGGTGGGCTGCCAGGAGCAGCTGTGGCGCCTGGCGTGCCCCGCAGCGGTGGCGCTGGTGCGGCGCATCGAGGTGCGGGGCTGCGTGGTTGCGGGGTTACGTACAGGACACCATCAGGATAAAGGAGAGTGCTCCGTGCGCCTTGCAAAGCAGCATGCTATGACAAGTCAGACACTCCTTGGCACCACCAACACCATCACCTCCCTTGTACGTCACACGCTCACACCCGCCTGGCACACGCCACACACCATCCGCCACATATCAGTCAGGTTTGCGGCCGCTTGATGCAAAGCACGCAATCCTTCTTTTCCTCCTCCGCCATTGCGCCCGACCGCCCGCCGCAGGGCAAGGACCCCCGCGCTCCTGGTTTCCACCGCCTGGCATCGGAGCTGCTGACGGAGGCAGAGCGGCAGGCGCATGTGCCCGCCCGCCGTACCGCCTTCCTGCCGCCCGCCGCCTGCCTGCTGACCTGCCTGGGCCTTACCTCCTTGCGCTACGCGGGCCGTCTCATGCCCCTGCTGTTGGAGTGGCTGCATGCGCATGACGAGGAGACGAGGGTGGGTTCGTTGCGGGTGCTGGCGGTGGTGGTTCGCGTGACGTGGCCGCGTGTGGAGGCGCATGCGGAGGCGTTGTGGCGGCACTTGCTGCTGGTGCTGCTGCGCTGCGGCGAGGAGGGCGAGGAGGGCGAGGAGGCGCGGGTCGCTAGGGAGGTGTGTGGGCTGCTGCTGGCGTGTGCGAGGGAGGAGGTGGTGGGATTCCAGCCGGCAGCTGCGGGGCTGCCTGAGGGGGCGGAGCAGCTGCACAGGAGGATGGTTGCTTGTGGTAGGGGTGGCTAAGGTGGAAGATGGGGCTTCGCTGTTTGGGTGCGGTGCTTGAAGGGGCACAGAGGCACTGGACGGTTCGCATGGGGACCCGCCTGGAGGCTTTCGTTGTGGAACGGTCATTGAAGGTCTACGGGTAGTTCTGTCGCCAACGTTTCACGCACACTTGTAACAGTCTTTGTACTTGGGACGTACCCGGGACGAACTGTAGCGAAGCCGGTGGAGCCTTGGGACTTTGCCAGGGGTTCGGCATGGGTCATGCGGTTTCTTTCAGCCGTAAATGGATTAATGCCTAAAGAATAGAACTGATGCATCCTGTACACAACACCCAAGTATAAGCAATAACGTCACCGAAACATCGCTAGCAAAGCTATGGGTGCAACGTGCAAGCGTGCAACTCGGATCCAGGCGGTACGACGTAGGCTGTCTCGACGACCCTAAATGGTACCAGGATCCAAAGTCGGACGAGCTCGTAGCGAGGACGTTATCAACACAAAGTAGCGCATCTTGTCAAGATTTAAACACCACTAGACAGGGGATTTGACAGTTAAATAGAAAAATGTTGAGCGCCTGTTAATTGTGATGCTTTGCTCAGCAGCCCTACGGGCTGCTCCTTGACGCATTCCTAACAACTGTAGGTAGTTCAGTAGAGAACGAGGAACACTACTAAGATAAGCCGTCGGCCAGGATACCCATCTCTGCGGCCTAGCCGCTCGTCATGGCCAGCGTGGTGCATGGTTGTCTACTAGGTTACTGTTGCTTCGTACCGGGAGGGCAAATTATGGAACATTGCCAGCTATCGTGTCATCTTTAACTTCGGCAAAGGAACGATCGGCGGTCAGCGATGGATATCCACCGGGCGTAGGGGAGGCTAAGGCACGTGGTGATGCACGGGCAGGCGTCTGCGTCTATGGCTGTCTCCGCAAGGAAACAGAGGAGATGCAGGCGGTAGTCAACGCGTTCCTACACACGCCCAACCCGTCATCCCAACCCGTGTAGCCATCCATCCCGCCTCGTGAACCCCCCTACCTTCACACCCCGCACCTTCCTACGCTCCCCCCTTGTGTTGCCATCACCCACACGCTCTATGTCCAAACGATCACAGCCAAACCGAGCACAGCCCAATCCCCCCCTAACCTGTGGTTTTGGTATATCTTGTGTTTCCTTACCCCACCCCACCGGTTTGTTGAGTCCCCTTGACCCCTTCCTTCGCACCCCATTTCTTATCACGTCCCCCACGTGCAATGCCGTCACTTCAACGCTGCCCTACGCTCCCAACCGCTGTATGCTGTACCCTCTCCTTCCCTCCGCATGCCGCCCCAACGTCACCTCATCCCACGTAGTTCTCCATGACTCCATCCCTTCCCCAACCCCTCCCGCCGCAGCCCAATCATGGCTGCTGTATGTATTGCCGCCAACAGACGCCCCCCCGGTACTCCACGCGTCGCCCCTCCCGCACTGAGAAGGGGCGACGTATGGGGCAACGGGGGAAAGGTGCAGGGTACGGAGGCAGGGGGCTAAGGGACGCGATAAAGGGCCATGCGGGTTGAGACGGCTGTAAGGACATGTGGCCAGGGAGTAGCGTAAAAGGATACCACTACCAGAAGCAAAGCTTAAGTTTCGAGGCATCCAACTGGCGCATCCTCAGGATTTGCGCTGCACTGGGTATCCTGGTCACGAAGGTATTCAAGAACCTTTCCTTGTTGTGTACTTAATCAATTATTAAGCATTGGATTTCGATAGGATGTAGCCCGTAGGGCTCCTTAGCTGACCGTCGCAATAGACAGCTTCCCAACGCTTTTTGGCAAGTTGAACGTATTTCCTGTTCAGAAATGTTGATTATAGCCAAGATGCTTAAGCCGGGGTTGATAACGTCCTCGCTACGAGCTCGTCCGACTTTGGATCCTGGTACCATTTAGGGTCGTCGAGGCTGTCTACAGCGTGCTACCAGACACATAGTATTGCTCTAATACTTCCATACGAGTAGGCGTTGCAGACCTGTTGTACCCTGCAGCTCCTTACGAGCCCGTCCGGCAAACGTTTTCAGCTCTCTTAGCCTTGCACAGTTACAGGATTTTGATAAACTTTTTTGAAGGATGCTTATTCCCCATAGCTCTGAGCTATTAGATTGATCACTTTATACATGGCAAGGTCAGCCGATGAGCTTTTCCAGGAGTTTGGGCCTCCGTCGCCCGGGACGACGAGCATGTTGCTACAGTTTCTAACCGAGGACAATCAACTTGGAGCGACGAGCAGCGGAAGTGCCGGGGTTGGTTGGTTTGCCGGAAGCGAATCCCCACAATCGAATGGACAAGGGTTTGGCCAGCCAGCGCCGGATGCAGCCGCGGCCTTTGCCTCGAAGTGTCCTACGGGTTGCCAGCAACCCTCGACGCTTGAACAGCAAGCTGGCCGTTCCTGGGCACAGCTTGACAGGGCCGCTAGACTAGCGGGAAACGACGCAGCGGGCTGTTCCTCGCTGGCGCCGTCGTTTTCACTAGGGACGGTCACGCGCGGTGGGCCGTCGCATCAGGCTTCAGAGGAAGCACATGCAGGAGGTCGTCGTCGTGGCCGCAAGCCTGGGCCCCGGCTACCAGACCTGCAGCAGAAGCTGGAAGGGTTGACGGAGCAGTTCCACAAACTAAGCCACGAAAACGTCTTCCTTCGAAATAAGCTAAAGGTGAGATAGGCATGCGCAGTGTCATGTTTCAGGGCTATGTGCTGTGGGTTGCATGCACGGCAGTCGCTGGGGACCGTGTCTTCAACACACATCTTGAGTGGCATCCTGTTTTCCTTGCATGCCGTACGAGCACGGAAAGAGACCCCTGCGTCAATCCCTGTGGCCCTTGGGTTTCCTGCAGGTCTTGGAGCGAGTTGTTCCCTCACGCGACGAGCGTGCCGGCGTCCTCACGAAACTGCTGTCGCTGGCACAGGAACAGGCGTCGCAGGCCGAGGCAGCAGCCGCATCAGCATCAGCAGCACCTTCAGCGGCACCTGCAGGACCTTCAGCGGCACCTGCTCAACCCTCACTGCAGCAGCCCGAGCAGCCGCCGCCCGATCGCGAAATCGACTGGTCACAAGCTCGCGCGGCCGCGGCGGTGGCACGGCTCAAACCCGCGCCCCATGCGTCCCGTGCCGGCATCGTTGTAGGCGAGCGGAGCGTTAGGCTTCACATGCTTCACGCCGCCCAAGCTGCTGCAACAAGGGCTTACATTGCCGCGAATGCGCCCAGGAAGGGCAAGGGGGCGCGCAAGGGGGCGGCGGGGGTGCCTCAACTGGTGGCCATGTGCCCGGGCCCGGACGACGAGCTCCCGCCCATGTCTCCGGAGGTGATTGAGGAGCTGAAGCGAGCCACCCCGGAGGATTTCTGCATGCTGTGGAAGAACGTGTGCCTGCAGGTACGGCAACGGCTGAGAGCTGAGGTCCTGCGCGTCTGCTGCCTGCTTCCCGCGTGCCTTAAGGGCATGCGGAAAACTGCAAGGACGGGATGGATGGTGTGTTCACGTGCATGTTGCGTCGGGCATGGTGCGCGACCACCCAAACTGCACGCCGTCCAACTCAAGAGGCTTACTTAGCCCGCTACCAGTGGTTCGTAACAAAGCAGCATGTCTGCATGTGCCCATCTTACCGGTATGTCGGCGGAGGATGCGCGTACCGAGCTAATGTCCGGTGCCCTTCCTGCCTGCTGCTGCTGATGTTGCTGGTGTGTGCAGCTTGGGGTGCTGCTTGTGGGCGCTGAGGCGCACGGGGCCGGCAGCCCGCCCTACCTGCGGCTGGAGCGTTACCTTCAGCGCTACCTGTTGTACATGGACAAGATCACGCTGCTGTCACCTACTTGCTTCCTTGAAAGCATGTGAGTCGCATGAGGGGGTAGCCGGCTTTGCATGTGGAGGGAGGGGCTTGCTTGTCGGTAGGGTCTTGAGGCACCGAAACGGTTTGGCTCTGAGAGACGGTTTTCCCAGCAGCGTGCGTTGGGCGGCTAGCACGTGATGTGCGGCTGAGGGAGTATGGCACGTTAATGTAGGGGGTACGTTACAGAACAGAAGTACCTTGCATTGCGTTGTCGTGTTGCCTCTGTTGCATTGCAGGTACATGAACGTGGAGACGGGGCTGCATGAGCGGCCGAACGACCAATTTTGGGTGTCTTGCGGTACGTGGGGAGTGCTTTCGTGTCCGCTGGGGACAGGGCCTTTGGTTGGAGCTGTTAGCCTTAGACATCGGCGCCTAAGGATAAGCCCTGACTATCTGTGTCCGTTTTGACTTGCTTAGTGCCCAGTCATGCTTTGGAGTTCCTACCAAGCGCATCGCTCAACCCATAGCCGTGCAGCAGCTAGGCGCCCCTCCATGCGTGAGGCTGCTATGCGCTTCTTTGCGCCATTGCGGCTTAACGTAAGGCGTCTCGTATCGGGTATGTTACCTAAACTGTGTCCCTCCCTTTGCCGTGCCGCCGCCCGCCGCCGCCGCCTCCCGCCCCCTCCAGCCCGCGCCCTGCAGCTCAACCCGCAGCAGCTGCGTGACGTGGCCTCTCTTGCCACCATGTACGAACGCAACGTGGCGCCGGTGGTGCAGCAGCGGCAGCAGCTGGCGGCGCAGCTGACGACGGGGCTGTCAGGAATGGCGACAACGGCGACGGCGGGCGCTCCGAAGAATGCCCGGGAGCTCTCGGTGAGTTGCAGCGGTGGATCTTGGTCCATCCTTTGGTCATTGTTTTGGTCCATTGCCCCTCATTCGTCCTGGCTTACCGGTCCCGTATGTTGTGTGCATGGCAAAACCCACCCACCCGTAAACATTCCCCATCCACCTGGCTGCAGACGTGGTACAACGTGGACGACCTGGCGAAGCAGCTGGAGCGCAACGTGCTGAAGGAGCACGAGACGCACCAAAACATCGGGGAGTACCTATGCGTAAGGTGCGGTCAGGGGAGTTGCTGCGATGACTTGGATGGATGGATGGGGCGAGAGGAACGAGGGTACATCATCCCATCCTCGTTCCCCTCGCTGACTGCCTCCAATGGCCTCTCCCATTACCCTATGAGAACCGGGGGAACACCCAGGGCCCCCACTGTCTTGTCCTATCAACACCGCTTCAGCCCATCCCGCATGCGTATGCAACCCTGCATGCATGTCCCCCTCCCCCCCACAACGGGGGACATCAATATTCAACACCTTGGGTATTCTCCTTGTCCCCCTGCACAACGCAGCGTGCTGACTCCCTTCCAAGTGGCCAAGTCCATGGTCGTGGCCTACCCTTACATCCCCGACGGCATAGCCATGCTGCACGCCTTCAAGCTGCTGCTGGGCAGCGGAGATGTGGGGCCACGTCAGCCACAGCACGGAGCTCCGCCCTCCACCGCCGCCACCGCTGCTGCTGCCTCCCTGCCGGCACTTGGCAGCGGTGGCGTGTCCGCGGGTGGCTCGGCCCCTGCCCCGACTCCTGGGCCGGCTGCTGCTGCTGCTGTTTCTGCTGCAGACCTGGTTGCGAGTTTGCGTGCGGCGCAGGGAGCGGCAGCGCTCCAGTCGGCAGTCCGACAGGTGCTGACGGGCCCGGTGCATGCGCCACAGTCGACCCACATGCGGGGTGCTTTCTTCGGTGCAGCGCAGTAGCAGGTGCAGGGGAGGCGGCGTGGCGGCGGTGATGGCTGTGGGGGGCATGCAGGCGGGGGCACATGCCGCCCTTGGCTGTGAGTTGCGACGTTAAGCTTGCGTGTACCACTGTTGCAATGGTTGCTGGTCGTGCGTTGCGACGGAGCTTGCGACGTTGTTAGCGGCCGTGTGTCGGCGCCGTTGCAATGGGTTGACCTTAAGCTGCTTGGGTCGTTGAGCGCTTGTGGAGTGTGTACAGAGAGGAGGGGTAGGCGTTAAGCGAGTGAGTGGCGAGAGGATTGGAGTGAGAGGCGACTGCCTGAGGCAGTTTACTGAAGGATAGGGTATCTCGGTGCGGTTGCTTTGCTGCATCGCCTACGGTTGGAGCCCGGAGGCGCTTCCTGGGCAACCTTAGGGCACGAGAAATGCCTGCGAACATGACTACTTGACTAGTATGTAGAATCGTAGGTTTAGGAGCCTTGACAGATGTGGACTGACGTCTCCTCCCAGGGGTAAGACGCAGTTGAAATTGATACCCAGAACTCAATAAGGGTTTGTGTTGCGGCTGTTGCGGCTGGGATGGCTTGGCAGGGCGTTGCGGGCGGTCAGGCGTCCCCAAGGTGTGTACAGGCACCACTATCGTGTGTAGTTGAGTAGAACAAGAGCAAGCAAAGGCAACTTTATGTACTGCTTTGTTCTGTTTCTTGACAGCGCAGTCCTTGACAGCGCACTGCCGCCTTTCTTGGAAGCGCAGGAACGGATGCAGCTGCTTAGCATGCTGGGGACCCGCGTTGGAGCAATGGGTCGCATGGAACCCGTATGGGAGCCAGAACAAGGGCGCGGTTGGCTTGGCAACAGCCTTGAAGGACAGGGCTGCGGTTGAGGACGGGTGTAGCTTGGTGGGCAAGCGGCTATGGAGCTCCAGGTGCAGGGGTTCTAGGCACTGGTCCTGATACAGGATGTACCCTTGGAAATTGGGCTGATGTGGCTTTTAATGACATTTAGGTGAATAGGCACTGGGCTGCGTGGATAGCTTAGAAGTGGATGGGCCTTAGCTTGAACCGTCGGACTTCCCAAGGTCACGGTACGGTATCATGGCGGAATGGCTGCCTTCCAAAGCATCTTTGGCTATAGCCATAAAGAGGCTTGTAGGGCTGGCAGTTCAGCTTAGCCGACGCTTAAACGTATGATAGCATGCTACTTATGCTAGTATGCTACGCCTTGCTCATTGAGGCACCGAAACCAGCTGAGAGCTGACTCAAGTGCGTCCGCTGGCCCGGAATTGCATATTTAAAGTCTTCCAGGGGACGCGTTGTGCTTACTGTCTACCTTAACGTTGCATGCTTGCTGCCCGGGGTTATTTCTCAAACTACTCAGCACTTGCCCAATCCTCAATACTCTTACGGTACCCGGCATGTTTACGTTAAATGGTTCGTAGATATGTAGAAACCGACGCAGGTCTGGATGTTTCGTGACTGAGACTGAAAATCAGTGGAAGAAATGGCTACATACGCGCAAGAACTTTTCCAGCAGTTCAGGGCCCCATCTCCCGGGACTTCGGACACGTCATTGCAATTCTTCAGCGAATATCTCCGGCCTGGCGCTGCGGACAGCGACGTTGGCTGGCATGGGTGTTCTGCGCATGCGAACGGAGAATCATCAAGCTCACAGCTAGCTGGGCATGGGTTTGCAACTGCTGCCGGCGCAGTCATGCCGTTTGCCTTTCAACCACGCTTGGTCGTCCAGCAGCCAGCGACAGTTCCACCTCTTACCGGCCATTACCAGGCACAACCAGATTTCCCCATTGTGCTGGGAGCCGATGCAGTACAGCACTCTTCGCAGGCACCAGCATTCTCTCTGGGGCCAGGATTTGCCACATCTCCAACTTCCCTTGAGGACCGGCCGCCCTCCCCAGCAGCACTGCGTCGTCGTGGACGGAGGCCCAAGCCCCGACTACCAGACCTGCAGCAGAAGCTGGAGGCTCTCACGGAGCAGTTCAACCAACTAAGTCACGAAAACGTCTTCATGCGAAGCAAGCTCAAGGTGAGATGGCATGTGCCGAACCTGAATCCTCGCTCCCGTCGTCGCACGTGAACCCACTGCGGGCAGATGGCAGCAATCGGCTAGCCTCTCCTGCCTAATTTGACCCTTTGCAAACCCTGTCAGGCTGCCCCTGCAAGCAGCTCTCTCCCTTTATGACTCGCCCTGCCTGCGGCAATCCCTTTAACCTTGGCCCTCCAGATTCTGGAGCGCATGGTGCCATTGTGGGACCAGAGGGCTGGACTCCTCCGGAAACTGCTTTCATCGGCGCAAGAGCAGGCGCCACAGGCGGAGGCAGCAGCTCCAGCAGCACCAGCAGCAGCAGCAGCTGGATACGGGGCGACATCCCATCCCGTGCTGCAGTCATGGGATCAGACGTCCGTCAGGGATCAGCTCGCCGGGTCAGAAGTCTGCCCCTCAACAGCGGTTGCGCGATCGGTGTTGCATCCACAACGGGCGGGCATTCGCGTAGGCACGGGCATCAAGCTGCACCGTGCTTACACCACTGCGGCTAAGACCTTCCTGGATCCAAACCCTCACAAGGGGGCGCGCAAGGGGGCGGCGGGGTTGCCTCCACTGGTGGCCATGTTCCCGGGCCCGGACGACGAGTTGCCACCCATGTCTCCGGAGGTGATTCGGCATCTGAGCAACGTCACAAAGGAGGACTTTTGCATGCTTTGGAGGCAGATATGCACGCAGGTAGGTGCAACCGTGGCTTGCCGCCTTAGCTGCGGAGTTACTTATTTCCAACTATTGCAAGCTCTTTCGTGCATGTTCCTTGGATCCATGCGGGTCGGCTGCACGGCGCGACAGCACGCTTAAGCGGTTAAGATGTCCATGCCAAGTATACCTGATGAGCCCCTTATGGTTTCCTCCTATCCTGCCTTATCTTGTTAGGATACCTATTCTTCTGGCACACGATGCCATGTTTTGAGCCTTTACCAACGTCAAGGCCGCTGAATGGCTCGCCCGCCCTGCCTTGCGCTGTGTGCAGTTTGGGGTGCTGCTTGTGGGCGCGGAGATGCACGGAGTTGGCAGCCCTCCTTACCAGCGCTTCGAGCGCTACTACCAGAACATGCTTACGTACATGGACAAGATTATGCTGCTGACACCCACGTGCTTCTTGAGCTGCATGTGAGTGCGTTCAGGGCGGGCCAGTGGGCCTGAAATGGCTCCCTGTGCACGTTTACCAGTGTCGCTTTTACCGGTATGGAGTTTGGCAAATGGCAATGCAGCATGCCGTGACGGTGGCAGCATGCGAGGTTTCCGGTTGTGGGGCCGCGGCGCCGTGATGTGTTGCATTCGAGCATGTTATCCTCATATTGCGGTATCTTGTTGCCTCTGTTTGCAGGTACATGAACGTGGAGACGGGGCTGCATGAGCGGCCGAACGACCAATTTTGGGTGTCATGCGGTAGGTTGCGGGTCGCTTGCCTGGGTGACCCAGATTGTGTTGATCCAGATTTTGCTCGTGAAGTTGACTGCATGCACATAGATACCCAGACGTTAAGGGAGCGCTTGCCTAGATTGTATCGGCGCGGGTTGCTCCTAAGTTGTTTTAATTGTGCATTCCTGTCCAGCGCATGCTTCGCTTGGTCGTTGTACATTAGCTTGATAGACTTTTGTTAGTCCAAGGGCGATAACCATGTCCCTCCCTTTGCCGTGCCGCCGCCCGCCCCCTCCAGCCCGCGCCCTGCAGCTTAACCCGCAGCAGCTGCGTGACGTGGCCTCTCTTGCCACCATGTACGAACGCAACATGGCGCCGATGGTGCAGCAGCGGCAGCAGCTGGCGGCGCAGCTGTCGACGGGGCTGGCGGAGGCGGCGAGCGTGTCTGCGTGCCGCAGGGGCTTAGAGGTGAGCTTAGGGGCAGCGGGCTTGTGAAACCTGGGGGCTCACGACGAAAGCTGAACGAAAATACCGCAACCTGAGGCGGCCGAGGGTCGACATGCTTTGCATGTGTCAGTAAAGTTACACATGTGCCCTTCAGCGAGCATGGGTGCGGAGTAGGATCCTTTCGTCACTGTGGATGCATGCCTTGAACTTCTTGATGGTCCCGGGTTCGCTTTAACAGCGAGTACACGCTTCCCCGCCGTTGGGTAGCTTCGGAGGATGTTCTTTGGATGCTCAACACTGAGTGTGTTCTCCTTGTTGGATCCAATCACAGTCTCGGATTGAGGTGGACGAGTTGGCAAGGCAGCTGGAGCGCAACACCCTCAAGGAGAAGCTGAAGCACCAAAACGTGTCGGACTTCTTGTGCTCAAGGTAGGCAGGCGGGCAGCACACAGGCGTGTTGGCCAGCGCGTAGGAATAGGTGGTGCTGCGTCGGCACGCCATGTGTGCGTTCCTGCCTTCCTGGGCATCGCCACAACGGCGAAGTATTGCAGTTTTTTCGGATTTGCGGGTAGTTGTCGCATTGCCAGGGATCCAGGAGGTTGCCATCACGCCGCTCACCTGCGCACAGCGCTATGTGGTTGCAAGACCACAACCCTACCGTACCTCCCTTCATCCTCATCCCGCCTTCCTGGTTGTGTTGCAGCCTGCTGACGCCCTTGCAACTGGCCAAGTTGATCGTCGGGGCTTACCCCTACATCCTCGACCCAATAGCGCTGCTGCACGCCTTCATAACGCTAGGCGGCAGCGGCGCAAACCAGCAGCTGCAGCAGGCGCAATGAGGTCCGATGTGCGCTGCCGCAGCCACCCCCGGGGCGCTCCCTCAGTGGGTGGCCCGGCTGCTGCCCCGGTGGCCCGGCCCCTGCTGCTGCTGTTTCTGCTGCAGACCTGGTTGCGAGTTTGCGTGCGGCGCAGGGAGCAGCAGCGCTCCAGTCGGCAGTCCGACAGGTGCTGACGGGCCCGATGCATGCGCCACAGCCGACCCACATGCGGGGTGCTTTCTTCGGTGCAGCGCAGTAGCAGGTGCAGGGGAGGCGGCGCGGCGGCGGTGATGGCTGTGGGGGGCATGCAGGCGGGCTTGTGGGCCCTGGCACCCTTGGCTGTGAGTTGCGATGTCTGAGGTCTGGCAGTGTTAGCGGGTGTGTACCGCCGTTGCAAGGGGCTGCTGGTGCGTTGCGCTAGGGAAGGGAAGTACGGTATGTAGAGTGACTGAGTGAGGTCTGAGCGTTGAACGGACTGCTGCTTGTAGCTTTAAATGTGAGGGTCATTGTATATCACTGCGTCCCTTACATTGCTGACGTTTTCGGCTTCTTGTGCTCCTAAGTCCTAGCCGAATGACATTGAAAGATCCTTCCTAAGAAGATGAAAGTTATATGCTGGGGGGTTGAATGTATGATTGTTCCTGAAAGGGAACGCGGGTGATTGCCTATCTGATTGGTTGTAGCCAGGTCCTACTGGCAACTGGTGTCCGGAACCCAACCATGTACTCTTTGGTAATGGTATGGCCTAGCGTCACAGGTGATTCAGTGCGATGCGGCGTAGCAACACTATTTCCTGAGAACCATTTTGGCAGCTTAGCAGGCTTGGAAGGTTGAAGAGATTGTGAACTGTGGATAAGTACTGGTTCCAAAACTTAGGGTGGCAGGTTGCGAGGCTGATGCGAGGCTAGGGAGGTGAGTAGGCTGCCGCTGGCGTGTGCGTGGGAGGAGGTGGCGGGATTCCAGCCGGCGGCTGCGGGGCTGCCTGAGGGGGCGGAGCAGCTGCACAGGAGGTGTGTTGCTAGCGGCTTTGGGCTTGGAGTGCATCCTAATCTGGTGCCTACCAGCTCGGACCTTCAATGAAAAAGGCTAAGCTTATAGCTTGATTACCGTGAGTTCGTTGCAAGGGGAAAACTCTGATGGCTTCATATACCTTGTTTGACTACCGGTACTGAGCGCTTGATGGCGATATGCGGACGCATATCTCGTAATTTGTCCGGGGGGATGACTCGGGGGATGATAAAAAGCACGTTAGGCCCCTCCGGATGTTCCGACTTCTTGGAAATTGCGAAAGTGTTTGACAAACGGTTTAATATATGGCTGTTCTCGTAATCCAAGCTGCAGGATGATGTTATATCCTAAACTCCACGTGCTACAAAGACACGGGATGCCCAATATGCGTCGATTACAGTTTGGATTTAGATGGTACGGCACAAGGCCATGCATCAACGCACCGTTCCTACTCGTTTGCGAGGTGCTAGTTAGAGTGCTTGACGGCACAGGTGTTATGGGGCGATTACACTGCTGAAAAAGGTTGTGCCTGCGCTCAAAGAACGTCGTTAGGAATAGGGGTTTGCAAGGATGCGGCATAACTGGTGTTAGGAAATAGGAAAGATGCGAAGCTAGTCGGTGCGCATAAGACAGATTACATAGATAATGGCGACGTCCGATGGACGTTTCCAGCTATACAACTCACCGTCCCCTGGGGCGACGGGGTCGCTCATGCAACTACTTTATGAACACAACGACTATCCCAATGTCAATACTGGAATTGTATGCCCCGCGGGTGGAACTGAGCCGTGCCCAGGATACAGTTCAGGTCCTACCCTTGCAATGGACTTTGTGCCACATCCCTCTATAGCTTGCAGCCAGCCGCAGCTTTTCCAGCACCAAACAGGCAGCTCTGCCGCAGAACATGAAGGCTCAGCTCTGCATGGACCCCAAGGAATGGTTACAGCGGACTGCCCTTCGCAAGCCCAGGACTTTCCGATGGATAGTGAGGAGTTCATGACCTCGCTGCAGCTCGCTAATGAGGAGCCCTCAGGGGCAAATCGCCGTCGTGGGCGCAAGGCTGGACCTCGGGTCCCGGACCTGCAGCAGAAGCTTGAAGCTCTGACGGAGCAGTTTCAACAGCTGAGCCGCGAGAACGTCTTCATGCGCAATACGCAGAAGGTCAGACAGACTGCCGAAAGCGTGGGGAAAACGCAGCCATTAGAACGTGTGTGGGCATGTTCGTGCTGTTGTCAAGCCCTTACCCATGCGCTTACCCCTGCGTGACAGCTGCTACTCGCGGTAATAGTCGCCTGCTACCCTCTGGCTGCAGATCCTGGAAACGCTGGTCTCATCTCGCGTCAGGAGCGCCGGCTTGCTCGCAAAGCTGCAGTCGCTGGCGCAGGGGCAGCCATCCCAGGCGGGGCCAGCAACAGACCTCCTGGCAGTGCCTAGGCCGGTGCCTCCAGCAGAGCCGGCGCCTGGCGTGCCGCCCGACCTCGAATTCACGTGGTCAGAGGCTCGTGCAGAAGTGGCCATGGCACGGCTAAAGCTGGCGTCATCTCGTGCTGGAGTCCGTGCAGGCGAGCGGAGTGCCGTACCGCAGCACAGCGAAGCCGCCGCCTCGTCTGAGGCCCTTCTTGTGGGCAAGGCTGCCAGAAGCGGCAAGGCGCGGAAGGGGCCCTCCGATGCGCCTCTGGTGGTGGCCATGTGCCCGGGCCCGGATGGAGAAGCGCCGCCCATGTCGCCGGAGGTGGTTAAGCAGCTGCAGCACGTCACATCGGAGGAGTTCTGCATGCTTTGGAAACATGTGTGTCCCCAGGTGAGGGCCATACGTGCAGGCTTACACCGCTGGGCCTGACTGCACACCTCCCGCAGTCCCCAAGCTCCGTGCATGTGCGCCCCTCGTTCGCGGGTTGTCAATTTCTGCGTCCTGCTGCACTGCTTGGGGCACCTGCCTAAGGCAAGGCGTTCGTCCCAACCAAAATGGTGCCTCCGTTCCCACAACGATGCCACCTTCTGCAGCTGGCAATGCTGCTTGTGGGCGCTGAGGCGCACGGAGTCGGCAGCCCCCCCTACCTGCGGCTGGAGCGCTATCTTGAGCGTTTCTTGATCTATGCCAAGAAGGTCCTGCTGATCTCGCCAACCTGCTTTCTGGAGAGCTTGTAAGTGCATGTACGGGTGTCATGAACGGAAGGGCTTTAAAGTGGCGCTTGGTAGGCTGCTTTGCACTGTGCTGCGCAACCTCGGCTGGCCAGGGGGCAACGGCTGTGCAGTGGATTTGGTTCGGGCTTAAGCATGCTGCCCGGTGTACTTGTAATGACCCGCAGGTACAAGAACGTGGAAACGGGGCAGCCTGAGCAGCCGAGCGAATACTTTTGGGTATCTTGCGGTACGTTGGGGGCGTTGGCTACAGCGATGGCAGGTTGGGCTGGCATTCGTTTGACGGCAGGTAGCCATTTGGAGTGCAGCTGACCGTGTAAGCAGCAACGTGCATGGCCGTTGCCTGGCTGCCTGCTAGCGCGATATCCATCGCAAGGTGTTAGGGCCAATGCACGCATCCGTACTTCATACGGCCCGTACTTTTGACCCTGTGCGCCTTCCCCACGCAGCTCGCGCCCTGCAACTCAACTCGCAGCAGCTGCGGGACGCCGTTTCCTTGGCGAGCATGCATGAGCGCAACGTGGCGCCGGTGGTGCAGCAGCGGCAGCAGCTGGCGGCACAGCTGTCGTCGGGGCTGGCGGCGGTGGTGGCGAACGCTCCCAAGACGTGCAAGGATATGGCGGTAAGTTGCAGCGGGGGCAAGGCTTCCTACGGCACAGTGTTACAAACTGAGTATGTGTGGAATGTGTAGAATTTGTTGCTTTAGGCCCAAGGAGTGGTGGGCGCTGGTGGAAACGTTACAAGTGGTCACGCGCCCGGGCCCCTTCACAAAGCCTACAAATCGCACATGGCGATTTCCTGTGAAGCCCCTGTTACAGTGCCGCAACTACATTGCTGGCGTGCTTCCTCGTTGGCCTTCGTTCGCAGAACCGCTACTGTGTAGACGAAATGGCCCGGCAGTTGGAGCGGAGCGCCTTCAAGGAGCACCAGACGCACATGTACCTAACCGACTTCCTGTGCACCAGGTAGGCAGTCCGCTCTTGCCGGTAGTTGGCAGCATCGTTTGGGCCGCGTCACTAGTCGCTCTATGCCTGCCGCTGCGATTTATGTTTTTGCGTTAGTTTTCACGGCGTGTCCTACAAACTTTACACAGCTTTACACAGCACATGGAGGTCATAACGGTAGTCATCCCTCCTTTCGCCCGCTACCAAACGCAGCGTGCTAACGCCCCTGCAAGTGGCCAAATCGGTGGTCGTCGCCTACCCGTACATCCCCGACAATGTGGCGCTCCTGCACGCCGCAAAGGTGCTATCCGGAGACTCCGGCAACCAGCTGCAGCAGCCAGCGAACCAGCGGGCGCCCAACCCCAACCCGGCGGCGGCTGCGACAGCCTTGCCCGCGCTTGGCAGCAGCAGCGGGTATGGCTGCGGGTAGGCTGGCAGGAGCTGCGACTGCCGTAAGAGCATCGCCAAGTGATGCGTTAGTGGTTGGGCTGCTGCAGCCGGCAGCGCAGTTGAATGAATGGGGGGGTTGCGCACCTCCGGGTGCAGCCTCGGGCGCTGCCCCTTGGGGCAGCACCAAATGCAGGGAGTAAGGCGTTGATGGTTGTTGGAGGAACGCAAGCAGGATGATTGGCGGTCTTGGCTTCCGCTGGTGGTTGGATTTGGGTCTTAAGAAGCTCTTTGGGCAGAGTCGCTCGCACGTGATACATTGTTAGGGCTTCTACACGCACAGCGCATTTTCCACGTCGTACACCACTGGCAGCCACTCGGGTCGTACGAGTGGCTGCCTTTATTACGACCCGAGTGGCTGCCGTATTGTGTGACTTGTTTGGGGTACTGCCATGCATTGCATTGACTTTATATTGAGCAGGACGCCTAACAGTGATCGACATTGACACGCGCAACAAAGCATTGTATCCTGTACGGCATTCGGAGGTGTGCATTGGTTGGCCAACGGTATTGTATGAGGCGGCTTCATGCCTGACGGACACTGAAGCTGCTGTGAGGGGAGGGTGTCAGAAGAAAGGGAAGATATACACTGGTACGACGTAACGTCGTGTTGCGGCCCGGTAGGCTTGCAATGACATCCGTTCATGATACTGCCGCGGTTAATGATTGATTGAAGGACCGTTACAGTGGATCCCTAAAAGGGAACAAGGGTTACTGGTTTGTTAACCAGGTGAAGATACAAAAGCCCCACTGTGGATCGTGTACATTACAGATGACATTGGACATCTGCGATGTTGGAAGCACGAACGTCACCAGTCGCGTATGCGCGGTCTGGTGCCTGAGCTTCCCAGGCGTAGTGGGTCTTGGCCATTAGATGTACTCGATGTCAGAGACTTCACTCGAAGTGCTTTGGCGCCTTGCCACCTGTCGTGAAGGAGCTGCTCCGGCCGCCTACGACGTCAAACGCAAGGTAGAAGCTTTGCTCAGTGGCATTCAACAGATCCTTTACTGGGGAAGTAGTCAATGCAAACTGCTTGGCCAGCCCCGGGGCCCTGTTCCAACCTGCCTGCCTGGCCCTTCCAGCCATGCTGAACAGATCTTTCCTTCTTTGACATGAATGGGGGCATTACCACATACAACATGTAGGGACGACGGTCGACATCACCACGCACCTGGAAAGCTGATCGTGGCGCCATGAAGCGCCCTGCCGGACGAACGTTATCAGTGAACGAGTCGACGCCCGTCAAATCCTGCATGCACGAAAGAAGCCAGGTTCGTCCATGCTGCGCTGCACTACAGTCCCAAGAGAGCCATGCGCCGTTGAGCATGACCGTAACCAAGCCAACCTGCATTCCTTGCACCTCGTCTCGAGAAACGCTGGTGGCGCCAAAGCTCTTGATGGTTGTTCCGCTCATCTGCGCAGCAGCAAGGATACACACGGGGAGGTCAGATTCAACCTAGGCCGCCCCAACCGCTCCATGGACTTTATGGGCTCTATCCACGGTTCGCTCAAGCTGCAGCGTTACTTGCCTGGTTCGACGGCTCTCGTACGTCCCGTACCATCGCAGGTTTGCGCATGGTGCTGTTGGGGCTGCCCCAGGCCCCGGGTCGCCGGGGCAGAGACTGACTGAGCGTGTTGTTGAATGACTGGATGGACTCCAACTCCTCAATCTCGGCTGTTTCGCTCGATCTCTGGTTGGTAGCTGACGGCGCTGGGGCCCGCTGAAGCGGCTCGTCGTTTGCCCAACCCCTGCAACAGCAGCCAAGATGAGCGACGGCATGAAGCTTGCATGCAACATGAACACACGGTTAAAAGTATAGCACCGCAAGCAGAAACGCTCTTGAGTGAATTATGTGCACCTCGGCACCTGACGTCTCGTGTTATGCGTGCTACCATGGCTGATCATACATGAACGTGCCTGCTCTGCGTGACAGCGGACGTAGCGGCTGGGGCGGGGGTGGGGGCGAACCGGCTAGGCGCTGGCGGCGACGATGCCCCGCCGCGCATGAGGATCTTGGGCTGGGCACCTGGGGGCATTGCAGAACCGGTTGATTACCCTCCTGTAGCCATGCGATCAACGGGCAAGACGATTGACGGCATCTAAGCTTACAGCGTTACATGGTTGCGCTACTCCCCTAAACCCTCGGAAACGGACGCGCGGCTGTTCTACCCAAAGCTCTGCTGGCACTTACTGACGGGGGCAAAGTCGTCGTCGCTGTCCTGGATGCCCATGTCGTGCTGAGCCTCCTCGTCCTCCGTCAGCGTGTACTCGTCCTCCACCACACGCGCCACTGCACCGCAAGCCACAAAACCACACGGACAACAACGTAAGGACGAGCTAAGGATGAGCTGAGCCAAGCCGTCCTACACTGATAGGTGTCATGCAAGCACTGCTATGCGAACGCATGCCGCGTGCATGTGACTCCTACCGTCTCCAAGCGTTCCTGACTGCCGAGTACAGATATATCAAGGACAGCGAGCACCGTCGTGTACCCAGCTGTACCCACCTGCTTTCGGTTGCGGCAACGGCACCACGTCATCCTCGTCGTCAAAGTCCGAGTCCTGGTACTTGACGGACCGAATGGACATGTTCATGTTGCCGCCGGGCGAGCTGGCCGCCGCGGCAGCTGCCGGCGTAACCGTCCTGGCTGCAGGCGCCGGCGGTGCATGCCCCAACACGACGGGGGCACCCTGCGAAGCCTCGCGTGAAGGCTGCTGGGAGGCAGGCGCAAGCGAGGTGGTTGACCGAGGCAGCGATTGCTGATTGGGCGCTGAGCGTCTGCTGCTGTTGTGGGAGGGCGGGACAGATGCGTCGGGGTGGCTGTCAGCTGTGGGCCTGTCAGGCAGGGCGGCACCCGGCTGCAGGGAGCGCTGCAGGGGTGAGGTGGCGGGGCTGGTGCGTGTGCTGCCGGCAGGGCCTGAGGGAGGCGAGGCGGGTGGGAAGCGGCAGACGGAACGAGTGAGGAACTGTAGGCCAAAGTGTGAAGAGACAACATGTGGGACGGGTATCCTGTCGACGGGTTTGCCTTTGTCGATTGTAGGCAAACAACAATGCTGCCGTGTGGTTAAGCCGAAAGTTCACCCACCAACTTCTGCAGACTAGGTACCGGTGCTGGTAGGCATACATGATATAGCACGTTAAAAACCAACCTTGCCCAGGCACGCTAGTCCGCGACCGCTCGGCTTGGACGGTTTCAGGGTTTGGCCTGTAGGGAGGCACATGGAGACAGCGACAAGCAAGTGAGGGAGGCATACGGGCAAGGTTCGGAAAGCTACGCCGTAATCATACGAGCAGCACATATTCCATAGGCTAGATGAAAACTCCTGAACATGCTTCCTTTCCCTGCTGCCAGGCACGTACCTTTGGGCCGCTCCAGCGGGGGGCATCCCAGGCGCCGGCAGCATGCCCCGCAGCTCATCCATGTCCCCGCCGCTGCTGGTCCTGATGCTCCGAGGGAGGCTGGGCTGCCGCGGGGGAAAGGCGGGCAGCTGTGATTGGGGCGGTGCCGCTGCAGCTGCTGAGGCAGCAGCGGGCGGCTCGTCGTGACTCGAGGCGCCAGACGATGACTGCGCACGTGATGCCGCTACCACCCCAGCAGTGACAGCCGCAGCCGTAGCCACAGCGCCTGCCGCCACCGCCACCGCCACAGCACCCGTACCTGCCGCAGCGCCGCTCCCCGCAGTAGCCTGCCTGCCGCCTTCAACGGCTCCCTCGGGTTGAATCTCAGACATAGCGGCGCCTGCAAGGGCCCCCGCCTGCCGCTGTTCCTCCTGCAGCCGCTGCTGCTGCTCCCGTACCTGCTGCTCCGACGTCAGTCGTTTCATGAGCTCAAGGTGCGTGAGCAGCGCCTCCCGCAGCCGCTCCGCACGCTCCTGCGTCTCGCGCGGTTGGCGCTCCAGGAGCTGGCTGCGAGGGGAAAGGCGCGGTTTCGGTGCGGACGGAAAGCGTGTGCGAATGGAGTTGGCTTACGGGGCTTAGAGCATGTCGACGCATGTGCCAAGCGTCCATGTGTGATGCCAGGGTTTCAAGGGCACCGATTGCTCGGCAAGGCCCCATCATTCAGCCCTGCCTCCCTGGACCTTGGCAACCAAACCCTGGCCCAATACCTACCACCCCAAATCGCTTCTGCGCATACTGAAAGTCCCATACTCAAAGCAAAAACTGACGACATACCTTCGCTTGGCGGCTAGCTCCTGCATGGATGCCGCGTACGCCTTGTCGCTGATCGCCTCGGCACTCGGATCCAAGCCATACTGAGCCATCTCGTCATCCAGTACGGCAAGCAGCTGGTCCGTGAGCAGCCCCCGCGCCGTCTCCAGGTCCTGCGCACGATGAAGAATCGGGTGTGTGAACGATCGGGATGCGCCGTTCCGGTGTCAGCAGGACAAGCCCCGGAATACGCAGACCGGCGACAATGCTGATTGAGCTTGAATGCGTGCCTGTCCACGGTGCTATGGCTTGTCGAGGATAATAACAACCACACCGTATACCGGTACCAGCAAAGCAGCCCTCACAGCGCCCATGAGGAGCTCATCAGGAGCGACACGAACCTTGAGCTCGTGGCGCTCGACCGAGAGGACGCCGGGTCGCTCGGCCAGCTCGTACGGCAGCATGGCCCTGAACACCGCTTCGTCGTCATCGCCGTACTCGTACGGATTCTCCGTGATGACTCGGATCTCCTCCGCCAGCATCATGTCCAGCGCCTCGGGCTTTAAGCCCGCCACGCGCTTCAACACGGTCTGCTGGATGTTGCTGTACGTCACAGCACGAAAAAGATCAAAACACGGCAACGTGGAGCTAGATTGCAGTGGCAAGGACACAGTTAGAACGTGTTTTCAAGGCTGGATGTAGGATACTAGCCGTTAACCTAAATCAAGGGGCCCACGCCAGAGGATACATCACTTACTAGGCCTCCGCAGGCGCCGGTCGCGGAATGCGTCGGAGCCATTTGCTGCTGGCAGACGGGTCCAGCTGCTGCTCGGACCGCTGGGGTGAGGGCGCCGTGAACGCCGGTGGAGCCGAGTCGCCGGCTGTGGCAGACGGCGGCGACGACGCGACAGGTGAGGGTGTGCGCGACGGCACCTCCGGCTGGCTAGGCTTCCGCACCGAGGATGGCGTTTCCAGGGGGGCGCTGCCAGGCTGCTGCGCGTCTTCTGGGATGAAGGAGAAGGAGCTGGTCTTGACGTGGCTGGGCCCTGCCAACCGCTCGAATTGCTGGATCTGCAAACATTAGGATGCGAGACGGGTAGGGAGCTTTTGAAACACGAAGTAACCAGTGATACGAACGGAGATACCTCCTTAACAGAGCACGGCCACTGAGCCGTAAGTATGCAGGATGCGGTACAGGCCAACTTGCCGGGGCAGTGAGCCATGCATATTGCCGGGACAGTAAGCCATGCATACGCGCAAGACCCACCTGCTGCTTCACGCGTCCCATGCTAGCCTCAGTCTCCTGCTGCTGCCGCGTGCGCTCCTCGAGTTGAGCCTGCCACCCATGAATGGGGACCAGGAGCCGTGTGGCTAGTCAGCAATCAAAGCGGCGCAACACATCAGCCCGCATTCACAGGAAGCAGAGCGCCTACGCCAACCTGTTAGCGTCCCCTGGGAATACCGGTATCACAAATGGGAAAGGAAACCAGTGGAAAGTCCTGTCATACCGTACCTGCAGGTCACGGATGGTCGCGCGCAGCCGCTCCACAAGCGCATCACGGTCCCGAAGAGCCTCCTCAAGACTCTGGACTCGCCGCTGGGAAGCGTCGCACTACAGAAGGGGGAACCAGCAGTGGTGTTGCGTGTTACTGTTTAGAAATGCCCGTGCATACGAGGCCATGGGCAAGCATGGGTTCTTAAGCTACCCCCGCTAACACTGCCGTACGAGGGTGCTTACCTCTCCCTTGAGACGTTCGATCTCTTCCGTACGCCAATCTCGGCCAATGCTTTGGTCACCTGTCACACCACCGACATGGGTTGTACAACAAGGGTGTTGCAAAAGTCCTCACGTCCAGCAGGCTCCTTGTTCATAACCAGGCCAAAGAACAGTTTAGGATCAGCGCGGCTGCGCTGTTTATATACTACCGGTATAGCGTATTCCAGACATGTACCCTTTTAGGGAACCAATGTAACGGTCATTCACTCACGTACCTGCGGCAGGAGACAGCCGAGCAGGCGATGGGCGGCTCTGCAGCTGCGACCTAAGCTGCTCCACCTCCTCAGCCAGCGTGTTTCGCTCGTCCTAGGAGGGTGACGGACATGACACACGAACACACGAAACGAGGGCTTGAGCTTTACGTTAGCATGGTAAGCATGGGGCAGCAGCCTCCTCAGGGGACCCTGCTGCTGCCGCCGCCGGCACTGGAGAGTCTCGCAACTGCGCCGCGACTGTTACGATGGCGAACCCTCTGTTTTGTATCGTGCGCACCTTGAGCTGCGATAGTTGCTGGTTTAGGCGTTCGTTCATGGCCTCGTATTCCGCCAGGAGCTTCTTCTGCAGCACATGTGGGCGAGGCACACACTTGAACAAACATGCAATGCAGATAGTTAGGAGGAAAGCCCATCATGCACTGGGGCTTTGCAAGCGCCCTGCACTCGCAGTCGTTCGCAATGGTCGTCGTCATGTTGACTCAGTACCGGTACCCTGTCATTACACGTCCTGCTTGAGTCGTGCCTTACCAGGTTTCTCACGCTAGCGTCCTGCTCGTCATCGCTGCGGTCGCCCCGCCGCTCCTCCACCACCTTCACAAACCCGCCGGCCGGCTGCACGCTCGTGCGCTCGCCGGGAGCAGCTGCGGCAGTGGCACGCAACTCCGCAAGCCTGCAACAACAGGCGGCGGTGGGCTCTTGGTTGGATCCCTGATGGGACTCGGGGTGTTGGGGCAACACCATGTGCAGCTGTACTGACTGGGATTGTCACACAGCTGCATGATACAAGCTAGAGGCAAGGTCACTAAGGACAGGGAAAGTCTTGACGCCACACCCTAGCTAGCAGACCCGTTGATGCATGCCTCAGACCCCGTTAGCACCTGCGATCAGCCTCCACAGCCTTGGCCTGAGTCATCTCCAGCTCCTCTGCGGATGTAAAGAAGCGGATATCATGCTGTCATAATCGATGTGGCTCAGATTCAAGCCACCCAACGCGCTAACCGAAACCCAACGCACCATGCAGCTGCCGTACGTCCTCATCGTACGTTCGCTTCACGTCCGCCAGCTCCTTCTCCAGCTGAGCCTTGGCAAGCTCAAGCTCCCGCACCACGCGCTCGTCCGGGCCCTGAGACGGCGGTAGCATCCTGCGCGGGAGTTGAACGGGCCAGCGACAATGTCGGCGAGCGACACGCAGCAAGGCTTGGCCATCTGTGCTCAACCCTCATGTGGGTCACATGCCCCCACATCCCTCATTGGATAAAAGCAATGATCTGCCACAGTAACTGGTGAGCACAGCTGGCGGTATGTCTTCCCGGGGAGCAAAAGTCATAGAGAAGGGAGAGTCGTCCTGTAGACAGCACAGCGGCAACCATTAGATACCGGTACGCACCCCATCGGCGCAAAGGCCGTAGCCTTCATGGCCTTCATCAGCTGCTTCTGAAGCGCGGCGATCTCGGCGCGTGCCTCTTCCAGTTCGTCCTGCGGGCCCCAGGGGCGGGGTTGTTTGGAAAGGCGGTGAGCTGGCCGGCTCAAGACTCTGTCGGCTAACAAAGTGCCGCCTCGAGGAGTGAGGCCGAATGCCCAGGGGCAGCAGAAGGTACACGGAACCCGATTTGCGCATATGCCCCATGGCGCTCACGGCAATGCTCTTGGCATGCAGGAGACTGTACCTTAATTTCCGCCTTTTGGCGCTCCGCATCAAGCAGCAGGCTGCCCAGGTTGTCACTGACGGGCCGGTTGTCGGATGCTGGCCCAGTTTCGGCGGGCCTGCCGGAGCAGGAGTCAAAGGCACAACCACCCACTCGGTGATGGCGGAGGAAACCAGACGTCTTCAGGCAATTGAGGGGACTTGACCCAACTTTCAAAGACAATACCGACACATGCTTGCCAACGAGGTTCAGCGCGGCAACAGATACCGGTACCGGTAGGTAGCTTGCCCAAGACCACCCGCATTGTGGCACTTTCTTGACTGAATGGCAACAGTGACAGTGGTAACAGTGATCCTGACGCTACCCAACGGATCCCACCTGGAGGCGATTTCCGCCAGCAGCCTGCCCTTCTCGTCCACCAGTTGGCGGTTGTCCGTTGTGGCCCGCTCCAGATCCACCGTTAGTTCGTCCTTCTCGTTCCGCAGTTTGCTGCAATGCGGGTTTTGCGGACGCGTCACAGCTCATCATCTTGACATGCTAGGTCACAAATGTATAGCGGGTGGACATGCAGGCAGGCATGCACACACGTGCAACCTCAGAGCGCGCATGAGAGTGCAGGTGTACATGGGGTACGGCATGTGCGTGGCTGCGGGGGCTTACGTGATCTCGGCCGTGGCCCGGTTGAGCTGGTCCTGAAGCCCCTGAATCGTCTGCAAGGCCTCCTGGCTGCGAACATGAAGGAAGAGACAAAGAGGTTAAGAAGGTCAAGTGTTTGCCATGTTTGGAGGCAGGTTTGGTAGGAAGAAAACGCCATCTCCCATCTTTAGCTTGCACCCGGTGAAGACCACGGTGAACGCGTTCGCGTGACTCCAGGAAATCTAGACCCGCGAGATGGCTCCCGTATTGACAGTGATTGGCACTTACTTTTGGCGGATATAGCCCTGAGGACTGGACCCTCCGCTGAGATCTGCGATGCGTAAACCAGGCAAGAGGATCAGTTTCCGGCACAGAGGTCTTCTTCCAAAGCTCCCCCCATTTGGGTCAGCGCTCAGAATGGCTGTTGCCACGGAAACTAAACCCTGTAGGGCCCGACCATGCCGTGTCCACATGGGCAGTCCCCTTACGCCACCCTGCCTCTAAACTTACGTGCCCTCGCCTTCACAGAAGCCTCCAGGTCCTTCACAGCCTGCATGCAGGCGACACAGAGCCTCAGCAAGCACGCAAGCAACCCCACGCTGCACTGCACAGGCGGTGCTTAGGTCCCCTTTCCTAGCATTACGGCACCATGTACGGTGAATGCCATGCTAAATTTGCTAATGCGACAAGGCATTAGCATGCATGCAACCGGCGCCCGCTGTTGTGTGGTGGCTGGGCAGCGCTGACCTGGTAGAGGTCGTCCCGCTCCCCCCGCAGCGCCTGGCACTCCATGGTTGCCTTGCTCAGCCGCTCTGCTAGCACCACCAGCTCCTTGCGAAGCAGCGCCTCCATCGCCACGTTGACCGGGTTGATTTCCGGTTTGGCCGGCGCCTGTACGGCAAAAAAGGCCAATGTTGTGCACAGCGCAGCATGGCGGTTGATTTGCTTAGCAGGGTAGGATGCGTTTGGCTTTGTTTGGTGAGGAGCGCGGTGTGTGTGGATGAACGCGCTAGACACAAACAGCGGTAGCCCCAGGCCCGAGCGATCTGGGTCGGTGTCTGGTCTGGATGACTGGTTCCACACACCTGCGGTGGCGGCGGCGGTGGTGGCGGCGGGGACGGTGGCGCTACCGGGGCCGCCGGCGGCGCCGCTGTTGTGGTCTTGGCGGCCTTGCCGTCGTTGATAACGGCCAGCAGCTCGTAGGTTTTAATGGTTTTGCGCGCGCGGCGGAGCTCCCTCTTGTTCATTTTCAGGTTGGCCTCGAGCTCACGAAGGCGGAGGCGAGCGGCTTGAATGTACTTGTCCATATTGTTCCTGTTGGAAGTCGTGCAACAACTTGAATTGCTGCAACGATGTATGCATTACGCATTCCACCCATGCATGAACCCTTTCGCCTTGGCCCACGGGTCACTTATCCCTGGTCTGTCAAGCCGAAGGCGAGCTCAGACATCCCACGGTAACTAGTGATGTCGTTTTGTGCCGCGCCAGTGTGCTGGCCAGTAAAATAGCATTAGGTAACTTGCAAGGCCAAGGGTACCCTTGCCGTACCTGTCCTGCTGAAGCCAGCTGTTGCTGCTCTGCAGGCAGTCCTGTACATATAGTAGGTACTCAATCATCATCTGCGAGAGTCTGAAGATTTTAATGAAGTTCAGCTCCGTAAGATGGCGAGTGTCCTCTGCTTCGATGTCACCAAAGGCCACGATGTTGACAATCTTCTCCAGCGTGTCCAGGTCCACGTCGCGCATCTACAAGAGCGTCAGACGTTCACGTCACCGACTTTCCATCAACCCTCCTTACGCGCCCTCCATAAAAGCAAGCTTCTAACTGACCATCGCGCTGATGTCAATGCCATGCAGCAGGCGCCAGTCAATGCGTGCCCGCCGCGCCTCAAACTTGAATGGGGGAAACGTTGGAGCGGCAGTCATGGTTTGGTCACGCATCTGGTGATCGTATGGGTCGTGTCCCCAAGTAGACCCTCCCCGCAAGCTGCTTCCCAGTCCATAACCCATCGTACGAGGAAACGTCGTCGTCATTTTCCTTTATCTTAATAACAGTAAAATATTATTGACTATTTAAATTGGTACCGGAAAGCCGAAAGGTCTGGTAAATATGGCTTCGCGACATAATTGCAACCATTTTTGGTGTGCATAGTAGCATACATAAGCAGTATAACACAGTAAGTTTGTCACGTTGAAGCAGCGAGAGTCTAATACATCAAGTTATGCTGCGTGCTTTGCCAGGCCAGGCATGGTCAAAGGTACGGCAACTACACTTCACCGCTCAAAGCAACAAGAAACACGCACGTAATGGTTTACAGTAGCAGGCTTGTGCCTGTTGGTTTGCATAATGCAGCTTGTACGCCGTTGTGGCTCCCAGCTTGTTGTAGACGGCAAGCAGTTCTATTTCGCTGGAGCAAATTGCCATTACCTACTGGTAAATATGCATGAAATTAATAGCGTTTATTGCGGCAATAAGCACATGGATGGCGCTAGCGCACGAAGATTTGATGGCCCTTGGGTCTCTCCTAGGAGTCCTGCAGATAAGCGACAGATAAGCAGCACACAAGTGGCAAACAGAGCATCATTGTCATTTGTGCAGGCCTACTCAGCGGATGAGGGGCAGCGGTCATATGTAAATGAAGTACTAGATGAGGCGCAGCGGCTGAACTTGACAGTAATAAGGTGCTGGGCGTTCTGCGATGGCCCAGACGAATGGAATGCACTCCAGCCAGAGCCAGGTGTGACCCATTTGTAACCTACCTTGCCTTCGTCGTGTGACAGCATGACATGTTCCCGGACGTTTCCTGTCGCACTTCTGGGCCAGGAAAGTATAACGAGCACGTCTTGCGTGGCCTGGACTGGTTAATCAGCGAAGCTGGGCGTCGCGGTATACGGTGGGTGGCTGTTAGCCGCATGGAGTATGCCATATGCGCCCTACAGGAGTCTAACTGATGTGGGTTTACACTCCTACCTCCTATGCTTATCACACTGTGACATTGTAAGCGGGGCAGCTAGCTTTGTGGGTCATTCCCCGTCCGTTCCCCATTCCTTTTGTCTTATGCAGGCTGCTCCTGGCGTTCACAAACTACTGGAACGACTATGGCGGCATGCCAGCGTACGTCAGGTGCGCCTGCAAAGAAACCTTGCGGAGTAGCGGTATTCTGCCGTTGTGGTGTGACGGTATTGTGCCATTATGCCGCCAAGGGAGGAGCGTTATCAGTCCTGTCGTACTTTTCTGCGCAGGTGGCGGCACGGGATCCTGGATAAGGCCCAGCATGATTTCCAGTAAGTCCTACTAACCATGCATCCCCGCGTGCTCATGCAATTCCATGCCACCCAACGACAGCCCATGGCTGCCTTTCCCATGTGCATGCACCCAAGCATGCCTTTAACGGGGGCTTTTGACGGGGCGGTCCGAAGTTCCCTTCTCGCCATCACCATCGCCCTCGATGACCCACGGGTCGTTTTCCGCCCGCCCAATCAAATCCCCCCAGGCAGCACCCCACGGAGCTCTTCTACACGGACCCGCACTGCCAGGCCATATTCCGCCGCGCGGTGGCCGCTCTCGTGAGCCGTGACAACACGGTCACAGGGGTGCCGTACGTTTCGGATCCAGCAATCCTGGGCTGGGAGCTTGCAAACGAGCCCCGCTGCGAGGGGCCCGGCGGGGCCGCAGTGCTGCAGGCGAGTCCGGGGAATGCTGGCTGGCTGGTAGTTAGAGCCGCAAGGCTTTGGATGCTGAGGTGTCCTACGGGGTGTTGGCTTTGCCTCGCTACCTGCATACATAGCTGCTTGGGGTGTCTCTATTTCTATACTCTGCACCGGTACACGTATACTGAGTACGCAATGAGTGCGAGCTATGACTTGTTGTGTTGCTTGATGAGTGTGTCTGCCATGATTCCGTTGTGGGTGTAGGAGTGGGTGTCGTCCACCGCCGACTTTGTCCGCAGTGTGGATCCCAACCACCTCATCACCGTGGGCCTGGAGGGCTTCTACGGCCCCAGCACCCCAGGTGAGCGGCAGTAGGGCAGCACAATGACTGCCCGTACCCGTACACCTCGAAACAGAAACATGTCCTCCTTTGCCTCCTTCTCATCCTTCACCATTCACTCCGCCCATGCATGCCCCACGCACTACTCTTCCCGCCCATGCATGCGCCCCACACACTGCTCCTTCCCACCCATGCATTCCCCACGCGCTGCTCTTTCCCCCTGCTTCCCTCCTCCCTGCTGTCCCCTTGCACCCAGACCTCCAAGAGCACAACCCCTACGAGTCCGCTGCCCGCCACGGCGCCGACTTCGCGGCGCTGTTCGAGCACCCCTCCCTGGACTTTGCATGCATCCACCTGTACCCCGACCAGTGGTGTCCGCTGGAGGCCAGCAAGGAGCAGCTCAGGTGGACGGGGCTGGGGGGGGGCGCCGGCAGGAGCTGGGGGGCGGCAGGGGATGGGGGGAGGCAGGGGATGGGGGGAGGCAGGGGATGGGGGGAGGCAGGGGATGGGGGGAGGCAGGGGATGGGGGGCGGCAGGGGTTAGGGGGCGCCAGGGGCGCCATGACAGCGGAGGGCGGTGCGGCTATACACGCGTGTGTCCAATGTCGGCAGGACATAGCGCTGGGATCCGTTGCAGCTGTGTGATGTTGGCCGCCGCGCAGGGCTTGCAGGAGCACGGATGTGTAAGGGCGCAGAATACCGTATTGGGGTGCGTTGAATATGGCTCAGAACCCAAGGGATTAAGGCGTGAATACACAATCGTCCTGGAACACACCAGCAGTGTTTGTTAGTCCATATATGCCTCATCGGGCTGTGAACGACGGCGCAGGTCGTTCATGCGCTCATGGCTCCGAAGCCACGCCAGGCTGTGTGGGGGACCCAGTCTGCGCAAGCCCCTGGTGCTGTCAGGTACGTGCCACGGGCAGGGCGGGCGGGCGGTGTTTCCGGTGTATTCGGAGCGGGCTGGTCCAAGTGGCCGCCATGGCTTTCGCCGGAAGGGGAATCGTATGCCTACGGCGCCAGCGTCAACGATTATAGGACGGCATGCCTGTTCCCTGCGTCTTGCTCCCTACCATACATGCTTCCTGCTTCGTGTTTCCTGCGTCCTGCTCCTCCTGCTCCTCTTATGTTTCGCAGAGTTTGGTAAGCGGGAGCCCACCAGCTACCACGGCCGCGACTGCTCATACAACCTGGACCGCACGGAGGCGTTCCGGGAGGTAGGGAGGCGGGGGCTTGGAGGTGGTAGCTTTGCTACAAGAAGTGACTGGCATCGTAACACCGGTTGCCAAGGACACGGCCAACCAAAGACAGTCCGATGATTGCTAGCTAGTTATCATTTTAGGCCCCACCACATCTGGGCCTTCGCATGTTCTCCCTCACACAAGGCGTGTTTTCTTAACACAACCACTTGTGTTAAGAAAACTGGCCGCGAGCTGGAACGTACTGTGATTGCCGGAGTGATTCAATGAGTGACCGTTGTGCTGTGCTGTGCGGCCAGGTGCTGGACAGCTGCATGCAGCTGGCCGCGGGGGGCGGGCCGCTGGCGGGCGTGTGCGCGTGGATGCTGGCGGCGCGGAAGTACCCAGGCACGTGTGTGTGGGGGGGGGAGGGCGGTTTGGGGTTTGAAAATAAGGAAACGGATGGGAGGGGTTTGGGGAGGCATGCATGCATGCCCAGTGGGTAGGGGTATGTAGGGGGCAACGTTGAAGCCCCTTTGGGATTGCTGCTTACGGGTTACGATCAAGGCCTGGAGAACACCCGTTTGTAACGGTCATTCATTCATTCACCCGCGTTGGAGAACTCGCCGGGTCGCAAACCTCGTCCTCCCCGCACCCCCATGATGATGCCTTATCACTCGGTCAGTTAGTTGTTTCCTTTTTGCCCCGCACCCCCTTCACATGCTGCCTGCTCCTACTCCGCCCAGATTACGACGGCTATACCCTAAAGCTCGCGCCAGCACCGCCGTTCGAGCCCCCAGAAGAGCTGCTGCAGCGGGAGCGTGAGGATGCGCCGTACGGATGCCAGGAGGAGCCGGGGGCGGGTACGTACGACACGCACGGTGTGTACGGCACCAGCAGCGCTTCCAGCATCCCCACCGCTGTCAGCATGCAGCCCGACACTGGGGTTGACGTGTCGCGGCCCATGGGTCACCACGGGGACGAGCCTGCGGTGGCGGCCCTGCGGCAGTACGGCGAGGCCATGAAGCAGCTTTCCGAGGTTTCGGCGCCGCCTTGCGCGGATTGGAGCTTGGAGAGTGATAGTGGTGTGGGGGAGAAGACGAGTGGTGAGGAGGGAGCGGCGGCGGACGGGGGGTATGAGGGGCGTGTGGGGGGGTGCGGGGTCGTGCTGAGGAAGGTGCTGGCGGGCTGTTTTCATGGCAGGTCGGCGCACTAAGGGGGTGAGGTGGGGTACGGGCATGTGGTTCAGTTGTCATCCATTGGTGGTTGAAGTGGTGAAATGATGTGAAGCAGCAGGACTGCGATGGGGTTCCCTCGAACGGACGAAGCAGTGGTGGAAATTGTGCGTGCATATGCAGGCTCGGACTGCGCGGTGATGGCGCTTTGCATGGCTAGATGTGATGGAGATGTCTGGAGTTGCGGGCGCAGGGATGGCCTGGGAGCCATGATACCCAGGCAAGCATGTTTGACGTGACATCATGGGTCGTGTATCCGTTGGCTTCTGGTGCCGCCAATGCGTTAGCTAGAGTTTGACGCGTGTGCCGTTACTGAAGCAACTATTGCTGAATTTGACCTGGCTAAGGCCAGACGCGCCATTATGCCCCAACCGCTTAACGAGTATCTGTTAGGCGGTACGACACATGCTTGGAGCGTTGACCCTTTTGGCCCTTAATTTGCCTACCCGATCACAGGTGACTACAGAGCTGCTTACGAGTCCTTACTGGATGCCAAAAGTTATTGAGGGGCCTGTTTGCCATACGAGAAGTGCAATATAATAAGATATCATTTACACATTAGCATTTCCTTGTGCTTGCTGACGTAGGGTGTTTAATTTCCCGGCAATACATTTCATACGGTTCCCGGGCTTTGACTGGTAACTAATGTGACAGCTCCGGCTGGGGCTTTCACCAGCAGTGCATATTAGTCTGTGTATACAATAATTAGAGTCAAGCAAACGTATCCAGCATAGATCAGAGTTACCACGGCTTTCCCGATGGACGACCAATCACCGCCACCGGACTACCCCGCGCTGGAAGAGCTGGATCCTAGCTTAGGTGGGTAACAAACGGATTGCTGGCCTTGTAAACGGCATGGGTCAGCCTGTCAACTCGGATGGCTGACACGACACGGGTCACCTAGAAGCACAGGAGGCGCGGGGGTTTGGGTAAGGGCAACGCGGAAAAAGTTGTCACGGGTCACGTTATCAGGAAAGTTCACCGGTCCTTAGCTGGTTTTGCTTGCACGGATTCGAGCTCTGGGCGCACAGTTCGTAGCAGAGGCACTGATTGGTGGGTTGATGCCATGATCCCCACCTGCATTTCCAGTGCCCTCACAGCTCTGCTCTGGCTGCTCATGACAGCGCGCATGTCCTGGCCAGCCAAAACACCTTTCCCACCCCCAGACCCTCCTCTGCTCTCAGGGCTCTGCAGCCCCCTAAGCCATCGCCTTGCATACCTCCCATGCACCCCTTGCCCGCAGCCGATGGCTTCCAGCTGTTCTACGAGCGGGAGGTGCCGTTCGAGCTGCGCTCCTCTGCAGACGTGGACCTGCCAACAGAGGTACGGCACGCTAGAGGGCCCGGCGTGCCCTCCTCCTGTACGGCAGATCCGGGTGCATCAGCCCCTTGGCGCAGCTCCACACGCTGGCATGGCCTCACCCGGGTCCTAAACCCTGGGCGAACGGGTTCCATACCTGTCATGCTGTCCTCTGACGTACATGCCCTGTGCCTGCCTCCCATGTACGGCACCCGTATCCCACGTACCCTCCCAACCCTGCAAGGTTGGCGCTTTGGAGGCTGTCCGGGTGAAGATCCTGGTGCAGCAGGAGGGGCCGCAGGTCAAGTGCATCCGGGTACGTACCGCACGGGGTAACCGGACATTGCATCCGCGCGTTTCACGCCAAGGCGCTCCCTTGCAGGCGGCGTCATAGAAAGCTGGAACACAGGATGTGTGGCGTTTCTGGGTCAATGCCTGTGTTCGGATGCTGCGCCATGCCCTAGATCCCGACGCCCTGAGATACTCCCAATCCCTGAAAACAAGCCCCACCCCATCCCACTCGTCCGCCCCCCCCCCGGGTCTGTTTTGGTCCCCAGGTTGAGCTGTGCAGCGAGTCCAACCTGTTCTTCCTCTACGTGCACGAGCTGACCGAGACATCCTTCAAGGAGATGCAGGTGCGCGTGTTGCTTGCCCGGTAGCTCTTAATTGTCTTAGTACACATTGCTTCAAGCTCCATCAATTTCTGGCGGGGTGGCCTGACCTGCGGCTTTCCAACGGTGTGGCTTGTCTGTTACCATCCACTGTCGGTTATCTCCTTGTGCGCAGGAGTCGCAGCGGCTGATGGTCAGCTTCTCCGACTACCCCGCTGTGCTCATGCGTATGCTAAATCAGTGCATTCGCGAGCCGCACATCTACCTTGCGGTGTTCATCATGCAGCCCACCGGGGAGGCGCGGCTGGACTTCATTCAGGTGCGTATTCAAGAAGCTGTAGAAGGCTGCGTAAGGAGAAGGTTAACTGATCCTTTTTTCGTGGGCCAGAATGAGAGCGAGGACGTGTTGCTGGTTTATACAAGCGGATAATGCTTGACTGGACTTGGTCTTTTGCCCCTGCAGAATATGGAGTACAAGTTTGTGGAGCTGCTCAGCTGTAAGTTCGTAACGGCCGCAGAGGACCTTGTCCGCCTGCATGTGAGCTACCGCTACAACGTGGTTAAGGCGCGCCTGCAGCTCATGCAAGCGCGACTCGCGGACGTCAACGCAATGGTGAGAGCCCAGATGTGACATCTCTCCAGCCATCCACTTTGGTTTGGTACCTGAGAAGCATATGTTACTGTTTGTCCTGCAGGTTAAGATGAAGAACCCAAGTCTGCTGCTCCAACTCCAGCGGACACCGCCGCGCATGCCTGGCATGCCCCCGGCTCCGCCCGGCTCTGCAAAGCCGTTCTATCCCTGAGTTGAAGTGTTACGACCGCAAGCCATGATAACCTGCATTAAGATTACTGATATTGATAGGATAGGGCGATAGCCGATAGGCTGCCGCATTTAGCTGGATTGCTAATGGCCGTACAGGCTTTGTCCGATTTGGCGCGAGCGAGCCAACCCGTGTGTCACTTGCAGGGTAATGGGGCCAGCATAGTTATAGGCGATACTTATTTATTGTATATTGTCCAGTCTTTCCTTACTTTACTGAGTCGCAAACGAACATGTTGTGACCTTCCAACGCAAGTCACTATGGACTACTATAAATGCCTGTATACCAAGCACCTTGTGAAAAAGCGGAAGACGTGGGAAGATGGGTTCCTCCAGTCGAAGGCAGGCCTTGTCTCGCTGCACGATGCCGATGGACGGCAAATTGGGGAAGGTGTTCGTCTGTCGGCAGCAGCGCTCAGTTCAGAATCGGACAGCCCAATCAAAGCCTTTGGTGGATTGCTTGTCACTGTCGAAGAGCGTTGCGGTCTAGACGAGCTTCCGGCAAGCTTGGCTGGCGCTGCGAAGGCCGGCAACGCAGGACCAACGGCCGAGAATAAGCGCCCATCAGCTGCCCCGGGACCTGACAAAACCGCGCCTGGGCCACGTGGTAACGTGGTTCCTGTTCTCGGGCGGCGCGGCGGTCCGCATTTCATGCCGCCCAAGCCGCTTGGCGCCCCCCAAACCACCTCTCAGCCTGATCCAAGCAATGGACCTCAGCTAGAAGGTGTTGCACGGCAGCCCGCCGGAACTAGCAAGCTGACGCATCCCCAACAGCAGCCACACCAACACAGCAATAACCTGGTGGGGACACGACCAGAGCCGCTTCAGCGCAGCCAACCACAAGGGCGATACATGCCCCCCGATACCTCCCAGCCTCCACAGCAACCTTTACCGCACTTGACTGGAGGTGCTCCGGACTCCCATCGCGTTGGCCAACAAGGTCCGCATGGACTTGGGGTCAGCCGCCCGCATGGTTGGGGGGTCAGCGGCGGAGCGGAGCACAGGCTGAGGACCGAACCTCCGCAACCCGGTCCCAAAACAATCACATCTCCCAGGCCTGCGGGCACCGGTACATCGCATGTGCGCTCGGGTAGGTGCCGCAGCTTGGTCTGGCTGTTGGGTGTTGCGTTTGGTTTCCTTGCATAGGCATAACTCGCTTAAGCGTATCCCTGCCTTGCCAGAGTCTTGGTTGCCCAACCGTGCTTTCCCCATCCCAAAACATCGAACCCTCCAAACCCAGATGACGACATCCTCGCTCTCATCGGCCTAGACTTCGAGCCGCCGCCACAGCCGCAGCCTCCAGCAACAGCGACGATGACGACGCATCAAGCGCCTCCAGCACCAGCACCACCACCCCAGCAACAGCAAAAGCTGCATCCATGCGGCTTCAATGGCGCCCCCGCAGCCGGTGGCAGCAGCAGGAGCAGGAGCAGCAGTTCCTCGGGGGTGCTTGCGCCAAACAACCCGGCCTGGGACCAGCCGCATGGCACCGGGCTGTCGCTAGACGACCCAGATTGGGACCTTGGAAGCGGACAGCAGCCGAAGCCGCCGCCGCTGCAGCAGCAGCACCAGCAGCAGCAGCGTCCGCCGCTGCCGCACAGGCAGCAGCAGCAGGCCCCGCCGGGGCGGCTTGGTAATGACCCCTGGGCGGAGTTTGGTGCCGACTTGGATGGCCCAGATGTGGTAGACCTAGGCGACCCAGATCAGGATCGCGCTCTTGGGGGCAGCTGCGGCAGCAAGGCAGCCGGCAACGGTAACGGCTCCTGGAACCCGCGCACTGGCGCCGTCGCTGCCAACAAGCCTGGTGCTGCTCCCCTTCCGCCTCCTGCTGCTGGCATTGCTGCCGCTGTGGGTGGTGGTAACAGCACCCATCAAGCAGCGCAAGCGCGCTGGGGCCAGCCGCCCATGCATGGCCCGCCCATGCATTCGCTGCCGCCAAACGGAGCGGGTGTGGGCAGACCTGCATGGCAGCAACCAAGTGGGGCCGACCCACGGGTCACAGCCAGCGGCCCCGAAGTATCCCACCAGGTGGCTTCTGCACGGCGTCGTTGGGGCTTGGACTCAGCTCCCGGCGCTGACGCGATCCCCGACGAGATCGTCGTACTAGATCCGTCGCAGGGCCCACCGCAGGCTCATGGAGGCTCAAAGAACGTCATCACATGTAGTGTTCCCGGGGTGCTAGAGGCCGGTGGGGCTCGGGAGGGGAGGCCGCCGACTGGAACACGTCCCGGAGCCGCCGACTGGGCTGCTTTCGGCATGCATGAGGACCTTGCAGGGATTGGGGATGACGAGGACGATGCGTGGGGTGACGGTGGGAAGGGCCAGAAGCGCGCAGTGCTCGGTACCTCTGTTACGCCCAGCGACCCAGATCAGCGCAGCAGTCGCATGGGCTGTCCTCTCGCCCATCCAGCTTCCACGATACATGCATCCGTTGCAGCAGCAGTGCAGCAGCCGCAGCAGCAGCATGCTGGCAACGCCCGCACGAGTGCATGGGGCGGTAACGCCGCCTCCGGGGTCACTGTCACTGCGGCTGCGGACGCAAACCGAGTCGCCGCCGCGCGGGCTCGGTGGTCGTCATCGGAGGCATGCAAAGGACCTTCAACGGCAGCGGCCGGGTTTGCCTCGTCTGTTGGACAGCCTAACTTCACAGCTGCTTCAGGCAGGGCAACCGGAGCCACAACCACGCTTGTAGGACCCCAGAAGCCGGCTCCTTGGAAGGCTCCTACCCCCATTGCGCGGTCCGATGCGTCTGGTTTCGGCGCCTCGGTAGCAGGCGGAGGGAGCACTGGCGGCAGTAGCAGTGCGGGTGCGCTTGCCATGGCGGGTTGTAGCGGCTTTGCGGCCCTCACGTTGCCCCCCCTGGATCAACCGGCCGTGGCTCGACGCGTGGTGGCCATCCCAGCACGCTTTACGAGCGCTGAGGCTTACAAGTGAGACACCCGGGTTGTGGGGCTGCGGGGTTGTGTTGTGGCCGTACATGGGACGTGAGGAATGGGAGTTTCCTGAATTGGGGTCGAAGTTACCGGTATGGCGTGCGGCGTTCGTGTCAAGAGCGCGTGGATTCCCCTTGTCTCGTTGGCTGGTGGAGACATGCACTTCGCCGCCGTAATCGTTTTGAACCCGCGATAGCGCCAAGTTATGGCTAGTAAAGTAGTAAACTAGTAATCCTTGCCCTGCTCCCAACTCCTTTGTTGCCTTCTGCTTGCTCACTTCAGGAGCACCCTGGTTAGCGCCCTGGTGGAGGAAATCAATCTGCGCTTGGCCGAGCCCGTACAGCAGTTTTACGGCGTCGTACGACGCCTTCTCAACGCCGTACCACCCGCCAACAGCAGCAACACCAACAACAACAGCAGCTTCGGAGGCTGGTCCGGTGGCGGCGCCCCGCACAAGCAACAACATCAAAGCCATCAACACTTCAGTAACCGTCAGGCGCCCAACCAGCATGGGCGGCCAGGCCAGCAAGCCGGCGCGGCCTCCGCTGCCAACCCAGGAGGCGCTTTCGCGCGGCTTCCCGCCCCCGCAAAGGCCGCGGAGCTCGAGCGTGCATGCATGCCCAGCCATGTGCCGTACTTTGCGAGCTGCACACTCACATGCTGGGTGAACCGCGGCGACGGAGGCGGTGGTTACGGCGGTGGTTACGGCGCGAAGAAGAAGCGCGGCAGGGCGGGAGGCGGCAGGGAGGATGATGAGGACGGGGAGGGCGGTGGCAGCAGTGGAAGTGCGCCAAAGGTGTCGTACTACCTGACCATCCCGTCGGCTCGCAGCCGACTGAAGAACACGAGGTGAGCGGATGGTGGTGATACCCGCATTGTCATGTTACCGATCACATTGCTTGCACCGCGCCGCGCCGCCACGCCACTCATCATAACCTATTCTGTTTTATACATCCCTCTGACCTTCTCTGGGCTATCTCTTGAGCTGGCATCCCCGCCCCGCCCCCAACACCTCGACGGGCTCTGGGATTGGGACTCTAGTTGTTTGCATTTGTTAGATAATGTTTTGCCCCCAACACCTCCACGTACTCCCGCATGTCTCCCATCTGCAGGCGTTACGACCTTTGGATTATCGGCTCCGAGCCGTTGCTGCAGGGAGCCGGCCTGGGGGGCCAGACGGGGCCCTGGGGGGGACCGGGCGCTGGCGGCGGCTGGCGGGCGGTGTGCCGCAGCCTGTGGCACGGCCCTGACCGGGACGGAAAGTTTGAGGTGGAGATGCTGACGGCGCCGCCGCCGGGCACCGTGAGGTGGGGACCGTGTGCCCCAAGGTTTTTGCGTTGCGTGCCATTATCCGTATTCACACTTCCTTCTTGTATTCCTGCACGCCGGTCAAACATACACGTCACCTGCGCATGCATGCATGCTGGCTGCATGTCGCCCGGCATGCCTGCAGATCTCAGGCGGTGTACTCGCTCCGGGGCCCCGAGGTGCAATCCGAGGTTCAAATGGTGCAGCTGCTGGAGGGTATCGGAGCGCCGCCAACCGCCCCTGGATCCATTCTCGCCGTTGCAGCCGCTGCAGCAGCAGCCAAAGCCACCACGGGCGCATGCGGCTCCACCCTACCGCTGCCGCTGTTACGGCACCTGCTGTCGCTGCCACCGGCGCCACATCCCAGACTTAACTTGGCGAGTATGGCTGCGGGGTTGCAGGGGCAGGGAGGTCCTTCTGCACGCGCTTACAAGAAGCCGCGGCTTGCTGAGGCGCAGCGGGCCACGGGTGATGCGGGTGCGGCAGGTGACAGTGCAGCGGGTGCAGCTGCTGGGGAGGAGCATGAGGGTGGCATGGCGGAGGGAAGCGTGAGTTTCGACCCGATTGCGATTGCTCGGGACCACATTACGAGGTTCAAGCTGAATGCGGATCAGGCTGCCGTACTGCTGCACTGCGCCTCATGGTTCCAGCCGTACGGGTCACCTCGCCCGGTACGACAAGAGGAAGGGAGACGTGGAGAAGAAGAAGGTGAAGCGACGGCGGCCGCGGGGGCAGGGAGGGCTACGGGTCGCCGAGGTGGCGGTGCCGGCGGCGGCTCCAGAGGGACGGCAAGAAAGGGCGCTAAGAAGGGAGGGGTGCAGCGTGCAGCGAAGGAGGAGGAGGGCTGGAGCGCGAGCGATCAGGATGGTGATGGTGAGAGCAACCCAGATGGCAACGGTGCCGGTAGTAGCGAGGAGGATTTGGAGGAGGAGGACAAGGCTGTGTGGGGGAGGAGGAGAAGGTCGAGTGGTACCGGCCGGGCTCGGGCCAAGGCCGGTGCTGCGGACTGGAGCAGCAGCAGCAGCAGCGAAGAGGATGGGGACGCTAGAGGTGAGGCGTGCAGCAACCGCAGCAGCCGCAGCAGCGGGAGAAGAAGCGGTAATGGGAATGGCCACGGCGGCGTCATCGGTGTTGGTGATGACGACGACAAGGATGAGGATGAAGAGGATGATGTCCTGGTGTGGGGTGGGCGGCGCAGGAAGCACGGGGCAGGGGTACAGCAGCAGCAGCAGGAGGCGGCCCGGGATGCTGCTGGTGCTGCTGCCGGGCGGCGTGGAGGGAAGGCGCGCCGGGTTTGCATTGACGACGATGTCGAAGAGGAGGAGGAGGAGGAGGAAGACGGCCATGATGAGGGGCGAGGCGGGAAGGAGGATGGGGCCGAGGGCATGGATCAGGACGGGCTGGCAGGTGCTAAAGGGCCGGGTGGTGCAGCCGCTGCTGCCGCTGCTGCCGCTGCCCCAGCACCCTCGGAGTGTCAGCCGCCCGTCTGTCTGGTGCATGGACCCTTTGGCTCGGGTGAGCTGCCGTACCGTACATGTTCAGCCGCCACACAGGGTAGCCCCACTCTGTCCCTCCTGCTTGTCATACCGGTACCGGGAGTGAGCGCGCATCTTAGCTACCTCAGGAATGCGCCGGAGTCCTCCGCTGTGTTGCTGCACGCCTCCTGCCACCTCCATGACCCTTTCACGCACCTCCATCCTTTCCTACCTGCCCCATCCTGCCCTGATCCTCTGCCCCCCTCTGGGCCCCTCTGTCCCCAGGCAAGAGCAGTCTCCTAGTCGCCCTCATCCTGATGCTCGTGGAGATGGGCCGGCAGCAGCAGCGAGCGCTAGCAGCAGCAACATCAACAGCAGCGGGACGTAAGGGAGGCCGGACACTTGCCATGAAGACCGGCTCTTCCTCCTCCTCCTCTGCTGCTGCTGCTGCTGCTGGGGGCGCCCCTCCGCTGGTGCGGGTGCTGCTGGCCTCACACACCAACGTCGCAGTGGACCGGGTGCTCATCGGCCTGCAGGTGCGCGTGGGTGTGCTGCAAGAGACAGGGAAGGGGTGCGCCATGGAACATGCTTGCTAGTTGTCACATGGCTACTTGGCTAGGCATGAGCTCCGGGAAGGACATGTCAGCCTGTGCTGTGCTGGCTGGGCTACATGTTGGCCCCATTGTACGGCACTCCTCGGGTTCCGCGCTCTCGCTTTCTCTAAAGCCCCACTTTGCCGCCGCATGACTCCGCGCATGGCCCCACCTTGCTCCGCCACACACCCCGCTCCTCACCACCGCTCACAGCTCACAACTCCTCCCACTCCTCAAAACTGCCTGGTATCACCCTCCCCACCCTCCAGGACGCCGGCTTCAGCGACTTCCTGCGGCTGGGCTCAGTGGACCGCATCGCTCGTCCCGTGCTGCACCGCAGCCTGCGGGCGGGGGACGACAGCCGGGACACGGCTGCGGAGCTGCGGAAGGCGCTCAAGGTTGGCGGGGGAAAACAGAAATAAGCAATGTGTTGAGTGAGAATGGCAAACAGGCCGACGAGCGGGGGAGGGAGGAGGGGAGGGAGGGCGGAACCGGGTGCGAAAAATAAGGCTTTTTCCCCCACCGCAGGGCTGGATGCTGCCTGCACGGCATCGCATGTTTCGTTTCCTGGGCTTATGCTTAGGCGTTTGGACCCAGCACTCAAGTTCCCGCATCTTGTCCTGCCCCTGTCCTGCCTGCAGGACGCCAGCTCGCCCTCCGATGCGGCCTACATAGAGGCAGAGCTGGCCGCGCTGGCTGCGGGCGCGGAGAAGCTGCGGCGGAAGGCGCTGCGCACCTGTCCGGTGGTGGGGGCCACGGTGTGCTCGCTGCTGCAGCCCTCATCAGAGGTGGGGGGCGGGGGGGGGGGGGGGGCTGGTAGTGGGCCTGGTGCTGGTAGGCAGGGAGCCCGGGGTAAAAAGAGGAAACTGGCGAGCTGTATGAGGAAGCTTGGCTATGTGTTGCTGCGTTGGCTGCTACCCGGCCCATACCACCCCACCAGGATTAGGGTGGCGCGGGGTGCATGGAAAGGGCGTACAGAGGAAAACCAGCCATGTGGCGAAAGGCTCCTTGCTGGGTTGCGTTCTTGCAGCTAGGGCCCCTCAACATGAGGTGTCAAGCTGTCATGCATGGTGCTTCCCCCACCCTGCAGGACGCCTGCGGCGGTAGCTTCACGGTGGTGGTGCTGGACGAGTGCAGCCAGATGACGGAGCCGCTCAGCCTGGTGCCGCTGCTGAGGGCCAAAGCAAGGTACGGAAGCCGCCGGTTGGTCGTACGGAAGAAGGCTAGGACGGCTGGGGGGCTTCTGACTGAACGACACCATGTTCGAGGTCGTGTTTCAGGTGTAATTGTCAGCTCACGCGCGCGTCCCACGGTTCCTTCTCAATGCATACGCAACATTCGCAACAGGGAATCGACTTAGTAAACATGGGTTGTACATGTCGCTGTTCATTGCCGTACAGGTACCTTGTGGCAGCGGGCGACCCGCTGCAGCTGCCGCCTGTCATCGCCACGCCCGCATACCTGTCGCTTCCGGCCCAGCCAGCATCGGCGGGAGGAGCGACCCACGGGTCATCAGCAGCCTCAGGAACGGCATCCGCCGGCCCCTTGGACAGCCTGTTGCGGCCGCTGTTCGTACGGCTGTCACAAATCGGCCATGAGTCGCACCTCCTCACCTACCAATACAGGTCAGTCAGCGGCCGCGTCGTGCGCTTCATGACTACATACCGCCGTTGCTCGGATGTCGTACCGCATGTGACGGACGTGCATTCCTGGCCTGCTGCTGTTGCGATTGTTGCTGTTGCGTCTTTACCCTTCCTAGCCCCTAATGTGTTCCCTAACCCCACTAAATACCAACACCACGCGGCCCCTCCCAGGTGTCACCCACAGCTCTCCGGCATCGCAAACGCTGCCTTTTACGGCGGCAAGCTGCGAGACGGCTGCTCCGCTTCCGACCGGCGGCCGCTGCTGCCCTGCCTGCCTCCGCTGCTGTTTGTGGAGGCTCAGGGGCAGGCCCAGTTGGACGGGTTCACACGCAGCAGCTACAACACTGCGGAGGTGGGGTGCGTTGCGTGGCATGCGTTGCGTTAGACGTGGGGTGCAGCATACGCGACTGGAGGAGGGAGTTGCGTGGCGGTCACGAATCACTCGCACCCATGGAGGGTATGCCTTGCGTTACCCGGAGCATGCGGTGCGTGTTTGCATGCGGTGCGTTGCATGGTTGGTTGGTTGCATGATGATCGTCAGCCCTGTCCCGAGACCTGTTCGCTCCTCCTGCATGCAACCACCCAACCTCCTGCCCATTCTGCACCCCCCCTGGTGAAGCCGTGTCATACAGCTTGTCAATTATCCTCTTTACCCCCCCCCCCAGGCGCACATCGTGTCACGAACCGTTGCCGCCCTGCTCGACAATGGGGTGTGCGCGGAGGAGGTGGGCGTCATCTGCTTCTACCGCGCTCAAGTCAACACAATCCGGAGAACGCTGCAGGCCCAATTGGGGCAGGCTGGGGGAGCCGCCGGCAGCGTGCAACCACAGCAGCAGCGGTCGCGGCGGGGGGCCGCGGCGGGGGCGGAAGCTGGCAACGGGGATGTGGCTGAGCGGGAGGAGGAGGGCGGTGAGGCTGCTGCGGCGGAAGAGGGCGGCGGCGCGGAGGGGGACTCTTGTGGTGGGGGAGGGGCGGCGGCACGTGGCGGCCGGGATGGCGGCGGCGGTGGGGTTCAGGTCGCGACTGTGGACTCATTCCAGGTGCGGCTTTTTTGGTGTTGCTTTGTTTTGTGTATTTGTGTTGCTTGGAGGGCTTTCCCCTGCTTTCCTCTTTTTCCTGGTGTTCTGCCGTGCTTCTTTCAAAACACACACACGTCACCGGATGTTTGTCCTTTTACTCCTGCCCCCACACGTCATCAGGGTGCCGAGAAGGAGGTGATCATCCTAGCTACAACGGTCAGCCGAGCAGCGGACTTTGCAGCGGACTCCAAGCGTCTCAATGTGGCCTTGACCCGAGGTGAATACCGTACCGTACAAAAAGGAGCTTCCGCTCTATGTCATCTCTCTCTAAGTAACGTGCTGCATGGCGCTTTCATGTCCTGAGCCCCAACCTGGGTGACAACAGCACACAGCTGTAGCGGCGACAACGGCTTTCTTAATAGGTTGCGAACGCAGTTTGCGAACGCGTTGGACACGGACTTTCTCCGCCGCTGCGTGTTGTTGTCTTACATATCTGTTGCCTCCCTCTCCCTGTTGCCTCCCTCTCCCCCTTCTCTCCCCCTCTCTCCCTTCTCTCCCCCTCTCTCCCCCTTCTCTCCCCCTCTCTCCCTGCAGGCCGGCGGCACCTCATCGTGGTGGGCGCCCCCGGAGCCCTCATGCAGACCTCCGGTGTCTTCACCCACATCATCCGCACCTGCCAGGACGCCATGCGAGCAGCAAACACAGGCGGCGGCACGGACCCACGGGTCGGCCCGACCCACGGCGCCGGCGCTGGCAGCGCCATGTACGTGTCTGCTGCCGGCCTGCAGCGGCTGCTAGAGGGGGTAGGCATGGGAGTAGGTGGCAGCAGCGGATGCGGGGTTGGTTTCGGAGCTGGGGGTACGTCCCGAGCACTGCCAGCAGTCCATCAGCCTGCGCCTCAGCAAGGGCAGCACCCGCCCTCACAGCTGCATGGGGGATGGGGACATGCCGGGATGCCGCCGCATGAGCAGCAAGGGCCTGGGAGTCGGCAGGAGGGCGATGAGGCGCGGCATGGGGGGTGCGGGTGGGGTGCGGGGTTTCGGCCTGGGGTGCAGCAGCAGCACCAGCAGCAGGAGGAGGAGACGCACCCCCGGAGCACGGCAGCACTGGGCTTGCCGGTATATGGAAGGGCAGGGTCCGCAGCGGGGCATGCACCGGTGGGTCAACAGGGCTGGTCGGCTGAGGGGCACATAGGCCGGCATCAGCAGCAGCAGCAGCAGGGCTCGGGGGTTGGCTGGTCCCACAACGGCTCAATGCAGCGAGGTGTTGCAGACGCGGCGGCGGCGGCGGCGGGTCCGCAGCAATCACCGCTTCTGCTGCAGCACCAGGCTCCGGACTTCCCTTCTGGTACCGGTTGCTCCTGCCGGGGAGGGCAGCAGCAGCAACAGCGGCAGGGAGTGCAGACACTACAGCCCAGGGACGTGCACGGAGGAAGAGGAGGAGGTTGCGGCTGGAGCAACAAGCCGCCCGCTACCACTACCGGTAGCTCCTGCGGGCCCGATCCGCGTCAGCAGCCTTCCAAGGCTCCCGGAGCAGCAGTGGTGGCGCAGCAGGCCTCTCCCTCGCCACTACACCACGGCTTGCAGGGTGCAGCCGTGAAGGGTCGGGCTGCGGCGTTAGGGGCGCTGGATTTCCTGGATGAAGAAAACCTGGAGGACCTGGAAGACAATTTTGACTAGGGGTTGAGGACGAGGGTGCTTCCTGCGTACGAGTAGCAACTGTTAAGCAACGCGCAGGCTTGCGTGAGGGCATGTGTAGTGGCCAGGTTGCCGTGAGGAGTTTCTGTACAGCATTGGTTGCGAAGGGTGGCGTTTGGCCGGATGTTGACGCAGGGATGGTGGGGCATGCCAATCTGTCGTTCTTCTGTAGGTATAGGATAAGCAGGTGTTGCATTACGAACCGGCGTTGATTCCTGGTGGCACGCAGGATCACGGCAGACAGTGCTGACACACACCCTTGTGTTTGGATACGATGTCTTGTTTCATAGTTATCGTAGGTCCATAGATTTTACGATAAGGCATATTCTCCAAGGGGAATGACCGCTTTGCCGAGTTGCAGTTTAACCGGTAGTCCTACAGACGTCTCAAGACTATTTGCACAGCGCTGATGTCTACCATAAATTCCTACAGCATAGTTTGCTATCATGCAATATGCGTCGTTGACGCCGAATGACGGCAACAAAAGCGTAAGCGCGGCAAAAGCTAGCAATGCGTAGACGCCCGGTGCGAAAACAGAGCAGCTAGGTGCAATCACCCTTTGTGATCATTACTTCAAATAGTTCATAGACCATGAATTGTATCGCGGAGCGGAGTCGACTTCCAGGGCCTATCCAGGCCATTGCATTTAACGTCGATTGTTCAGCTATCGCCGTATCGCACTGCGGGAACGATGTGGTTATTTACGAAGCATGCTCAGGCGCCTCAGGGTCAGGCGAGGCGCTGTCTTGGACCAAGGTGTGTCGTGTAATGGTTAGCCAGACGGGCCTGGACTTGCGAGCTGAAGCCAAGTATCCTTCCCCAGAGCTGCCTCTGTCCAACGCTGCACCTTGCTTCTCACAGTGAACACACATGCACCTTCCCTCCCGGCCCCTTCTACCCTCCAGGTTTCCACACTCCAGGGGCATCAGCAAGTGGTATCAGGGCTCGACTGGGCCCCCAGAACAGACCAGATCCTTTCTTGCTCGCACGATCGCAACGCGTTCGTATGGACGCGAACATCTGCCGCGGCCGCGGCCAGTACGACAGCCCCAGCAGCGTCCACAGCCGCATCAGGCCCATCTGGGTCAGCTTCCGGCTCCGAAACCAGCACCAGATCCGCGTCATGGGAGAAGCAGATGGTGATTACCCGGCTGACCAAAGGGGCGCTGTGTGTGAAGTGGAGCCCGTCAGAAGCCAAGGTATGCAGGGGAGTCCCTGCTGTTGTCTGCACCGCTTGTTGAAGTGCTGCTGCGTCCCGGTATTGATGACTGAAGCAGGGCTGCTGTGGGGTTACTACCGTGACCATGCATGTGTGGTTCCCAAACCCTGCTCCTTGTGGGGCCCGCATGCCGTTTTAGGACAGATTGACTCATGCTAACCTCCTGCTCCACCTATGACTCTCTTTGTCCTCCTTTGCTCTGCTGTCCTCCTCTCCCCTCAGTTTGCCATCGGCAGTGCTGCCAAGGTGGTGTCGGTGGGCTACTACGACCCCGAAAGCAAGTGGTGGGCGTGCAAGATGATACGCAAGGTGGGGGGATAGGTAAAGTGAGCCGCGGAAACCCTGACCAAGGTGGGGGGTTGCGGGCGCCGGCTGGTGCGGGCAGCTGCTCTGCTTCCCTTAGCACCCCGATTGCCTGGCTTGCTAGGGAAATATGCACGAATGTGTGGCATGTGGGTCGTTGGGCGTTTCAGGTCAAGCCTTCAACGGCCTTGCGTATCAGTGTTGTTGGGTCATCCACTCGTTCCTCTTGGACTCCCGTGCCCTGCGGAAACGTCCTCCGTGGGCTCCGCCCCTGCCTGCCTGCCTGTCATGTCTCATGTGCCCTATTGCCAACACACCAGGCCCATGAGAGCAGTGTGGTGGCGGTGGCCTGGCACCCCAACTCGCTGGTGCTGGCAACAGGCTCCACAGACCGGCGGGTGCGGCTGTTCAATGCCTACGTGCAAGGTGGGTAGGTGAAGGGGGTGAGGGGGGAAGGGGGTGAGGGGTGCAGAAGGAGGATTGCCTGTGTCGTGCTTTCCCGTTTCCCCAAAGCCATGCTACATGGACGCGACACTACAAGTAGAGGCAACGGTAATGCTTGCTGAGACTAGCCTGTTTTGAGTAGCACCGCTGTGTGGGGCCCTCTGCGTGCAGGCTACGAAACGGAGGCGCCGGCCGGCTCGCTGCCCCCCAACTCCTCATTCGGGGACTGCATCATTGAGGTGGGTGCTGCGCCGTGTTGTGTTGTGTTGTGTTGTGTCGTGTGTTTGCGGGCGCCGCTACGCATGCGATGCAACCGCACCAACCCCCCGCCCCGCTCACCCGCTCACGCGCCTCACCGCACCGCGCCCCTGTTAATCCGCTGTGTTGCTGCCTCGTGCCGCTGGCGCCTTCTCTTCGCCGCCTTCTCTTCCGGTGTCCAGGTGTCCCACGAGGGCTGCAGCTGGGTGCACTCGGTGTGCTGGAGCCCGGGGGACGAGGCGCTGCTGTACGCCTCTCATGACGGAGCAGTGGGCTACGTACGGGGGCCACAGGTGGGGGGCCTGATGTACTGCAGCAGCCGCCGCAGCAGCAGCAGCAGCCGGGGGCTTGTAGTCTATAGCTTGTAAAGGCTTCGGGTTAGGCCGTTGCAACGAGGAGGTGAACGGGCAGGTGCCAGTGGTTGGGCTGGGCGGGAAAGTCTGGTCACGTGCACGAATCTGCTTCTACGTATGTCTCACTCCTTGTTTCCGGTAAAATTCTCCCGGCAACAGGCTAATGTGGTGGTGCGGCTAGCAGGGCAGCAGCTGCCGTTGAAGTGCTTGGAGGCGGTTTCGGAGCGGTTGGCGGTTGGAGCCGGTTGGGACGGTTGCCTTGTGGTGCTGACGAGGCGGAGCGCGCAGGTGGGTGGCACCCCATGCTGCGGGCTCTTAGCGCACAGCGCTCTGCATGCAGGGTGGGGCACATGGAGCACGTTAGCATCTTACATACTTACCGCCTCAGGTAACTGTTTACGTATTTTTAAGGCTTTTACACTTGCGTCCTTCCAAACCCGATTGCGTAGGAGCCCTGGCAGCAGGCCGCATACCTAGGCGGGCCGTCGAGCAGCAGTGGCAACCCCTCGCTGGGCGGCAGTAGCAGCAGCCACCCCTCGCAAGGCGGCAGCTACCCGGCCGGCAGTCCGAGCATCGTACGGCATCTAGCCCAGATGCACATCAGCGCCTCGACACCTGGAGGGACGAGCACCGCAGGTGGGGTGTGCCGTATAGGGCTACATTGACGATAAGAGTATGGCCTCATGCCGTCATGTGCATACGAAGACGCCGACTGTGGGTTCTAGCAGCAACCCAGATAGCGCTTCACTGTCGGTCTCTGACCCTCTCCTGTTGCGGCGCAGGCGCCTCGGGGCAGCCCGCCGCCCACACCGCCTGTGTCACCGGGCTGCATGTGCGGCCGGCGGCAGCGGCAGCGGCAACGGCAGGAGCGAACGGCCGGAAGACATGTGCTGCTGCTGCGGCTGCTGCGGTTGGGGGACAGGCGCGGTGGCATGTGGCGTCTGCGGGTCTGGACGGACAGGTGGTGCTTTGGGACTTATCGGCGTACATGTGATAACGAGCGCTTGAGACCTTGAGTTGGGGCTTACAAAGGGGCAGGAGAGTAGGGAGGGGAATTCATGCTTGGCGGTTCCTGGTTCCTGGAAGTCCTCTGATGGTGGAATGCCCATGGGCGTTTGGTGGAAGAGGGGGTGGAAGAAAGGCATGCATGCAGGGTGCTATGGGTGGAGTGGTGGAGGAATAGGGTGCGCTTTTGTATGTGGAATAGGGGTGCGCTTTTGCAGGTGTGGTTAGCGTGCTGTTTCAGGGCAGGGACCTGGCGAGTCCGTACAGTCCAAGGCGATCCCGCCGGGCTTTTGAACAGCTAGCGTACCGGTATTGGACGGACGTCAGCAGTCTTGAATGCAGGCGTCTGAAGCCCACACGAAGGCCCTGTTCCACGCCAGCCCAAAGCATGGTAAACAAGGTTTCCAGGGGGCTCGGCGTCCCTTACACATGGCAGAGGTGAGGGTTTTCCCGCGGCACGTCGAGGGTCTCAAAGCGACTTGCACATGATAGCGAACAGGCAACAAGCTAAATTGCCAAGTATAGGTCATGCTGTCGTTCGTGCGCTGAAAGTCAGTAAGAATGCGATTATCCCAGCAAAACTGTACGGCCGCGTGTACAACACCTATGTTGACCCCTCGGATGTTGTCGCTTCGACTACTTGCTCGACGAGCACTTGGTAAACAGCTTCTGCGTATTTGTTGTTCTGCTCAAAATGGTCAAGGCAGTCAAGCCCATCGATATTACAGCGACGCTAAGATGCAAAGTAGCAGTAGTTGGTAAGCTCTACATGGGATCGTAATTAAGTCGTTAGACTGGGAATTTACAGAAGAATCTTCCTTGCATCCGCAGGAGAGGCGACCGTTGGGAAGACCTCGCTCATTTCCATGTTCACGAGCAAAGGGAGCAAGTTTCCTAAGGCGTACACGATGGTAAGTATCCGCTGTTGCCGATATGCATCATGACGCACCCTATGAGGGTTGTTTGAGTGGACACATTCCTGGGCACATGCTGCTTGTACAGACCAGCGGAGTGGACGTCACCGTCGCGCCAGTAAACATCCCGGACACCACTACCCTGGTAGAGCTCTACCTGCTCGATACCGCGGGGAACGAGCTATACAAGGATCAGATATCACAGTACTGGAACGGCGTGTACTACGCCATCCTTGTCTTCGACGTGTCTTCCATGGAGTCCTTCGAGGCATGCAAGGCTTGGCTCGAGCTCTTGAAGTCTGCACGGTAGGGGGCGCAGGGTTTGGGGTCACTTGCGTACCCATTTAACCAATAGCACACGCAGGCCAGCACGCCTTGCCCTTTGCATGCGCTCTTGGGGTACAACTAGACACTACAAGCAGGCGGCGCCTTACCCGCCTTACGATGTCAGTTCAAGCCCTTAGCTCAGCGAGAACATGTACGGCATACTTGAATGTCTGCCTTCAGCTCCCTTCAGCTGTTCGTACGGCATCCACATGCTGGTTGCCATCTTGTCTGTCCCCGTGATTCCCACGCAGACCTGACCGCGAACGGCCGCTGCGTGCCGTCATGGTGGCCAACAAGGTGGACCTGCCGCCGCAGCGGCAACAAGTCCGGATCGACATGGCGCAGGAGTGGGCCACGGCCAACGGGCTAGACTTCTTCGACGTCTCGTCGGTAAGCAGCTGCATGCCGGCTTGCGTAGAGGTGTCTGCTTTGAGTTCTTTGGCTTGTGGCCAGGCCGCAAAGACACCGCGTCCCTGTGCGACAGTGGGGGTGTGACTTGAGGGTTTGACTTTCACACCCAAGCATGTTTGCCCGGTTCGACCCTGCCGTGCAGGCGCCGCCCGGCAAGGACATTGAGGCACCATTCGTGTCCATCGCAACGACCTTTTACCGGAACTACGAGGAAAAGGTGACGGCCTTCCAGGATGCCTGCCGCAACTACTAGATTGGCGGAGCCTGCTAGCATGGTTGGCCGGGTTACGCCAGCGAGCGCGCTGGGCACAGAAGCAGTGACCGGCTTGTGGGGGGAGACAATTAATAGGGAGTTTGTTACATGGGGAAAGGGGACCGCAGGTTTGCCATGGGGCGTTTGCATGCGTACCCAAATACACGTTGGATGCATATAAATAGGCCATGTATGGCCGTCGTACATACCGGTAGGGTTAGGGACTTCGGGTACACACTGCGAACTCATAGGAGACGACACGTATGGGTTGAACCAGGCCCGTTTACAAAAAGATCACCGCTAGTGTGACGAATGCAGGTATGTGTCAAGGCGTATAATATATATGCGCTATGGCGTTTCGTGCTCTTGGGCACGGGTGTTGCCTTGGCAACTTTCCAAACAGACTATGCAGGATATGCGTGCTAATCGCATGTAATCGAGCCCAACTAACAGTTAATCGCATGTAAACACGGCCAAGTAACAAAACTGTGAACACTATAGCTGACGCGAATGCAGCATTTTGTCAAACACCGCCGCCGGGCAGTCGTACGGTGGCTTTGACCGGCGAAGGAAGTTGGATGTACGTCGCGGGGCCTCGGTCCTCCATTCCAAGAGATGGCTCTGGGCCCAAGTAACCGTCTGGGCCCTGCTGCTCGGCAGGCCAGGAGGAGGGTGCGTTGGGGCCAGCGTTTGGAGGAGGAGTCATGCGCTCGAACCGCACGACCTTGCCAACCCTGGCAACGGCGGGAGCGGGCGCTGGTAGCGGCGTCTGCATGGGAGCCTGTGGCGGCGGCGCCAGGGGAGGGACCTGGGATGAGGTGATTGCGGCAGGGGCTCCGGATGCCGGTGAGTAGGGAGCTAGGGGCTCCGGGATCTGCTCGCCCCGCCGCCGCATGAGCTCAGCGGTGTTGGGTCCAGTGGTTGATAGGGCGTTGGCTGGCACGTGCGGCCAGACGCTGTGCACCTGAGGTTGAGACGCCGACGCACCTGTGGCCAGGATTGAGCACTGGTTAGTTGCTAGACAACGCAGACAACAGCATGTGTCCCCTTTGTTCAAAGCAAAGCGATGGATCCCGATGTACCTGCGGCCATAGCCTCCACTTGTGCAGCCGTAACGGCCCTAGGCACGCTAACAGTGCGGGGCAGCAGCACCGTCACTGGGGCCGCTGCTGGTACGAGCGCTGATGATGGCGGACCCGGTGCAGGACGCGCTGACAACCTCCCCTTCGCAAGGCTCCCGCCGGGCGCTGCATTGTGGATGCGTCGGCCTGCGGTGCCCCTGGCAGGAGCGCCGCTGACTGTCCCCGGCTGCGGGGCGAGGGTCCCGTTTGCCGCCTGTGCCCGGCGTCCGTCGCTCTGATCCCTGCCACGTCCTGCGAAGCATTAGAGCGACACGGTGTTGATGCTGTTAAGCCTCTCGTAAGCCTTTTCTGACAGGTCACCAGGCAATTCAGCTCCGACAGGGCGTTCTGATGTGCAACACTCCCCCGCCCCCGCCCTACCTGTCGCGCGGCCGAGCAGCAGCTGCACTCCGTTTTGCGGACGGCTGGTGCCCTGCGTTTGCTTGGGCCCTGCGGCTTCTGCGCTCTCCGACGGGCCTGTGGTCGTCGCATCCACAGGCCCCGGGGACCCAGCGCCTCCCGCTTCGGAACCTCCGTCAACCGTCACCGTCGTCTGCGCATGTTGTTGGGCCCCATCCTCGCCGGACGTCGGCCATGCAACCGGTTTAGGCTCCAAGTGGCGACCGGCTCTCACGACCGTAGGGCTTTCGGGCGGGCTTACGATGGGACCGTGGGGCTGTGGGCAACAGTGCAGCACATGGAGACGTCAGCTGACAGCGCTGCTAACGCATACCGGGGACCCACATATATAGGTTCTACAACGGCGCGTGCTACAACCCGGCAGCATGTCAGCTCTGCAAGGTCAAGGATGTCTGATGGATGCAACTAACAATTAGAGGGTTGCAAGCTTGCAACAGGTTGCAAGATCTTTAGCACCAGCGCCGGTTCATACCTGTTGGTGGTACTCAATGGCCACAGTACCGTCCGACTGCACCCGGCGTGTCGGCAGGCTCACCGGGGACCCATCCTCCGCCGTCGCCGCCGCAGCGCTCTGCACCAGAGCTCGGTCTACAGTTTCATCTGCAAGCAAGAGAGGATCCATCGACGTTAGGGCCTGGCCTCGGCTAGGCAAAACGTCGGCAGCAGTTCGGAGCCAAGGCAAAGCACTCACCAAATGGGACCGCATCCTCAGCGTCCATCTGCGCCCACGAAAGCGAAAAAGGGATAAACCGTTATCGTTTGACCGAGATCCAAACCCGGATCCTAATCATGCGCCAGCGTAAGTCTCTGCTGATACAGGAGTGCGAGTATGCAACCCAAGTACCCAACCCACCTGCAGCACCTTGGTCCGCTGGACTAGCAGGTCGGCGGTGCCTGCCACGCCCGCTGTGATAGCGTCCACGGCGCGCACCAGCCTCTCAGCCCGCTCCGCCAGCGTCGCCACCCCCGACGCCGTGCCCTCCACGGACCGGGAGGCAACACCTGCGTCACCCACCCATTCACAACCAAGTGTCAACATCCATAAATTACAACAGAGCATTGCATTCACGTTCATATGAGCTGGGGAGCCCCTGAGACTAGTACAAGCGTACTAGTAAAAGCTCACCTGCGGTAGAGGTTTGGTTCGCAGCAGCTTTGGCCTTGCCTGCACCTCCGCCCGAGGAGCCCCTCTGCCGCGCGCGGCCCCCCTGGTTGTCCGACACCTGTTTCAGCGGACCCCGCCCAGGCGGCGGCACCCTCCCGCTCGAGGCCGCACGAGCCGCAGCCCCACCACCCATCACCCCGCCGCCGGGCGCCACCGTCCTGCCATGTGAGGGCTCCACAGCCTGCAATGACCTGGCACCGGGTGCGGTGGCACGTTGCCGCGCCAGGGCGTTTATTGCGGCCTGGCTTGGGCCGGCGACGGGTGGCATGACTTCTCCGGGGGTGAAAGCGGCCCAGCCCGGCAGGTTCCCCACGGGTGCGGCGGCGGGCAGTTGAAGCGCCGCGTTGACCGGCTGTACCGCGGTGGCCATGCCAGCGGCCCTGACTGCTGCGACGGCGTCCTCGGCGGCGGAGTGCTCGGGCGCTTGAGCTCCGGGAAGTAGCAGGGTGTGCACGTTGGGCAGGTACTGCGTGCCGACTGCAGGGCAGGAGCGCGCGGATGATACTCAGAATGAGACTGCGCAGGAGCTGCTAGGTACTACGGTATGGTCAAGGTTAAGCATGGCCATCAAGCAGCCCTGTCTGGACGGGTGATCACAAAGCACAAAAGCTCTCACTATCATGTTGCTTCCGTACTCCGAATACCGTATCACACGCAGCCAACGTGGCTTCCTTACCTTCCAGGGGCGGTCCTGGGAGGAAGCCGTAGGGGTTCAGGGTTAGCTCCTGGGCTCGTACGGCAGCCTCTGCTGCAGCCTCCTCCGCTAGCACCCTGCGTCAGTGCGGACGTAATGCGGGGGTGTAGCGTCAACACTGCAGGCTACCCGGGAACTACCGGATGCCGCTTCAAGCGCATGCAGTGTTCCTTTCACACTAGGACGCGTATAAGCCTGTCAAGGACATGGGGAGAGGCTAGGACCATATTATCACCGGTTCCGTACTCACGCCTGCCGCTGCCGCTCCTCCTCCATCTCCGCCACCGCCCTCTCCGCCGCAACCTTGGCCGCCTGGGCCTCCGCAGTTGCCGCTTCATAGTCGCGGATGGCATCGTGAGCGCGCGCGGTTGCACAGCCCGTGGTCCACAGCCGCAGACCCAGCCAGGCTCGCTCCAGTCGGCGGCGGTCACCGAGGTTCTCGATGAAGGTGGGAACTGCCTCGGTCAGCGCCTCAACCTGAAGCAGCGTGGGTAAAGTGCGGATGGCGAGGGGCGGTGAGGGGTGTGGTGAGGGTGGCGGATACGGACGATGGAGGGGGCACTTTCAAAGGCATACGTGCCGTACAGCATGGCAACCGTACCTTGTGGGCTTGGCGCTTCACGTAGGCCCAGCCGCGCCATGCCTGCGGAGTGCGGACACGGGCCCGGTGATGGCACGCAAGGTCTCATTCAAAGGTAGCAGCTCGTCGGGGGGGTTCGTGAAGATTGCCCGCCGATACCCCACGGCTAGCACAGAGAACGATGGGACAACGCAGGGAAAGCAGTGCAAAGCGGCCGTCCATGTCAAGCCATGCCAGGGGCATACATCGGTGTACCGGTATCGTACCTGCAGCACCATTCGCGCCACCTGCGCACCCGTCACCGCCTGCGGCGTGCGCAGATCGGAGGGGTCCTTGTGTCGCAACGCCGCCCGCCGTGCAACCGTCATGCGAGGGCCGTACAGGATTTCCTTGTACGTGAGGTTCTCGGGCTCCTCACGGGCTCGTAGGCGAGTGGAGTAGTCCCGCAACCGTTGACGCGCCATAACCTAGCAACAGCAACAGCAAGAGGTACCGGTGCGGTTACAAACGAGAGTACATAGAGCCAGAAGGTGTGACCAGAAAGCAAGTTAGTTGGGCGCTCATTCAAGAAGCAGAAGAAAGAAGAAACAGGAAAGCCAGGTTGCGTGGTATTGCACGGTGTATTATCATGGGAGCCTCAGCGCCAGGCCACGTACCTGTCGTCGGACCCTGAAGCGCCAGAAGTACAGAACGGAGTACGCCAGGGATTCCTCCCACCTCTCAGTCTGCAACGTCGTGAGCACCACAGCATGAGAGGAGACATGGTGAACAAAGGGACGGGAGCGGTGGGAGGTAAGCACACTGAAGACGATACCGGTATCCAACTACTGGCCGATTAGGCCTAACCCTCCCCCACCGGGACTACCCGCGTACCTTCTCTTTCATCACACGCCGAAGCGTCCTCACTCTGGACTTGGCCGCCTGCCACGCACCAAGACGGGACACGGCCGAGTATACGCACACGTCAGTTGCCCGCAGGGCATTTTTTAAAACACGGCATTGGCGTATGAAAGAAAGCCCGTTACACGTGACAGTGCCTCCCAAGAAGAGCACAACGGGTGCCCGTATGTGTCACAGCCCTCACACGGCGTTTCCCACCTCAAGCGCCATCAGAGCGGCCCTCCGTCGCTCCTCCGCGTGTGCCTCCTGCAGTGACGTCACCGCCGCCGCATGCGCCTTGTTCAGGGCCGCCACCTCCGCAAGGTGGTTGGCGCTGAGGGACGCAACCTCATCCGCATGCCGCGCGCGGGCGGCCTCCATGTCAGCCTGCGTACGGAAGAAACATCGCATAAGCCGTCGGAACCCTGGCCGTCACGGCGATTAAAACGCATCACCCGTCGGGTGGTTTCACATGCCACCCGTTCCCGTCCCGGTAGCGCTCAAGCCCATGCCATCCCGCACCCCGCGCACCTCCATGCGTGCCAGCTGCTCGCGCGTCTCCTGCTCCACACGCTGCAGCTCCCTCTGCGCTGCCACCATCTCCGCATGTGACCGCTCGGCCTGTGCGAACCACAGTGACCGGTCAGTGGTTTGTGTCTTTAACAGGGCCCTCACCATGGTAACATCGCATCAAGACAACCCGCGACCACGGAGAGCTAGAGGGCACGGTAATCGCAGCCATGCGCTGCCATGTACGCATCGGCCACATCACACATCCTATCCAACGCGCCCTACACATCCTACCCAACCCCAACCGATCCCCGCTAGTTCCCCACACAACTCATCGCGCACCTTGATTACCGCCGCTGCCGTGCGCCACTTATAAAACACCTCAGCCATCTCGCAGGCCTGTCGCAGCGACGCCATGTAGTTCACAAGTCGGTGCCGGGCAGCCACCAGCTGCACCCTCTGGTCCACCATGCGGCTCTGCAGCGCGGCTTTCTCGCCCGCCACCCCGTCGCGCACGCGTTCCGCGGCATGCAGCGCCTCCAGGGGCACCATCTTGACGGCGCGCTTGGTGGGGGAGCCGGTGCTGTGTGGGCGGGATGAGGGGAGTGCTAAAGTAAGAGGAGATTCAGTTGTTACGACGGTGGTGAAAGTCCCATAAGGGATGAGACGGAGGAGAACGCATGGCACAAGGCGGTGGCGGGATAGTCCTCCAGTCCAATGATGCCATGTGTGTCGAGCCCATGTCAGCATTCGGCGGTGCATTCGCCAGGGGATCAGGGCAGCATGGGAAGGCTGTTCTGCAGCATGCGCTGTGGACGTACCGTATGCCAGCACCCGCGGCCTCCAGCGCCTGGATAGCCATGTCCTTATTGCGGACGAGCCCACGCAGCATCAAAACCTCTCCCTGAAGATACATGGGGAGCAAAGGATGGGGGTCACGAAGTCAAGCGATGCGCCATGAACAGGCTCAACACAAGTACACGTCAGCGACCGTTGCTGCCGAGCCAGCTGGAGGCGCGCATGCACGCATGGCGCGCGCAAAGCTCCCCCGCAGCTGTAATCAGCAACCGCACCTGCAACGCCACCACGTCAACCACGGCCTCCTTGTCGGCAGCCAGGTAGTGCTGCACGCAGCGCAGCATCTCCTGCGTGTGGAGGTGGGCAGCAAGGGGAATACCTGGTGCTTCACGGTTATTTTCGTAGGTATGGCAAGACACGACAAGACGACAAAAGGCAAAGGAGCCTCTCCAACGCAAGCCCAAACGCGCAGCCTCTTGCCAATTCCCACGCCGGCCTTCAACATAAACAGAGGCACGAGGCATGCATCCATGCTGGTACCGGTACCCTTACTCCAAAAATAACAACGGCCCCAACGCCTACCTCCACAGCGGGACCGATGGCCTGCAGGTCGGGTATGATGGCCGTCAGCCGCTCCACCATGTCCGCGATCTCCCCAGGCGCCCGCGCCAACAACTCGCGGAATCGCGCCAGCGCGGCCGCGCGGTCTAGCAACAGGTGCTCCGCGGACAGTACGCGGGTGCGTGTGGCGGGGGCGTCCACCAGCCTGCGCAGAGGGGAGAGGGCGTATGCGCACAAAAGGCAAGACAGGACGCAAGCACGCAACTGACAGTTTGCAGTGTAACCTGATGCAAAAAAAAGAACTAAACAGAACTAAACGTTCAGTTCTGTTCGATCAGCCATTCGTCCTACAAACTATCCGGCCACGTTCGCACTCCATGGGTCGACCGCTTTCCCCTACACGTGCATTCCGCGTACGGATCTGGGCTTCTTGTTACCGTAGGACTGGCATTACCGCATGTGTTCGTTTGCCCTCGCCCCACCCCACCCCAGCTCGTTAGTTGCCTCGTCCGTTTCCTTAATTTTACCCCACCTGTCCCCCAGCGTCAGCGCCAGCTCCATCATGGCATTGCCCGCCTCCCGCATGGCCACCTGAGCCGCCGCGTAGCCGGGATCCCCGCCCAGCAGCGGCGGCGCAGCGGCAGCAAGATCCAGTACGGCGCGGTGCAGAGCATCCTCGCGAGTCTGCATGCGTCACCCAGGTACGCGGGGACCTTCATACAAAGGATCAGGCCCCCTGCAGTCCCCAGCCCCAGCTTCCTCAGCCCCCTGTCCTCCTCGCAGTCCCCAGACTCCAAGCATGGGAGGAGTCCAAACAGCGTAATGGAACGTGATGTGTCTCATGTGGCGTGTAGGTATGTGACGGGTGCAAAGTTACACGCACCTTGAGCTCCTCCCGCAGTCCCAGCCGCACATCTGGCTCCAGTCGCCCATCCTCTGCAGCAGCCACCTCGCTCAGCAACCCGCTCCAGCCCTGGAGCGATGGGACGCAAACGACGCAAACATGTGACAGGTAAACAGACCAGACATGGGCCAGGAGCCACGAGCAGAATACGTGGCGTGATGCAAGCCAAGGCCGGGCTTAGAGAGAGCACTGGAGCAACAGCAACAGCGATGCATGGTACTCTTGTCCTGATGGGTTACTGCCTTGCCTGCAGCAGGGAGGCTCCTCCTCGTAGGGCAGACTCCGCAGCCAGCACACGGGCTTCCAGGGAGACGGCGTGAACCTGCGAGAGGCCGCGTAGGTAGGTAGGTTAGGGGGTTAGGAGCTTAGGGCACGATGGAAATGCAGTTCCGCGATGGACAGTACAATACAGAAGCTGATAGAAGAAGAGGAAGGTCGGTCACTCGTGCTGTCGAGGGCGGGCTAACCTTCATCCGGGCAAAAGACGGCCTGTACCCTTACCTGCTTCGACGTCAGCTCCTCGCGCGCAGCCACCAGACAGCTCTCCGTCTTCGACAGCCGGTCCTGCACACGCATGGCGGCAAAGCAAGCAGCACATTACACCATGCTACCACCCCAACTGCATGTCCGCATACATTGCATGTTTGCATCCTTTGCATGCAAGGCCTCCGCCTCCAGCAGCCCGGGAGACTGAGCGAACACCATGTTACTTCCCACCTGAAGCGCCGGCAGCTTCCGCGCGAGCTCCTCCGCTTCAAAGGGCCGTGCCGCAAGCAGCGCCCCGACCTCCTCCACATCCACCCGAAGGGACTCCGCCAGCGCACGGCATTCGCCCAGCTGCGCACGCACGGCCTGCACGCAAGATTGAAGAGCCCAGCATGCAAGGAGTTATGGCCATCGAATGCATGCCAGGAGAATACCGGTACTTGACTCTCCCCGGTCTGTAAACCCCCGTTATCAGGCCAAGTACGGCTACGAAAGCCTGCCGCATGCCGATGATTTGCCTGTGACCTCGTTGCTGAGGGCGCTAACTGTGCGGGAACCCTGGTCCGGCTGCTGCCACGTCATTACCTGAACGGAGCCAGGATGCGCTGCAATGGCCTGGCATAAGGCCCCCAGCCCGAAGGCCTTGTCCGCCAGGATGACACGCACCGCCGTGGACTGCGCTTCCAGCTGGGAGGTTGCGGGCGAGGTGGCGGCGGGCGGCGGGGGCTGCGGCGGCGCCTGAGGGACAAGCTGTGGGCAAGAAGATGGGGAGGGGTCCGGAAGGAGTGCGAGGGTCAGCATGTCATCACGCTGCACAGCCATGCATGGGAGCTCACCACCGTGCTTTCCTCAGCAACACCTCCATTCCCCAAAGATGGACCACAGCCGATGAGGCAGCGACCCGTGAGCTCTATAGCCGCCATCGCCAAGGGAGTCCGATCGGCTCAGGCCCATCAGGAGAGCCTCGTCGCCCGCCCGCCCGCATGCCCCTCCAGTCCCAGCGCTCACATTTCCCTCCCTGTCCAGCACCAGGATGGGTCCCAGCGCCGACTCCGCCGCCAGCCGCTTCAGCTCGGCAGCCAGCTCCGCGTTGATGCGGTGCTGCGCGTCGCGCTGCTGCCGGGACTCCCGCAGCTGGGCCTCCAGGCTGCTGCACTCCTCAGCCATGCGCCTGCATTGGCGCGCGAAAGCAGGAGGGTAAGTTAACAAACGCAACCATGCGATACCTAGTGACGTCACACATCAGCCGCCGGACCTGTTTAGACCCTTTTTTCAGCGATCGGATAAGTCCCTTTTGCTCCAGCCCCGCAAGCAGGACCCCAGTGAAGTACGCCATGCGTGCCGTACCTTACGTGGCCCTGCTGCTGCGCAATGACCGCCTCCGCTGATGTCAGCCGCTCCGCCAGGTCCGTGTTGCTGGTCATCGCCATGTCAAGCTCGGTGGAGAGCCGGGTGGTGACCTGAGGCAGGGGGCGGGAGGTTCAGGAGTTCACAGACCAGGTGAGGCAGGGCGGGCAGGATTGGAAACGCAGATTCCATCATAACACCTCGGGCAGCAAACACTGGGAGGGAGGAAAAGGCCTGGCGGTGGACGGTCTTCTCTTGCAGTGGCGAATGAGAGCAAGCACTATGGCGCCGGCTTACCTGCAGGGTGTGCGACTCGTCGCCCTCGCCTACAAGCTCCCGACCGATGCTCGCAACAGCCTGTTCGAAGCGCATACCGGTCTTTAGGAACGTTTGGATCGCAGTGTACATAGAGACCTATAATGCAACCACGTATTGCTGCAAGACATGCATGCGGCCAGGGTAGGCAGTCCGGGATGTACATGCATGCACAAGCAAAAGGCCTTACGTCAAGGATGGTTTCCCGCATGGTGGCCGCCGCCGCCTGCCGCTTCAGCCGCTGCTCCGCTGCAGCCAACTTGGCCGCCACGCCCTCCAAGGAGGCACGAAGCTCGTCCCTGAACAAGTAAAGATCAGGTTGCAGTCAAACCAAGGCGCTGTTGGATCAACCGAGCCGAACCTGTGCACGGCGTTACACATGCGAAACAACGACGATAGATGCCCCATGTATCCTTGCAAGCAGGGTACTGTGTCCTCGGTTCCAGACCCACCTGGCAGCCACGAGGGAGTCGTTGACAGCTTGCATGCTGTCCATACGCTCCCGCATGCGCTGGACGTCGGAAGCAGCCATGCGTGCGGCCTGAAGCACGGGAACGTCGACACATGTGGGTACTCAGTAGCAGCAAAAGGTGGACAGGACCCGTTGCTCGTGAGGCTGCTTGACGCCTTGCAACGGAAACCCAACCAACCCACATACCTTCAGCTCAGATAGCTCCGCATGGTACCGCTCGCGCAGGCCGCTGAGTTCCGCGTATAGCTTGGCAATGGTTTCGGAGCGAGCAGCGGCCTGCGCCTCCGCCGCCGCTGCTCGCTCGCCGGTGGCACGAGCGAGGGCCTCCAACCGCTCGACCTCCTCCTGCAGCGGCACCCGGGCGCATTTGATCAACGTATCTTCAACACGGAATGGATGCGGTCGAGCACAAGTGGTTGTAAACGGCGTAGATCGCCAACGCGGAGAAGAGACCGCTTGGGTGCTTAATGCAATTTTCTTTTCTTTTCTTTGGAACGCCATGACACTAGTAGGACCGTACAGTAGTGGGTATGTAGGTATGTAGCCGGTACCGTATCGAGCAGCCGGTACGTAGATAGGGCTCACCTGGAGCCGCGCCGCATTGCGTTTTTGGTGCAGCCCCTCCTGATTCGCTTCCGCCACCTGTTCAAAGCCATAAGTTATGTGTTGTTCAGCAGGGTATCCTGACCCACATGCCGTGGGTCTCCCAAAGGGCGTACGTGAGCCAAGAAATAAGGGGGTCAAAGACCGGTAGGGCAGCATACCGCGGTATTCGGTACGACACCGACAGCCCCCTGGCGCACCTCTCTGTCCCGCTGTGCCATCGAGTCCAGCAAGACCTGCTGCTGAGCCACCAGCGTCTGACACTGATCACGCAGCGCCTCCAACTCCATGTCATAGCGCTTTGCTTCGTCCTGGCCAGTTAGGGAAAAGGGAGGTGTAAGAACGGTAACCATAGCACGCTAACCATAGCATGGTATTGGTAACCATGATCACCATGTGCTGTGGGCAGCCAGAATTGACTAGGTAATGGGCTAAAGGCCGCACCTGGCGACGCCTAACCTCCTCCTGGTGCATGGTGTTTGCAGTACGTGCCTGCTCGGCGTTCGACCTGCATATGAAAGGCGGCGAGGTTTGTAGGCGCTTATTACGTGGGTTAGTCCTTCTACCATGGGCTTGCAACCAGGACGAACGCGACCCATGGGACATACCGTGATGCGCCCTCGGCAGCTTCCAAAGCTCGAAACAGCTCCTCATTTTGAGCACGCAGCTGATCGATATGCACCAGCGCTGTACGGTGATCATTTGACAGCTTCGAAAGGGCCTGCGTTGTCTCGTCCAACCTACAATGTTCGGGTTTGCCCCAGGTATCCAGTTAAGGATTAGAGTGCGCCTAGGTAAACAGAATGCTAAAGTGAACCGTACACGCGCCTCAGGACTCGGTCGACAGCTTGGTGTCCGTACTAACCTTTCTTGTGTCCTCGCTAGCTGCTTTTGCACCCTGCTCGCTGCTTCCTCCTCTTGAGCGACCTCTTCAAGTATTCCTTCCAGTTCCCGTCGGAAGTTAGCCTGACGGAGTAACATGGTCTTATGCTGTCTAGCTCGTCTAGCTCACATGCACCATCAGAATGTAGGGCAACCCCACCTTGAGAGCTGCCTGGCGCCACTTGAAGAATGCAGTAGCAGCCGATAGCAAGTCTTTTTGTTCTGCGTCCTCATCATGCTGCTGCGATAGTAGCAGGGAAGGCAGCGCCATAGTGACTGTAACTCCACCCTTGCTTGCTTGCTTTCTTCGTCTAGAGTCAAGCTCTAACGATGCGGTAATCGTCTCAGGTGTCTATACATTTTCCATACGCAGTAAAGTGCCTAAAGTCACAAAGGATTTGCTGGTTTGACCCATGTTCCATGAATGAACAACAGTTCCTGCCCGCTAAAATGATTCGGTAAGGAGCAAACCAAATGTAAAGAAGTTCCTCTTACAGAAATATGGTCACATTTTGACTGCGAGCCAACCGCCGTACAAACCGAATGCCGGCATGGTTTGCATCACCGAAGCCTGCGCCCGCACATCTATGATACAACCTCAACACACATACGTGTAAGCCGTAGAAGATCCGTTAGCTGTGTGCAACACCTGGTAACATACGTTGTATTGCAGCAACCTTGCTTCGTAGGTAACACAGAGCAGGTATCATAGAGAATGGGTTATGCGACGCTGCAATCGGCCAGCAGCGCCGATGGGCCTATTGGATCAAACGGAAATGACGAGGAAGCCTCGTTGGCAGCCGTCGAAGCCTTCCTTTCGGACAGCCCGGTCTCCGGCGAGGCCGTAGCCGATAGTATCGCAGAGTTCTTGTCTAGGCACTCCAGCAGCAGCGGCACGAGCGGAGGCTCAGGGAACAACCTTGTCGACAGACCCATCGTGGTTGTGACGTCCGGGGGCACCACCGTGCCGCTAGAGCGCCGCTGCGTTCGCTTCATTGACAACTTTAGCGCTGGGACGCGAGGGGCATTGTCCGCCGAGAGATTCCTTGAGGTGCGCCTCATTTGGTCTGTTCGCCATGGAGCCGGCACGCGCGAAGCTGGCCTTCCCTTGTACATTCACACCATCTTTGCTGTCGGTTGTCCAGTCAAGTGCGGCCCCTACAACCTGAACAGGAGACCTGTTCCGCACGCACAAGTATGACTTTGCATGACTCACATGCGTGTTTCCTCATCACCACGCGCAGGCAGGCTACGCGGTCATATTCCTCACCCGCACAGGCTCACAGCAGCCTTTCGCACACCTGCTTCCCTCCACGGACCCTCCGGAGCTCGTCAACCGGATAGCCTGTCTGGCCCCAGAAGTAAAGCAGGACAGCGAAGCAGGCAGCTCGGGCGCTGCGGGGCCGTCATCCTCGGGTGCATGCGCCAGCAGCGACAGCGCCGTCAGCATTCGCCCAGAGCAGGCCGCAGCGGTGGCTCGTGTGCTGCGTCTGCAGGCTTCCTGCAGGGGGGCTGGCACGCTGCTGGCAATCAAGTATGAGACCATTTTCGAGTACATGACGGTGAGAGGGGTGGGGGTTGCCATGCGGCTGGGTGCTTGAGGACTGCTGGGTTGGTTCCGTTGCGCCAATGTAAGGGAAGGGGCTTATGTTTATCCCCTGGATTCGCATCAAGGTGCTTCCCGGCAGTCTTGGTTATGTGTACGGCCTCATGACCCTTCGGCCTGTCACATTGCAGCATGTTTACGATAAATTCCCAAACCACCCCACTTGAGGACAACGCTCTTCTCTCCCGCTGCCCTCCCCTTCCCCACATTCGCCGCCTTCTCAAATGCCGTCGTACGCCATTGTCGTACATCATTGTGGCGTACTATATGTGTCGTACAGTACCTGCGGCTGCTCGCTGACCTGCTGCGGCCGCTGGGGTCCCGTGTCATGTTCTACCTGGCTGCGGCGGTCAGCGACTTCTACGTGCCCTGGTCCCAGCTGGTGGGTGGCGCGGGCGGGGGCTTCCGGAGTGCGGGATACCCGGAGACAAAGCGGTTTGCGGTTCCATCAGTTCAGCGACTTCCTTAGCTGCTTTCAACACTGACGGATAGGGATGTGCCGTGGCCTCATGAGCTCATCTCTGGGGCTACACTACCGGCGTACCTGCCTGGGATGTCGTCCTGCCCTCCGCCCTCCCTTTAGTCGCCATCTTTGAACCCATCCAATCCCCTTTGCAGGCGGAGCACAAGATTCAGAGCGCGGACGGCCCCCTGACTCTGCAGCTGCAGAAGGTGCGCATGGGGATTCCATCATGAACGGGGCTCGCAACGCGCATGCTGGTTCGGGCGCTGCATAGCGTCCCCCTCGCGCCTCTATCGCTCACAGTTGGGAGTCCTCCCCATGTCTTCCTTCTTTGCGGACGAGGGACGACGCTTGCGCCCTCTGTCGGCAGGTGCCCAAGATGCTTGGCGTGCTGGTGCACGAGTGGGTGCCGGGCGCGTTCGTGGTGAGCTTCAAGCTGGAGACGGACCAACGCATCCTCGTGAAGAAGGTGCGGTGTGGTGCGGGTGTTGGAAGGAGGAAGGCGGAAAGCAAGCAATGGGACAAAGGCAGCACATTATGATGCTGATGCTGGTCGCCCCCACCCAGCCCCAACCCGAGTCGCGGTGGTTGTTGTCCTGGGGCGCACTGGGCGCTGTATTCGTGGTTGTTCCGCCCACACTCCATTGCCTCTCCCGTTCCGCTGAGGGTGCGTTGCTTGTCCTGCTCGCGCTCCACTTGTTTCCCCTCGTTCATGCAGGCCAGCGGCGCTCTGGAGCGTTACGGTGTGCACCTGGTGGTGGCCAACCTGCTGCACAACCGCAAGGAGGTGGTCACACTGGTGGAGCGCAGCCAGCAGGGCAGCAGCATTGGGGCGGCGCAGGCGGGCGCGGGCGCAGGCGAGGAGGGCAATGGCGGTGGCGTGGCTGTGGTGGAGGTGCGGCGGCCAGCCGAGGATGTGGACATTGAGCGGTTGCTGGTTGTGGAGGTGGCGATGAGGCATCGGGCGTTCCGGGAGAGGGCCGTGAAGGGATGATGGAATGAGAAGGGTGATGGGGCTGGGAACGGGTGGCTTGGGGAAGAGGTGTGAAGTGTGCATGTCGCTGACTAAGAGGATAGAAGACAGGATGGTTGTGCTTAGGGTTGGAGAAATGCGGAGTTGCAGGTGCTATAAGCGGTATGGTAGGTCTCCCGGTATGCCATGCATAAGGGTCGCGAGTGGGTCGCTGTTGAAGCGATGGTAAAGTACCGGTATATATGTAATGGCAGATATTTGTGCCGAAAGTTTTTATTCCCTTGCTTTGCTACGTTATAGCACCTTTAAGGGCCTGCTGAGTACTGGGGGATAACCGAGAACAAAGGTTGGTGCCGTAGATGCCGTTAAAAAGAGCGGTGCCGAAACAGGCTCGCTGGCTGCCGATGCGTACTTCGATTTTATTGGTACGCGTTTGCGTTTATGCTAGTCGTATGACTTCTGGAGGTGTTGAGCGTTGCTTTTTGGTGAATCGCCAGCGGTTGGCCTGCCTGACACCGCAGTACAAAAGTTCAATGTTTGTTAAAAGAGCTATACGAGGCCTACTATGTGTCCGGCGTTTGCTGTGGCTGGGAGGTATCCTTTGTATTGCTGGTTAAGAAGAGTCCTTTATGGTCCTTCGGAGCCAAGGCACCTGCTCAATGCCGAGGGGATTCTTCGACCACGTTTGGGAGCCAACAATAACTAGCGGAACTGAACCTCTTGCATTTTGCAGAAGACTCTAAATTGACGCTTGGCAGTGTCCAAGTTCTCGTACTGCGGTCCCGTACGTGCCTTTGTCCGCTTCCCTTCCACCCTGCTCCCTTTTTCAGCCATGCTAGTGGAGACTTAAGTTGCATCCCACATTACTGAATCGTTGTACCCAATCTGCATAGTTAGGCTTGGCTACAAAGGAACCAGAAAATGCTCGGCAATGGCTCCCAGCGTCGAGCCAGTGCCCGAGCACTTGGACGCAGCACACCAGCCGCAATACGGCCCCGCCGCTGCAGGCGCTCAACGACGTTGAGGACACTGGCGTTGAGCTTGTCCAGTTCTGGACCAAACTCATCCGGAGCGGCTGGTACCCCGGGCAACACCAACAACAGCGGCATTCTGCGCAGCATAAGGTCCAGAGTCGTGGCGGGCGCTGTAGCTACAAGTGCAGTAAACGTAGAGCAGCATTTACTGACATTATCGCGCTTTCTGACACCCTCGGGCGAGGAGCATATGGAGCTTCTGCCAGCAGCACTTGCAGCAACAGAAGCTATTCGTGACACGGTCGCCACGGCAGTAAATAGCAAGATGCCGGGAGTTAAGACCCTCCAGACGAACGTTGTCACGTCGGGCGCACTTGGACCGCTGACAGCCCTCGCCCAGCGAGGCTACCCAGTCGCCTTTGAAGCCCTACAAATATTGTCATATCGCAATACGCACGTTTGCCAACAACTTGTGGAGAAGGGCTTGGGTAAGTGCCACAAGCGACATGGCTGACCTCAGCAGCCCGGTTACGCACATGTTTTATGTAACCCTTATGGTACTTTACTATAAGGATGGGTATAGGCCTAGGTACACACACTATTGCTGTAACCTTTGACAACGAAACGCTGTCGTCATTTGCGCCTACTAAAGTACTCCTCATGACACCGCTCCGGAGCTTAGGTTACGTGCCGCTACCAGGATCCGGGGTGCACGTGTCTTGATGCCCGCTTTCGTCCGTCTGTGTGACTTGCTTCGGCAAGACTGGGCTCCTGTACTGAGGCTGCCCCTCCTCCATTGCGTCCGCTCTGCCCTCCCTCCCGCACCGCAGTGGAGCTTATATCCCACACGCTCAGCGACAGCAGGTACGACAGTAGGCGGTTGCTTAACCTGGGTATCGTATACAAGCATTGCTTGGGCAGGTTTTTCGCACCGCATGTCAAGCTGGTTACTCCCAGGTTACCTAAAGAGGCCTGTTCAGGCCACTTGCTCTGGCTCTCCTCGCGCTCCTCGCCGAACACAATCCATCCTTACCTATACCTAATGCAACATTATACGACCCACATGGCTGAAGCCGTGTCGCACAATTAGCATGTCCCTTCCCCTTCATCCCAACCTGCCCCTCCCACCCTCCCTCCCTCCTCACCTCCGCCCCCCAGCGTGGACCTGCAATGCGCCATGTGCTTCCTGTTAACCGCCTTCGCCGCCTTCGCGGACTCCTCCCACGCACCCATGATGCGATCCGGGCTGGTGCCCAAGCTCGTGATGCTTTGCCGGACAACAGAGGTGAGGGCACCGGTGTACGGATGTACCGTACAACCTACATCATGGTGTTGCGGTTTACCATGCAACCCCCCATGGTTGCTCATGCACGGTTCCCCAAAACCCTCCGCCATGGCAGGGAGCCCGAGGACCCCTCCTGATCTCCCTGCCTCACTCTCCATGCTACCATTTCCACCACCCCCTCCCTCCCCCGCTTCAACCCCCCTTTCACCTCGCCCTGCCGTACACCCCCCATCCCCGTACAACAACACAGGTGGGCGGCATGGCGGTTGAAACCGGTTCGCGGGTGGCCACGCTGCAGACGCGCGCCGCCGCGGTGCTGCGCAACCTGGCTCACAACCAGCGCAACCACGCGGTGCTCATCCAGGCGGGGGCGGTGGAGCCGCTGGTGGACATCATGCGGAGCAGCCATGTAAGGGGGGAGGAGGGGGGAGGGGAGCCATGTAAGGGGGGAGGAGGGGGGAGGGGAGCCATGTAAGGGGGGAGGAGGAGGGGGCGGCGAGGGGGGGAAGTTAAACGAGAAGGGAAGAGGGGGGAGAAGGAAAGTGGTTTGGGGGGAGTGGAGAAGGGTTTATAGATGCACTGAGGCGGAGAGGGTGGTGGTGGTAGGGGTACGGGTAGTGGGGAGGGTTTTGTGCGGGCTGAAGGCTGTAAGCAGGGCGGCGGGCGGCGAGTGTGTGTGTTAAGAAAACTGGCCACGAGTAGGAACGTACTGGGATGTGGGAGGGGGGGTTATGCTAGGGTGGGGGTTGTGCATCTGAATCGCGGGAGGAAACACTGAGGAGGAGGGAGGGGTGCATGACGGGTGGCGACGGTTGGAGTCGTTGGGGGGTTGTTGCACTGGGGTTGCTTCACGGAAGAGCAGCATGGGGGCGCATGGGGGTTTACCAGATGGCAGGAGGCGCCCAGGGCAGGAGGCGCAGGGCACAGCGAATGTCCGGGATGGCTGGGGCAGCACACACGCACGCACGCACGTCCATGCGAACCTCTCACTGCAGCCCGCCCTCCTTCCCCGCCCGTCTCCTTCCTTCCCCGCCCGTCCCGCTCATGTCCTCATATCCCGCCGCCGCCCCGCACCCCGGCCCCCCGCATTCCCCCCTCAGGACCCCGCCTCCCGCATCAACGCAGCAGTTGCGGTGGCCTGCCTGGTGGGGCACGAAGAGGGCAACCCGCGGCTGCAGCTGGACGAGGAGCTGGTGGGTGAGATGTTGGAGGTGCTGGACTCGTCGTGTCACGGCGGCATGCGGCACGGCATCTTCTGGACGGTGTGGAAGCTGTGTCAGGGGCTAGCGTCGTTGAGCGTGAACGATAAGAACAAGGAGATGATCACGGCCAAGGTAGGGGCGGATGGATGGATGGGCAGTTATGGGTTGGTGGAGGTTTGTGGGGTGTGGGAGAGCTTGGGAGGGTAGTGGGGTGGTGAGCTGCGAGGGGTTCTCCAGGGAAGGCGGTGGTGGTGGACGGTCCTGGCGAGAGGTGGTGTATAGCGGCTCCCGAGCTGCATGCCGCATGGTATTACCTCCGCACCTACTTACCGGGGGCTCTTTCACTACCTGCTCTCTCTCCTCACACGCACTCCGCCCACCTAACCCTCATCAATTTAACGCATGGTTGCTCTTCTTTTATACCCCCCTCCTCACTACCTGCCCTCCTCCCCCCCCCCCCCCCACCTGCCCCCTGCCCCCCAGGGCGGTGTGGATATCCTGGCGGAGGTGGTGATGAGCAAGCACCACAACCAGGAGACCGCACACCGCTTCGCGCTGTCCGCACTCTGGAACCTGGCCTTCAACGAGCGCAGCAAGGCGGTCATCATCGACACCCCCGGGCTGGTGGACTCGATCCGATCCATCCTGGCCACCTCCGAGTCGCCCAAGACGCGGGAGGTGGCCAAGGGCGCGTTGTGGACGCTGGGTAAGAGTGGGGTGGCAGGATGATGGGTTGTGTGTGGTTGTATGTGGTTGTGCGTGCTCATGTGTGTTAACCTGCTGCCCATACCTAACCGTAACCGTGTACGGACACACGAAACACACAGAGGCACATGCTACATGCATGCTCCTGTGGCGGTTCTGTGGGGACTTCATCTTCCGGCAATCACAGTACTCTTAACACATGCTTCACACACGCACGCACAGGTCTGGAGCAGGACGTGAAGAGCCTGCAGGAGGGCGGCGGGCGGTTGGTGGCGGTTGACGAGGAGGTGGAGCAGCAGACGCAGCACGTTATGTTGTCGTACGAGTGGGGCTGTCAGCAGTCGGTTATGCTAATCAAGAGCGAGCTGCAGAAGGCGGGCTACCAGACCTGGATGGACATTGACAAGATGAGCGGTGAGGCTGCTGGGTGAGGGGAGGGTAGCATTTGACTGTGTGATAGAAAAGAGTTGGGCGCGGATCTCAGTCACGGCTTTCCCATCCTGCTCAACCCTCTCACCCACACCCGCACGCCACCCCCGCCCCACCCTACAGGAAGCACCCTGGAGGCCATGGCCAAGGCCGTCGAGGACTCTGCCGCCGTGCTCGTCTGCGTCAGCAAGCGCTACAAGGAGAGCCAGGCCTGCCGTACGGAGGCGGAGTACGCCTTCCAGCAGCGCAAGAAGATCGTGCCGGTGCTGATGGAGGCGGACTACAAGCCCACGGGGTGGCTGGGGGCGCTGATGGGCACCCGACTGTACTTCAACATGTCGGATCCGCGGCAGATACCCGCCAAGATGGGCTCGCTTATAAAGGAGCTGGGGGATGCGGGCAGGTGAGGGTACCCTCGCTCGCTCGCGGCCTCCCCCCTCGCTCTCTTACCACCTCTTTCCAGCCCTCACGCACCCTCATGCGCCTGCCTCCCTCCCCTCACTACCATCAACACACTTCCGACATTGGGTCTTCTTCTACTTCTCCCCCTTCCAAACCCACCACCCCAGGATCAACCTGCTGCCCAAGGACGCCGCGATTCGCAGCGCCTCTCTGGCCATGGCCACCGCCTCAGACCGGGCCGACAGCTGGAACGTGTATGAGGTAGAGGAGTGGCTCAAACGCATCAAGTGCTCGGACTACGTGGGGACGTTTCGGGAGCACAACATGGACGGTGTGGCGCTGAGCGGGCTGTACCGAATGGGAACCGACATGCGTTTCCTGCATGAGACACTGCGGGCGGAGTTTGGGGTGGTGGTGATGGGACACCGATTGAGGCTGATTGAGGAGTTGAATAAGCTGTTTGGTTAGGAGGAGAGGTGGGAGGGGTTGTTGTGAGGGTTGAGGAGGAGGAGGAGTGGCGGGTTTGGGAGGCGTGCGGGAAGCGGTCTGGCAGGGGGTACCGGTATGTTTGGTGGTTCAAAGAGGGGAGCTCGGTGCCAGAACGCTGGGATTGATGTGGAGGAGGAGGAGCATGGCAAGATGGCAAGATGTAGTAGTAGTAGCCTTCTGAGAAGAGATAACAGAGAGTTATAGACGTGCTAGTAGTTATGTGGTTGTCGGTTGGTTTGCCGGTGGGGTCTGTCTTCAAACTTCAAACGCCCCGAGGACACCATGCCAGGTTGCTTATAAGTTGATCAGGGTCTTGGTGGATGGGAAAAGGGTCGGCGTTATGCACGAATGCACGAACACAACAAAGTACACAGTGCTGCATCGGGCATGGCCCTTGGGAGGCAAGAGGTTTCGCTGTGAGGGTTGCTTTCTGCATGCAGGCAGGAGGGTCATGTTTGCATGCATGTACAGGGGTGCTTTGGTGAGAGCGACCCTCCTTGGTGAGCGGTCCTGATGCTGCCGCTGCCACTCGTGCGCTGCGCAGCATACAGCAGCCTCCGCTTCATGCATTACCGGTATTTGCTGCCATGCATGTTGCGTGCACAGCGCCTCTCCCAGGACGTGTAGAGCGGTGTTTCCCGGGGTGCCTGCCTTCTCTTAACGTATGTGTTAAGAAAGCTGGCCGTGTATGAGACATGCGTTGAGTAGTGGACTTAGTAAGGCCTCCAACGGTCTCCAACGGATGCCGTTAAAGCGCATGGCCGCGGCTAAAAATCGTTGTGGACGAGCGTTGGCCTGGGGTGCGCTGCTGTTGGGAGGACAACTAGCACGGGCCGGTTAGTTGTCGGTTGTCAGTTGTGTCTCGTCATGACATGGAAGAGACGGTTTATGTGCTCCCTCGATTGTGATCTGATTACAGTTTGCCTCAGCTCCCCCACACACATTGGAGCTGCGACAAAAGGGTATTGTTTGCATTTCGAGCTGCGGAGCGGAAGAGGGAATCCTTTGGGGGTGTTGGTGTTAGTCATCATCCCCTGATGTGCTTTCGCGCGGCGGCCTGCGACTTGCAAAGGCATACGTAGCGCTTCTGCGTTATAGGGCATAACGTGGGCTACGTCAGGGGTGATCACGGGGTTATGGAGAGTCGCCGTTGGGTAAGGATGGTACAACTTTCGTGATCGTACGGTTATCTAGTTTTATATAAGTTGAGTAGCTAATACCGGTAATGGGTTCTTGCCTTTCCTAAAGAGGAAAGGCAAGATATTGTGTGTTTGTGCTGTTAAGGTGCTGTGTATGCTTCTTGCGCCGCAGGACGGATGGACCATTAGAAGATGCGGCTGCAAAAGCGGGTGGGAGGAATTAGAGAGCAAGGAGTGTGCTATGAAAACTGGCCGCGAGTGTGTGTGCAGGTGTTTTGCTGAGCAAGATCAAATGCCTTTTCATCGCACTAGAAAGGTCATTTACGGCCCACTTCTACCCTTATGGCATTTGTCCGTGGTGAATGTCGTTGGTGATTTGGTTGGACGGTGGTTCATTGTGGGTCGGTTGCAGGTCCGCCGGGGGGCGCCGTTGGCCCGAGCGTCCGTAGTTGACGGTATGACGGTTTTGTCGTACAAGCAAACGGTTGTCGTGACGCGCGGGTGCATGCATGGCGCAACAACAGTCTCTATGCCACAAGGTGACCCGTGGGTCACTTTGCATGGGGTGTGCGCGCGGGAGGACATGACGCCTAATGATGGGGGCGAAACACCTGAGGCGTCCCAGGCACCGTCACAGCATACGCCCCTAACGTTGCGCTTCTGTTTCTCGGGGTCGGGGGGACCTTCCTTTTCAGGTCCCTCATTTTGATATTGTTGTATCTGGGTCATAGCCGTGACAGTGGTGTTGTGGTGGTGATTGTGATATGAGAGCCTTTCATATGAGCGTGCACTTTGGCCCTTTCGGGTGTGTTTATTGGGGTTTAAGCGTGATGATTGCTGATGAACAGATACACAGGGTTTATTGAGGAGAAGTCATTATATTGTAGAGCTCTTATAGCATTGCCTCTTTGATAGTTTTCCTGCAGGGGCGACGATAGCGGTGTTTGGAGGTGGTGTTGGGAGCTTTCCTGTGTGTGTATTATGACTCATGGTTTGGATCCACTCCTTAAGGAGTATGGTATAATATGACATCCACTCCTGTGATGCTCATAAGGCTGTGCGGATGCGTATACGGATAAAAAAGTCACATGCGGTGATTAAGAATGTACACAGGTTATGTCATCGGTCGTTTGGAGCCTGCCTTGCTCTTCGGAGACTCCTTAAGAGGGTACGTTTGGCCCATGCGATTCACCGATTCCGAGGCCCTCTCAAGAGGCTTCAAGAGTCGGGAACGATGCAGGGTACCATGGTTAGAAGTGGCCTCCCATACGCGCGTGGTGCTCGTCTGATTGCGGTCTGTTAAGCTCGTCGTTCGAGCCGCAATGGCTTCTTTCCTTGCACATGCCTTTGATCTTTACCTCTGTCGATGCGTCTATGGATGATGATGCACCCTGGGCCTTGTATTGTTGTAGCAATACGTTGCAGCTCGGTACTACAAGGTATTGTTGAATTGCAACGGTGACAAGAATGCTGCCTGCCTACAGCGCGGTTACATGTGTGCTGCGCCTGCATTAGTTGTTGCTGGTTGTAACTGACACAATGTCTACACGATTCTATGCACAGCTTGGCTTGCATGCACAGCCCTGCTACTCGAGGAATCTAAGGTTTCGCGTCAAGAAGTGACCACTTCGCGTACCGGTAACTGCATGCTGTGCGCCTTCATCTCACGGCGAGGCAGCAACCCGCCAACGTACCGGTAACAACCCACCGTCACAACCCTCAACCCAACGCAGCCAAGCAGGTTTAGGTTTGGTTACCTCTGTTTTGCCTGTACTCGCGGTTCACATGCGAACTTATCCCAACTGCTTGCTCTTGTTTCTGCTCAACTACACACACCGGCCTGTTATTCCAACAATCCAGTACGTTCCTACTCGCGGCCAGTTCCGCAACAACACCAAATTCAGCCCCCAGCAGCGCAAATCAAACCAGGCCGCCCTCTTCCACCTGCGAGCCGCCCCAGCGCCCTAAGGCCATGCGGCCTACTAGAACACTCACCACCTTTGGGCTACCGCTCTTCCTGAACAACACAAACACTTGAAGCATGCGTGCATGCCTCAATCAGCCTGCTGTTGCGCCGCCTCCACTGCATGCGCCTGTCTTCACCTGCCCGCGCCACCAATCTTCCCTTCCTCCTGCCCAACCCGGACCGCCATTTCGCACGCGCATGTTCAGCACGTGCTTAGGATTACCTCCACCACTCACACACCCGCATTGCTCAATCAGCTCCATTAGTCATCAACATCATCACCACCGCCGCCGGCCGTCTGCCTGACACCGCGACGCCGCTGCGACATCCATGCCCGCCGCCCGTGTCGCGCCGCCAACAGCAGCACACCCAGCAGTACTGCACGCTTCGCCAGACGACCCAACCGCCAACCGCCCCAACCGCCGCGATCGCCCTGACCGTTGCGGCGGTTGGCGCCCCATGCCGATGTGAGCTGCTGGTCCTGAATGGAAGGTGGTGTTAACAGAAAGGCGCAAATTGGGAATCAGTTGGGTTCAAAGGAGGTCGCGTTTGGGAATCAACGACACAGCATCTGCGCTGCTGCGCAAACTGCACAATCAGGCACTTAGCATGGTTATCCATGCACAAACCAAGTACGCGCCCATAAACAAACGCATCGCACAAACACACCATACACATTTCCGCCCCTCCGTCCCCACCCGCGGCAGGTCCTGGCGGCGCCACAGTCCGCTAGATGTCATGGCGCGGCCCAGAGCGACCCATGGGTCACTCCACGCGCCGCCGCCCTCACCCACATCCTCTGCACGAGCCGCCGCAGCAGCACCGCCCTCTGCCGTGCAGGGCTGCTGCTGTGTGACGCTGAGCCCCTCACTGCCTCTGCCGCTGCCGTCGCCCGCGTCAAGCGTCACGTCTGCCAGGCTAAACCGTGACAGCAGGTTCTGGCATGGAGCGGTATTCGCCCCCACACTTGCGGCAGGGGAAGCGGCAGGAAAGACCGACTCCAGGGGGTTCCAAAGCACACGTGGCGTGATCCCAGCCGCCGCCACCGGCGACGCCGTCACAGGCGTAAGAGGCGCCCGTAGACGTCCCTCCGCCGCTGCAGGCGTGCCAATCCCCTTGGGTCCTGCTCCCGCACCCGATCCATCCCCTTCCTTCTTGCGGCCGGCCTCCGGCGTGCGTACCGCCGCCTCCGCCTCCGCCTCCGCCGCGGCAACGGCGGCAGCCGCCTCCGCCTCCGCCTCCGCTGCCGCCGCCTGTACGGCATGCGGCGCTTTGCCGTACACATGGTGATGATGTCCGTACGCCAGCGGATCGGGCTGCGTCGGCGCGCAACGGCTGCGGCGTTGCCGTACGAATCCCGGTACGGCCTCAGCCATGGTGTGTACGAACTTGTTCATGCCCATTGTGATGGCCATTCGGGCGAGGCGCTCGGGAATGCGCATGTCCTCGGAATGGAGCAACATCACCTCCACTGCCGGGCGGGGGCCGCCCCAGGGGCAGGCCACGGTCCTGGCGGTGGAAGGAGGGAGGCGGGATGAGGGTGCGGAGAGGGGACAACAGCGGAGGCGGCGGTCAGCAGCTAGATGGGTATGGCTGCATGCGTTACCGGTAATCCTGTGAAAGCAGTGGGAACAGGCCATGAACTCAGGCCATGAACTCATGTATGCATGCAAACCTCCCTTATCCCGACACCACCACCACCAACAACAACAACAACAGCCCACCAAAAGCACACATCACCGCCACCTACCTGCAGCGGATCATGCTGTGGTAATCCTGTACTTGTACGACCTTGCCGTGCATCCCGTCGTCCGCCCCCGGGTGCTCGATGCTCTTAGTAATACAGTACAGATCCGCAACAGGCATTACCTCCGACGCGTGGCCGCTGACGCCGCCGCCGGCAGCAGCGCCGCTGCCGCCGTGCTGCTGCTGCTGCTGCTGCTGCTGATGATGATGATGATGACGAGACGCTGACGTCATCAGCCGTTGCGGCGGCGGCAGGCCCCTGTGTACGGCACCGTCTGGTGTGACGCTGAAGAGCGCGCGGGCGATGACGTACTGCCGGTCGGATATGAATCCAAACGGAAACGAACGAATCCACCGAACTACCTGCGATGGTAAAAACATTGCTCGAGCTCAGGATAACAAAAAAACAAATAACTCCTACAAGTTTACAAGTTTACCAATGTCACAGGCACACGTGGCAAGCCGCCTCACTGACCGCCAACCTCCTCCCGCACCTGATTGCACCCTGTCACCTCCTTCCCCTGCTGCCTTGCACTTACCGTATTACACCCATAATCGCGGGTTGCGGTTCCCTTCGCCCCACACCTCTCCTCACCTGCTGCCGCAGCCGCTGGTCTCCCGCCTCGAGCACCTCCGCACTCACCATGAAGCCCTCCCAGCTGCACCTGTGGAGGCGGAACAGGGAAAGCAGAAGTAGCAGTAGCAGCAGCAGTAACGGCAGCAGTAAGGAAAAGGGATGGTAACCCGGTAAGGGAAAGGAGGTGGGAATTGCCGAGTTGAGCGTGAACAGGCACGCCGCGCACTCCCACGTTGTGCCCTTGTTGTAACCTACTGGGATTAGATAAACTCAGTACGTGGGTTATGCTCTCCTACCGGTATCTATTAAACGTAAACGACCCACCTGCACGAGTCGTCAAGCGCAAAGTCCACATACTCGAGCGGGCTCATGTCCGGCATGACCGTTAGCGACTTGTATTCGGTTAGGCCGTTGGGCAACGCCCGACGCCAGGCACTGTAACGGTAACTGTACGGCACTTCCTTGTCCATCATGTGGATCCAGGGTTTGGCGCCCGGGACGACAACATCTTGCTCGGCACGCAGCCTGAAGAATTCGAGGTCATGATCGGTAATGTACCAAAGATGCGTGGGATGCTCAATGGAGGCTGCCGCCTCGATTACAGCAGCGGCGGCGGCGGCGGCAGCGGAAGACGCGTCGGTGACGGCGGTGTCGACGGCGGAGGCGGCGGCGCTGGCGTCACGTAGCGGCGGCGTCGCGGGCTCCGCCAGCGCAGCGGCGGCGGCGGCGGCCGCCTTATGTGTGTCGTACAGCGCGCCTCCGCCGCCGCCGCCGTACGTTGATGCGGCGCTGACGGCACGCGACAGTGATGGGGCGGCGGCGCTAGCGGCAAGGTCGGCGTCGGCAGCGGCGGCGGCGGCGCCGCCGCCGCGGCGGAGTATGCGCAGAAGCCGCCGCCACCGTCTGGGTTGTTGCCGCCGCTGCTGCTGCTGCTCGGAAGGAGGAGGAGCTTGAAAGGCGGACCGTAGAGGTGCCGCCTTGGCTGGCGTGTCGGAGGTTGCAGAAGCAGCACCGGCGTTTTCCGCTTCTTGCTGCTTGTCGTGAGCATCAGCATCGGAACTCGACGACGGTTCTAGGAAGAGTTGTTGTTGTTGTTGTTGCAGCAGATGCTGTTGCTGGTCTGGTTCTTCAACGCGACGCCGAAACCGATATCTGCCGGAGCCCCCGTCTGGAGCTTTTCGCTTTGTTATGCGGCCTGCTAGCAAGCCGGTTGCAAAGGCAACGGCGACAATGGCTGCCATTTGCAACAAAGCGTAGAACTGGAAAGGAACAGCCGGAATCAAGACACTGCCGATGGCTCGGAATGCAATGTCAAGGAACGCAATGGAGGGAAAAGGATCTGATCTGGGCTCCTCTGGTGAAGCTAAGTTGACCTGATCTGCTGGGCTAGGAGATACTCCTTGCGGAATTGCTGCGTAAGATTGCGAGGATGAATAGGCTCCGAGCGAGGAGCCCGAAGCTGAAGGCCAATCGTACCAAACGGCTTTATTGGATATTGGAAGCTGGCTAAAGTTATCACGCATTGACCGCAGGGCGGCTAAGGCGCATTATCTGTGAAGGCTCAAGCCCTCCTCACGGACCTATATGTATCTTGTCCCGTGGGTCTTTTAAGCAGCATCCATAAAGTTAGAAGACTATATGAGAGAGCTTCAGGTAGATTGCATAGTACTTAAAAAATGTGTACTAGACAAAATTACAGTTCTTCCCAAGCTGGTGAGTTGGCACTTACAGCACCGCCGTAAAGCCATGATGTCATCATCACGTCGGGAGCTCGCGCCAGGTGACCTGACCCTGCACGTCGGGCTCGTCCCAGTCAATTAAAACTAACAGACGGAAATTGGTGATACGTTGGCGCACACATGATTGTCGAATGCATGCCGCGCAAAACAAAACTTGGACCACGCCGAACTGCAGCCACCAGCCTTTTCCCAAAAGCCCTGCTCTGGTGCCTCTTTACCCTTCCACAAACTGCTTGAAAAAGGCTCTCTGAAACGTGGCAACCCTACCCGCTGTTAGCACTACACTTCTAGCCTACTTCTGCCCATGTTCCCGGCTATGGCTCCGGTCGCTCGAAATAACGGTAGAAATAAAGTAAACCCAGCTTCTGCACAGCCCAACCTAAGGAAAAACATTGCAAGCACCGCTTTTTGCGTCAAAATTGCTTCCAAGCAAGGCTACCCGTAACAAGCAACGTACGTGCTCATAACAGCGTTTTCCGCAGGTAGGATCGCAGCACACGGCGCTTGGCCACCACCTCCTCCGTCAGCTCATCGGGCGCTACTCCGTCCGCCGCCATGCGGTCAATGATGTCCTGCCCGCGATCGATGTCGGAAGTACGACAGCACACCTCCAACAGCGCGTTGAAGGACACTTGGGATTGGGGGACGGGGTGATGGTGACGGATGTATCGGCGACGAAGGCAGGGTTGGGGGGGAAGAGGAGGAGGAGGAGGGGTTAGGCATCGAGGACATGGTTCCGGGCACGTTTCCGTTACACATGGCTGGTCGGCAGCCGCGTCCGTGAGTGGCTGCCTGACCACCCCTTCCTCCGCAAAGCACCCCAAGACCACTTTCCTTTTCGTTCCATTGTGGCTTCCTAGGCGACTTTGCCCACACCGGCTGGGAAGGACTGCAGCCCATCCCGCTGCCTAACCTGTGGTTTTCTATGGTATGGTATGGTCTTTGACCCTCGCTGCCTCGTCATACAGCTCATCAGTTTCCTCTGTTTACCCCCACCGCTGTGACCGCCTGGAACCTGCCCTGGAGCTCCCATGTGCTCACCTGCGGAGGGCTCTATCCCATGCTTCATACGCATCGTGGTGAGGGTGGCGTCGATCCGAGGCCAGTCGGGTGGGTCGAGGGCGCCATAGCCCCGCAGCAGCACCGCGAAAGACACTTCGTCCGGAGTCAGGAACTCGCCTGTTGGAAAGGAATGCCGGAATGCCGGAAAGGAATGGGCAAGATGTCCCCTTAAAGTTGGCTAAAGTTGAACGCTCTGTTGGAATGTACATCTAACGATAGGCCTGTATGGACTCCTTACTGGTTGGAGGTTGGACATCCTCCAGTGTAATCCTCGCTTCCTTAAGTTGTTGTTGTTGCTAGTTCCTGTCAGCTTACCAAACATCTCGTCGAAAATGCTCTGCGCCAAGTCCATATCGCGTGTGCACGCCTGGACAAGGGCCGTCGCTGCTTGCGTGTCGGGCTGAATGCCTAAGTTGGCGAGGCCTGCCAGGGCACTGATAGCCTCCCGCACTCGCCCCGTTGAGCCGAGGGCTTTAATACGCTTTGTTACTTCTGCTCTTGCGCTGACTATCCGCTCCTCTTCGGTCTGCAAGCAGGAGCCGAGCATCGCGACGAAGTTGAGCAGACGGAGGCCAGTATACACGTCGTCGTCAATCCAGATGGCGAATATCATATAGGATTAGATTTTTTACTGTTGAAGGATCTGCGTCGCCGTTTACCCTACAAACGGATAACACTGGCTGGTCCGCACCTGCTCCCTGTCTTCCTGCATCCGCGACCGACACAGATGACGCTGGCATCTAGAAGGCCCAACAGGTGTGAATGGCCGTGGAATTCGGCCAATGGGGCACCGGACGCATGGTTGTGGTGGCGGCTTCACTTGCATTTATTTCACGCCAGCGAGCAACCAAGATAATGAATTAGTGCCCAAATTGCACAGGAAGTGCTGGAGTAAAGAAATAACGCTAAGCGATAAACCGTCGGTTCCTCGTCACAATTCAAAGGCGCAATGGGTTTGCGGTAGGGCCACCGCGAGGTACTAGAATGTGAATGGCTCTAATTCAGCATCGAATGGATTGGTAAATTCCATGGGACTTGGAAGGCTCTCTACACCATGTACGGGAGAAGTGCCATCCGTTGGTACGTTTCCGGCACCCTGTGTAGCACCCACACCTTCTGCCGGATTGCTTGGTGCTAAGCAAGCATGCTGCCTAACAAAGATGCCAGACGCACGCGGCCCCTTGGCAATACGGTACTAGAGTTCTGCTGCTGCCCAGGCACGGTATCTTGACCGCCACCAGGATGCGTTGACCACAGCGTGCAGATCAGCACCACCCTTTCAAATCTACGAACGTATCTCCCCGCGGATATCGCTTCATAACCGCGACCCAATGGAAGTTTACAAATGAACGGGAACACCCCGTTTGAGCATTCCTTGTCCTTGTGCACTTTCCTGCAACACTAGCCTTTCAACAGCAACACCCTGACATGCTACTGTATACATGCAGCACTTCGCCGCTATCACCACCGGTACATACAGTCAAGCTCAATATAGTTACCGCTTACCGGTATACAGGCTGCATCCCCCTGCCTGCTGCCTGGCCAGCAGCCCTCACTCCAGCAGCATGCGTTTCACAAGCAGCAGCCGCCGCGGCTTGCCCACCCGACCGCGTTCCGCTTCATGTAACCAGCGAAGGTCCTTCCAGGATGGCAGCTCAGTGAAGCCCTGTCGCACGTACAACCTGTCGGGATGCGCGGAGGCGTGGGGCGTGGGGCTGCTGGGTAACGGACCCATGGGTCATGAGGCACTGCACTGATGACGCTTTCCTCCGCCCCATCTATCTTCATTTCATGTTCTCATCTCACCACCTCTTCTCACCACCGACCTGAGTGCCGCTTTGTTGGTCCGGGATACCAGCAGTGCTACTAGAGCAGGTGGGGGAAGTCGCGCCCTCGCCTCCGCCTCCGTCGCTGCCAATAGCTGTGAGGCGATGCCGCGGCGGCGGTGCGTGGGCGCGACCGCCAGCCCCGTCAGCAGGCCGTACCGGGAGCCGGCGGGAAGCCCGGCGGCGGCCGCCACGTCAGGTGGTACGACGTCGGCGGTGAGGCTGCAGCAGCCTAGCACCTGGGGGTGGGGGGAGAAGAAGAATACCCAATGTGGGGAAGGAGGCAGGCTGGCATGTAGGATTCCATACGGCATAGTCACCAATATACCGGGGGGTTAGGGTCGGGAACCCGGGATGGGGTGGTGGGAAGGGATAGGGGTGTGCATGTAGACCGAGGGGACTGTTTATGGGTTGTAAGTCCTATCAGGGTCGCTGTGCTGTGCTGCGAGTAGCCGAACCGGTGCGCTTCGCCTCGCCTCACCACGCTACCAGGACACGGTCACTTTACGAGTAGTGTGCCGGTCTCCGCAGCCTGATAACTACAAGATGACACCTCTCCGCACCCTCGCCACACCGCACCTCGCCGTCCGTACACACCAGCAACGTCACGTGTCGGGTGCCGTACAGCAGGTGCTGCAGCAGCAGCGCTGCCAGGGACGCCCAGCCGAACAACAGCGGCCCCGCGGCTGGGCGGTGGGGCGGGAGCGGCGGCTGCGGCTGCTGCCCGCCTGCTGCTGCTGAGGGTACTGAAGGTGCTGGTGGCACTGCTGGGGCAGCAGGTGGTACGGACGAGGCCTCCCCGCGCAGCCAGGCGTCTTCTTCATCGTAGAAGGAGGTTGCTAGGAGCTCTGCTACCTGGAAGGGGACGAGGAATAGAGAGGGAGAAAGGTGAGTGAAGGGGCAGGGCTTGCGCAGTGGAGGGCAGCCACCCCCATCCGTGGAGACCTGGATGCATGATAATGGTTGGGAACTTGAGGTGCAGGCTGGTGTGAGGGTATATGGGCTGCTTGGGCGGGCTGCTGTGGGTACGTCGACCGATGGAAGGGGGAGCGGCGGAAGCATGCGGAGATGACGCGCAGGATGCAGGCGGAACGGACGTTCTTGACATGCAACGGGGCTGATACAGCTGTCAATAACGTGTCACGCAGAGATTGGGTCTAAGCGGTGCAGCCGTTGCATCGTACAACATAGTGGTTGAAACTACGGCGAACATGAGCCCAGTAGCTAAGATACTTGTTGAAGAAACAGTATCTTATTTAATTTATGCTTAAGCGTTGATGCCGGTTGGTTGCGCATCCATTAATGAGTGGAGCAGGGTACTGTACTGCATCTAGTTATCCCAACTCCTGCACCTGCGGCAACGCAACGCACCTGTTGCCAAGTCTTCCATCCAATACTTAAAGGATTTTCCACTAACGCGATGTGAAGCGCGGGATGCGAGCGTTCAGCGGTACACAGTTGGGTACGTAGGCTGAGCTGGGGCTTGGCGCAACCAAAATACGTCTAAGCAGCAGAATATAAACATGTTAACACGCGTCCTTTGCACGGGAGATAGGACGGCAAACTTACCCGACGAAAGGAGTGGCTGCACGGCGGGAGGCTTGTAATAGGCAACCGGAGATGCTGCATCAGGCTTCACCGCTACGAAGTCGTTCACATTTAGGATTAAGAACGAGCGGCGGTTCGCGTTTTTTCTTGGACCTGTGCTCCGAACTGTCGGTTCCGCAACGTTCTCACCAACCCCGATCGACAAGTACGGGTCGTCCCGGCAAGTTTCCTATCAAACGCGCCCCATGTCTTCCACCATAATGATTCTGCATGCCGGCGGGATCTGTAGATGCGGTTTTGTTTGGGTGCCGCGGAGGGTGCGCAGGTGGGGCGGAGCCACTGCTCTTACTTAGAACTGAAGGGCTTTACAGCGGATCTACCCTAAGGAGGTCAAACATGTGCACAGACGCACAGTTGCTGTAGGTGGGGTGGACCGTAGAGCCGCATTTGGTAGCATTCGTGCTGCCGGTATTGCTACAATTGATGGACATTGGAAGCCCATGGCCATGCCAGGTTACACGCGTCTGACCACGTATACACGTGGCCTAGCCTTCTTGCTAACTTGCTTCATGCCTATGGGAGCTGCCGTGTCACAGCCGAAGCTAAAGTCACAAGGCCGTGTCACCCCCAAAAGCCCCTTCGGTTCCCGAGGTGTGGTGGTCGCCTAGACGACCGCGCCTTTTGTGATGAGAGGGTTGAAGCCTTATCAGTGCCTTTCACACGATTCGTAATAACATGGAGGTAGGCTACGATGTGGCTAGCTTACGCAAGCAGTACGGGCCAGCACCGACTGCAGTCCGCAATCGGGCTGCTTGCAATCTCACAGGAGTTGACATGAGTACTTGGCGAAAACTAGACTCGTGAGTCTGAGGCATGCTGCTGCACATCTCTTCGCAGCGTGTTGGTCGCTACCGTAATTGGAAATACGGAACCCAAGTCCTGCAAGCAAGCTGATTGCCGTTATAGGTAAGCAAGCTCTAGCATTTGGCCGATATGAAATCATGTAAACGTTTCGTCGATGACTGCCGAAAGGCCGTTCAACGAGGAATACGACATTAATTGCAAAGTACTTCTCGCGTACTTCTCCCTCCCATGGCGCCGTCTGCTTGTAGAATGAGGATTTTGACAACTATTAGAATAGTTGGCTGTAGAGTATGGCGTTTCTAGCTGGAGTCGGCAGTTTGGCGACGCATAAGCAGCAGTGGACAAGAACTAAGAGCGCATGTGCTTCGTGAGCATCAAGGGTTGTGACCTGTGGAGCTGGAGAAGGATCCAAGGTGAGAGCTGGTAGGGTGTACGCTTCGCGGATGTTGGCGCCAGGCAATACTTGGCCCTTGGTGGGATGTTTCGCCCTTTTTAAAGCGTCAAGCTGGCGTCTATTTGCTTCAAGCTATGTTTAAGCTTGCACAAGCTCTGCACCCTCAGAGCACAAGCAGATATAGCCGGTCAAAGGTCCCAGCGAGCCAGCCGTTCAATTGACGTAATGCTTTCCACTGTTTTAATAAAATATGCACGTCATCTATGTTTCGTGTACTTTTTTGACCCAAGGGGGTGGTCGCCGGCCTGCGACCGTCTTCCGACTTTAAGCGGTTGCGTATGTCGGCTACCGTTTCAGTAAGGCGATGAGTCACCTACATTGACTGCATAAAGAGCTAAATGTGCGGCCTCGGCAGTTGTTCTGGGAGCTGTCGGTGCATTGTTGCCTGACGTCCACGCGAAATTAGACCCTGACTTTTTCAACGCCAAAGCGGAACATGATACTATATTATCCGGTTTTGACAGCATCGCATGCTGGAGTTAGGATAAGCCTCTTTTTGGCCATTCCCTTACGCTTTTTCCAGCCCTCATCCATTGTGCATAACACCCGCCTCCGCTTTTCGGTGTGGTGCCACTTTGTACCTTTCTGCAGGGAATTAAAACAATGGATGCGCCGGTTACAGGGCCGGCGCAAATCCCGGCCACTGTGGAGGTCATTTGTGGCACGCTGCGCGGGACCTATGACGTTGCCAAAACGAAAATCCTCTATTTGTCCCAGCATGGGGGCATCCGGGAGGCAACCCCAACAGAATTTGAGCGTCTAGGCGGCCGCCAAGCAACTAAGAAATGGAAGCAGGTGGGCGGGCCTGGGTTCGTGTCTCAGCCTGTGATGAGACTCGGGTTTTACATGGAGGAGCACAGTCGGCCTGTGCCCGACGGCAGGGGCTACCGCACGACTTACACACACCTAGGCTTGTCAGATTCCTTGCCGTACAGGCCGCATGAGCGCATGCACTTTGCACGGGCTTTCCACGCCGTTCACTCTTGCGCCAGTTCACGGCCAGTTCAGGTCCACGGCCTGCACAGTCTTAGCCTCACCCTCTACACGGCCCTCTGCAGAGTATCCGCGTCGTGGATTCCAACGGCCAAGCGGGCAAATCCCTGGGCGAATGGCTGGCAGGCACCGCCGGCACGGCGGGTGAGGGACAGCGACATGCGCTGGCGTGGCTCTCCTTGGGCCAGCGAAACGGCGGTGGGAGCGCTGAAGGAGGAGAGGGCGGGCGCGGCAGCCAGCAGCAGCTGCAGCCGCAGCAAGACTCCGCGCATGTTCGCGAGCTGTTCCTGCAGCAGCTGCTGGACTTCCTGAGTGGGCGGATCGACAACCCTGGAGCGGGTCCTGGGAGCCTTCAGGCGGCCGGGGGCGAGCTGGGTCCTGTGACGATGGGCTCGCACTCCTTTGATCTGCGGCGGGTGTATACGGTGGTGAGTGCAGGATGTGTTTGCTTCGTGCGGAGCATCCCTGCTTGCTTGCATGGTGAGTGCGGTCCGTGTTACTTACAAACAGCTGCATGCTGCCTAACACACACGTTCCGAACCGTTCTGCACCCAGCTGCAACACCCTGTTCTTTGCCCCGCCTCAGGTGTCTGGCATGGGCGGCTACACGGCCGTGCAGGCGGCGCAGAACGGCTGGGAGAAGGTGGCAGCTGCGCTAGGGCTGGAGACAGCCAAACCTAACGGTGCATGCGCGTGCAGGTACGTTGCTAAAGAACAACACAATCCTTCTCTCTCCTAACCCATCTGCATTCACCTGCTCTCCTAACCCATCTGCATTCACCTGCAGACCGACCCAGATCCCTCCATAGCCCGTACTTGTGTTGGCACTCTGCCTGCTTACGTCTACCGGTGCCCCCTGTGCATCCTCCACCCGCAGGTCCGTCTACGAGCACTATCTCCTCCGGGCCGAGCGGCTGGAAAAGGCTCGGGAGGCCGCCGGCCTGCCGCCCTTTCCACCGCCGCCGTCCCGACACGAATCCCCCGGCAGCCCATCTGGGTCGGAACAAAGCCCACCCGCCCGCGGGGGTCACCATGCACACCCCCTCAGCCTCCAGGTACACCACCACCAGCAGCAGCAGCACCAGCACCTGGATCGCTATGCGGTCTCAGAGCGACCGGCCGTCTCACAGCAACGAACACACTCCCCTGGCCCGCCACCGCCCTACGCATCCCGCCGTGCTCCGCCGCCCATGGCGCCCGCAGCCGCATTGCAATGGACGGGGTCTAGCAGGAGCGCGGGCGGTGGTTTCGGAGGCAGCGGCGGTCACGATCGTCGCAGCCTTGATGACATGCGGTACTCCAGCGGCGTGTCGGGGTATGGCGGAAGGAGTCCTTACGGAGCAGGCAACGGCGGCGGCGGCCGCAATGCTGACCGTTACGATCCATTTCTCGGCGGCGACGGAAGCGGTGTGTACGATGGACCCAGTCGTCCAATGTACGACGCACCGCCCGGACGTGGCGGCGGCGGCGGCAGCATGTACGACAGAGGGCCGGCCGGCCGTGGGCATTACGACGGGCCAGGCCGTGATGGGCCGTACGACGGTCCGGACCGCGGAAGAGGCTACGATGGGCTGCCGCTGGTCCGCCGGGAGGGCTATGACGTCATGGGCGGACGTGGGGGCTACGATGCTGGCGTCAGGCGGCAGTACGACAACGGTAACGGTAGTCGTGGTGGTGGTGGTTACTATGATAACGGTGACCGCGAAGGATACGATTTGGGTCGGCGTGTGGTCGACCTAGCGAGCCGGGAACCCTACGAAGACCGCGGTCCCGGGGTGCCCGGCGGCGGTCATCGGTACCACCTAGACGATGCCCCGCCTCTGCTGGATCGCCGGCTTACAAGTTTTGAGGCACTTGCGTTGCTTCAGAGCGCACATGCTTTGCAAGAGCGCCGGTACGACAATTCGTACGAGCACCGCCCGCCGCCGCTGCTTCCCGCTGACGTCAGCGAGGAGCAGCTAATGCTGGCGGCAGGCTTGCGGCTGCCCGTGGGTGGCGTTACACGCGACGGCGGTGGACCCATTGCCAACCCGCTCCTGCTGGATGCTGCCCCGAGCCTCGCAGCAATCGGCCGTCTGCAGCAGCCCCCGCCACCGCCGCTGCGGCTCGTGGAGGGGGAAGGGCCGTCACTGCAGCTGCACCTAGGTGGCATGGGCGGTGGCACTCGATCGCAGCAGCAGCATCAGCATCATGGCCTACGGGATGCCGCCCCGCATGCAGCGGGGCCGAGTGGCGGGCTGGGCGGTCGAGGGAGCCTCCTGCAGGCGCAGCTATTAGAACGCGGGGGGCTGGTCAACCTGTCAGGTGGGCTGGCCTCCGGGTCGGGCCGTGTGCTGCCCGTCACCCTGGCGTTAGATGCCGGCGCAGGTGCGGGTGCGGGTGTGACTCTCAACGGCGGTGGTGGTGGCGGAGCCGTGCGAGGCAGGCCGCCAGCCGGCCGAACCGCAGGTGGACCGTCACAGCAGCTAGCAGCCGCCCGTGCAGCCGCCATATTGGGCCTGCAGGGCGGCTTGTCGGAGGCGGCGGTGGCGGACGAATCCGTGATTACGAGTCTCTTGAACGATTACGGTCGCGCTGGATTGCCCATGGGCCTGGTACGCACCAGCAGCGGCAACATTGGAGTGAGTGGGATCGGTCTGGGGCTTGGCGGAGCCGGCTACAAGCGTGGAGAGCCTGATGACCGAAACGGATCTGATGCGGGTGACTACGGCGGCGGCCCACTTAAACGACCGGCGGTTTGAAACGACAATAAAGTTAAGGTGAAAACGACAACATAATTAAGGTGCAACCCGCAGCTGGTATGAAGAAGCGGTTAAGGAGGTATCACATGGGATTACGGAGAGCTGGTGTTTTTACGCATGTGCATGTGCATGTGTGAGAGGGCAGTGAGGCGATGTGCACGCGCGTTCTCTGCTGGGGCCACAACGCGCGCGACTGTACGGCGCTGACTGGAGACATGTACGAGCATATGCATGCACTTGGGTGGCATTAATGAATCATGATGATGCGGTGTTGTTGTGTGTTGATAACGAGTGCACGTCGCTGTGTTTGCGCCTGCCTGCTCAACCAGCTGCCCCCTCTTGGTCTTGTGCGTGACGCCTCTTGCTGCTTGTGCTGTGGAAGGCGGCATGGGTGGTGGCGTGGCGCTGGTAGGGCGGGGCTTGGCTCTGACCGTGACTTTCGCGATGGAGAGGAGGGATGGAGCGACGGAAGGGTCCGTCCTGGGAGTTCAACGGTGGCCACGTTAGCAGGGTGCGCTGACGGGACGTATAGCGTCCTTTATATAGCGTCTTCACCCATCGGCCAACAACACTGCTGAACCAACATAGGGGTTGATGCCGATACATAGGATAGCATATATCATTGTTACGGCCATTCAGGATTTGAAGTGGCTCGGTGGCGGTTGCGGCCAGCACGGTGGTTTTTGGGGTGTGCGCCAATGCGGCGTTTTTAGACATGTGCTGTGAGCCATCGAGGAACTGGCAATCACAACCAGGTCACAACTAGATGGTGTGTACTATCATAACATAACTAGATTGGTATGTGAATTTCTTGGCTTTTTAGCATGTGCCTGCTCTCTATCCTCTGCATGGACGGGGGCCGCTCTTGACAGACACGTGCCGTTCCCGTGGTTGGGAATCCGGTCAAATCATTCTTTCACGCTCTTCGCTGCCTTTCACCGGCTTTACGAGTGCATGGCCTGTGCATGACGCAGGTTTGTGTGGCCCCCTGCGATGGACGACGACGTATGCTTTCTAGGACGTCTGGACGGGTTGCTTATGTGTACTGTGTGGCTGTCTTGCGTGAAGCAAGGCAGTAGCAGCCTACAAGGATTGTGGTGCTGTGCGAGCATGCGAAGGAACGTGAGCGATCTGCCGGCACTGCGCCTGCGATTTGTGGTGTGTATGGGCCCTTTCGGCTGCCGTTTTCACCGAGATTCCGCCTGTTCATGATCCCATCTGATTGCTCCAATGAATGTGTGTCAGCAATGAGTTGAGGCCGTTAAGAGCAATGCACGCATTCACGGCATGGTGCATTGCTACTAGGGAAGCCTGCAGCGCGTTTTGGTGTGTTTTGCAGGGTAGCTACCCAAACTGTTACATGCGTTATGTTGCACGCGTTGCGGTTTCCAGGTGTGTTCATGCGTCATCCCAACCACCCTATACTTTACCCCGGGCCTCATTCCGCCGGTGTCGTTCCCTGTTGTGTATGTTCCCCACCTACGCAACACTCTACTTGCAACGCTCTACGTTTCATAAATTTTCCGGTCGTGCTTGCAAGGGTCGAGCTTGTTTCCAAATGGGCCGCTCAGAGAGCCCTGCCCTTATTTGCATGCGTGCCTTGTACGGTACGTTTTAGGCTTGTTCGAGTGGTGCCGAAGCTATAACTACCCACAATAGTTGACGTAAGTCTGCTGGTTTTCGGGGCTGTGTTTCCGGCTTTAGGCTAGACGACTACACTGGACGCGTGTCAGTCACAGACGTGTTTGAACCTATGGTGTACGAAAACTGCTTAAGCCTCGCCACGGGCTGCTAATTGCGTTCCGCTAGGTACAGACCCCTACAGAGCTGGCTGGAGGTTTGCGCTGGTACATGCATTCTGCATTGCCATCCTATGTGTGCGGGTGGATTGGTGCCCGGGCTGCTCAGTAGCATTTTACTTCTTACATTAGACTGTGTGCTTCCTTAAGCGCAGCCCAGTACGCGAGTTCAAACGCTGGCGCTGGCGTCAAGCAAAGAGCCTAGTAAGTTTGTTCCTGGCATTGCGGTCCGGATGACTCCGTTGTCCTGGTATGTAAGCTATACACTACTCTTGCTGCATGACCTCTTTTTAGGGCCCACAACCGCAGACTAACAACCTGCAAGGCACATCAAGCAGACCTTGTGTGATGTTCCAAGCTCTCAAATCCTCCACACCTACCGCTTTCCAAACACAACAGCCTCCGAAAGGCGTATATCTAACGGACAGGCATTCCGTGCGCTCTGAGCCGCTCGACGCAGGCACAGGCAATAGCACACGCTCTCTTTACCCCCTTCCTATCGTCGCCAAAGCAGGCTGACCTCCTCCCTTCCCACAGCACAATCCCCAACTCCCCGACGTGCGCCCCGACGCTCAATCCCCGCACGCAAAAACTGCAGAGCTCGCCTCCCCCCTTAACTTCTACACCCTCCCACACCACACCACAACACGCCACACAGCACAACACAGGACGCATCGCATGTTGTGCGCTCAAAGCGCAGCCTTGTAGGCCGCCCAGCCGGCGTCCCGGTACTCCCGAGCGGCGGCGGCGGGGTCGGCCGCGTTGACCACGCCCCGACCCACAATGATTACGTCACTGCAGCGCTGGCCGATAACGCTCTGCGGGGTGTCGTATTGCTGGCCCAGCGCGTCGCCGCCGACGGCCATCCGAACGCCCGGGGTCATGTGCAGCAGGCCTGCAAGGCGCATGGTGATCGTGATCAGCGGGCGTGAGGGTTGGGGGTAGCCGGAGGAAAACCCCGTAAGAGGCGAGACATGGTATGCATGGGTGGATGCCAATGGAAGGACAGCACGCCGTACCCAAAACACACACGCACCAGCAGTCAATCGGTTGATGCCGTACCGCTTCAGTACGCAGCGGGAACCATCTTGACCAAAAGTAACGCCAAATGCCCTCTCCTAAGGTCTATGTACACTCTCCCTAGGGTCCTGTTCCTGACCCTGTTGCTAATCGTACTCCGCCCCCGATTTCCAACAACACAGCAACCACCACGCAAGACATACCTGGCGAGCCCGGCCCGCCCTTCCACGCCGCTGGGTTGACCGAAATGTAGCCAATCACAAAGTCCTGGTGCTGCTCCGCGGCCGCCACCACCGCCTCCGTGTAGGCACCCTTGGCCAGCGTGCCCTGGCTGCTCATCTCTGCAGAGGCACGCCGCAAACACATGTAAACACACGTATACACACACTGTTAAGAGTGTTGCGGTCAGTTGAGTTACCGGTAACAAAGACATGGGATATAGAGCTGGACGTGAGGAGCACCGCCACAAGAGCTCACAGGCGCATGCCCCGCTCAAGTGAACAACACACCGGTATCAGGAAGCCTGGCCGCTGCACCCAGTCCTGCCATCCAGGGCGCACGTCTCCCATCAACACCGTAACGTGCATGTGCCAACGTCATGCGGCTCATGCGGCTCAATTGAGGAAGTTGACAGGACGCACATCATGTCAGCAACACGCACCTGCCAGCAGCAGCAGTCCGCGGCCCTTGGGCAGCCCCACCGTCTTGAGGCCGTCAATGATGTTGGACCCAGGAACCAGGTGGGCGTTGGTAATATGGGACCAGTCGGCGATCTTCAGGATGCCGCCGCCGTACTGCATGGCGGTGGTGTTGCCGATGTCAGCAAACTTGCGGTCCTCGAAGATGAGGAAGTCTGCGTGGAAGGAGCGCGCGCGCGCGAGGGCGCAAAGGAGGAGCATCAGCGTGAGTGAGGAAAGAAAGGACGCAAGGGAAAGGAAAGGTGGGAAAGGGAGCAACGCCAGGGCAAAGTGTGAATGAAAGGGCAACATGGGCGAGAGAGCGAAGGAAGAGGAGTGCAAGGTGCAAGTACCAGACGGGGCGGCCACAACGACCTAGACAAGAAGCATGCCATGCTATTGCTGTATGCGCCTCTGTAAGGCCAATTGGACCCAACGCACGGCCTCCACCCATGCGTGCTCCTCTTCTCTATCAGCCCCTCAGCCCCCTTGGGACAGCACGCGGACAAAGGGCTCACCGTGCTTGTTGGCGAGCTCCTGAAGCCGCGAAACAACAAGGTGTGTGTGGGAGGGGAGGAGGGGTGAAAAGGGAAGGAACGCATTGAGGTACGGCTTGCTTAAAAGTAGCATGTGGCAGTGCGGGTTGGGAACGTAGGAAAAAGCATTAGAAGGCAGTCACACCGCACGTGCATCCTATCTCTAACTTTGTTAGGGCTCATGGCGCACACCATTGACCGACCAACAACCGATGTCAACCGCTGTTGGCACACGAGTGGATACAACGAATGGCGCGCAGCATTTATCACACAGCACGGGTCACACCACAACACGCCAACTACACACCATCAGCTTGGCCGCAATGTCGGCATCCCACTTGTCGTAGATGTCGACGTGGGTCTTCAGGACGCAGATGTAGGGGCCAATCTGGGGAGTGGAAGTGCAGAGGTCAAGCGGGAATGAACCATGGGTCAGTTGTACACATGTACACATTTGAGGAGCCCAGGTACCGCTGCATACCCCTACAATACCTTGTATTAAACATGATGTTGGCAGCAGGACGGCTTCTCACACACTTTACATATACGTTGATACGTTCCGTATGTGGGAGGAAGCAAACAGCAGCCAGGCCCCACCCAAGCTTTCTAGCTACCGGCACCTACGCCAGCCCCGGCCCGCCGAAGCTGACACTCCCCACTCCCATTTGGAGCTTATCGTCAGGTTTACAAACTCAGGATCCAACGCGCTGGGAGTTCTTCCTTTCCCCGCACCTTATCCGCCAGCGCCAGCACCTCCTCCACCGACTCCACGTCAGCTGCCACACTGAGGTTGGTCTGCTTGCGAACCATGATCTCCAGGCAACGCTTGGCCATGGCGTTCTTGGCAAGCGGAATGCGCTGCTCGTACGGCAGCCTGTATACGGAAGTTGGAAGAGGAGATTGGGTGGTTGGTTGGTTGTACGACAGGCAGTGAAAGTCCAACAGTGCCAGGGAGGAGCGCTTGTTGCGGAAACGGTGGTCGCAGGCGGACAGGAAAACGCAAGGAAGCAAGGTGTTTATGGCCGCAAAGGAGAGGAAAACACATCGAGCAGGTAGGCAGGCAGCCCCCCGCATCCCACGGTGCGACCCACGCACCGGGATACGCACCTCTTGGGCGGCGCAGGGGCCGGAGTGGGCGCAGGTGCCGCAGCGGGCAGGGAGGTCTGGTTCTCAGCAATGAAGGTGCGCACCTGGAGGCAGGGGCGGGCGGGGCGGGGCGGGGCGGGCGTTAGGTACTGGTATTCCCCACTGGCGGACAGGCTGCGGCGCCTGTATCCCACGGTCAGTTCTCCTCCGACCCTCACCTTCTCCGCCCCTCATTACCCTCCCCGACCCCTCCTTTTTCCCCCTTCACTCTCCCCCCCTGCCCCCCACCCACCTTGTCCGCCAGCTCCGGGCTGACCAGCTGGTGCCGCGTCAGCACCTCCAGCATGGCGCTCAGCTTGAAGGCCGCGTGCAGCTTCAGCCCGGCGGCCGCCAGGTGCGCCTCGCCGCCCTGCTCGCGGTCGATCAGCACCACCACGTCGCTCACCTGCAGGCCTTCAGCCTGGGGGGTGGAGGGGGAAAAAAGAAAGTCCAATGTGTGGTGTGATGATAGTGGTATAAATTGGAGCGGGGAGCGGGTAAAGGAGCGGGGAGGTAGAGTTATGGGGAGGGAAGGATTAAGACCAAGGGGTTGAAGGAGTGGTGGAGAGTGGAGGAAAGAAGGTAGAACAGAGAGATGGGGGTTGCGAGGATGCACATGGGAGCACTGGGCGACTCCCCACCTTCACCTAGCCCCTCCCCGTACTCCATTCGCCTCCACCTCCACCCCATCTTGAGCAACTCCTCTGCCTCCCTCACCCTCCGTCCCCTCTCCCCACCCTCCGTCCCTCTCCCCACCCTCTGTTCCTCTCCCCATCCCCTCTCTAACCGCCAGGGCTTGTCAGCTACATGTACCACTATCACACCACACATCGGAATTTCTTTCTTCCCCTCTCTAACCGGCCCTCCCCCTGCTCCCCACCTTGAGCGGCTCCAGGGTTTCCAGCACGGAGGCGCCGCTGGTCACCAGGTCTTCCACGATCAGGCAGCGCTGCCCCGGCCGGTAGGCGCCCTCGATGGCCTTCTTGGTGCCGTAGTCCTTCACCTCCTGGAGAGGGGGAGGGGAGAAGGATACCCAATGTGAGGGGGAGGGAGGGGGAGCGAGTGGTGGGGAAAAAGGAGGAAGAAACCGATATGGATCGTGTGACATGCCGTACCGGTGGGTGAGTTCTACCATGCGGGTTGAATTATGGTTGCCGACCCAAATCGCGTGGGTTAGGGTTCTGTGCTTTGCGGAGGTTTGCGGCCATTGTCAACAACAGCCTGGCAGGTGTGTGTTTTGACTTAATGACAGATCTTCTGGTTGCCGGTTCACCAGCAAATATCTTCCCCACTCCTCCCATGCCTTGGTGACGTTGTAGTCCATGTAGATGATGACATCCTCACGATTCTTGGGCGGCTTTTGCATGTTGGTCTTGTGATGGGCTACGACAGGCCCAACTTACAAAAGCCGCCCAGCAACCAGAAGATCTGTCATTAAGTCAAAACACACACCTGCCAGGCTGTTGTACAGCATCAGAAAGTCAAAACACACACCGGCCAGTTGCATTTCAAACGCACCTTGCGGCGCATGATCATGGCCTCCCCGAAGCCCAGCGACATGCAGGTGGCGATGGGGAGGGCGGTGTACGGCACACCGCAGATGATGTCGTACTGGCAGCCGCGTACGGCATTCCACATCATGCGGGAAACCTGTTCGCGGGAAGGGAGAAGGCATTGGACGAGGGCGAAGGGGGCGACGATGACGGCATGCTTACTCGGGGCCGTATCCGCACAGGCAGGTCAACGCCGTAAGCTTGTTGTTAGCATCCCTGTGATATTTTGGGGCGATAATGACCTTCTACGTAACGTTATCGTACACACCTGCTCGAGGACATCTGGGTACGACACGATGACACGGAGGTCAACGTACACGGGAGATATGAGGCCGCTCTTAAGTTTGAATTCTCCAAACTTAACAGCCTGCGGATCGCAACCGACGACGAGATTACGGACGCGCAGGGATTCCATGTGTGTGTGGACTTGACTGCGTGATACGTTCGCAAACGAGCTGGCGGTGTTCGGCCAGGCGACGCACCTCGATCTTGTTTAGCTTAAGCACAAGGTCCTCAATCTCAGCTTGCGTCATCGGTTCACGCTGCAGATACATCGGGGTACAGTTTATTATGATGGAAAAAGGGTTACGCACGGCGGTAAGAATTATTTCCGACATCGCGTAGACATGTGCTGGATACAGCTCACCGACGTGGCCTCCACCCTTGTGCTCTGGCCCCTCTTGAAAGTCCTAGACACGAAGCCGGCGATTGTTTTAATTCCCAGAACCATGTTGGCTTGTCGCGTAACAGTGCGGCTAAATTGGGGTGTCGGCGGCTCTGACGGCGCAGGTCGCGGTCGATTGGGCTGGCTAGAAGCCGGGGGGCACCGAGGGCTTCGCTGCGTGCTGCTCGCCTTGAGACTATGCATGCAACTGGCAAACGGGACACAGCCCTTACTGTCTGCAAGGGCTCCTAAGTATTTAAACAATACTATACCTAGGAATTCTGTATGTTTAAACTATACAGCTCTTCGCTAGCGATTAGCGACAAATTTGTGGAAAAAAGGTCGTTGCCGTGCACCCAATCAGTTGGCGGGTGGCGTGCACCATCCGTCGCTCCATCCGTATTGAAACTGAATTACTGAAATTGAAGTCACTCCATACACAGGCAGCAGGCAAGCCCTCGGGTGTAGGTCCTGCACAGATTTGAAGCCAAGTTCCTAAGCAAGTTTGCCAGGCTAAAGGCGATGACGGAGGAGATTAGATGCAGAAATGGCTAAGAGCAATAAGGTACTTTAACATTACAATAAAGCCTACTTACACTTCTGTCGTTGGAGTCCAGGCCGACTAAAAAGTTGTCCTTTCCCACCCCAGGCGGACCTGGAGGACAGGGCCTGGAGGGCCTGTAAAGGTGCCATCAACGTCCTATGGCAGTCTCATGCCTCCTGGTGCTTTAGGGTGAGGCTCGTGGGGGTAATTGCCATCGCACGCATCCCGAAGCAGGCTGGGAAGCGATGCCATACTCTTGCACCGTTACAGGAACCAGTGGATGAGGAAAAGCATCACGCGCCGGGCTACTATACAATAATCAAGGACCCGCAGGACCTCCTAACCATCAAGAACCGCCTGGAGGCAAACAAATATGCCTCTCCCCATGAGGCGAGTGAAATAGCAGGGACCGATGTTCAATAGGAAAACCTGGTTGTAGGGAAAAAGGGGCAGTTGAACGGCGGAGGAAAGAGGAACGGGCCAGGGTTGGGGCCTAGGGTCCATCCATGCTATCAGCCCCAGGTACCCAGGGCCGCTCTACTTCCCTTCCCTGCCTCCTCTTAACCGGCCCTCTTCACCCGCAATAAACACTCACACCGAACCAGGTCGACGCGGCTGTACGACAGATGTGCCAAAACGCGTTTACTTACAATGACGCCGCGCATGACGTGCACAAAAGTGCTCGGCTCGTGCTGGAGCAGTGGAGCGAGCAGTGGGATTCGCGGCATGTGGAGGCGCTCTGGGCGGTAGCCAAAGACCCGGTACGCAACTCAGGATTGCGCGGCAAGGGGGACCGGCGAGGGGGCCCGCGTGCGCTGATCACATGCGAAGGGCTATAAGGGGGGGGTGTCATGTGGCATGCGCGTGGGTGCGTTTGGGGCACACATTCCGGCGCCTGGTCAGCCTGCATGCCGCAGGTCTCGGAGTCTCCGGGGACTCGATGGAGCGGTTCGGGGCCGGTTGGCTGTACGACACCATTTAAGAAAACATCCAACACTACTTGCCGTACTTGCAGCCACCTGTTTGTTGCGGCCATATGGTTAACCCCTCCGCCCAGGGTAACCGTGTCGCCCTGCCGCCTTCACGCGGCCGGCGGAGTGGCAGCGTTGGGGCGCAACCCAACCATACCCAGGCGCAACAGCAGCAGCAGCAGCCGCTGCTGCATACGGGGCAACAGCAGCAGCCGCAGCAAGGGCCTCCCCAGCCGACGACGGGCGAGCAGCAGCAGCGGCAGGTGCAGATGCTAGACATTCAGCAACAGCTGCTGAGGAAACAACAGCTGCTGCGACGGATGCAGGAGCAGCAGCAGCAGCGGACGCAAAAGGAGCAGCAGCAGCAGCAGCAACAGCGGACGACGCAGGATAGGCAGCAGCATGGGCAAGCAGCGCCAGCCGGAGCACACAAGCCAAGGCTGGAAGGGCAACAGCAACAACAGCAGCAGCGGCAGCAGCAGGTGCAGGAGCAGCGGAGGCAGCGGCAGCCGAGCACTACATCGCAGCCCCGGCCTGGGGGGGTCGCCGCAGCGCGTCAGCTGCCTTGGACGCCGGAGGCAATCTTGCAGGTGAGTGAGCGGCGCTTCGAGTATACAAAAAGTGGGCTCAGGGAGGATTAGAGCTGCGAAGTAAACCATGGGTCACATGGCCCATGCTGTCCAGGCGTGCTGAGGCAATGCTGATGCTCTTTGTGCGTCCTCTCTGGTTGGCCCCGACTGCCTCCCCAACCGCATGGGCCCTTCCTTGCAAACCGCGGCTTCCTTTCCTTTCCAGCGGCTCTTTAACCCCTTCTTTTCCTGGCCCCCCTTCCTGGCCTCCGCAGGCGCGCCTGAGCGACAAGAAGTACGACATGAGCCCCCTGCCGCTGCTGCAGTCGCTGCTGCGTGCCGCCACCTGGCTGCCGCCGCTCTTCCTCACATGCGGCGGCCTGCGGGCGCAGATGCTGGGAGGTGAGGTCTGGCTTCCTTCGCCGGTTTCCTGTCTGTGGTGCGGTGTTGATGGCCCCGTCACGCACACAAACCCCCTCATCTGTCCTCTCTCCCACCCCGCTCCCCTGCCTCCCTGCCCTGTCCTGTCTTCCCCTCCCAGGCCGCACTTCCGACCCCGAGCTCCTGCTGGTGCGCTGCTTGTGCCGCGAGTGCGGCCGACAGGAGTTGCCCGGCTACATGCCGCTGGTGCACTTCTACATGCATGCGCGCGGGCAGGCGGCGGAGGCGGCGGGACTGCATGAGCCGCACAGCCCGCAGCCCTCTGAAGGCGCTGGAGCTGCTGCTGGTGGTGGTGCTGAGGCTGCTGGTGGTGCTGCTGGTGGTGGTACATCTACAGGGGGGACAGCGGGGCAGGATAGCGGTACGGGGGCGGCGCGAGGGGATGGCACCAGCGGTAACGGTAACGGTGTGGTAGCTGGGAGCACGAGAGAGGAGACGCCGGTGGAGGCGGCAGGAACAGGAGCAGGGGTAGCAGCAGCAGCAGGGGTTGGTGGGGGCGGTGAGGGCGCACGGGTACGAGTGGCTGACCTGGAGGTGCTGAAGCTGCGGATCTGGGGGAGTCTGCGGTGCGGAGGAAGCGTGGAGACGGCGAATGAGGTGGGTAGAGGAAAGCTGGAGCCGGTTTGGGTCGGTATGGCTGAGCTGGGCTGCTTGTGGTGAGGGGTTGGAGGTTCTGCTGGTCAGTTGGGGGTGGCCCTGCTTCTGCCGCTGCTGCTGCTGCAAGCCTGCACGTCACAACACATCTTTGCACACCACCTGTGACGTGCAGTTAGGAACAACATAGGTCGAGTGGGTGTGGTACGAGAAGCTAGCTGTGAAGATCTGAAGAAGAACATAGTGTGAGTGTACACTACTGCGTGTGTGTCCCTCCCGCCCCGCCCCGCCCCCCCCCCGTCCCGCAGTTTCCCTTCCTGGACGCCATGCGCCAGCGAGCTGAGGCGGCCGGGGGCGCCAAGCTGGTGGGCCGCCGCATCTGGCTCTACCACTTCAGTGAGCTGCAGGCCAAGCCGTACGGCACCTGGCTGGCGGGAAATATTACGTCGTACAAGCCGGAGAGCGGGGAGCATGAGGTGGGTGCGAGGGGTGGGGGGCCGTGGGGTTTGGGTGGGGCAGGGTTGGGTTATGCATGGAGGTGGGAAGTAGGGGAGTTAGGTGAACAGAGCCGCGAGGAGGACGGGCCCTGGCCTTGGGCATGGGGAAAGGGGTGCTAGCTGAGTATCCGCAGCAGCTGCTGCTCCGGACAGCCTCCGGGCAGCCTCGCTCTTTCTCCATAACCGCTTCAACCCGCCCTCTCTCACCCCACGCAACCATCACATCCGTCCGCCGCCCCTCTCTCGCCTCCTCCCTGACCCCTCCCTGACCTCCTCCCTGCAGCTCCGCTACGACCACGAACCATTCGGGCCGCTGGAGGCTGTGCAGCTGGGCTGCAACTTCGCGCACCTGGGCGACCGAGCGCCCCTGCCCGGACAGGCGCTGGGTTTGTCGGATGGCGGCAGGGTGGTGCCTGGCCTGCCGGCTCGCTTGTTCGCGCCCTCCGAGCCGCAGCAACGGGGTGGGTGTTTCTGCGGGTTGGGGCAGTGGGTAGTGAGGGCACCGGTATGCGTTCAAGGGAAGGTTGCAAGCATTACCGCATCCAACGCCTCCTAGACCACCCAGGCCTCACACAGGCATAGCACCACCTCTCCCCACAGTCCCCCCCTCTGGGGCCCCCCCTGTGCTGCTCCCCAGAAGGAGCCCCCAGGCCCACACTCACCGAGCCTTCCCCCCCTCCTCCTCTTGCTCCCGGGCACGCAGCAGCTGCCCCAACCACCCGGCCCGACTCCAGGCTCGCTGCCTTGTCCGACGTAGCAGCAGCCCTTGCCGCCGCCCGTGCGGACACCCTACGTCCCCGCAGCGGCAGCGCCCCTGCTGCGCTCGCCGCCCCGCCGGCTGCTGCAGCAGCTGCTGCTGTTCCGGCCCCGATCATTGTACCGCCGCAGCCGCCAGCACATGGCACCGCTCCGGGTGCCGCTGCTGCTGCTCCGGTAGCCCAGCTGCAGCCTGCACATGGAGGCGCTCCGGCTGCTGTTGCTGCTGTTACTGCTCTGCAACCGCCCCAGCGGCCGCCGCCGCCCGCAGCGCTGCTGGGCGCCGCGGACGCCCCCATTGTAATCGACGATGACGAAGAGGAGGACGGCCACCGGGGCCGCGGCGGAGGAGGAGCAGCAGGGGGTGTGGTTGCTCCCTCGTCAGTGGGTTTCCAGCAGCCAGCGAACCAGCCCTCCCATGCAGGGGGACACCCGCATCCGTACCATGCCCCTCCTCCAGCTGCTGCAGCTGCTGCTGCTGAGGCTGCTCCTGCTGGGGTCGCTCATGTGCAGTATGCGAGGCAGCAGCAGCAGCACCCCTATGCGCCGCCGCAAGCGCAGCAGGTGAGGGCGGCAGTCGTTGCTCCTCCCGTCGGAGCTGCACACGTCGGGTCGCGTACGTTATCGCCGGCGGCAGCAGCAGCAATCGCAGCATCAACGGCAGCAGCAGCGGGAGCGGGAGCAGCAGCAAGCGCAGCTGCAACAGCAGCAGTGGGAGCGGGAGGAACGCAACATGTGGCTTACGGTACAGGCATAGAAGCAGGGCGGCCCTACCTGCCAGGTCGTCAGGGGGCTGGGGAGGTGGCGCATGCAGCAGCAGCCGGATCAGGCCAGGGACCTGCAGTGGCGGCGGCGGCGACAGCGGCGGCGGCTGGCACGGCAGGAGCAGCGGGACTGCCCATTGCCCCGGGCGTCGTCTCCTCCCGGGGCACGGCTTTGGCGGAAGCGGTGCTTAGCACGCTACGAGATATAGCGCCGCGCTTTCCCGATACAGCGTGAGTTGGCGCGCCTCTGGCTTTGTCCTATCCGGCATCCATGCATGCATGCATTGCTTTAGGCACGCTGGGCAGGGGGCAGGGGGGCTTTTGATGGCTCCCGGGAAGCGTTGAATGGGTCCCCTGAACGCATGGAAGGCATGGAAGCAGAGACAGTTGCTTGCTGTTCCTTACAGATTCCCGTTCTAGGCTGCTGAGGAGCCGCCCCTGTGTCGGAATTCCTGCCCTTCCTGCCCCGCAGGATCAACTTGAAGATGGAACGGGATGTCGTAAGCATGCTTCTGAGAAGCTTGTTCACGCCCGAGCAAAGGGCACGCCACGACGCCGGAGACCAGTTGGTCCGCAGCCAGCTGTATGTAGAAGTCATGGCGGTGAGCTCACGCGTCGCGGTAGTCTTCTTGTGCTTCTCCTGCTTTTTGTGCGTCTTGTCTTGTCATGCGTTTAGCCAACAAAGTTTTTGGACTGTGTCGGCTCTTACCACAGTCCCCTTGCCTTGCATCCTACTGATTCCTGAACACCCATCCCGACGACAAACCCGTTCCTGCAGTTCGTGGGATCCAACCCGGTCGTGCACCAGCGGGTGCTAGCTGCTGCACGCAAGGAGAAGCGCAGGATGGTGGACAACCAATTGGCGCTCCAGGCGCGGTCGCTCACGGCGCCCCATGCCGCACCGCCCCCGCATGCCGCACCGCAGCAGCAACAACAGCAGCAGGCAGCACCACCCGCACCCGCAGTACAACATGCGGTACAACATGCCGTACAACAGCAACAGCAGCTGCATGTGCAGCATGCTGTACAACAGCAACAACAGCCTTCTCATGTGTCGCAACACCACCCACAGCAACAGCACCACTCGGCCCAGCAGCAGCAGCAGCAAGTGCCGCACCCTTACCCTCCACATCAGATGGTTGTCACCACGCAGCTGCATGGGGCAGCATCGCCGCCGCCGCACGTGCAGCAGCCTCATGGGGTTCCGATCTCGCCGAGAGCAGCGGCAGCAGCAGCAGCGGCCGCTGCTGCTGCTACTGCCCAGCACTACCAATTCTACCTTCAAAACCAGCACATGCAACAGATGCTCCTACAACAACACCAGCAACGCACGGAGCAGCAGCAGCAGCAACAACAACAACAGCGACAGGGGCCGCCGCAGCAACCGCAACCTCAGCAGCAGCAGCAGTACCCGCTACAGCAGCAGCCCCCGGCCGTGCAAGCCGCTCATGCGAGCTTGCCTCCGGGCGCGGTACCCGTGGCGCCGCACGTGCCAACGCAGCCACCGGTCACTTACGCAGCTCATCCAGGATTGCAGGTGCGGTAACGCACGCATGAAGCCAGGCAGGCATGGAGCCAGGCATCAGGGGATAAGTAGAACTCCCTGCGGTGGCTGAGTTAGGTGGCTCAAAGCTTGTTAGGAGGATTGTTTTCATTACCATCCCCGAGCCCTACTGGCTACCGGTGCTTTGGTAAACGCTGTGTGCAATTGCAGGACTCTAGTTAGTCATACTACGTGCCCTCTCCCTGCCCGCAATCTACACCACCAACCACTACTAACCGCCGTACAACACCATACCCTGCCCTGTTCTGCCGCTCCCTGCCGCTCCCTGCCCTGCCCTGCCGGTTTTACAGGCACCGTACGGCACGGCGGTTCCGCAGGGACACCCTCTTCACCCTCCTCACCCTCACCCGCAGGCGCCACCCGCAGTACCCCCCGTTCCGGCTCCCCAGCTTCAAGCTGCGGCAGCCGCTGCAGCAGCCGCCGCTGCAGCAGCCGCCGCCGCCGCCGCAGCGACAGCGGGGCCCCAGGCGGGGGGTGTTGCGGGGGTGCCTCGCACGGTGTCAGGCTCCTCACCTCGCTACCACATGCACAACGCTGCGGCTGCCGCTGCGCCGCCGCCAGGGCAGCTGCCTCTGTCGGCCGTACAAGTCGCTGAAGTGGCTTCACACCACCAGCAGGTGATGCATCAGGCTTGTCCATCGCCACGTTGCCCCATGGAAGCCCCACATGCACCCTCTCTCTCTCTCCATGCATGAGACCTTGGCTTGCTTGCTGTTCACGCAGCCACACATGCACGCGCCCATCCACCCACCATCATGGCCTCCGCCGCCCATCATTCGCCAATGCAGCGTGATCTCAGATCACGCAGCCGCCAGTTGACGATTGCTGCTACTTACTATCTAACAACTACAATGACATGCTTACACTACTTTCCAGCTTCATGCGGAATCTTCATCCCTATTAACCCCCATCATGCCCCACCACCACTCACCTACAGGCTGCCAAGCGCCCGCGCCTAGAGGGTCATGGCTCAATACCCGAGGCGGCCGTCATGATGGCTCCAGGACCCCCTCAGCCACCGCCCGTACAACCCCACCACCACCACCACCACCCACATCAACCACCCCACCACCACCAACACCCCATGGAGTCCGACCAGTACTCCCCCCGCAGCCAAACGCCCTTCCCAGCAGCGCCCTCCACAGCAGGCGGAGCCGCCTACACAGCCGCTGCTGCCACTACCGCCGTCAGCAGCGGAGGCCGGGGCAGCGTATCCGGCACGGGCGGGGAGGACGGGGCGGGAGGTGGCGCGAGGAGTACTGGAGGAGGCGGCAGCGGGGGGGCGGCCAAGGCGGCGGCGGCGGGCGCGGAGGCGGCAGCATGGCCGGGATGTCGCTTCCGCCCCATGCCCTCTACCACGGAGATGACGGAGGTGGTACGAGCGATATACGAGTTGATGGAGCAGTTACCCCTGTCGGGCGAGGAAGCCAAGGGCGTACGGAAAGCGCTGAGGCAGCTCCAGGTGGGTCGCATGTGGGGATGAAAAAGTAATAATGAGGCACTGACGATGCAACTGACGAGATGTATGACATGTAGGCTTCACCATGGGGGAGGGGTGCATGTGGGGAGGGGTGGTAAGGAGAGCGTTGCAGGGGTGGTGTTGGTTGTTTGGTGGTGGTGGTGGTGCTGGGGCGTGGTGTTATTTGGCATCGCTCGCTCGTTGCATGGGTTGCCTGCCACCTTGCCTACCTGCTACCCTACGCCGCACCCGCGCAGGTGGTGGATAGGAGCTTCATCCAGGAAAACTATGTGAACCTGTGCTTCGCGGCCAAGGCGGGAGGCGAGGAAGAGGTGGGCATGTCGTGGGGGATCAAATTGGACCAAATGATACCATCTCAAAACCATGTCGTGGGGGCAGGGCGCTAGCGTATGATGTTGGAGGTATACCGGTGTGCAAACCCGGTTGGCAGGTGTGGATGCCCGTATGCGCACTTGGTTTGGGGTTGTGGCTTGGTATCAGCACCAGGAAGGAGAAGACGGCCAAATGGCAGCCGGCGGGTGCCTTTGCATGGCGTCTCGTCACTTCATGCATGCATGCCTTCCCTGTGTTAAGAAAACTGGCCGCGAGTCGGAACATGCTGTGATTCCCTGTGTATGCCTTCGCTGTGTCTTCCGTTCCCATGGGGTTCCGCAGATCCGGGAAATCTTTGAGGAGATCCGACAGCGAGCTGCCGACCTGCAGCAGCAGCAGCAGGCGGGGGGCCCGAGCGTGAAGACGGACGCCGGCTAGGGAGGCAGCGGCTGTAGGCATCCCCGGGGAGCGGAGGAGCAGAGGGGCAGAGCTGGAGGGTTGGGCAAGGAAAGGCTGGGGCAGTTGCAAGGGAGGGGGGGGGCAGGTTAGGGCAACTGCAAGGGGGCTCAGATAGGTGCCCCAAAACGAAGAACCGAAGGTCGGGGTAGCTGAGAGGCAGTTGAGGTGTCTGAAGGGAGGAAAGGGTTGTGGGCCGACCGATGCCGTGAGGGGGTCACAGCATGGCGCATGTGTTTGGGAATGTCATGGGAACGACAGGTACCGCGTTACTGTGCACCTGCGTGGTGCATGCGGGCTCCAGCCGGTGGGCCCTGCTGCGTTTTGATTCTCTGAGGGCCATCTGCCACGCCAGTGCTTAATTACGCCTGTCATGGGATGGGTGCTACGCGAAGCAGATTTCAGTTCAGGATTGGGCAAAGCTACCAGCCTTGCAATACCGTGACAACCTTTGGACCATGGTGCTTGTTGCGGTGGTTTGACCGTTGCACTCATTATTTTTTCCGGAACTTATTGCGAAACTTGGCATTGGAAGCGTTGAATGCTGGCGGAATGCTGATGCCTAACCAAGCCATCGCCAGCTAGGCGACCATGCAGACTGGCACCCGGGAATTTCAACCGGGACCTGCCGGGACACGTGTTACCTTTGGACAGGTGCACCATGGCATGGCATGACAAGGCGCACGAGGCCACCCGCCGCGGTGCTGCACGGCTACGGACCTCGGGAAGCGAGCACAGTGGCGGGTTGGGGGGTCAACTAGATTGGCGTGTCTGTTGCTGTTGGGGCCTCGGGCATTCGCCCCTACGATCGCCGTGGCTAAGTGCCTGCGTCATAACCTCGCAGCAGCTAGCTTACGGCCGAGCCGCATGCCCCTTACCTGCGAACTCGTGTAGTCCCCGCTATCCGGCATGTTGACATTGAAGATTGCGGCATGCGGCGGCTACGGAGCTACGAGTGGGAGTGCTGAAGGCTACACTGTAAGCAACGTCCGTGGGTGCAGGATCATGAGGACTGGGGCCTTAAGGAGGTGCTGTAATGGATGGGCTCATCGCGCTTCGGCAGGCGCCTACGCAGATGTTGTATTCTTACCGCTACTGCTCAAGTGGCCCATGGTTCATGCACCTGGACCCCCGTGTGACGACAAGGGGAAGGCAAGGAGCTTTTCAATATGGCGGGGAAAGTGCCGTCTAGGTTTTGCTGGGCAGTCATGCCCTGAAGGCCAGAACACGTTCCCCAAAGAGCACCAACGGCTCTCGCCGGCTGGTAAGCGCACACCCACAAGGCTGTGCGCTCAGCGGTAAGGGTGTATGTGGTCAGTTCCAGAAGAGCGGGTAGCATAGGCTTGCTATTGCACGGTTATGTAGGCCATCATCAGTGCATTACTTGCCGTTCACGTAGTCCGTAACGTAGTTAGCGTTGATCGGCGTTGACTTCTGTATGTTTGGCGACCACGCCAAACTACATATATATGAAACGTATAAGAAATAATCCATGTGCCCATCTATTGCAGTAGGCAGGTATACGGTGTTCAGTCCTGGGGATTGGCAACCCGTCGCTTGCTCGGGTAGCGACGGCCATGCACGTCAACAAGTACTAACAGCAATGAAATTTTGTCAAGACGCATGGTTAAACAGCATAATAACGTACTGACAGACTACCCCAACGTGTTGTAAAGGCTGCTTTTGGGGTTGGCTATTTTCCATGTTTGTTCCAAAAGCATATGGCTTGCCGAGCTTGCATGCCCCTTAGATAAGTAAACGATAAAATACATTAGAAATGGCAGAGCGGCTTACGCGAAGTAGGTTGCAAGTTGGAGGAGTTCCCCCGGGTGCAATCGACCCAGGGACGACAATTTTGCGTCTGCTTAATGAAGCCAAGCAAGATGCCATTGCTGTCCTCCAAGTCGGCGCTTGCGGGTGAGAAATGGCAGCGTTTGTTTGACGTTCTTCAAGGACTGCCACGAAGCAAGCCATTGCGCGCGAATACAGGCCTCACAAGCTGCTCGAGGCGTGCGCAAAGTTGCGAGAGGGATCAGCGCAGTTTCAAAAGATTGTCGGAGAGGATTTGCGGCAAGCGGAGGACCTTCCGCGGGGCGGTCTAGCGCGCTCGCCGACTCCTCGTCTGCCTCCCTCTCAGGTACGGGCCACGCTTCTTAACAACGTCCACGTCACGTTCCCGCAAGGACGGATGGCTGCATCGATCGCTGCACCCCACGCACGTTGTGCGCGCCCTCTCTTACCTCTTCCACTAAATAGCAAACAGGACTCTGCGGCTGCGAACCAGGCCAAACGCGCCTCCTCGCATGCGCTGTCCTCCTCCCAATCCTGCTCGTCGTCAACTGCAGGACAAACCGCCTACCCCCCCACCTCCTCGCCTCCATCCCACGTTCAATGCCCCCCTTTGTCCAGGTCGCCAAGGCGGCCGCCAGCCTGCTAGACGCCTGCCATGTCGCCGTGCGTGCCGTGATTGAGCAGTGCGACTCCAGCGCTGCAGCTGCTGCAGCAGCAGCTGCGGACGCGTCAGGAGCACAGGTATGAAGGCATTCCTGCACTCCATACCGGCCTTGCTAGCCAGCACTTGTTAGCCAACGCATGGAAGGAGAAGCCATGCCCTAGCGCTGTAGCAAGGCTGGCCTAGCACAGGCCCTCCACATAGGTCTCTGGGCGCAAGGCAAGCACAGGGCCGTAGAGCAGTGCCCCGCACACCGCACGTTGAAGCCCCCCTTACACAGCAGCTCCCGCCCGCCTGCCCACCTCATCCCATTGATCACAGATCCACCTCATCAAGCAAGAAGAAGGAGCCCCCACCGCACCCACTCCGCCCGACTCGGTGGTGCCACCCGCGACCTCGCCAGCCCCCACCGCCGCCCTGACGCCCGCTCAGCTCTGGAAATGCGCCGTTGACGCGGCCCACGCGCTTCAAGACGCCACGCGGCTGCTTGCCGAGCCCTCCATCTACACCTCCTACACCACCTCCTCCGACCCCTCATGTGAGGCTCTGCTGGCGGTGGGGGAGCTGGCGGCAGCGGCCATGCAGCGCGCCACGTCCGCCACACGTGCTGCCATTGCAGCAGCCGCAGCAGCCTCCTCCGCGGGAAGCTTGATGGAGGCAGCTGGGAAGCAGCAGCAGCGGCAACCGCAGCCGCAGCAGCAGGGGGTGCCGCCGCTTCCGGACGCGGTGTGCCTCTTGGCGGCGCATGCCTGCTCGCTGTTGCTGGGCGCATGCGAGCAGCAAGCCGAGGGGCTGCTGGTGGGTTGTGGGTGGGTGGGAGGGAGGGGGGGTGCAGGGCGGGCGCAGGTCATGGGCGGCGGGCTGTGGGGGGGGACTCGGATTCGAGGCTCGGCGAAGACCTATAGAGGTAGGAGAGAGAGGGATACGATGGTTAACAGCCGTATACCGTATACCGTATCGCCCTTGTCACTTCTTTTCTCCCTCCTCTTCCTCCTCCTCCTCCTCCTCATCATCATCACTACCCGCCTGCCCCCGCTCCTCCGCTCCGCTCCCCACCCCCCCACAGGACGCCCTGCAAGACCAGCCCGCCGGCCGCCAGCGACTGCACACGCTCGTCACCGCCGCCCTCGACCTAGCCGCCGCCCGCATCACGGAAACAGCGCACTGTGACGCCGCTGCCGCCCCCTCCCAGCCCCTGTCTCCACTTCCTGCATCCTCCTGCAATCCGGAGGTCCCTTCCGGCGCCTTGACCTCTGCTGCGGCTGCTGCTGCTGCCTCCTCCTGCTCCCCTCCCGCCGGACCCAGCTACCAGCTCCGCCAGCTGCAGGCCGTGTCGCTGCGGTTCGCGGAGCTGCTGGTGGACGACGGCGGCACCAAGGCGGCGGCGCGGCGGGCGCTGCTGCCGGCGCTGGGGGAGGCGCTGCGGGCGGAACCGCGCCGCTTCCTGGCTTGGTGGGTTGGGTGTACAGGAAGGAGTTCCAGTGCGTTGACTGCGAATGGCAAACAAGATGACAAGCTCCTGGCGGATGGAGCAGAGTTGGGTTGTGGGTGGCAGTGGGTGGCGGAGGAGAAGGAGAAGGAGGAGGAGGGAGTGTTTGGTTTCCTTCTCGATGTCCTCATCCGGTGGGATACCCTTGCGAGCCCGAGCCATGTCGCCACCTCTTCTCCCCCCCCCCATTTCTGCAGGTGGTGCTGCGGCCGGGACGCCATCCTCTCCGGCCTCTCCCTCCCCGAACTCCTCTCCGCGCCCCAGCTCGGCTCCGCTCCCGCTCCCGCCTCCGCAACCACCGCCCTCGGCCTCAACCCCAGCCCCACCACACCCCCCACACTCACCGCCTCCTCCTCCTCCTCCTCCTCCTGCTCCACCGCCGCCCCCACGCTGCCCCCCGCGCCCGACTGCATCAGCACCCAAGAGCCCAAACTCCAAGCGGCTGCAGTCGGCATGTTGCTCAAGAGCCCAGCCTCCCGCAGCATCTGCCTGTCGCTGCTGCTGGCTTGCGCTCGACAGCCCGCACCCGCGGGGACCCCCGGCGGTCCGTTCGGCGAGGGCTTTAACGCGGAGCGGTTCATGGCATGGGGCGAGGGCGAGGAGAGGGAGTTGCTGTATGTGGGCGGCCGGGGTCGGGGTTACAAGCGACGCAAGGTGCTGAACCCCGAGGCACATGGCGTGGAGACGGAGCGGGTGGGGGTGGTGTTGGCGGCGATGGCGGGGGCAGTGGAGGCGGCGGTGCTGCTGTGTAAGATCCTGGTGAATACCGCGCTCGGGCCGCAGTTGCTGGCGGATGGTGAGGTGGAGGAGGAGGAGGGTGGAGAGGAGGGCGAGGAGGCAGACGGCGGGGCGGCGGCGGCGGGCGGCAAGGCGGCGTCCCAGCTGACGGGTGCTGTGAAGGCAAGGAAGGAGACGGAGGAGGGTGCTGGAGGGGGTAAGCAGCCGGACCTGCCCTTGGCTGAGGCGTTTTGGCAGCAGCTTGTCTCGTCGCAGCAGCAGCAGCAGTCCTCATCGCCGGAGGTGGCTGTCGCGGCTAAGATGATGGGTCGCATGGCGGCAAACCTGGCGGCGCTGTTGTCCGTGTTGCAGCCCCTGTCTGCCAGCTCCGGACAGGTTCGCGACGCCGTTCGACAGGCGGGGCTGCCCTCCATGCGGTGAGGGGGTGGGGTGCGTGTGCGTGGGGTGTGAAGAAGAGAGGCGTAACAGCAGCAGCAGCAGCAGCAGCAGCAAGAAGCGGTTATGAATTAGTGATGATGTTGATGGTGTTAGTAGGGTACCGTGTTTTCGACGTAGCTGCTGCTGTCCTGTTTGTGACACCTGTGCGCGTGACTCGCGCCGAGAAATACGCAACCCCATCCTTGGTGCCGAAATAGTGCCTTGCTTGCCATTGCTGTTCTAATGCTCTGTACTGCGCTCCTCAACAGCGCTCGTTCCCAAAAATCTCACGTCATTCTATCCTAACCTAACCTAAACCTAATCTCACCCTACCTCCCTGTGGCGTGTCCCTGTGTGTCCGCCGCCAGTTGGCCCCGCCTCACGATTCGCCTACCGGTGTTTGTGGTGGCTGAGGACTCCGAGCTGCTGCTGAGCCTGATGCGCGACATGCAGGCAATCGCAGCGGACCCCGCCCGCCCAGGTCGCCACGCAGCCCGCAGCCACCCCACCGAGCTGGCAGCCGCACCGGGGCAGCCACGCGGAGGCGGCAAGCAGCAGCTGCGACGCGGCGACGCGGGGGAGATGAGGATGCAGGAGGAGGAGGAGGAGGAGCTAGAGCAGGAAGAAGGTGGTGGTGCGACCGGCACGCGGTATGCGGCAGCAGCAGCGGGCGGTGCGTTACAGCCCAAGGTGCGGCTGGTGATACGCAGCAGAGGCCCAGGCGGTGAACTGCCGCCGCCGCCGGTTGCCGCTGGTGGCGGTGACCCATGGGTCGGCATGGGCTGCCAGAGGAAGCGCACGCGGCCTGGTGGCGAGAAAGATGACGGCGGTTACAATGATGCTGACGAGCAGTGGGGCGCAGCCGGCGCCTTCCATGACGAGGCGGCAGGGGAGCAAGAGGAGGACCCCAACGGTGCGGGGGTTGCGGGTCCGCCGCCGCTGCGGGGGCTGCTGCAGGTGCCGAGGCAGAAGCGCACCAATCGTGCGATGAGGCCGCGGACGCCCACTCCGCCGCCACCTGAGGCGGCGGGGGTCTACCCAGATGTCGTCGGGTATGGCGGGCAGAGCGGCGGGGCCGGCGGGGCGTTACGAGCAGTGCATCATGGCGGTGCCCCTGGCTTTGGCGGGCCTGTTGCGAGTGGGAGGCTGGCAGGACACGCCGGGGCAGGAGCTCTTGGCCGACCGACGATGATGGCTGCTGCGGCGGAGGCGGAGGAGGAGGAGGAGGAGGAGGAGTGGGTTGGGCATCAGCTGGAGGGTGGTGGCGGTGGCGGAGGTTTTGGAGGGCTGACGGGCCGAAGCGCTTACACGACCACACTGCCTCGGGCAGGCTACCCCGGCGCCGTTGCTGCTGCTGCAGCGCCGCCTGGCCTCATGGACTATACTGCACGGCATCATGCTGTGTATGCTGATAGCGCCGTACCGCCGGGATATGCTGCGGCACCGCAAGCCCAGCATGCAGCAATGCAGCATGCGTATGCCATGCGACACCAGCCCTCCACGATGCCATTTCGAGGGCCGCCGCAGCAGCAGCAGCAGTTGAGCGCGGTACCCGTGACGCTGCACGCTGGGCAGACGTGGGGGCCGGCGGGTGAAAAGGTGCTGAGTCGCGCACCGGCACCAGCTGTTGCTTCTTCTTCCATGCAGGTGCACGGCGGCATGGGCGGGTATTATGCGGGGGAACCTGGTGACGCGGGTTCAGGGCAGGATTGGTACGTGGGCAACGACATGAGTTGAGGCTGCTTCCGGCATGTGCGGACGTGCGGTAGGAAGACAGGTCTGTGAGGTGTTTGACGGGACGTGAGTGGGTCGGAGTCGGGCCAGTCATGCTGTGCTGTAACCTAACTGGGGTTCAGGCGCTTGGCAGTAGGTTTAAAATGCAGTACTTGGGCGCAAAGTTGCTCCTGGGATAACTGCAGACGCATTTGGGATAACTCTTCCACCGTGCATTTTGCTCTTCCCTTTTAGAAGTGATGCTCAGAAGTCCTACACGATATGTAATTGCGGAAGGTTCTTAACGAGCCGCAAGACGGACCAGAATGCAACGCGTTGACGGTCATGTGAGATGGATATTGCATAATTTGCACTTCTCCGCCCAAGTTGCGCAATCCATGCGAAGGATGCGAAGCATTCCGTGCCCTGGAGTGAGTAACTGCAATAGCTAATGGCTGGGCGTTTGTCTACTGCTGTGACAGTGGGTGAAGCGCGAAGTAAGCACATCAGGATTACTAAGCTGCGGCTGACGACAGGCCATTGCTGACAGGTCGTATAGGATGAGATCTTAAGCCTATGTTTACTCAGGTAAATCACGTAGAGACATGACACTTGTAGATAGCACATGGATAGAATTTTACATGTAGCACCTGCATACCAACTAATCGCTCTGTTCAATGAGCATATGGAAGTGTCAACAATCAATAAGTTGCAGGGAGTAACGTTGTCAATTGCCCACGAAGATAACACTGCAGAAAGCAGCGCCGCACGAGTGGTCTTAGAATCAATTGCCGTACGCAACAGTTTTCATAGTCAATAATAAACCCTGCACACGAAACGAAAACTCACCCGCTGGATACATCAGCGCTAAGCTCTACCCAACCCCTGTAAATGCGCTGTTTGATGTCCTACCCAATTGCTTCGAAAAGCGCTCTATAACAACCGCCATGCACGCCGTTGGACGTTACGCATGTTCGCAACAACCCCGATCCTCCTCCTCCTCCTCCTCCTCATCACCTCCTACAATGTGGTATCTCCCACCCATTACCATTATGGGCAAGTTTAACATTTTGCGTGCAAAACACAACACACACAACAGTTCCGTTGCAACTGTAACAACACACACAAATACCACATATCACATCCAACACACCCAACGCTTACGCACCACCAGTCAGCTTCGTGAGGCACACCTTGCTGGCGGGCTTCAGGAAAGCATACTGGTTAGTCTTGACAGCTGCCTTGGGGTCGAAGGGCGAGGGTGGTAGGGCACTAATCTTGCCCTGCGCCGGCTGGCCCATGCCCACCGTGAGCTTAGAACCGCACACCAACCGCGCCGACTCCACAAACGAGCCCTCCTTGGCGATGTTCTCCAGAAGAGCATCATGGGCACTGGCCGGGGCCGCCACAGTGACCCGGTAGAAGATGGCCTTGGGCGCGGACTTGAGCACGTACCACTCGGAGCAGGCGATACCCTGGGGATGGGGCTTGAAGACGGCGTTGTTACCCAGCTGCGCCTGCAGCGTGGCCTTGAGAGCGGGGCACAGCCAGTAGACGACGGTGCGGTTGGAAACCAGGGTGTTGGCGACGCCGGTGGTGGACTTGGGCGCCTGGACCTCGTAGGTGCGGACCTGGGTGTTGGCGGGGATGGTCCAGGTGGTGTTGACGAAGGGAGGAGGAGGCGGCAGGGCGGCGTTTGCGGCGACCAGCGGCGGGAAGGGGGAGGCGACGAACTTGGGGGGAGGCGAGGGAGGAGGGGGGGGAGGAGAGGAGCTCTTGGCGGGGGGCGGGCTGGGAGGAGGAGGCGAGGGGGGAGGAGGCGGGGGCGAGGGAGGAGGAGGCGAGGGAGGAGGAGGAGGAGGAGGCGAGGGGGGAGGAGGAGGAGGGGGCGAGGGAGGAGGGGGAGAAGGCGGCGGCGGGTCGGGAGGTGGTGGGGAGGGAGGGGGAGGAGGGAACGAGGGAGGAGGAGGCGGCGACGGCGAGGGAGGAGGCGGCGGCGAGGGCGGCGAGGGCGGCGAGGGAGGAGGAGAAGGAGACGGCGGGGGCGGGCTGGGAGGCGGCGGCGAGGGCGGTGGCGGCGAGGGCGGCAGCGGGCAGCAGAGGTTGTCAATCTTCAGCTCCTGGATGTTGGTATCGCGGCTGCACTGGAAGTCGCTGAACAGCGCCGACACCGGGTTGTACAGGCGGATGGTGGAGTTGCAAGGAACACCGCCGTCCTGCGCGAAGTAGCTGATGGTGTCGTTGACGGTCAGGGCGTTGTACAGGCGGGTCACCATGTCGGGCGCCGTCAGCTCGGGGTGGATGACGGTTTCCAGACCCTGGCGGCGGCAGGTGACGGAGGTGCGGGTCATGGGGATCTGGGTGTTGAGCGAGCTGATCATGGCGTTGATCCAGCCGATGTAGCGGGCGCAGTTGTTGACGTCATCGGTGTTGCCGTTGACGATGGAGATATCCAGACCGAAGCCGGGAGGAGGGCGGGGAGGAGGATGCGAGGGCGGGCTGGGAGGAGGCGGCGAGGGCGGGGAGGGAGGAGGAGAGGGCGGCGCGGGTGAGGGTGGAGAGGGTGGTGGGGGCGGGGAAGGTGAAGGAGGCGGGGAAGGAGGAGGCGAGGGGCAGATGTAGGTGGGGAAGGGGAACTGAGGTACGATGTCCCTGCCTGAGCCCACGGTGAAGGGGAACTGCACGGTCTGCGTCGCCCCGGTGTTGGGGTAGGTGAAGGTGGTGGCGGGGATGGTGCCGGAGGTGCAGCTGGCGTTGATGCTGATGTAGTCGCCGCACACCATGCCCAGACCCGTGGGGCTGGGGAAGGTGAAGGTGGAGTACACGCCGATGTTGCTCACCAGGTTGGACAGGAACTTGCTGCCGGAGGCGATGGACCAGAGGTCCGCGGACGCGGTGATCTGGAATGGCGTGGCGGTGGAGCAGGTGAAGTGGCCCGGCGCGCGGAAGGTCACGCCCAGGCCGAACCACAGGCCGACCAGGGTGGTCAGCATGGTGCACTCCGCAGCGCGGTCGGTGGCACGAGGGATGGCGGAGATGAGGCTGACGGAGGCGGTGCAGTAGTCAGCCGGCGGGGAGGGAGGCGGCGAGGGCGGCGGCGGCAGGTCGGGGGGCGGGGGAGAGGGCGAGGGAGGCACGGGGGGAGTGCCGGGGGAGGGGGGGACGGGCGGCGGGCTGGGGGAAGAAGGCGGGGTGGGCGGCGGGCTGGGGGGAGGCGCGTAGCACTGCATGGGGTAGGCCTGGGCAAGGGAGTAGTCGCACACACGGCGCTTGTAGCCGGGCGCGGAGGCAATGTTGCCGAGGCGCACGTAGCCGGGCAGGCCCACCACCTCGTCGGGGATGTACTCGGTGCCGTTGGGCCACTGAGCTGAGTTGAGGCCGCCCTGGACCATGGGGCAGATGTAGCGCGCACCCAGGTTGGTGATGTCGGCCGTGTCGATCGCGTTGGCCTGGGTGTAGTAGTTGCCGTCGATCACAGCCTCCAGCGCCATGAAGGAGTTGCAGTATAGGTACAGACCGCCCTTGTTCTGCTCGGAAGCCAGCGACTTCCATAGCTCGCTGGAGCCCAGCGAGGCGTACATGTAGGTGACGGCGTCGCGCGCAGCCTGGGCCTGCTCGGTGAAGGCGATGTCGGCGCCGGTGCCGTCCTTGCTGCCGTCAAAGAACATCTTGACACCCATCATGCTGTAAGACGGGAAGGCGGCGTTGTTGGTCTCGTTGATGGTCAGGAAGGGCTTGGAGCGGAGGCAGTCGCCGGTGTTGAGCTGGCAGCCGAGCGCGAACTTCATGATCTGCACAACCTTGGCAACATCAGAGTCGCCGAAGGGGGTGGGGCGGTTAGGCTGGTACACGAAGACGGAGGCGTAGTACTGCCGGGTGGGGGGAGGAGGAGAGGCGGGCTGTGGCGGCGCGGGGGAAGGAGGCGAGGGGGAAGGAGGAGGGGCGGGGGAAGGCGGCAGCAGGGGCGAGGGGGAAGGAGGAGGCGAGGGGGATGGCGGCGAGGGAGACGGAGGAGGGCTGGGAGGCACTGGCGGCGAGGGCGGGCGCTGGAGGGTGCTGCAGCTGGCGGGCACGTCGACCACGTCAGAAAGACGCACGTAGCTGGCACCGTTGGCGAGAACCAGGGAGGCGAACTGCGTGGCGGCACCGCAGTAGAAGCCGGTGGCGGGGGAGCCGAGCGTGGAAACATCGTACTTGGCAACGTTGACGTTGACAGCCAGGTACAGGGAGCTGGCATTGGTGGCAGCCAAGGACTTGGCGCTAGCACCGGCGGCGGGGGAAGCACCGGCCTTGGGCAGGCAGGTAGCGCCGTCGCCGAGGACGTAGCCGGGCGCGCAGAAGTTGGAAAGCGAGGCCTTGTAGGTGGCGCAAGACCAGCGCTTGTAGGAGTTGCGGTCAGAGACCATCAAGTCCTGCAGCTGAGCCTGAAGGGCGAGCGGGCTGCTAGCAGACGGCGCCGAGTCCCAAAGGTAAATAGCGCCGCTAGGCGAGCCGGCGCCGGGCAGGGCAGGCTCGACGTACAGCCATTGGCCATCTGGCTGGCCAGCAATACGGCTGGTGGCCTCCAGAGAGATGGTGAAGTAGATGTTGTCGGAGTAATCCTTGAAGATAACAAGGTGGCCTCCGACGGTGGAGGTACCACTGAACACCAGAGGCAGACGGCCCACTTGGTAGGAGCAGACGTTCCGGATGTTAAAGGTCGCGGAAACAACTGGGAATGCGCCGTTATCGGGAATAGCGCACTCGTCGGCGTCAGTCGACCAAAGGTCAGAAGTCTGCGCAAAGCAAAGAAATTATTGTTGGTAAGAAATTATTGCTGGAGATTAAGTAAACAAGAGTGGAAGTGACAACAAGCGCAAGCCGGTTACAGGATTTTAGCTAGCAATGCCATCTCGAAGTAACCCACCTCGCAAGCAGTGGGCGTGTTAACTCCTTGGTTGCAAGCCCAAGCAGTTGTCCCGCGAGAGCCAACGGCGCACCAGCTAGTAAGACCACGAGCAGCAGGAGGATACTGAGCCACGGCCGCCTGCAAGGCGGCCAGGCCCACAAGGGCCACCAGGAGCGTAGCGCTCCTGGTCATCCTGATAACGAGGTGCAGGAACACCTGCGTGGCAGCAACAAACTGAGCGTCAGTGATTGCTTGTGAAAACATGTGTCGGCTTAGGGCATCAAGAAGTTCGACACCCATCCCAGCGCAAATCCCGTTAGGTTCTCACCTCAGTTCGTCGTTAGTCTTCTTGCTAACTTCTTATGCTGCTCCGTCCTGGGTAGGAAGGCCCCTGCGACCAACATCGAAACAGCTCCAAGTTGGCAGTCGGCGCGCTCCATTCGCTACTATAATAGGATGCTAAACTATATCCTAATGCTGTTGACCTAAATTAGTGTATGCTCGCTTCCGGATACAGTAAGGTGCTGTTACACAACGACGACAGCGGCTGGTCTCCGCAAACGACAAGCTGTCTCTAGTAAGTCCACTAATGAATATTTATAGATAGCAATTGCTAACATATTAGTGGTATACCGCCTATAGTTGGCAAGCTTCAGCGATCGACCATTGCTGTCATTATGGGCGTCAACGCTAACAGACCGTCAATATTTTATTGCTACTCAAGCATACCTTGCAGCTAATAAATTACTGCCGACTTGGGCAGAAGGCGCCTAAGGCCGCTGCGTAAGATGTCCTTCCAATGTGTAGCAGCCTAGGCGCACACTAGTATAAACAGAAACCTATTAATAAAGACTGTTATACAGGTGTCCTGGGCGTGTAGTACCCAGCTGTGCTATCCTATGCGGCTCGCCGTCCGCTTGATCCATGATGGTATCTGGAGGCTTGTATGTCACACAGCCGAATGGGCCCTATGGGGAGCTGCCGGTTAGCACTCTCACACATAGGTCACACCTGGCGATCGCAATGGCGGGCGGTCAACATATGGTCAGCGCCTGGTCAACATATGGTCAATCATTATAAAGCTGGCTATGACAAAATTGCGCAATGAACTGTGAAGGATAAATTTACACGTAAATGGCTCTTTTAAGCTGATAATCATGTCTATTGCGTGCCTTAGCGACCATGCGTTGAGCAAAGGAATGGCGGGCAGTCTCACCCAACACTGTAAATTTTCAGCGTTTATTTGTTTTTTCTTTGTTGTAAAGATAACCAATAGGTGAACGTGGAAAGCCGCCTCGTAAGAAGTTGTTCACAATGCCATGCTGATGCACCCTTCAACGTCCGTTATGAAATACCTACAACTCTTTACCAGCGCATGGCTTCGTTTGCAAAGATGTTATGCATGACCTGGAGAAGGCTTGTTTGTGTTGGGCTGCTTGTAGTGCAACATGTTCCGGCTATAAAACCCTCACTCCACGCATTTCTGACGCTTATTAGCTTTTCATGGTTAATGCGGCTATCAATGTGATTTTAACTGTTGATCCGGGGGACCTGTTGCAAATGCATGCTTTCCCTCGCCGGGTCGTGAATTCCTAAACGCAAGGGACACCGTCACCGCAGGCTAAAAATCCTTTCGCGCTGTTACTGCTGCTACTCGCGCTTCGTTTGCGCCTAGTACATTTCCCGGACCAACTGAAACAGGCTGGCGTCTGAACGGCTGGCCTGCTCGCTTTCACACGCATACGGTGCTTTCCTAGTCTTATCTACAAGATCTGCCTTATGGCACGGATTCCAGTACAAGTACGCTACCGAACCCTAACCCCACCTCACCCCATCCATAAGGAGCTCCTCTAGTTTAGCCCCTTTCCTGTTCATCCTCTGTATCCCAGTACTCCTTGCTCGCGTGCAGTCCTTGCTCGCTTGCAGTCCTTATACCCTTGTGACCGTTACCACGTCGCATTTGTGCCATCAGCCAAGCAGGACCATGCACCATGGCATCGGCCCTAGCACCCTGCACCCATCCTTAAGCAGGCGTTACAGACATTCCGCACTGCCCTCACGCACCGCCGAGGGTGTGCATGACGGATGTCGACAACAATCACCTCGCATGTGCGGTACGGCATACCTCGTCTAGTTGTCTTGCTCCACCTAGGGCCTATGCGCTCTCAGAACGTCCATCCATGACAAAGGCCCCTTGCTTACGGGTAACATGCATGTATTAGCATGCCTGGCCTGCCTCGTTCAGTTTAGTGTTCCTCTCCTAAAATCCCCTCGAACACCTTTTTCATCGCAATTACTGCAATAAAAAGCTACAATGCACTGCATGGATCACAGCACGACTGATCCACAAATCACTAAACGCATTACTAATTCCTAAGATCATATTAACCACCTCAGCGCCCTCACACAACCGAATGCGACGCCATATGCAACCCAGAAGTACTTCAGAGGTACCGTACTTCTTGACTGCTGCGTCTACCGGTCTAGCAACCACAGGTTCAACCACCCATCCAACAGCTTGACAGCGGCGCACGACGAGTGCACCGGCATGAATCTCTGGTATCACGCACTACATCAAGCAATATGCATGCTTCACATGCATGCATGCATGCAAGATGGTGCATGCTCTTGGTTACCCACCATCCGCCTCACAGCATATAATAATCCTACCCACACCCACACGCCCGTCTACATGCACTCGCCCTCCTTGCACGTGTGATGGCGCTTCTGTCCGTGTGGCATATTCTGTTCAAAGACGTTCCCATGCAGATGAGGTCGTTCGCTGCTGCTCTCTGCTGCTGTCTGCTCGCTAACCCGCCGTTCAACCGTTCGCAAGTGCTGAGCTAACCCGCCAAGCCACTACCGCTGCCAACCTGCCCTCCGGCGTGTGCGTCAAATGCCGACGCTGGCTTCATCTCGGCCGATAGCAGCGGCTGCGACGGTGGCTCGGGCCGCAGCGGCCTCCAGCGCTAGATCCTGTGCATGGGAGGGAGGGAGGGAGGGAGGTTGCGCGCGGAGGGGGGGAGCATGTTGGTGGAACAGCAGTGCTTACGGCATTGGTTACAACGCGCGCGTTCAGGCAGGCAGGCAGGTGCATCCTCCACACACATGCGCTGCATGCCCCCGCACACGCGCACATCCTCCACATGCGGCCACGCACACCACTCGCCCTAGCCCTTAGCCACCCCCCCACGCCTGAAGCCTCGTCATACAGAAGTTTTTATCCCACGCACACCTGCAGCGCATCCAGCCACTCGTCCCTGCTGCGTCCGTTGCCGGCCGGCGGCAGCTGCAGGTGTAAGCTGCGCCCGCCCTCCAGGCTCAGCGAGAAGCACTTGCGGGGGTCCAGCGAGGCGGGCGGCGCGGGCCGCTGTCGCCCCATGAGCGCCGCCACGACACCCGCCCAGGCGCTGGGGTTGGGGAAGGAGGCGCAGCCGCGGTCCGCTCGTTGGATGTCCTGCGGTTGGGGGCGGTTGGGTGTGGTTGAGAGCTGCAGCGGGGCGAATGAGTTGCACTAGGACAGTTGGTTCAGGTCGTGTTGCTGTATTGATGTCTGTAGGCTGGAGGGCTCAACCCGTGTGCCTCCACCATGTGTCTTTCGGCATCAGCGCTACAACCGGTAGAAGAAGAGGCGTAAGACAAGTAACTCCGCCAAGGCATCTGCAGTCGCATACCTGCGGCGCAAAGACACGCGGCCAGGGCTCCCCGCCCACTGCTGCTGCTGCTGCTCCTCCTCCTCCTCCTCCGCCGCCGCCGCCTCCCGCTGCTGCCTCGCCGCCTGCACCCCGGCCCGCCGCCGCCGCTGACGCCGCCCCCTCGGGGTCATGCACATGCAGCAGGCCGCGGGGCTCGTTGAGCCACAGCACCACCCAGCGCACGTGCGGGCCCAGATGCAGCAGGAAACGGGCGCCCTCCATGAGAGCGCGCTTGCTCTCAAAGCGCCTGGAGGTACAGGAGCGGGAACAGGGACAGGAGCAGGGGAAAGGTGGTGGAACAGGAACAGCAACAGGAACAGGAGCGAGAACAGAAGCGGGAAAAAGTAATTGGTTGCGCATTCAGCTTGTAGCTAGTCTATAGCTAGTCCGGGACCTTTCAGGGTTATGCGACGCCTCAGCCGCTGTGTCCCACGCTGCACCGCCGCCCCTCCCGCATCACACCCCGGCCCCATCGGCCCTCTTCGTCCTTATTCCCCACGGTCCTCGGTCCATCAGGCCATCCGACCCCCCGAGCATCGCTCACCTGAGCCGCACCAGGGCCTCGTACTGGCGCTGCGTGCGCAGCAGCGCCTCCTGCGCCTCCGACCGGGCCTGACGCTCGACCTGCGCAGGAGGGTGAGGGAGATAGGTGGGGACATGGCACATGGGTGGGCACACAACTGCGCCATCGGTGTTATGGGTACAACGCCCCCTCTCCCGTCACCGCTCCCGCCCGTTCCAGAGCTTCATTTCGTCTTCTTCTTCTCCGCCCCAGCCTTCCGGCCCCGTCCCCGTCCCGGCCCCCCCTGTCCGCCACCTCCTTACCTCCAACAGCCGCTGCATCTTCACCACCTGAGCCAGGGACTGCAGGGAGGCCGGCCACTGCGACCCATGGGTCATTACATCGCTTTTGCCGGCGTTCGTCGTGGGCAGTGACCCATGGGTCGCGGGGGACCCATGGGTCGCTGCTGTCACTGCCGCCATGCGTCTAGCTGCTACCACGGAAGGAGGTCCACCGCAGGATGTAGACCGTGCGTGTGTGCTTGCTCGGGATGGAGAGCGCGCGAGGGGAAGGACGCCGCCAAGGCCGCCATGAAGGGTGCCGCTGCTGTTGCTGTTGCCAACAGTGCTGGTTACGCTGGTGCTGTTGTTGCTAATGGTGCCGGGTTGGGTGCGAGTGGTGGCTGGCATGGCGCCATGGCTGGGCGAAGGAGTGGCACTGGAGGGTGTGGCTGCCGCGGCGGTGGTGGCGGTGGCGGCGGCAGCAGGACCTTGCGCGTGCTGGCGTTGAGGTAAAGGCAAGGAGGAGGCAGTGGGCTCCTGCCCGCTGGATTCCGGCGTCAGTGTATGGGGCGTGGGAAAGGAGGTCTCCGTTGCGAGGATGAGGGTGGTAGTGGCTGTGGGGTTGGCAGCAACGTTCGCTGAGGTCTCGCCAGGTATCCGCTGCTGCTGCTGCTGCTGCAATTGCTGCACTCGCGAGCTGCAATCTGCAGAGCTGCTGTTCAGCGAATGTTCTCCATATGCCGGCCCCATCACCGCCGCCGCCGAAGCCGCCGCTCCCCGCACCATCAGCACACCGGCCAGCCTTGAACTCGAGCGACTGAACCCACTCGCATCCCCTGCCGCCCCTGCCGCCCCTGCCGCAGTAGATGCCTCCGATACCCGAGACGCGTTCCTGATGTGCCCGCCGGGCGTGGGAGCGAACTCCCTCTCGGTGGCGGCGGTAGCAGCACCCGACGTGCCGCCGCTCGGCAGCGCGGTAGGCGTTACGTCGCTGCCGCCGCCAGCGGCGGCAGCTGCCACCGCCGGCGCAGCAGCAGCGCCGACTCCTTCCTCTCCCTGCTCTTCTTCTTGCTCCTCCTCCTCCTCCTGCCCAGCAGCAGCAGCCACCATGGCCGCATGGCTGGGCCGTGCGAAGGGCGACAGGTAGCTAGCGGACGGTGCTGAAGCGGGTGTGCTTGAGGCATCGATAACCATAACCGCGCCCATGTTCGTCGTGTTGGTTGTGTTTGTCGTTGTGGTGGTCGTTGTGGCGGTGCTTTCGGAGCCACTTGGCTCTGGCTGGATGGGATAACGCGCTGTCGTACCCGGGAAGTCTCCGCCACCACCGTCGCCGCCGACAGCCGGCCGGGACGCCGACGCCGCCACAGCGCCTGCATTGCCGCCACCTCCGCTGCGTCGTACCCGCCAAACCAGGGCCAGCAGTCCTGACATCGCACGTCGGCGCTTCCGCCGGTCGGCGCCGCTGCCGCTGCGGCGCAGCGACTGCGCTGCCGCCGTCGCCGCTGCCGTACCGCCGCCGCCGCCGGCCGCACTAACGGCAACTGAGGAGCTTGACGTCGCTACGACGACAGAGGCCGTGCGCACTTCGGCGGTGAACGACGCAGAGGCACCACGGCTGTAGCCGTACCCCCCATCATCATCATCATGACCCGCCGCGCCTTCTTCCGCTGCTACCGCGGGTTGCTGCACCAGTTCCACCTCCCGCGGAGGTCTGCTAGCACCACCGCCGCCACCACCACCACCATCACCTCGGCCATGTCCGGGACCGCCGCCAGCAGCAGCAGCAGCAGCCAAGGCAAGCTCGGGTGCCAGAGCGCGGACTGACCGGGCTCTGGCGGCTCCCCCTCCCGGCCTCAGGAAGGGCCAGCCGCCCACACGCAGCATCACCTTGCGGGAACCATGGGAAGGCGCGTGGACTGCTGCTGGTGGTGGTGGTGCTGGTGCTGCGGCCCCCGCTGCTGCTACGGAGGATGCTAAGGAAAAGGGGGAGGAGGCGTGCGGACCAGGGCTGGCCAGTCGGGAGGGGTGTGTAGGCGTGTGCATGGCTTGGGGAGGTGTGTTGGGATCTAGCGGGTGCCCCGGGTGCGCAGTAGGAGTCACGGCTAAGGCACAGGCTGCGGCTGAGACTGCGGCTGGGTTGTGTGGGTGTGATAGGGGTGACGCTCCCGGGGAGCCTGGCATGGAACGGGAGCCGGTGACCGCCTGTGCGGCGGCTAGGAGGGACCCCGCTGCACTCCTCGTGGTGTTACCCGGGTCGAGGTGCCGTACCGGGGGGGAGGAGGAGGTGGGAGAGGAGGAGGACAGCGGTGAGGAGGCAGCACATGGGTGCGAGGCACCGGGCTGTGGGGTACCCGCGGGTGCGCTGCTGGCGGTGGTGGTGGTGAAGGGCGAGGCGCCGGGCGATGACGGCTGGCGGAGGTCGGGAGTGCTGCTGCTGGTGGGGGTGGGTGGTGTGGGGCTAGCTGTGGCTGCGGTTCTAGTGGCCCCAGGGGTGGCTTGGGGGAAGGGGCTGGGCTTCTTGGGTAGTGCCTTGAGCCAGGAGATCTGCGACGGTGGCCAGCAGCAAGGCAGCAGTCATGAGGACAAGAACCAAGGTGCAGGTGAGGGCAAGCAACGATAGGGAGAGGAGGCGGCAGGGTGCCAGAAAGTAACATGGTCATGAAACTGCACTGCTGCATTGCACCCACACACAACGACACAAGAATTCCCCAGGTTCCCCACACCGACCTGCAAGCTCAACGTCCCCCGCGGTGCGCCATTGCTCCCTGCCGCTGCGAGCTCTAGAAGCCTGACCCGTGGGTCAGCGTTGGGCTGCAGACCCAACCCGCCCGCGTCCAAATGCGCTGTACTCAACACCTCTGGTTCGCCAAACGTGCGTGCATTGAGCACTCGGAAATGCAGCATGCATGGTTCGCTCGTTTCGCGGCTGATCCCCGGCGTGGCTGTAGCAGCAGCGGCGGCGGAGGAGGAGGAGGAGGAGGCTGTAGCAGGAGGCGGCGGCAGATCGGCTGGAAGGCGTATGTCAAACTGCCAGTTAAAGACGGGGTCAGCGCTACTATGCGCAATGGGTGTACGGAAGACTTCGCGACCAAAGCGCATCTCCACGTATGGGTCGCAGTTGCTAGCGGCGGCGGCGGTACTGCTGCTGGTGCTGCCGCCGCTGCTGCTGCTGCTACCGCCAGCAGTGGTGGTGGTGGCGGCGGCGGTGCTGCTAGCGGCGACTGGCTGCATGCGAAGAAGATTGCGACCGCCGATGACGCACACCCGCAGACAGCCGCCCGGACCGCCGACCTGGAGGGGTGATGATGATGGTGTTAAGGGTGACGATGGCGGTGAGCATGCAGCAGGAAGCGGACAGGACAGCAGGGGAAGTAGGCGGAAGCGACCGTTCACTCAATGTAAGCACCGGTTCGATTATAGCCGTACAGAATGGAGTCGAGAGTGCACGTGTGCAACTGTGTGCATATGGACACGTCAGATAGATACACAGAGTGTGTGTTAAAATAACTAGCCGCGAGGAGAAACGTACTGTGATTGCCGAAAGATGAAGTCCTCCCACCGAAAAACGCCACAGGTGAAGTGAAGTCCGTTGGCTATGGACTATCTAATACAACTATCTAAGTACCCCCCCTTGCTTACCCGCTGCAGGTGTTTGTTCCTGTAGATGCGCTGCAAGTCAAGGAAGCGGCGGTTGGGCTCCACCAGACGGCGGTTGATGATTCGTTGCAGCAGACCCCGCAGGTTGGCGACTAGCCCCGGCAGCTCCCCATGCAGCTGGATGTAGCCTGCAATAGGGGGGGGAGGGAGAAGAGGGCAGACAGGGGTGAAGGGAAGGCCGGGCAGTCCTACGTGGACTTGAAGATAGCCTGCAGTGAAGGGTTAGAGGATGAGGGAAGGATGGATGTCCTATACAGGCTCCGCAGGTTCCAAAGCCAAGTAGTGGGTGGCACCCCTGCATGGCAAAACCCCCCCGCGCCACTCACCCAGCGGACTAGCTTGGATGTCAAACTCGGGCGGAGCAGCGAAGGAGTAGTCGATCCCCCTGCACAAAAGGACACAAGGGACAAGGAAACAATGAAACTGCTATTCCATGTTGCTTGCCATGCTGCCAAGAGCCCGGCATTTGCGATACAACTCACCACCTGCGGTATAAACCCGGCCCCGCCCGGGTCCTAGACCCTGCCCCCTAACCCTACCCTACACAAATCAACCATCCCGCCCCTCCCCCCGCCCCGCCCCGCCCAGCCCCCCCCCCCGGCTGCTGCTGCTCACTTGATGCCCGGCGGCTCCCGTGTGAGGTGCAGCCCCAGGTGCAGCTGCCCGGCCAGCCGCAGCTGCGTCACCTCCAGCCGCACGCTGAAGGGGCGCAGACCCAGCATCTGGCGCATGCGGGGGCTGAGCACCGCCTGGGGGGGTCAAAGACCATACCAAACCATAGGAGACCACAAGTTAGGGCAAAACAATGGGGGTAGGAGTTGGCAAGGTGGAGTTGGTTGGGGGGGAGGAGGAGGAGGAGGAGGGAGGAGGAGAGGAAAGGAGCAGGAGGCAGGAGGAGGCGGATGAGAGGAGGGAGGGGACGGCAGGAGACGGAGAAGTGGCGGAGGCGGCCGGGGTGTGCGGCCGTAACCCCTAACAACCCACGCGGCTGCGTGACACACACAGCTAGGCACGCACCCAGCCGGGAACCGGGAAAAACAAGCGCCATCATTCGGTAAATAGGTTAGCTGTTTCCTCTTGCTGTTTACCTACCTGAAAACCGTTGCTGTGGAAGCGCATGTTCATGGTCAGAAGCAGGTACGACCGACTGGGATCGTACTTTGCCGTACAGAACTGGAACTGCGGCGGCGCCAAACCGAATGTGACCTCCTCCACCGCCACACTCTCGATCAGCTTCCAGGGGGCCCGCCCGCCGTTCTTACGCAACACCTGGGCAGCAGACAGGATACGAGATACAGGATAGGATAGGGTAGGATAGGGCAGGACAGGGCAGAACAGGGCAGGATAGGACAGGAAAACGTAGGCTGGGGTGTTGGCATGGGTCGCCTAGCAGCTGTAGCAGGCTGCAGGAGGCGAAATGGGCAGCTGCAGATGACATGGGCTGGGAAGGGAACATGAGGAAGCGGCAGGGGGAGGAGGAAGGACGCCCAAGTTCCACCGCCAGGAGCGTTAAAATGACACCGTTTCCTCCTTCCACTCCCACCGTGGCAGGTTGCACCCAACCCGTTGTTAATTTACTGCCCGCTGGGGCGTTTTGTTGCCCGTGAGTTGCCCCATAACAGAATCCCATTACTCATCAGCCCCCACCTCATTCAGCACGATCTGCAGCTTCTCCGCGGCTATGGTGGACACGAACTTTTCCAGTACGGGCAGCCACATGTGCTGTACGACAAGGTTCAACCAACCCAACGTAAAGGATTCGTACATGGCCGCGACACCGCCTCCGCCACAACTGCCGCTGCAACCACCGCAACCGCCGCCTCCGCCACAGCTTGCATGGTTGCCCGGGCTGCTGCTGTGATTTCCGGCGGCAGCGGTGCCGCCGCAGGTTGCAGGGGCGGCACCGCCACCGGTGGATTCCGCGGCACGTAGCGCGGCTTCGAAGCGGGCTGTGATGCTGTGCACCTGCTTCCTGCGATGGGTTTGAAGTGAGGAGGATATGTGCGGCCATCGCATGGGGGTCGCATGTGGGCTAAGGCGCGGTGATGTTGCGATGAAGGAAATGAGGCAAAGCGAGGAGGTCGAGGGGCGCCGGTGTTGTGAAGTTGTTAGAAACTTGGTGCGATCATGTTGTTGGGGAATGGGGGCTGTGCATTGTGGGTTAGTAGGTGAAGGTTGGCCCTCGCTGTTACGACTGGTGCATGAGGTGCGGGAATCAACCGACGGATGGTCAAAAGTTAAGCTTGCGCTGCATGAAACATATCGGGGCAGAGAACTTACTTATGTTTTGTGCTGGCTACGTCCCAAGCGAGCGCGAACGCCCCAACAACCAATCCGCACGCCAAGAAGGGCACGAGTAGCGTGACGACGAACCACATACTGTCGCTTCATACATAGCAATATAAGCTGATTTTAGATTAGCACATTACAGCGGCTATTATTGTCAGTGTCGTTAGGTCAGGCATGCCCGTGTCGAACAGCCCTCCTCTGGAGGTGTTACACTGAGCCCGCCGATGTCTCCTGCTGCTCGGTAGACGCGTTACGCTTAAAAAAGTTGTAAAAGCGACGGGGCGAGTGGCGTGCACAGAATCAATGTTGGTCGGGGTGGGGGTTGCTTGGCACAAACTTCGACATCTTGCTGCATTTTGTTGCTATCGGTTCATACTGGTCTCCATGATAAGAGTTAAGAGGTCTACAGTGTGAGGTTCAGGGCGATTGCCTCAGATGACAAACGTGTGCCGTACATGTCGCCTGGTTACAGGCCCATCCGATGCCGACAACGCAGTTTCATAGGGTGAGGCGTTTCACTTTGGCACTTGCAACACTATCGTTAACGTCTTGATTTGCTTCCCACAACACAGAACACTCGGAACCACCTAACACGCATATTTACTTGTTTTGGACGCAAAGAAAAATGCAGTGGCTTAACTCACTTGTATCGGAATATGAGGGCCGGCCGCTACAAAAGTCGGGGATGCTGACCAAGGTAGAATGCAACTTCGACATACCTTGTTGCCTATCCTACAGCATAGCATGTGCATATTCAGGAGCAATTGATCAAGTTCTTTCAAGACTCTGCTCAGCAGTTCAACAATCCAGTAAGTAATCCTGACATTAGCGGGGCAAACAGAGCGCGAATTACGCACGAAGGGTACTTCATCCTGCAAGGGCGGGTTTCTGGTGGGAATGGTTAGGTTCCGACGCGTTTGACGCCGCCGGACGCGGCCATTTCCTTCCATCCTAGCCCATCATCTCAGTTTGACCGCCACACAACTCGCTGCCCCGCAGGAGTTTAAGCAGCTCCTTAGCGTTGCCATGAAGACGCGCGGGCCGGGCACCGCGGAGGAGATCATCAACGGCATGCAGCGGCAAATCCTGGAGAACATGGGCGTGCAGGTGTGTCTTAACCGGTTGGGTGCTAGCCGGACGCAAGGTACCGGTTTGGGTGCGTCAGGGAGAGCCCACTCCCAGGGGCCCACTCCCCCGCATGCAGCCCCCCTAGGTATCCAGGTTTCCCTAAAGAACGAAGTATCCAGGGAGCGTCCTAGGAAGCAACACTCCCCTGCGGAGCTACTGCGGTCTTAAAGCAAGTGCAAGGGAGCTACTCTCTCATGGCGGTCATGAGTCATGACTCGCTGGAACTGGAGCTCCGTTGCATGCACAGTTACCCGCTCGCGCTGCCTTTCCTTGCCTGCCTGACTGGCCGCGTGACTCGTGGCCTGGCTGGTCGCAACCACAACCCACCCGGCTTGCTCCGCTTGCGTTGCTTGCTTTCGACTGCTCCGTTGCTCCGTGTGTTGCTCCGTGTGTTGCTCTCCATGTGTCGCTCGCTGTGTTGCTGCAGGGGGACTTCGGGCTGAACTGCCTGGCACGTGTGAACGGGGTGTACGGAAACGACGCGGCCTTCCTGCGCCTCTTCTACGAGCACGTACAAAAGGTGGGGCGAAGAGGAGCTGTGATGCCTGTGAGGAGCAGGGACCAGACGTAGACGTGAAGCACTGGTGCAGCAGCAGCAGCAGCTGGGGAGCATGAGAAGAGGAGCAGGGGAGCCGGAGGAGAAGGGCGGCTGTTGTGTGTCTGTGTGTGTTCCGGCTCGTGTCGGCTCGCAGGGTGCAGCAGGCGTGCAGCAAGAAGAACGAGTTTGGAAGGCTGTGATCCAGCAGGCAGCAGCGAGCCCGGGAGGTTGAACACAGGGAGCAGCCGCCTTGGGTAGCCTGAGCAGGGCGGGTGTGAGGGGTGGTCGCTGTGATGTGGCTACTAGCGACTACTCGGCTCTCTCACCCTACCCTTCCTCGCCGCCCCTCTCGTCTCCGCTGACCGCCCCCTGCCCAGCCGGCCCCCTACCGCCTGTAGCACCTTGGGCCGGTTGATATCCCTTTCTCTCCCGCCCCCCTCCCGCATACACCACTGTTTTGCTTCGCCTCTTTCGCCTCTTCCGCCATCCTTGCCTGTGTGCAGGAGGAGATGGTGTTGGACGAGGCGGAGATGCCCGAGTCCGCCTTCCGCTCCAAGTACGAGCAGCTGAACCGCTACCGAGAGGAGATGGAGGCACGGCTGGAGAAGCTGAACGGCATGTCGCAGGAGGTGTGTTAGGAAAACTGGCCGCGAGTAGGAACGTACTGTGATTGTCGGAACATGAAGCGGGGTTAGCAGGGGATTGGGCGTTGTACCTTTGTCGGTGGGTCAAAGACCGTATCGAACCATAGGAAACCAATATATAGGTTGGGGCAAACCAATGGATGGAGGCGGAGGCAGGGTGGCACATGACAGGTGGTTGCCGGAGGGTGGGTTGCGGGCAGGACTCATCACCAACCTTCCCCCGCCCCCGACCCCGCCCCGCAGCAACGCAACGTCTACCTGTCCAACGTGTACAAGGAGATGCTGGCGCGGGGCATCGGCGGCGGCGAGTGCTGCTCCAACCCCAACGGCTGCTCACACCGGCAACCCGGGGGACCGCAGCTGCCCGCACCCGAGATGGAGGCGCCGGCGGTGGCGCAGCCGGAGGGGGGCGCGGCGGCCATTGGTCCCGGCGGGCCGTCAGTGATGTCGGAGGCCGAGCAGCTCGCGTTCTTTGCAAGCCTGAATGGGCCTGGGAAGCAGTAGAGTCGGAATGGGCCTGGGAAGCAGTTGAGTCGGAATGGGCCTGGGAAGCAGTTGAGACGCATGCCGGGTGGGGCATGGTGGGTTGGTGGGCATGCCGGGAATGTGTTGTGGGGACAGGTGGGGAAGGGAAAGAAGAAAGGGATGGCCCACGTGTTTGACACGTACACCGTACGTTTGCTTGTGATGGCGGCGGGTTTAGCGTGGTTGGGTCGAGGAGCTAGCCAGTGCTGGGTCTGGTAGAAGTGTCGCGGTTTGATTGGCGAGGACTTTGGTTGGCGTAGCGATAGCGTGCATGGGGAGTGCGGGGAGCTAGCTGGTCGGGGCGGCGAGCTTGTGGCTTGGGCACGCAGGGTGGTCCGTCATGTGCTCATGTTGCGTTCGCAAAGCTCTAGTAAGGCTCACGACGCTAGCAAGACTGCAAGAGGAATACAGTAGAGGATGATACGCAGGCCGCGTGCGAACATTGAGGACTAGTGCAATGTGGGTTAATGGTGGAACTGTCGTAACCCGGGCGGTGCCTGCATGCTTTACTGGTGGGTGAAGCGGACTACCGTAACCCTGTGTCAAGGCTGCAGCCTGGCGAGTGAGTGAGGCCCTTGGGTGGGCGTCTCGTAGGGGTGTCACGCACACCTGATATACACGCTTAGGAAGGACATGTTGGGGGTTTTACATAGTTCCCCAGTCCCAGTCCTAGAACACCCAGCCATGCGCAGCCGGCGGCCTTTCATGTGACCCGTGGGTCGCATGTGGCCGCATGTCGTTAACTTGGATATTCGTTTGACTGTGTAGCCCAAGTGGCGAAGTGCAAAATTGAGGTATACGCAAAAATGGGATGCTGCCTTGTGCTCTCTAGGTTAGTTGACTAGTCAAGCGAGCATCCCCTCCATCCGCCAGGGGTCACACACACTCAACCATGTACGGCACTCATCTAGGGCGTCTTGCTTCCCTGGCAAGCACAAGGACGCCAGCTCCTGCTGCTACCAAACCTTTCAAGGCAGGCCGGGCCGATGTCACAAAAAGCGGCTGCACGCGGGTGGCGTCCCCACGGCTCGTCGCTCCGTAGCTATACTCCCTACATGATCCACGAAACACGACACACCCCATGTTGACCCTCCGGTCTCCCTACGGCCTCGGTCATCGTGTTCCACCTCGGTTCCTCCTCAGCCGCACCACCGGTAGGCTTGCCTTGGGGATGGGTATGGGTATGGTTCTATCACGGCGACAACTCAGCTGCAGCCCTCCTCAAGCTCCCGTCCCGCAAGGTACCGCGGGTCTCTCTCCACATCGCTTCACTTAGGCCCAGAAGCGCGGCTTGCGCTTGGGCAGCAGGTCAGCGATGTTGAGGTCGTTGATCTTGGAGGCAACGATAAAATCGTTCTCCGTGAGCCCGCCTGGGTGGTGGATTTGGAGGAGCAGCGTGAGGGGGGGCGGAAGGGTATCAAGAAAGAGAACGCCGGTTATCATTCGGCGGCTAAATCCGGCTCTTCCAGCGCCCCAAGTCCGTACTGTGGAGTCCTGCATCCCGTACCCTAGCCAACCATGCGGCAAACCCTTTTCTGTCGCAGTACGGCTTTTGCTCATCCTAACTCTCACTGGCTTAGGCCTCTCCCAAGATACGGCAATGCCCCTTCTCCCAAGCTTGGGCCGCCCCCAAGGACCGGCAATGCCCCTTCCCATCACGCACCCAGCGACGCCGTGCAGAGCTCGGCCACCACCTCCGAGCCCACCCGCCGCAGGGTCAGGCTGTCGCCGTGCCCCTCCTCCTCTGCAACCCTGCGAACCCGGCCTGCCATCTCCTCCGCAGCCGTCTCATCTCGCAGCCTCCACGTCTGCTGGATGCAGACCGGACCTCCGGATGGGCTAGCAGCAGCCATACGCCAGCCGGGAACCTGGTTACGTAGCAACTCGGAGTCCTCTGCGCTGAGCAGCTTTAGGCTGCTGGCGTTGGCGCGGCAGCTTCGAGCTGAGAGGCCCAAGACACGGCGAATGTTGTCGGGCGGCCTGTTTGGCAGATGGTGGGATTTGGCAAGTTAGGCAGACTGGAATGGGGCCGTTCTTCAGCATTGTTGGGTTGGTGCTGGTCAGGACGGGTATGTGTGAAATGGGAACTGTTAGTTTATGGCCTTTCCTGACAGGACATGTCCAGGCGCCATGTAATGCAAGAGGTCGATGAAGCGTAGCTGCTTACTTAATGATGTGCTCTGTGTTAAAGTTGCCCAGCACACTTTCGCCAAAGTTTGTAGCGAGCTCCCCGGCGAATGGGTCGCGAGCGCCAAAGTTCTGCGTGCGGTTGAGCGAAATTGTGGAAGAAGACCCTCCAAGCAGCCGTTAAGACGATAACTGGAAGTCGCTCTTACTTCGCCAAACATCCCTTTCTCCATTTTCGAGCCGCGAATATCACCGCCAGCTTGGCTATTGGTTACCAGAAGCCTACATTGCCGAAGCGGCCGGGCCGTGAAAGGCCGGGCCTGTCGCAAGGCCTGCATACGATTAAGCATATGTATAATAGAGCAGCGGCAAGAATTGCCTAAGCTGGAATATGCTATGCTTGCAGCATGCCAAGTACCTGGCGATGCGGGCAGAGAGAGTTAGAATGCATCCGTAACCCACTTGTCGTAATTGAAAGTAATTAAACGCACGTTTTGTCATAAGTTGCAAGGCTGGCACTGGCCGCACACGTTCTAGAAACGGATTGGGTAACGAAACCGTCGTACAATCAATCTGGCATAGCGCAACTCTGGGCAGCCGGCGTTGCTGCGTGCTTAACACTCCCTGACCACTTTGTCCAATCTTCCACCCCAAGCAAAGGGTAACGCGCAATGCTAAAAGCCTCGTCTGCATGCTCCTACAGCTATGCCTTGTTGGTGGACGACCACGTGTGCACCTTCAAAAGCAGGGTCACGGGCTTCCTGAACCCGGCCTCTTCCACCCTCAACACCAATAACATTACGCTCCTTGTTGCACTACCCTGTTCTGTCATCCATCTTTCCCTCTCGTATGCCCCACGACCGCATCATAGAGGACTAACGGCACTGCCTTGCGCGTCACAGCAGGAACGGCAGGTACTTCCTTGTCCGTTGCGCATATTCCCGGTAGTGGCCCCCAAACGCCTCCTCAAGCACCCGCGCCTCAAGCGCAGTACGACCGCGGTAGTACAGCGCGCACACCAGGAGCATCGCAATTGCCGTTGGCGCCGAATGCAACCACATCCCAACCGAAAAGAACAACAACATATACGACGTGTATATCGGGTGTTGCATATAGCTGTACGGCCCGCTGGTAACCAACGCCGGCGGCGCTGCTACCCTGTCGTACGATGCCCCTAATTCCGACGCTGCAACCGCGTTCAAAACCGTTGCAACCAACATGCCAACGCCGCCAACAATATCGTACAGTGTCGTACAGGTCGGGATGCGATCGGTGTACAACGCAAGGCCCACATAGCGGTACATGCCATACATGTGCAGTAGCGGTACGACAAGTACGAATGCCGCGAAAGCCAAGCGACCGGCCCAGGAAGCTACCTGCCGGTCTTGCTTCCGCGGCGTTAGCTTCCCGTGTCGTACGACACGAAACACGCTGCCAGCGCCGAAGAAGAGGAGGTAGGCGGCGAAGGTGGTGTAGGGTTTGGCGAGGGAGAGGCCGCCGTCGTGCATGGCGGCGGGCAGGAGCAGCAGCAGCCCCAGCACCAGGAGCAGCTGCAGGAACTGCGAGAGATAGCGACATGCATGGAAGGTAAGGGCCGCATTGCGGGTAACAAGGTAACAGGGTAAGCGAGCAACAGTAGCCGTTTGAATGCCCGCTCCGGTTGTCGTCTTGGCAGGCCTCAAAAGTACCCTGATATACGCTTACCCACAAGTCCCTACATGCGCCCCTCATGCACCTGCCCCACCATCAACCCATATTCACGCAATGCAGGCGCCATACACCCGGGCCCATGCACCTGCAAGACAGTTGCGAAGAAGCGCAGCACGGGGTTGCCTCCTGAGGCAGCAGCGGGGGCCACGCGCTCCTGGGTTGTCATGTATGCCGGGTCCTCCGCCTTACGTTCGGCTTCCGCTTTGCGCCTGGCCTCGAACTTCTCCACCCACCACAAGGGAGGCTCCCCTGGAGGCGGCTTCCACACCCTCGCGAAGTTATCATCGTTTGGAGCTGGTGATGATGAGCCGGATGGTGATGGCAGCCCCGGCTGGGAAGGCTTTGCGGTCCCTTCGTCGCTGTTGTCGTTGGCCGCTAGGCATTTTGAATTCCTAAAGCGTACTAATTTGGTATGGGCTGGATGGCGGAGGACGCTGCTGTTCAGTCGCAAGGGACAAGCAGTCGTCCTCTTGGAAACGGACCCCAAGCAGGAACGCTCTTTTTCAAAACAATTAGCGATTCTATGGCTTTGCATCACAGAGTTACAGCGTGGGGTAACTTACGTCGGCGTTCTGGGTTAATAGTTAAAGGCCTGGTAACGGTTGGTAGAGTGCAGCTAGAACATCGTCCGCACTTAAAGAGATAAACCAGGAAGAGTACAATAGCGCAGGCGATCAGCGGGATTCCTCCCGGTCTTTGTCAGTGCACCGGTACGGAAGGCTGGGTGGTCTCGATCGTCTCGATGGGCGTGCTCGGATGCGGCTTCCTGCAGCCTCATCACTGCATTGGCATGTCCAATAACCAAAATAACGCAATATCCTACAAATCAACCTAGATCGCTGCTTCACAGCTACTTCAATTACTCCCTGACTTGACGAAAAGCCATGACCGACACCGATTTGCGCAAAGGATGCCGGGTGCTGCTGTCAGGCCTGAACACTGCGGTGCTAAACGGTGCCGAGGGCTGTATCGCGGGCCCCTTTGACGAGGCAGCCGGCCGGTACCCGATTAAGCTGCTCGCCCCTTTGGACGCCGTACGCGCTTTCCCCGATGGCGTGAAGGTCAAGCCCGCCAACCTGGAAAAAGTAAAGCCGGAACCAGCTCCAGCTCCGAAACCCAGGCCCAAGAAGGAACTGGCCGAGAAGCGCGAGCAGGCGGGCAGGACGCCTGGTGAGCCAGTCGGGGCGGCGTGTGGTTGCTCCAGAGTTGAGACGGGATAATGACACTGACCGTGGCAGAGCGACTCGCCAACCGCGCCCCCCATGCTTTCACTGGCGCTCCGCCGCTACCGGTTACCTGTTCCTCCGCAGGCATGCCCAGCAAAGACGCATGGGCGGTGGGCCTCTCCCCCGGCCAACAAGCCGAGTGGTTTGTGGATTGCTACCGGTAGGCAGGCGACGAGCGTCCGCACACCCCTCTGCCGTTGACCACCACCTGACCTACAACACAATGCACGCGTGCCCTGACCCGTATGCGGCCTCCCTAGAGTCTGCCAAATTGCCAATGCCTTCACCCCTGTTGGTCTGGTGCCTCTTACCGTGCCCACTCCTATCATCACACCTGCTCCCACCGCTCACCCCCCTGGGTTACACCACACACGCACGCACCCCCAAACGCACGCCACCCCACCTGCTGCCCTCCCCAGCATGCGGGTGGATGATGACTACTCCTGGGGCGGCGGCATCCTACGTGGCCTGTACGACCCAGATCACAGTGGCGACACCGTGGTAGCGGACTTCCTGGTCTTCTGCAAGCTCGCCGTACTTCGCGGCGTGCTGCCATCGGGGCAACCTTGGAGCTGGGACGCCTGCCTTAACAAGGCGGCAGAGCTGCTGGGATACGCGTTCGAGAAGTCGGATGCGAAGGAGAAGTACGGCGGGGAGAACGTGTTTTCGGTGCTGACGGGCGGTCGGTCGCTGCGCGCGACGGGAGAGGCCGTGTACGGCACGTCGTGTATGGCGGGGCAGGGTTTCATGGCGTCGGATGACGGCACGGTGTATCGGATGATGGAGGATTTGGTGAAGGGGAAGCCGCTGGGAAGGTTGATGGAGCAGGATGCGGAGGTGTTTGAGGATGTGGGAGGCGTGGCGGCCTGGCAGCGGCTGCGGTCGGCGATGCGCAATGTGGCGGGACATGTGCGGGTTTGAGAGCTGCGTGTAGGAGGTGCGTGAGGTGGAGGCGCTGAAGGAGCCAGAAGGAGAATAATTGCGAAGGGATGGCATACGGGGTATGCGTGGCTGGGCTTTAGGCTAGATTTGCAGCTTATGATGTTGTGTAGCTAGCTGTATAGCGCAGGGGAGTTTGATTTGCATGAGGGGCGCAGGACGCTTGCACAGATTGCAGTAGCCGCTGGGTAGCCGTACTTTCAGGGAGCGGTTAGTTGTTTCGCCCGATTGGCAGTAGAAGAAAAGATCGGGCTATGTTCTATGTTCGTTGTCCTTGTTCTGTCTTGGTTGTTTACTCGTCTGCGTTTCCGCCTCGCACAGTGCATTGCAGTTAGTAGTTACCGTGTCTTGGGAAAGAAAGGGCGACGGCTAAGACCGTTGCAAGCGCACAGAAAGTGCCGCAATCATAGGATTTTTAGCGTGTTGTACATTGATGTTTCGTCGCGGGGCTTTAGCCGCATGCAAGCCGGGTCGCGTTGACGCCTGCCGATATGGCGTTTTGAACTTGTCACGTTTTGCAATATGATATTTGCACAGTTGCCTTGCTGTCGGACGACAGATTTTGATGGCCTTTGCAAGGCTGCCGGAATTGGGAACGTACGATGGGTCCCATCTAACCTCCAGTTGCCTGTTTGTCCTCTAGTTTTTATGCAGCGTACAAGTGTCCAGTCCTGACTCTGATAATTTACTTACGTAGCCTTGTAACGCTGGTCCTACCTACATCGCATAATGTAGACAAACTGTATAGACATGTTAATGTGAATCCTAGAAGCCCAAACATAAGAGGAGTAACTGGCATGCGCTTGGCTGACTGGGGAGTAATAGAGAAGCGTCATGCAGCGAGTGGTTCCTGCAGTCCGGTAAGCAACGCTGTGGTGGCAAGCTTTAGACCCAGTTATTCATTTGTTTCAGTTGAATGGGCTGTATGTAGATGGAATCCAACAGCTATTGATGAGAAGAGAGTCTCTGGTAAGTGTCGGGCGCTTGCAATGCTGACCGCGCACCTTTCCAGGCCTGGGCGGGCATAAATGTTGCGAACAAAAGAGGTTATAGCGTTAACATTCCGGTGTGTTAACTAACCGAAAATGTTCTTATCTAGGTTCGCGATCGATGCATGGCTAGTATATTTACAACTGTCAAATGCTCCTTATAGGATCTCCCTTGCAATCCTATTCCCTGTTGACTCGCATCCCCTGTGGTTAATAAAATGTCCGGCGTTATCGCACGCCATGGACACACACACTTCCGGACGCGGTGAGCAGCATTGTGCATTCCCGTGCTCCCCCCTTACAGAAGTCCTCGGTGCTGAGCAGAGTGGGCATGAGGCCCTCGACCAGGCCGACTTTTACAGTCGGGCTGTTCAACCTTTCGTGGACCGTTGCCTGGGAGGGTAAGTGGCTTGCCCTGACCTCTCTGGGGAGAAGAGCAGCAGGGCCAAAGGGGCCCTAGGTGCGGTGGATTCATGCAAAGCGTAACCCGACCCAACCCACACCCGTACACGCGTCATGTGACTACAGCACATTATCGCAGCATGGCATTGGCGAGGGAGCCCAGGCAAAATGTACCAGTAACCCTGCCGTACACAGATGCTCCGGAAGCATCCTCGCGTGCGGCGGCTGGGGCGCCGGCAAGTCGTACACGCTGGGCAGCTTGGACCCGCAGCAGCTGAGCTCGGTGGGACCTGAAGAGCCAGAGAGCGCAGGCGTCCTGAGCAGGTACGTACGACAGGAGTGCGTTGTTTGACGAGGGCCGCCAGGTGCTGGTGCTGCAGTTCCTGTGTCCCAGGCTCCCATCCCAGAGGAATCCATGCGGAACCGCACCGCCACTAACTGCCGTACCAGTACCACCACCACTACTGCGTCCCTCTTCCCAACCATGAACCTTTGCATCCCGGGTCATCAGGTGCTTGCGTCAGCTGTATGGCAAGCTAGGGCCCAACGCAGCGGTTGAGATCACCTGCGTGGAGGTGCAAGGGGAGGAGGTAGCAGACCTTTTGGACGCGCGCGGCGGCTCCACTAGCAGCGGAGGCGGCGGCAGCAACAGCACTGGGCCCGGCTTCTCCACGCCACCAGCAACAGCACGCAGCCCTGCTGCTGGTGCTGCTGCTGCGGCGGCGGCGGTTGCGCGGCGCAAGTCTCAGACGATGGTGGTAGCGCGCAGCCTGGCCGAGGCACTGTCAGCGTTGAAGGTAGGCGGGGACGGTTGGGGGCTTGTGACCTAGCAATGGAATGGGGAATGAGCGCATGGCCTAGCAATAGGTAGGCAGGTTGGGGTGTATGGCCTGATCTCTAGCCTCGACTCCTCTGCTTCTCCATGCGCGTTGTGGACGCTAACCCAGCACTGTAACCCCTTGCCCTCACCTCCTTTCCCCGCACCTCCCGGCTTGTCCTCCTCCTCCTCCTCCCTCCTCCGTACAGCGCGCCGTGTCCTGTCGTCAGGCCTTCGTGACCTCCACCCGCCACAGCAGCAGCCGCACACACGCCGTCTTCCAGCTGCGGTGGCGCAACCCCTCGTCCGCCGCCACCCCTGCACCCGCACCCGTACCTGCGGCCGCAGCAGCGTCCAACCGTGCGGTTGCTGGTGCTGCTGGTGGTGCTGCTACTACCGTGTCACGGCTTCGGCCGTACAGCGCACCTACACGCTCCAGCGCCAGCACCAGCGCCCAGCCCGCACGGCCGGTTGGGGCTGCTGCTGCTGCTGCTGCTGCTGCTGCTGCTGCTGCTGGGGCTGCTGCTGTCGGCGGCGGTGGTGGCGGCCCCGTGTGCACCTTGACGCTGGTGGACACCTGCAGCTTCTGCCCACTGTTGCCGCCAAAGGTAGGAGCCGGCGCCCCTGCGGTATCCGTATCCACACGTGTCACACATGGAGACCAGCACACATGGTGTCACATGGAGACCAGCACACATGGTGTCACATGGAGACCAGCACACATGGTGTCACATGGTGACCAGCACACATGGTGTCACATGGTGACCAGCACAGCAGCATGCCCCAGCCATCCCTTGCCATCATACCTCATGGGGGTACTGTCTGAGGCCTCAGGGACGGGCGCGCTGCCATCCTCCTTTCCAATTTAAGCCCAGGGGTTCCCGGTGTGTTCATGGACAGCTTGCGGCCTTGAGCAGCAGCGCCGAGTCGACCCAGATGCGGCGGCCCGTCTGCGGCCCGCAACTCGGCTTCTTCGGGTAGCAGCCCTGCGCCGGTTTCCTTCCCTTGCGTTCTGTCATGTGGGTCATCTGCTCATCTCAACTCTCATGTGTGTTCCCTTCCCTGTTGTCCCCTCCCTCCTCCCTCCCTCCTGCACGCAGGAGGGTTCCGCGGTGCGTCGTAGCCTGTTAGCGCTCAGTCGCGTGCTGGCGGCGGCGCAGCGGCGGGAGGCGCTGGTGCTGCGGGAGAGCAAGCTGACGCGGCTGCTGGAGGGAGCGCTGGACCAGGTGCGGTGGGGCGGGGCGGGGTGGGGTGGGGTGGGGTGCCGCTGGTGGTGGGGTGCCGCTTGGTGGTGAGGGGATGTTCCTGGGACGCTGGCAGTCCCTCTCCCTCCTTGTCGACCCCCACGCACTCCTTGTCAACCCCCACGCACTCCTTGTCAACCCTTCCTCCCCCCCAGGTGCTGGTGCTGGCTTGCCTGGGTTGCAACGCGGACGAGGGCACCCTGCAGCTGGTCAAGCAGCTCCAACTGGGTGAGTGGGGCGAACGAACAGCGGGGTGGGGTTGTGTTAAAATAACGGGTGGGGTTGTGTGTGACCTTTTCAGTTAGTCGTTCATGGCGCATCCTGGCATCATCATCATCATCATGAGGAGTGCTAGGGAGCTGGACTTCTCGCGTTCGGTGCATAGTGTTACACGCACGTGTCAAAAGCTGGCCGTCCAAGCTCTCTTCCGCCTCTTCAGGCTGTCCAGGGTCGCATGGCGGGCGGGCCACAAGCCCCTCATCAAGTCCCTGTTGCCGTCATGCCGCACCACCACACCCACACCCCCTCCCCTTCATGTCGGCTGTCTGCAGGGGGAGCTCGCGAGGCGGGAACGCAACGCCGCTTATGTCGCGCCAGCTCCTCCGACTCCCGCCTAGCCTGGGATGACACCACCACCACGACGGCGACCGCGGCCACCACCACCGCCACCACCACCACCACCAGCGGCCGTTCCACTGCATGTCCCCGCGACGTGCCCAGCAGGAGCACCAGCAGAAGCACGCACACGCCCCTCTCCGCACCCCCATCAGGAAAGCGGCTGTCCGGGTTACACAGCCATCAGGCGCTCGGCCGCTCACCTTTGTCCACCCAGCTCTCCAGAAAGCAGCAGGAACAGGCACATCCAGCAGATTCTTCCAGAGGAGGAGGAGGCTTTGCCTCTAGCAGCCGCTCCTCCCGCACCACTTCCGCCCTCACCACGCCCTCCTCCTCCTTCGCGCCTGCCTCCACTCGTCGTGCAGCGCCCACAACCCCCAGCAGCGCCCCCTCCGGCATCCCTAGACGCCTCAGCAGCACACGTCCATCTCCCCTGGTCATCCACAACCCCAGCAGCAGCGTTGCGGATCAGGCCTGCGCTGCCGGCACGGCCGCCACACCGGCCTCCGCACTACCGCCCGGCCACCCCCGCGGCAGCAGCGCCGGCGGCTACAGCCCCTCCTCCCTGCTGCCGCTTCCCTCCCTCTACAGCCCCTCGGCGCTTCCCGGCTCCCCGGTAGGCTCCAGCAGTCCCGGAGTGGGAGCAGCCGCCTCCTCGCCTCGGTCGTGCATGGCACACAGCAACCTGGGGTTTGCGGGCCCGGGTGTGGCGGTGGCGGCGGCGGCGGCAGGGCACAGCAGGGGGGGGTGCATGCAGCTTGGGGGGCTGCCCACGGTGTGTGAGCGACGGAGCCGCAGCCTGGGAGGCGTCATGAGTGGTGGTGGGGGTGAGGGAGCGGGGGCGGGGGCGTCGGGCGGTCTTCTTCCTGTGAGCCCGCGTCAAAAGCCGGCATCTGTGAGTGCTCGGGCGGCGGCGCCTAACTTTGAGCTGCGGAGGTCGCAGGTGAGGATGATGAGGAGAGGATGGGAGGTGTTGAGGAGGGTGGGTGCGTCTGAGTGTGGGTTCTGCCACCCATGACCATCCAAATGCACCTGGTGATATAGCGTGCATGGCAGCCTTAGCCTCGGCAAAGCACTCCACACCGAATTGGATTGGTTGCCTCGCCATGCCGGCTCGCTTAACTCTGCTGCTGCCACCGCAGGGCTTCTCGGTCCTGTCCGGCAAATGGGCTCCGCCTCCACCGCAGCCCCAGTCCACCCAAGGGCGAGGCAGCGGCGGTGGCGGCGGCGGCTTTCCCTTCGTGCCTGTCGTACTATCGCCGAGCGAATCCCCCACAGCTGCTGCCGCTGCAGCAGCCGCCGCTGCCGCATCCTCTCCGCGAGGAACAACCCCCAACTCCCTAGCTGCGGCGGCGGCTACCGCTGTGGCGGGTGTGCACTCGCGGTCGCTGTCCTCTCGTATCCCGCTGGGCCCCGCTGGCACGGCGAACTCATCCGAGCGCGGAACGCGAGGAGGTGCGCGTGTGGGCTGGGTTGGGTCTTTTGCCCTTTGCGTTGGTATATCGGTCCGCTGAATAAGAATACACAATGGACCGACCACTCTCGTGCACGATAACACATGACGACCTGCTCCGCCCACTCAACCTGCTCCGCCGCCCCCGCTGCTCCACCCCACTCTCCCGCCATTCTGCGCCGCAGTCGTCTCGCTCACCGCAGTGGCACAGCAACCAGGCCGCAGACCCTGCATGCGTTACGATGCCACGGCAGCATCCTACGATGAAGGCTCCTCCGCCTTTCCCTCGGAGGGCGGTGCGGCGAACAGCGGAACAACAGCAGCAGCAGCTGTGGCCGCACCCCTGACCGCACGCCTGAACGCTATCAGAGACGCGGCATCCGATGGCGACACCGAAACAGAAGACGCTGACGCTGATGCTGACCCTGGCGCCGATACCGTCCTGACCACAACGGCTGCTGCTGCCGCCGCCGCCACGTCGTCCACGACGTCAATGCCCCCCACCCCCACCACCATCATGCGGGGTGTGCGCGGCGGCTTGCGCTGCGCCTCTCCGATGCTGCAGCTCCGGCGGGCGGAGCGGCTGGCGGATAACAACCGCCGCTCCCGCAGTGCGAACAGCAGGCCGGCGGGCGAGGTGGTGGAGGGGGGCAGCAGCAGCAGCAGTGCCGCTGCTGCCGCCCTGTCGGCGCAGTACCGAGACCTGCTGCTGGACTTCCAGGTGCCGGGTGGTGGTGGTGGGGAGTGCTGGGGAGGGGCGTCATTGGGGTGTTGTGCCAGCTGGGGGGCTGCGAGGACGGTAGTCGGGGGGGCCCCTGCCTCTTGCGCGCGGCAGTCTTTCTTTCTTTCCTTTTAACAGCCCTTATTAAGAGCCGCTCCTCCTCTTCCGCGCCGCACCCTCCCCGCAGGCCTTCAAGGCAAGCGCCAAGGCACGTCTGCCGCGTCACGTGCGCAGTGGCATCCCCTCCGTCCCAGCCACCCCCCAGCCGTCATCAACACCCCGCTCTCCACCCACCCAAACCCCTGCGCCGGGGCCACCTACCACCACAGCACCCACCCCCGCACCCGTACCCTCCGACTCGCCGATCCCCTGCGCCCTCCTCCTCCCATCCCACACCGCCGCCTCCAGCCCCCGCAGCTCCCTTTCCACCGCCTACCGCGCAAGCCGCATTCCCTCCCCACACACCCTGCCGCTCCCCACTCTTCCCACCCTCCCCACTCGCGGCACCCGTAGCCACCAGGTGGCAGCGGCAGGGGACACCTCCCTCAGTCTGACCGCAGCAGCCGCAGCAGCAGCAGCCGCCGCTGCCGCTACCAGCCCCGGCACCCCTTGCTGCGGAGGCGCCAGTAGCCCACTTGCAACCCGATCTCGACCCGGCATCAGTCTGGGTTCCGGAGCACAGCCCTCGCCATGTCGCCCACGGCGCAGCACCCTGACATCCCCTGAAGCGGCAGTTGCCTTCTCAACCGTTGTGCTGGATATGTGTCGGTTGTCAGTTGTTGCTGATGAGCTGTCGTCTTCCTGTGTTGTCGTACGGCAGTCAAGTGAGGATGCTGGCGTTGCGGATCTTCACCCGATTGCGAGTACGACGGCTTGGATCCCCACTGATACCTGCTCCGGAGGGGCCGGGCAGCAGGGTGGCAGAAGCAGCAGCCGCGGCGGCGGCGGCGGCTGCCTGGCGACAGCAGCTAGGGCTCATGGGGATGAAGATGACGATGACGAGGAGGAGGAGGAGGATGAAGAAGAAGACGTGTTTGGGTCTCCCGGCCCCGGTCACCGCATCAGCAACTTGCTAGGTCCCGACAACCTGAGTGATCTGCACCTGCTGCTCAGCACGGGTCCTGCAGCTCTCAGGCAGTCCGGCTTGCTGCATGCATGCGGCGGGAATGCTACTACTACTGCTACTAACACTGCTATTGCTACTACCGCTGCTACTGCTACATCCCAGTCCGATCTGTCAGCTCGTCTGAGGTGCCTGGGAAGCCAGGGGGGAGCTGCATCCAGTGCCGCGGTGGCAATACCCAGGGGCAGGGAGGCTTCGGCCGTGAGGCGAGGCAGCCGGGCTGTATCAGCGGTGGAACCAGCAGCGGCCCCAGCAGCAGCAGCAGTAGCTTGGGAGGAGGGAGCAGCAGCAGCAGCAGGGGCTGAGCAGGGGAGACTTGAGCGCGAGGACGTGGCCTCCTCTCCAGAGGAGCTCCCCGCGGTGTCATTCTTCTTCACGCCGCTGTACCTGGAGGCTGGTAGCACAGGCGGCGCCGCGGCGGCTGCATGCGGGGAGGGGCCGGAGGAGGGCACGGTCGCTGTGCGGGGTACGGCGCAACGTGGCGCGGATGGCACGGCAGCTGCTTGTACCGCCCAGGATGCACCGGTACCTTCAGCGCCAGCCGCTCCTGCTGCGGCTTCTGACAGCCTGGCAGCAGGGCGGCGCCGGACGGCAGGCGACGGCTCTCCAGCACTCTCTCCCCGTCTCTCAGAGGCTAACCCTCACAGCCCCAACCATCCCCGCCCGCCCTCGACCCTCGACCATGTCCTCCCCTCTTGTAACGAGAGGACAGCACAGCTGACACAACAGGCCCGCAACTCACCGGCAGCGCAGCAGCCCGAGCCCTCCCTACTTGCAACAACTCCCCCTCGTCGGCCGCCGCTGGGCCACCCCGACAGCGCTGGAGTCAGCACCAGCTGCAGCGGCAGCAGCGGTGGCGGTGGTGGTAATCATGACATGCTGCATGATGACGTGCTACATGGCGGCAGCTGCACCCCCGCTGCTGCTGTCACCCCGTTGCTGCTGCAGCGCCACCTCGCCTACCACCTCCATGCAGACCACCACCACCACCACCACCTCCAGGACTCCCCCATGGTGCTCCAGGACTCCCCCATATCCCACATGGACGCGCGCGATTGTGCCGGCCGCATTTCTTACCCGCAGGAGCAGCAGCAGCAGCAGTCGGATGCCCTGTTTGCCCCGGATGCGCTAACCACGGCAGAAGAAGAAGGTGTCCGCGTTGCCAGGCTGCTGCATGAGGGTTTTGAGTCGGCGGGCGGCGGGGAGCTCTCCACTGCGCTGCAGACCGCCGCACCCAGCACGCAGAGCAGCTACCACTCCTTTGCCGATGAAGATGAGGACGAGGGCCGGGACGGCGAGGATGACGATGCCGATATGGATAGTGAGAGCGATGCGTACTATGACACCATTGCAGGCGGCAGCAACAACAACAGCAGCGGCGGCGGCGGTGGATTGGTGGAGCAAGTACCTGTGTCGATAGCAACAGCAGCTGTAGCAGTAGCGGTAGCAGCACAGCGCCAGCAGGCTGAGGAGGAGGAGGATTCGGCGGAGCAGCAGCAGCCTGTTGCTGCTGTTGCGGCGGCGGAGCCGTCGCCTCCCTCGCCTGCTGCTGCTGCTGTTGCGACGGCAGCAGCAGCGGCACCTGCACACATGCTGCTGCTGGCGGCGCCGGTTCGACCGGACCACGCGGAGCTGGACGACCAGTCGTTCGTGCTGCTGGTGGGGTCGGACAGCGGGTCGGATGACTCGGATGAGTGGCCGGAGTCGCCGCGGGGGGAGTTCTCCCAGCCCTCCCTGGAGACCATGGAGGATGCAATGGAGCTGCTGCAGCAGCAGCAGGATGAGGAGGAGGGCGTCATGATGGGGGTGCAGCAGGAGGAGGAGGAGGAGGAGGAAAGGATGTTGCCACATCAGCAGCAGCAGGCGCAGCAGCAGCAGCAGTTCATGGTTTCGGGGCTGCTGCAGCAGCAAGTGAAGCTGCCGCAAGGCGAACAGCACCTGACACCCCAGGCGGCAGATACCCACGGCAGCGTGCAGGCCTCGCCTCGCCATGGTTTGGCACGGACGTCCGTACGGGCCCGGGTTGCAGTCCTAGAGGCGTCATCGCTGCCTTGCGACGCCCGCACGGCGTCATGTGTGTCATGTGACTTGAAACGCCGAAGGAGCTCCGGGGCTTCAGATCCCAGCCCTGAGCGATCTGAGCTGGGGCAGCATCAGCACCTGCCTCAGCAGCACCCGCAGCAGGCTCAACAGCTGCACCCGCAGCAGCAGCAGCCTCAGCCACAGCAGCAAGTACGACGGTCGTCGTACCCCGGCATTGTCGTACAAGACATGCGGCTGACGAGCCGCCCCAGCGCTGGATCCGAGGGAGGCCGGCCGTACACGGTGGACACGGGCACGAGTACAGGAGCTGCTAGGGCAGGCGTCGTCGGACGCGCCTGTAGCGCTGGTAACGCCTTGGAGCGGGCAGTGCTGCGGAACGCAGCAGCACTTTCTGGGAGGCCTCCCATGGGGGCTACTACCACTACTACCGGTACTGCTCTTGGTGGTGCTGCTGCTGCCTCCTATTCCGCACGCAAAAGCACCAGTCTGGGAGGCTCCATGAGGGTAGCCACACCGCCGCACATGCCGCCGCTGCCGCTGAAGCATGCACCGATACCGCCGCTGCCACTAAAGCAGCAGCAGCTGCAGCTGCAGCTGCTGCCCTCACCACAGCTACCACACGGACTAGGAGACCCCCAGCAGGTGTCGCCGCACACACAGACGCCTGCAGCAGCGCCCTTCGCAGCAGCAGCAGCAGCAGCAGCTCCTGTCCTTGTTCCTCGTTATGGTGCAGGGGAGCAGCCGGCCTCCTCACATGGCAGTGGCAGCAGCAGCAGCAGTTCCTCAGTTGGTACCTCCGCTGAAGCGGACGCTGTAGCTACTGCGAGAGTGGTGCCCAAGGGCGTGTCAACACTTGCAATGGCACGTAAGCAGCTGGCAGCAGCAGCAGCAGGTGGGCTCGACGGCTCAGAGCAGGACAAGAACACCAGCAAGCTACATGGAGGGACAGGAGGAGGAGCGGTGGCAACAGCAGAGGGTGGCGGGGCGGGGAAGCAGCCGAGTTCTGAGCTGTATGTGTCACCGCGGCTGCGTTTGAGCTTCACGCAGCGGGCTAGCATGGCGGAGGTGGTGGAGCTGGATGAGGAGTTGATGCCGCCGCCTCCGGCGTATCCTCCCGGCTTTGTGAGCTGGGCTACGGAGGTGTTTGCGAGCGCGGGGGCGGCGGGGTTGCGCAGGTCTACGGATGTGGGGTAGGGATGCGTGTTTAGAGTCCGTGTAAGAGGATTCGGGGCGCGTCTTAGCGGGGCTTGAAAGGGTCATGGAGGCGAGTGGGTTGGAGAATGGAGGGGGTTGGAGAGGCAGCAGAGACGGCGGCGGCGGCTTAGTTGTGTGTGACAGGTACTGTCGAAGCCACAAGCAGGGGCGTATAGTAGATTCGTAGTCCTGTGAGAGAGAGGACGACTTCTATAGCTGGCTTTTACCAGATGTGTTCAGTTTGACCTGTACAGCTTCTGTTTTTATTTCAACCAGGTATAGCAGCAGTTGGGCGGTGGAACGAAGAGAGTCGTGTACAAGTTGTTCGGGTGGCGTTCGGGAAACCCCGCTGAAAAGCGGCTATAAAGGCTGTGACTGACTGCCTTGGCCCGTGTTTGGGGACTAGGAGAGGGAATCCATGCGTTAGCGTGCTGAAAGGGTAATAACCTAAGAAAGACATGATGACAGGGTTTTGCAGATGTGTTGATGTGGCTCTTATATCACAGATCTACCTGGATCTGCTGACGACATAACTGTTTTGCATGTGGCCCCGGCGGCACGAGATGCAGGATCTGCGTCTTCCTGAACTTCACATGTTCACAGAGACAAGGATAGCAGCAAGGCAGAGAGAGCCATTATCGAGATATAATGACTGAAGACCGGCGCTAGAGATTGGTTGGTGCTGCTGCTTAGAGCATGACTTGCCTAATGGGCCGTGCGTGGCGACGCATGAAGCGCACGGCCATGGCGGACTTGTTTCAATCTAGTCGACTTGTCGACTTGCTTTTGAGTAAAATCCAGACATGCAGACCTGCAAGATGATGTGTTTTTCTTACATAGCTGCATCCGCAGGAGTCCTCGTCGTTGCACCTGCGCATGCCGGCACGCGTGTACGGTAGGTAGAGCACTGTAAAGGAGCGACGTTGCCTCAGTTGGTGAGGGGCCCTATGCATCGGTCCATCTGCATCGGCAATCTCTGTGTAAGATCCTGGTTAGTGGTAACCCCACTGCTTGCCCCACGTGATGAGGTGCGGCGGCGTTTCTTGTACGAGGGCTTGTTGGGTGTCCATTATGTGTAGGGCATGAACCCGTTGCCTCGCCTGGGGAATGCACAGCCTCAACTCACTCGCATGAGGGACAGCCGTGGGGTTGTCCTCTTGCCTCGGCTGCAGTGAGCAAGAGAGGAAGATAGCCGTGACCGCAGCCAGCATGTGGAAGACTGGGGTTGCTGACGTGGGGTTGCCCTGGGATTGAGGCTGCTGAACGACTATCACAGCAGCTCCGTAAAAGCATGTTGCCCCTGGAGGCAAGACTGTGTACGGCAAGACTCATCGCTGCGCGAACCTTGCACCCTTTTGAGCACAGGAACCCTCATGTTGAACGCCCTAAAGCCACGTTGCAGATTTGGGAAAGGGGTCCCACGTTAGGTCAGGAACCATGAAAGTCCCTTTGAACACAGTGCGATGCAATCAAGGGTACGACAGACACGGAAAGCCGCAGGGCAGCTTAGAGCCTCGAGAAAAGAAGATTCTCTGGGGCTTAAGGTGTAAACACATTCAACGCTATAAACCTCTCGGATACGGCTGTGCTTCACCTAAGACCTTATCCGCTATCAACTGTCAGCCCTCATCCCGGATACCCGTTTGGTAATTTCGCTCGAATCGCATATAGGCTATGCTTTTACCAAAATGTCCGACGTCGACGTCACCGCGGTGCACCAACGCTCGCCGCTGCGGCATGCATGCCCCGGGGCGTCACTTGGGAAGGCTGCTCTGTCAGTCGACACCTGATGCTGCAAGCAACAGCTCAGGGGAAATTGATAATGACAACGCGCCAAGCTCGAGCGGCGCGGCGAACGGCAGCCTAAGCTTGCCAAAGCGAGGTTACTTCTCTATCGCCGATACAAAGGCGGAGGTGTATTCACGGTAAGCCTCTAGTCATACGCATGGCATACTGCTCTGCTTCCCATCCTCGCAAGCTTCGCAACAGTTGGGTTGCGCCCATGCTGCGCATTGTCACGCCTTGCCTTTGCTCCGCGTCCTTCCAACAGCGCTGGCGAGAAGTTCGATCCAGCAAAGAAAGGCGGGCGCTATAAACCAGAGTTCATTTGGAACACGGATTGGTCCACGGCGCTTAAGCGGGAGGAGGCGCTGCAACGCAAGGTAGATGAGGCGCGCGCGGCACCCAAGGTCCCTTCCAGCGGATTCCTCAGCCTCAGCCGCCTCTCGGAACTGGATCGCGTGGACGTGGACCTTTCTGACGTGTTACGGCGCAAGCGTCAGGATCAGGATGCGGATTCGAATCCCTCTCATGAAGCCGCAGCCCGCAGCCAGGGCCAAGCTTCCACATCTGCCAGCACCACCCCTTCCGCCTCAGCCTCAAACAACAGCAACAGCAGCCGCAGCAGCAGTAGCAGCAACGCCGGGGCCTCGAGATCCGTCCCCGTTTTCAGCAGAAAGGAAGCCGCCAAGCTCAGTCGCGTCAACAAGTCCATGGCGCGAACAACCATCACAGTAGCGATTCCGGAGCTCGATGCGGAAAAGGCGCGCCAAGCCGAACTGGAACGCCAACGCTACGAGCAACTCAAGCTGGAACAGCAGATCTGGACGCTTGCCTTTTCCGCTGCCGGCTTCGCCATGACATACGTGTCGTACAGCAAAGACGTCGCGGTGAGCTACTGCGTCGGCGCTCTGGGCGGCTTTCTTTATTTGCGGTTGCTCAGCAAGTCGGTGGATGCTTTGGGGGCGGATGGGTTGGAATCGGGAGCGAGCGGCATGGCAAGTCAGCCGCGGTTGTTGATTCCGGTCATCCTAGGTTTGGGGTACAATCGATGGAATGAGCTGTACTCGGATTCGCTGGGAGTTCAGCTGCAGCTGCTGCCGATGCTGGTTGGCTTCTTTACGTACAAGCTGGCTGTGATCTCGCGGCAGTACAAGGACGTCTTTGATGGCAAGCTGTAGGCGCCTAGCATGGCTGCGAGCCAGCCAGAAGGCTTGGGAGTTGACAAGTTAAGGCGTGAGGGATGGGAGGAAAGACCAGCAGCGAGCTAGGAGTGCGCTTGGAAGGAAGCATGCTCCTTTAGAAGATGAGGTGTTTCGGGGACTACTAAAGGGTGAAGGGTGAGAAGGAGTGGGGCCGGGTCAAGGGCTGGGTGGGTCGGTGGATGGTTGCAGAATAGGCGTTTGTAAATGTTCTGGGCTGCTCTGGATGCCTAACGCTTTCGGTAGGCAAATCCCATTCCAGATAGGCCGAGTAGCTTAGACACCCATAGTATGCGTGTATGCCCATGCCGTCCTTGCAAGCCCCCGCAATGATGCCGTACAGCACACGCGATCAGGACACCGGTTGAACAAATGGCAATGGACTCTCATCTAGTCATGTCGTTGACTGCGAACAACGCCAGCACTTGACAAAAAGGATAGGCAGGGCATTGGAAAGGAAACGGCAAAAGGCGCGAACTAGATGTCAAAGCGGCGACAAGAGGATGAGCTACCGCCAGCCGCCAAGGTGAATTTCTTGAATACGAAGTAGTAATCCTACGGACAGCACCCGAAGATTCCGGCTTTTAAGTAGTTCTCGGGCCAATTCAATTTTATTCAGGAGCGGCGAGGCGATAGCGATCGGACAGAACGTCTAGCATGTTACCTATCGGGACTAAACAACCAATTTGCCAGGTATGTATCTGTTGATTTGTCGACGCGCACGATGTTACCAGTTAAACAGGGTCCATTTCGCCGGCGCAGCTGGGTAGCAACCCAAAAGGAAGTGAACCTTAACAAGTTTTGGATCGAGGGTGTGCGCGACTACCTCCAACATGCCACAAAGCTCCTGGTCGACTTCCAGGACGTGGTATCTCCCGATGGCGTGGCAACGCTGCAGCAGGCAGCTGCAGGTAAGCCCTTCATGCCACTACACGGCAAACCCTGCTGCTGAACGGCTTTGTGTTTGGGCTGCTCCCACGAAAAGCCAACGTTCCGTGTGCCTGCACCCAATTCCTTTCCAACGCACCTGCGTGCCTGCGTCCGCTCCTCCCAGACGGCAACAAGGCAGTGGCCTCCGTAAGCGGCCGGCCAGCGGCAGCTGCCTTTGGGGCCGCAACCGGGGCCGGCGCCTCACAACCAGCCAGCAAAGCCCCCGCTGCTCCAGGTGAGCACTGGGGCACCGGGTGTGGGCTGTGCTCCTGCAGAGGAGGTGTGTTGAATGCACGGTTGAACGGTTAAAGGAGGGCTGGTCAAGGAGAGGAACGGTGGTGGATGGGGAGCGGAATGAATCGGTCATGTACTCATGTTGCCAGCCGAGCGTGCACGGGTAGTTCATTGGCACGTTGTCATAGCACACAGCCCGACTGTCTTCCCGCCGGCCCCTCCCCTTCCACCGTCTGCACCCCCATCCGCCGCAACTCCCCTCCTCCCGCGCAGCAACCGGCTTCATGTCGCCTCCCGCAGCAGCAGCATCCACCTCCGGAGCCGCTGCCTCGGCAGCCGCACCCGCGGCCCCCTCGCTCTTCGGCTCCTTGGCCCCGAAACCAGCCGCTCCAGGTGCCGGCTTCTCCTTTGGCGCCGCAGCACATGCGCCCTCGTCCGGGGCGCCGGAGAAGGAGAAGGAGGCCGAGGCAGCGGCGGCACCCAAACCCCTCTTTGCGTTTGGTGGTGGTAGCAAAGACACGGCTACAGCAGCACCTAAAGATGCGGCCGACGGAAGCGGCAGCAGCAAACCCGCGGGGGATGCTACCGGCAGCGGAGCCTTCCGTTTCGGCGCAACTGCGGGCGATTCCACGATCGCGCCCAAACCCTTTGCATTTAGCTCGGTGCCTAGCGGCACTTCAGCGAACAACGGAAAGCCCGGGGACAACAACAGCAGCACTGCCGCTGCTGCTGCGCCCGCTATCTCCCTGTTCGGAGCTGCTCCCGCATCCTCTGCAGCACCAGCAGCGACCACTGCCGCTGGTGCCGCCGCCGCCAGCAGCAGCGGCAGCGGCGCAGCGACTCTGTCCGGATCCACCTTTGGCAGTGCGGCCGCCACCTTTGCTTTCGGCGCCGCGCCGGCAACGACCGGCACAGATGCCGGGAAGAAGGAGGGCGCAGGCACTGCGCCCGCGTTTGGGTTCTTTGGGGCACCTGCTGCCACTGGGGGCTCGGCGCCTGCCTTCTCCTTTGGCGGCTCCACGGCCCCGGCGTTCTCGTTTGGGGGCGCAGGGGCTGCGACAGCTCCTGCGGCGGCAGCGGCAGGTGAGGGGGGGGGAGCGTCTTAGCAAACGCAGCTAGCGGGCATGCAGGCGGGATCGCATGACGTTGCATGTGTGTGTTGTGGGCCCCCTGTTGACACTCTGTTTGAGAGGCATCCTTGTGACTTCTCCTCATGCAGATGTATCACCAGACAGGAAGCATGCCTCGCCCCCAAATGCAATGCCCTGTTGTTGTCTCTTCTGAACGTCTTGCGTGTTGTGTCCCGGTGTCGCACTAGGGTAGGCACCATGTCTCGCACCGCCCATGCAGCCCCCTGTTGTTGTCTTTCCTGACCGTGTTGCGTGTTGGGTCCCGGTGCAGGCGGGGGTGACGACGAGGAGGACGGCGAGGCGGAGGCGGAGCAGGACGAGTGCGCCAAGGGGCCGAGTCTGGTGGTGAGGGGGTTGCCGTCGTGTTTTCTCTCGCACGTGCGTTTTGTGGTTCGGTACGCAATGCAGGTTGAATTACGCGCAATGCGCCGCACTCCTTCAGGAGTGCGGTGTGTGCGTCTGTGCTCCATGTCATGCTTGTCACTGTTTGGCACACAACTGACAACGGTGGCTGCATGCGGCATCACTCCACGTGCCGTAAGCGGCACGTTCCCCATGTGCTGTTATCCTGTTAACATCTCATGACCCCATGACCGCCTGTAACGGCGCGTTCCATGCGGTAACGGCCTCATGACGACGTCGCACCTTGCAGGTCGACGACAATGTGGAGATCCTGTTCCGCGAGAAGGCTCGGCTGCAGTTGCCGGTCAAGGCGGCGGATGGGAAGCCGGGCTGGGAGGCCAAGGGCGTAGGCCGCCTGTCGGTCCGCAGGGCCAAGACGGAGGGCGCCAAGCCGTACATTACGCTGTACACGGACGCGGTGAGGGGACGCGGGGTGGTTTGCTTGGGAGCAGGGGGGCGCGCGCGTGCGGGCTGTGCCCTGCTGTTGTTGGGGTGCTGGGTTTGGTTGGAATACTTTGCATGCATTACATTAGGACGGCCCCAGTGGTGGTGCATGTCGGGAGGTTGCGTTGTGAACTAGTGAAGATCTGCTGTTGGCATCTTGGCTTTTGCATGACGGGCAACAAGAGTGCACAACACGCGCCCTGTGCCCCGCACACACCACCCTCTCTCCTGAACACCGCACAGCGCCTTACCCGTCCTGAACCCCATACAACCGGGGCAACCCAACCAGCGCTGAACACCCTCTTCGCTCCCTCCTCGACGGCTCGCAGGGCCGCTGCCTGTACACGGCCTACTTTAACAAGACCATGAAGCTGGTGGTAAGCGACAAGATGAAGAGCGTGGGGCTCACCACTGCTTGGAGCCCGGATGGACGGTCGCCGCCCGCGGTGAGGAAGGGGCGGAGGGCTGGGAGGGGTGAGGAACGGCGGAGGGGTGGGAAGGCGAAGAAGAAGAGGGCCCTGCTGTTAACGATAACGGGGATGGGGAGGGTGACCTGAGGCGTGGGGGTTGCAGGGTTCTTTGATCTCCAAGGCGCACCGGTTGCTCACGGCAAGCTGACTGCTGCTGGCGTGTTGCTGTCAAGGAGGGCCCTCGTTGCGGACTTGAAGCTTCCAGGGAGCCCTGGCTCACTTCTTTCTGTTCGCCTTGCTCATGCGGCCCTGCGATGCCTCCCCCACACCCGTGCTGTTTTGCTCGTAACGATCCTCTTCAATACTCTTCAACAACACCCACTCTTCTAGAACTCCCGGAAATCGTTTGCGCGTTTTAATGTCCCATCCACTCCACCCATCCTCGCGTTCCGCCTTTCCCCCTGTGCAGTTGAGTTCAGCATTGTTCCAAATGGCAGCGGGCAAGAACCGGCAGTTTGAGAAGGTAATCACCAAGCTTCAGTCGGAGATGGCCGAGTAACATGGCGTGCGTGGGGCAGCGCGTGAGAGTTGTGTGATGTGGTAGTGAGTTAACACTGTCTCGCGCGGGGCTGAGGTGTGTTAGGAAAACTGGCCGCGAGTTGAGGTTTGCGTGTGTTGGGATTAGATATTGGTGGAGTGTAGATGGGCATGCGAGGACTTGCTGAACGGTTTTTGACTTTGTTGGATGCGCGGTTGTGACATTTCACTTGTGTCTAGTATTGGATGGTTGCATGCGGTTAGGTTGGTGGTGAAGACGGTGGTAGAGGAGGGGAATTCCCAGGAGGTGTCAATTGCTGCGTGTTCTGTGAAAGGGGCTAAGGGTCGCACTAGGGTACGCAGGTGGTTAAAAGTCAACAGAACTGTTCACCTTAAAGCACACGCGGGGGCCATGCTCCCAAGGTGTAACCTGGTTTGGCGAATGTGCAACTTCCCAGTGGCGGCATGTTGGGGATGCATAAGGTAATGTACGACATGTATATACCTGCCCCCTCGAACTCCTCAGGGCAGCCCGGAGGGCTAACACGACGCCACGCAACATGTTGAGGCCTAAACGGGATCACCAGCATCGTACATGCATGTGGAAAAAGCCTCCGAAGCCATTGTTGCTGGTGCACCTACCGGTAATTGCGAACCCAGCGCTTGTATTGAGCTGGACGAACCTACTCCAGGAAGGCAAGAGGCACCCTGAATTGGGCGCCAAATGCCCCGACCGACGGCTTGTGAACGGGAGGTGGGGGTTTGCTGGGAGGGGACTTAAAATTTGCGCAATTGGCCTTTACCCAGTCATGTGAAGTTGCCAGCGGGGCAAAGTGCTACCAAACCGAGCTTGAAACCCAAATCCTGTTGACACGGTAGTCCGCTCACTTTCAATGATGAACTCCATACCAAAGCCTTTTATCCCCAACAGATGTTTTGCTCAGTTATGTAGGCGCCTGCTTCCTGTGCCTTGACTTCCGACACGCAAAATTACCTTTCCTTTTCTGCAGCCAAGACTATGAGGCGGAGTTTAAGACATGCTTTTGTAACAAGTATATTTATTGCCTAATTGCTCCTTGAGCAGTTGCATAAGCTCGTCCCGCACAACTGCGGTACAAGTTGTAGGGCAACCATTTGGACTTTTACACGGCACAAATAAAGTCCTGGCAAAGCTAGGTTATAGAGTGAGCCCTTTACAGCAGCCCTTGTCACCGACGTTATACCGAAAACAGTCGGAAGAATGTCCGCTGACGCCAAGGAGCAGCTGAAGGCCAAGCTCAAGGCGGACCCTTCGTTCCGCGCGGAGCTGAAGGACCGCATTAAGGGCGCTCTGCTGTCGAAGGTGCCGGCGGCGCAGGCGATTTCCTACAACTTCGATAGCTACATGATTACGGAGGTCCAGCCCGGCCAGCTGCGTGTGCTGGAGGTCGATGAGCGCCTCGTCCTGCCCACCAACACTCTTGTTCGCCTGCTGGTGACCGCCTCCGATGTCATTCACAGCTGGGCGGTTCCTGCTCTGGGTGTGAAGATGGACGCTATTCCCGGCCGCCTGAACCAGGTCTGGCTTTCCATCAACCGTGAGGGTGTCTTCTACGGCCAGTGCTCGGAGCTGTGCGGCGCCAACCACACGTACATGCCTATCGTTGTGGAGGCCATCAGCCCCCGCCAGTTCCTCACCGAGTAAGTGTTAAAAGCGCAGAAAGCAGCTTGTTAACACCTTATAAATCCTGAACTTGTTTGTTAAATTTGCGCTTGGGAATATGGCTTCAGCGGCCGCCACGTCTCTATTCTTTTCTGTGGCCCATCAGCAAAGTCGTCTTACCTTGTACACCTCCTCCCTGTTCCCTACGCAGGTACGTGAAGAAGTGGATTCAGTAAAGCAGCCGGCGTGGTCTGCAAGCTCCTTGGAGCAGCTTACCGGAAATTTTCTTTCGGAAGCAATGGCTTGTCTTGTGACAGTGTGCGTGCGTATGCCTTTAGTTAACTGGATGGTGAAATAGTTTAGGTGACCTTGACCTTTGCTACCGTCGTGCCCTTGGGCGTTTAGGGGAACATGTGTCAGTGTGGAACTGGCTCCGGTGTCCCTTGCTCATAGTGCACCTGGCGAGCAATGCAGCTTATACTCGCAGTCCGATAGGAGCAGTGTTTTCCGCTGGGTGGTTACCAGCTGGGAGGGCCAAGCATGTTGGTCCCAGTGTAACATATGGTACACTTGTTGCCATCGGCTTCACTCCGGGTTTCGTTGCGCTATAGCAGCTTGTGTGTGAAGTAGTCGCGGCTGAAGTCGAAAGGGGAAGCAGCGAGTGGCAGCAACTACCGTTGTAGACAACGTGTGGGTATGGGCCCCAACTGTCGAGTCTAGCTTTGGGGCGGTGCAACGTACGTACAACCAAGGCTTGGATGGGTATGGAACAGTTGGGGAGACCGAAAGCAAACATGCAGCGTACCGGTCCAGCATGGCAATGGGGTACATCGGAATCGCTGCACAACAGCGGCAGCAGTACTATTCAATATCTACCCAAGTAGGAGCCTTCAGAGGCACGGAAAACATGCATAGGGTCACCGTAGTTTGACCAAGGGGTCAATCAGCAGAGTACGTTCGATTGTGTGCTGGAAGCGACTACTGTTACCTAAGCAGCAAATATCTTTTAAGATCCTTTTGGACGCGGGATCTGCTGCACTCAGGACATGTGTTTAGCGTCTGTCTACGGTACTAGCCATGGGGCCCAGGGACACCCCAGGTATAGGCAGCAGGGTTAGCCTTGTCACAGTTGTCCGGATCACCGGCAGGCCTCCTCTTGGTGGCTGTCCAACGCGTTCCGCTTCTCATTGCTACACAACCCCCAATGGCTGGATGGATGAGTCTCCCTTCGCCCTCCGTCGACACGTGTACGACACCTGCAGATGGTACCGGCAGGTAATGCCACATGCTTTTCCCTACGCGTTAGCCAAATCGTTTTTCTCCTTGCACAATTCTAGTTTACCTTTTGTCGACGGCTACCCTTTCTACTCGCAGATAGCTCTGAGCACCTCAATTGTTGAGCCCTCAACGTTCTTCTGCGTTAGGTTCACTGAACTATCAACAACATGGATGGAAATACCAATTGGCGTTCTGGGAAAAGACATTGCTCCGTTCGCTTTCAATGGCTTTTATTCGTTATCATGGCAGTTGGCTGCAAGGCCACCACCTTTCGGGACGGTGACTATATCCACAGCTCACGAAAAGCTCAATTTCATCAGGCAAGATGCGCTCGGTGGCAGCTTCCTGGGATGGTCCAAGTCACCCTTCCGCATTCCTCTGGTACAAGCAGGCCCGAACGAACTGGCAGGACTTGCTCGGACAACACTGCCCACGGTTTGGCATTGACCGTTTGGTAAGGGGTCCTCACCATGCCGGGCCTTACATTGTGTCGAACGGGTATGATCTGATGTTGCCCTCCGTGCAGGTAGCTGTCCCAATACCAAAACCACAGTTACCGTTTGGGAAAGGAGATACTTACAAACTACAGTTCTCCTTCGATGGTGAGGAGGGGTGCATGTCGGTCAACCTAGGGTTAGGCCTGGTGTATGGCATGTGTAAGGGTTTCCCGTCTGAACACCAACCCAGCACACCTTGTCCTTTCCTCCCACGTCTCCATTCCTGTCATAGCCTCCAACCTCATCAATCACTACCTCTTTTCCATCCATCCCCTTTCCTTCTTGGGGCATCCCTGCTCCCTAACCCTGCCCCTCTGCCACCCTCCTCCTCCCTCCCCCGCCCTTCAAAGGCGACCGCCACCTGACCCCCTGGCTACCCCTGCTAGGGGAGGGGGCTCCTGAGGTGCCGTTAGTGCGGGTGACGCTGCGTCGCTCGGGCGAGGAGCTGCTGGGGGCATCTGCGGAGGTACTTGCATGAGGGGCCATGCAGCAAGGGATACCGGTAGAGCAGCGGGGCAGCGAGGGGAAAGAGCAGGGGAGCAGGGGCACACCTCGCCCTCAGCATGTTTGTCCAACTAGCCAGCTCCCAACCTCCACCTGTCTCCCCGTTCCCCTTCCCTGCCCCCTCCCTGCCAGGTGGTTGACGCGCCCCCCGAGTACAAGGCGCGTCACCCGGTGTTGGCCGCGGAGATGCGCAACGTGAGCCACTGGCCCAAGCACGTGCTGGTGCACTACTCCTTCGACACGCGTAACGAGGTGGACCTGGACCGCGGGCTGTACCTGCTGTTCCCAGCGGGTGAGCCAGGGTGGTGGGGTGGTGGGGTGGTGGGAGGGACGAGCCGTTGCGATGGAGCGGGAGGTGGTGTGTGTGGAGGTGTGGGAAGGTGCCTGACGGGCATCACCGTCTGCTGCCGAACCCATGGTTAAGCCTTGTCACAGGGTTTTCACTCCTACTCACCCGCCCGTCACTTCTGGTTTGGTTTATCTCTCCTAACCCACCCGCCCGCTCTGCAACCTCGCCTCCCAGGCCTGCTGGCGGTGTTGGCTCTGTGTGTGAGTGCGCTGCGGGGCGTGCAACCCAAGCTGGCGCAGTTCCTGGCTGATGTGACGTCGGAGGGAACCACAGCGGCAGCGGCCATGTGGAAGGGCTCGGACGGGAAGGGAGAGTGAGGGGAGAGGTGGTGAGGCGACAGGCGAGGAGGTGTGCTGGCAGTTCAGCAAAGCTTGGTTTGGATGGGGGAAGGAGCTGTCGCATGGAGCTCTCCCTCTTTGTGTGGGCCTTGCGCTGCCGCTTGCCAAGTACTAGGCGTTTGCTCCGATGGTGGTGTTCTGCTGTAGCTTAACGGCAGGGGAATTGTGTGGTGGCAGGGCGGGAGTGCGAGGATTGTGGTGGGTAAGGTTTCTCCACTGATGGTGATTTACTGCGACCTACTTATGTTAGACCCTTGGACGGCTCATTCGCGCTTGTGTACAGCTGCGCCCCATGTGCCCATGCGCGTTCCCATGTGCCCACGCGCGTTACGTGATTAGAAGTGCCTCCCTCTCTTTGGTGGCCTGTTCAATGGATGGTTCCTGGGCCCCTACGCGATGCCCTCAACACCGGCTTTTGCTGCACCCCTCCCGCTGCGCCCTTTTGTAACACACAGCCTCACTCTCCCGCCCGGGGTTGCAGCGTCCATCCAAACGCACGTTTTACCAGTAAGCCGACCGAACTCGAGCTACCGTATCCTTTGCAACACATCCGTGCTACAGCACATGAAAGTACCAGTAAAGCCCGAGCGAGCCTGCCTGTCCCGAGAACTCCGTAACGGCCGAGACCGCATATCTGACGCAGGCGGCAACCCGCGACATCCAAAGCCACAGTACGACACGCGGTTATCACAGTACGGCAGCCACAATACGTTCCACCTCGCCGTCAGGTTTATTGTCACACGATGCCTGGGAACTTGGCTAAAGGGCGTGGGGGGGGGTCAACATGCAAGCGGCTCATAAAAAAAGGAGAGTCCTGATCGCTTAATAGTTGTTTATCCGGCTTACTGCATTACCTGCTCTTAACCTGCACACGTAGTATCATAGTGAGGAGAGCCAACCGGTTGATATCATTCCAACATTCCGTCTTCATTCTCTTTGTACCCCTGGCAACATAATGGTAACACCCACACGCTTGAGCACTGCAGTTTCGTGCCGTTGAATACTAACCTATGTGATAAATTCAGGAAGTCGCGTTTCCAACGGCAACAGCAACACCCGCATCAACGCCCCACAACTCCGGCATACGTTACCAAACAGCAACCATGCAACCGGACAGTACACTGACCATAATGCACTTCGTCAAAAGAAGACACCGCCCCGCCACACCATGCAACCCTCTGCACCTCCTTGCTACAATACCTCCCCCCTCCCCGCCATCACCCCCTCGCGCCCCTCCCACCCGCCGCCTCCCTATTCGCATACCCCTCCAACATCACCCCCACCATGTCCGAATGCATCGCAAACTTCCTGGGCGGGTACCGCTCCCCCTCCCCGCCCCCGGCACTCCACGCCTCGGGGGGCACCGTCTCCCCAAACACCACCGCCTCCCGCTGCGGCTGCGGCTGCGGCTGCTGATGCTGCTGCGCTGCACTGCCCGGGCGGCTGCGTGGGCCCGAGGACCCGCAGCCCCCCGCAGTGCTCCTAGGCCGGCCCCATGCCTCTGCCGCATCTCCTGACGGCCGCCTCACACCCCGACCCGCAGCACCCCCAGCAGCAGCACTACCTCCAGCTGCTGCTGCTGCGTGTGTTGCTGCGCCGGGAGATATCGGCCGCGCGCCTGTCCCAGTTCCCGCTCGGGACCCCCCACCGCCGCCGCCCTCCTTCCTCGACTGCCCTGATCCCGGCCTCGAGCCGCCACCACCACCTCCTCCCCCTAGAACTGCATTCCGCTGGTTCATAGACACGCAACGTTCCGTGATAACCGTACGCAACGCGGAGTTGGGTCGCTGTACGGCAACCTGCGCCGCCGCCGCAAGTCGCGAGGGAACGGGTGCGGCGGTGCCTTCCGGAACGGGTCTGGAGGATTGCGGGCGGACGTAGAACTTGGAGGGCGGCGTGGGTTGGGGAGCTGCGGAGATGGGGCGTGGCGGCTGCGCGGGCGCGTTGAGCCACTTGCGCTGTTGCCGCAGGATCTGAGCGTAGTGTGCATCTGACACGCCGGCGGGTCGACTGGGCGGCGCGAGGAAGGAGGAGACGGTGGGGGCAGTGGTGATGGTGGCGGTGGCGGGGTTGGTGGAGGTATTGGGGACGTGGGGGTAGGGGGAGCTGTAGGTGGGGAGGGCGGAGTGGGGGCGGGGGACGGCGTAGACGGGGGGTGGTGCGGATCCGTCGGCGGTCGGGTTAGCGGGATCGTCACTGAGGTCCTCGTAGATGAAGCCGTCGGGCAGGGCGGTGGTGGTGGTGGGCATTTCGGGGTGGGGCCTGGGCATGGGGGGAGTGGGGCGGGAACGGGGCGGGACGGGAGTTAGGATACCGGTATGCGCGAATGGGGAGGAGCAGGTGACGTAGGTAGGGAGCACACTCTTCCGCAATGCTCAAGGCTTCTCCGTACGCTAGCCTGGCTTACGGTGATCCACACATGCCTAGCACACTCCCGCGGGGGCTCCCTCCCTCCCTCCCCCGCCTTCCCGCTCCCTCCCTCCCTCCTCACTTGGGATTCAGCACCCTCGCCGACGCCGGAGCAGACCGCATCATCACATGGCCTCCTCCGCTGTTGCTGCCCGCATACATCCCTGCTGGTGCCGCCCCCCCAGACGCATCCGACCTGCACCTATGCGCCGAGGCACACCTGGGAGCCCCTGGCCCCACATAACCGCCTTCTCCACCTCCACCTCCGCCTCCTGCCATCGTTGTCCCCCGGCCATTCACCGACCCACGTAACAGCATCTGCTGTTGCAGCTGCTGCTGCTGCATCTCCTTCTGCTGCAGGGGCTGCAGCCCGCCCACACCAGCCGGATGCCAGTCAAGGTAACGCGGCCGAGCGGCGGCGGAGGGCAGGTCCCCATGCAACACCCCAAAGCCGTTGTACCGGGGCGTTCGCTGCGCAATGCGCGCCTGACGTTCCTGCTCGGCGGCATGCTCGGCGGCTTGGCGCTCTGCCCTGCGCCGCGCTTGCAGAGCCAGGGTGGCCTCGTCCGCCTCCATCTGCCGCCGGTGGGCCTGTGCGTGGAGAGCAGAGCAGAGGACGTGCGTTGGGATGTGGGTCAAACGCCAGAGGGCTGTAATACCTATACAGACTGTGTGTTAAAATAACTGGCCGCGAGGCGAAACGTACTGTGATTGCCGGACTGTGATTACAGACTGTGTGTGTACGTGTGTAGGAGAGCATTCCGTTGACGTGTGTTGTGTTTTCACTCCATGCATGCCCGTGCATGCATGCACTGCACAGCCCATAACCCAGCCCCCATCATCAGCTCATCATCCTCCCCTGCCGCCCGCCCGCCCGCGCACCTCCTCGGGGGTGATGTGGAATATGTCCGGTCGCGCCACGCGCTTCGCCGTCAGCGTGTGCGGCTCCCAGTCCACCTGCACCGAGTAGCTCCGCGCCACGAACTTGGACTCGTCCACCGAGTCCTGCGGAGCCCCCACGCGGGCCCAGTCCTGAGGAGACATGATGCTACCCGGGGGAGGAGCCTTGGGTCGCCGCTGCTGCTGGTGTTGGTGTGGCTGGCTGTGGCGGCTGGATCGGTGCTGGTGTGGGTGCTGCTTGCAACCGCCTTCCGCCTCAGCATCCGAGCTGCAAGCGGAGCCGCTGTAAGCTGACCCAGATCCGGATTCGGATCCAGATCGTGACGCGTAACCGCACGTCCAGGAGTCCAGACTCATGGTCATGGCGCTGGAGAACCCCCGGCCGCCGCCGCCTGCAGCGCTGGCGCCGCCGCTGGTGCCGCCGCCGCTGACACCGCCACCACCACCGCCGCCGCTGCAGTCTCCTCGTGTGGGTGTAGACCAACCCGGATGTGAGGACGCTGGAGACCGCATCTGCCAGGGTTGCTCAGATTGCTGCTGGGCAGGGGCACCAGCACCAGGACCAGCACCGCCGCCTGCAGACGTGTCTCGCAGCGCTCCGTCCGCTGTCCAAGCGGGCTGCTGTCGTGGCCTGCTGCGGCCTCCCCGCACCCCCTCCTGCCCCTCCTGACTGGTGCGCATGGGGTCGCAGGGGGAGGGGGAGGAGGAGCTCATGGGACTACCCCTACCTCGCAGCGCCGCCACCTCCCCGGCGCGGCCCGGGTACGGTAGTGGTGGTGGTGGTGACTGAGGTGGTGAGGGATGTGGACTGCCGAGGTCCTGACTGGTACGGAGAGGCTGCTGTTGTTGCTGATGCGAGGGTTGGTGGTGGGGGCTGCGGTGGCGGTGGTGGTGGGGACTGCGGCGGCCTGTGACGTGCTGGGCGAGACCGCCGTAAGAGCCCCACTGGCGGATGTCCATGAGAGCTGTAGCGGTGGCGGTGGAAAGCAGTTCCTTGTCGTTGGAAGCTTCCGCCGCGGGCATGGGAGGGAGCGGTCGCAGCGGAGGAGATGCAGGCCGGGATGAATGCGGTGTTCCGTTTTCCGGTGTCCGCGCCGCAGGTGAACCCTCCGCCAGGGCAGCTAGCCCGTGAGCTGATGAGAAGACGCTGGCACCTAAGCTAGCTTCAGGATGGTGGTGATGGCGCCGATGCCGATGCTGGACAGGTGTAACGTCCGGAGGCGGAGGTGGCGGTAATACCTTTGACTTTGCATACTGTGGCAGGCTTTCCAAACCAGTAAAAATGGCCTCCTTGTCGTGCGCGAGGAGGTGGCCCCTACACGTTAGATGTTGGGTATCGCAAAGAGGTTATCAGAAACCACTGCCCGCAAACGTGTAGTATATAAGTAACTAAAGTGCAACAGGCAACGCCATGCCAAGGGGGCCGACAGAAGAAATGCCCATGGCAGTTCTCCATGAACTAGCTACACCTTGCCACATACAGCGGGCCCAGAATAGTAACAATATGATCATTGCTTTTCTGCTTATTAAGCAAACGGATGCTGCGCCTCGTGGCAGGGAAAAGAAACTACTGTATGCTCACAGGCTCACACGCAGGCGACTTACAGAGACTTTAGCTCGCCAGGGACACCAAGCGTCCCATCATAGGTTTCTTTTATTCGCCGCGCTGTGTCCCGTGCCTTCAAGACCTCCTCGACCGACGACACTGCAGCTGCTGCCATAATATATATCAGGGCTCTGAGAATTTATCGTAATATCGCCATTTCTATATATTCATGCGTGAGGTGCTTAGGAAGAAACCCAATAAAATTGAGACTCCTATGCGCCTTAGACTCCTATCCTCGTGTGCTGGGTTCTTACAATTCATGTGCTTTGCCAAAAAGCCTTACAGCATATTGTCACTTTTACACTTGGGATGGGAAAGAGATCGATTCCGTCCTGCCCGTTCGTACCCTGTCCTATCTCTGACTCTCATGGCGGTTGCGGCGCTTCAGCTCTCAAGGTCCAATACGGAATATAGATTTCCCTCCTAAACTACCTCACATATCCGCGCCTGTGTTCCGCATAGCAACAGTTTGTCCATGACCCGTTAACTGCCCATGCGCAACCGTCCACAGATACAGTAACTCCAATAGCGTCATTCCAAATGCAGCAAACATACCTCCGCTCATAGCACCCCTCGTCAATGGCAGCCAACACACAGCAAAGCACGCCTCAAACCAGCATTCAGGAAGTGGGACATTGACCCACGGGACGACCGTCCAGCCATCTCCTTCCACTTCAGGCCCCGTCGTTCTTCAACGCATCCTAATGTGCTCTCCTAAACCCACAATCCCAGTCATGCTTAATTTCTTCTCTCCCGTTCGTCTCTCCCGTTCGTTCTTCGTTTTTCTATTAAGTACAAAACGCCAAGAAAACTACCCATTCTTCACAGTCTTCTGCACACCTTCCAACCATGCACCAAAACAAACGTGCGTGTCATTCTTTTCCACCCTCCCCTCGCACCTCCGCCCCAGCTCCCTCCCCTCCCTCCCCTGCTCCTTCGGTCCCACTACCATTCCCTCCACATCACCCGCCCGCCGCATGCACGCATGGGCACACCTCTGCACCGTTGTACGGCATCCTCTGTATGTCCTGCTCACAACTCCCCACAAGAGTTGGGGCCGGTTCCGCCACCTCCCGCCACCTCCCGCCACCACCTCCCCCGCCCCCCTCACAGCAGGTCCGTGGGGAAGGACTGCGGCACAATGAAGCCGCCCGAGTCGCGCAACTGCAGCAGCGGCAGCGGCAGCATTGGAACAATGGAAACAGGGGTACGGGTACCCGAGGTGGTCCCCATGCATGCTCCCCACCCGGCGCCATGCAGCAAGCCGCCCCGGACCCCCCAGACCTCCCGCCCCTAACTCACAGCCCTCCTGGTTTCCCTCCCCCTACCCCCCGGTCAGTGTTTCGCGACACAGTTCATCTAATACCCCCTCCCAGCCCCACCCCAGCCCCCAGCCCCCACCTGCATTGCCGCCTGCAGCAGCTCCAGGGGCAGCGGCAGCAGCACCGCCAGACTCAGCCCCATCAGCAGCAGCGCGGTGCGGGGGGTGACGTAGGCAGGCAGGGGGGCGGGGGTAGAAGACGAAGAAGGAGTAGAAGGGGACGGAGGAGAAGAAGAAGGAGACGGAGAAGAGGAGGAGGAGGAGGCGGAGGGGCTCCTAGGTGGGCTGAGCTCATCGCAGCAGGGCGGGATGGGGCCGCGCTGCAGCACCAGCACCAGCAGCACCTGAGGGGGGAATGGGAGGAATCGGAGGATATTGACGAGGAAACGAGTGAACGAGAGAAGAACGAAAGGCGCCATGCCCGGCGGTGGGGGCTGAGGCGCTGCAATGCTGCGGTCGTGAGCTCATGACACACCCCACCGCCCTGCGGTTGTGAGGTTATGACACGCCCCATCAGCGCTCTTCACGACAGCAGAGCGCCGTACAGGCCCCTGCTACGCTGCTGCTGGGGGTGCGCTGTGGGGGCAGGACGGGAGCCTCCCCCTCCCCACACCCTACCGGTACCTCCCCACACCCTACCGGTACCTCCCCACACCCTACCGGTACCTCCCCACCCTAACCCACCCTGCCCTCCCACCCCCACCCCCTCTCCCTACCCAGTAAAACGACAGCGCATTCCCGCTCAGCGCCGACACCCCCAGCACCCCCGTCGTGATCACCGACACCGCCGACGCCGCCCGGCGCCCCCAGCCCGCCAGCACCACCCTCGCGCCGTCCAGTTCCCCCGCGGGTATGAGCGCCAGACAGGACGCCAGCAGCCCCGACCAGCCGGCCAACAGCAGCCAGTGCACCTCGGTGACGGGGTGGGAGAGGCGCTCGGGGCCCAGGAAGAGGGCGGCGAGGAGGCCGAGGAGGCAGCTGTCAGCGAAGGCGGCGGTGTCGATGGCTGGCGGGAAAAGAAAAATACGGTACCAATGGGTTGAGGGGGAGGAGGGGGCAGGAGGAGGAGGAGGTGAGGTTTGTGGAGGTGGGGGGATGGGTTAGGGGGTGGTGGGTTCGGGGGTAGGCTTCCACTTCCCGTGCCCCCCCACCTGCATTTAGCTCGCAATGTTTTCACCACCACTTCGGCTCGACTAACGGTTTTTTCCACCAGGGCTTGTCAGCAACTTGTATCATTATCACAACACACATTGGAATTCCTTTTTTTCCCACCTGCATTCGTCACCCCCGCCGCGCTCAGCCCCAGCCCCGCCAGCACCATCCCGCCCCCCACCGCACAGCCCCACAGCGGGCCGCTGAGCGACAGGTCCAGCAGCGCAGTGCGGTCGGGAACCCAGTTGCGCAGCTGGGGGGGGGGAGGAGGAGGAGGGGAGGAGGAGGAGGGTAAAAATAAAGAAACACTGACAAACTGGAGGAGGAGGAGGGGGGGAGGAGGAGGAGGAGGGGTGGGAGCATGGAGTGAAACAGACGCGCATCTTCCTCGCCAAACACAAATCCCTGCCATGCACCCATGTGGCATCCCAAGTTCCCAACGAACAGCGCCAGCAAACACTTTGTCTTTCCGCCCGCAACAACGACAATCATCCCAACGACCCAGCCGCTTCTCAGAAAGGAAAAACATCCAAGACTCTGGACATTGGGGCCAACCCTGCATTGCAAACCCCGCCACCCCTGCCCACTGCTCATTGCATACCCACCACCCCACCCCACCCCACCGCACCCACCCACCCGTGTTATGCTCCCGAAGCTGCCCAGCAATCCGAAGCCCGCGGGGATGTAGAAGGGCAGGTAGAGCTGCAGCCCGTGGCGCCGGGCTGCACCGTAGTGGCCCCAGTCGTGGGCGCCTGGCAACAGTGGGGAGATGGGGTCAATTTTTGGACCAATTCAAACCATATAATAACAAAAATAAAAAAGCAGGGATTCACAAGGCAGAGGGGGGGGCAGGCGGGGTAAAAAGTAAAGAGACACTGACGAGGCGGCAGGGGGGGGGGAGGAGTAAGGGAGGAGGAAGGGGGGTTGCGATATGGGTTGCGCGGCATGCATGCAACGCTTCTCCGACAGGGCTGCCAGCCATACCCCACACCCACCCAGTGCGAACCAGAAGGCCAGGACCGCGGGGAGCGCGTCCAGGAAGTCCTGGGAAGGGAGGGGGCGAGGCGTGAGGGGGCGAGGTGTGAGGGGAACATAGTAACCGGCGGCATGGCTTAGGAAAGGCGGGGGCAGGTCGAGGCAGGCAGGCCGGAGGCAGGCCGAGGCCGAGGCAGGCGGGCAAAGCACCCGGTGCACGGGTCAAAAGATGCAGGCCAGTGTGCATGCTAGCAGCCAACCGCCCTGGAAGCGGAGTATAGCAGGGAACATGGACACATCTTCTTAGCATGGCATAAACCACATGTGATGATGACCCGTGGGTCACTGACTGCTAGTGCTCGTCAGCTCCCACCGCTGACTGCCTCCCCTGGCTCCTGCCGCCAGGACCGTCGTCGGCCGTTCGCGGATGACACATCCGTCTACATCATCGGGAGGGCGCAGGAGAAGTTGTAGGAGGTCATGAACTGCTCCCTGAAGCTCGCTGGGGCTCTGCGGCGCGATGGTGATGGCGGAGGACTGCAGGCGCCAGAGCCGCGCCTTTGCCCGGTCGCCGCCGTCGTCCGGCATGGGGACACCGTTGATGCTAGCCAGGCAGCGGCCGCGGGCAGCCCAGCTCTTGTCGCAGGCCATGCGGTTAAGTGCGCACGGCACCGAGGTGGGATCAGCATACATCAGGCCGATCTGGACCGTCCAGATGCTGCGTCGCGTGGCATGGCGAGGAAACTACTGTATGCTGACAGGCTGCCTCGCAGGCGACTTACAGAGACTTTAGCTGGACGGTCCAGATCGGCCTGATGTATGCTGATCCCACCTCGGTGCCGTGCGCACTTAACCGCATGGCCTGCGACAAGAGCTGCCTGCCCCACATCAACGGCGTTCCCATGCCGGACGACAGTGGAGACCGGGCAAAGGCGCGGCTCCGGCGCCTGCAGTCAGCCACCGCCCTCGCGCTGCAGAGCCCCAGCGTCTCGGCGGGCTTCAGGGAGCAGTTCATGACTCCTACAACTTCCCCTGCTCCGTCCCGATACCGTAGTCTAGACGGATGCGTCATATCCGCGAACGGCCGACGATGGTCCTGGTGGCTGACTCCCTCCCTTGGCTCCCTCCCCCACCTGCTTGCTGATTTGCTGTGGCTCTCCCCCTAACCCTCCCTCACTCCCTCAGTCCCTCCCTCCCCTGGCTCCCTCCCCCCACCTGTCGGGATATGGAATTGGGACTCGTTGCTGCACATATCTTTTATTTCCCCCCACCTGCTTGCTGATCTGCGTTGCGGAAGGTGCGATGATGAACTCCAGCAGCGGCACCCCGGCTGCGTTGAAGGAGGTGACAGCGGTGGCGATCGCGAACAGGGAGGCCAGCCAGACCTGGGAAGCGGGGTGGTGGGTGAGGGGTTGGTGGGTGGGAAACAGGAAACGACTAACGAACCGAGGGGAGGGGGTGGAGGGGGTGAGGAGGACAAAACACAGGAGCGGCTTGTGAGTGTTTTGTGGCAGGGTTACAACCCGTTGGGAAGCACACCATACACATCTACTGCCCCATCTCAACCATTGCGTCCGCGCCCCCCCTCGCCCACCCCCACCTCGGTGAAGCGGCTGATCTTGGTGTCCAGTCCCGCACCCTGACGGGGTGGAAAGAAGAATCAGGGGAGGGCGTGAAGTGGAGAGAAGGGTGGAGAGAGGACCCAGGGCAGGGAGGGAAGGTACTACCGGTATCTTGAACGGGAAGAAACCTACAGGTAAGTTCCCTCTTTCCGTCATGTAACCCCCGCACACCCCCGCACCGTGGGCAGCACCACCACGGTTGGCTTCTCCTCCTTGTCCTCCAGCAGGAATAACTCGTAGGCACCGGAGAAGGCGGTCTGGGGGGAGGATAGGGAGGAGGAGGGAGGAGGAAAAGAGAGGAGGAAGTGGGGACACAGGCGGAGCGGGGTGGTCAAAGTGCCACTGATCTCCTCTCCAACCCGTCCTGTTCCGCCCCCCACCTCCGCCCCCCGTCCTGTTCCGCCCCCCACCTCCGCCCCCCGTCCTGTTCCGCCCCCCACCTCCGCCCCCCGTCCTGTTCCGCCCCCCACCTCCGCCCCCCGTCCTGTTCCGCCCCCCACCTCCGCCCCCCGTCCTGTTCCGCCCCCCACCTCCGCCCCCCGTCCTGTTCCGCCCCCCACCTCCGCCCCCCGTCCTGTTCCGCCCCCCACCTCCGCCCCCCGTCCTGTTCCGCCCCCCACCTCCGCCCCCCGTCCTGTTCCGCCCCCCACCTCCGCCCCCCGTCCTGTTCCGCCCCCCACCTCCGCCCCCCGTCCTGTTCCGCCCCCCACCTCCGCCCCCCGTCCTGTTCCGCCCCCCACCTCCGCCCCCCGTCCTGTTCCGCCCCCCACCTCCGCCCCCCGTCCTGTTCCGCCCCCGACCTCCGCCCCCCGTCCTGTTCCGCCCCCCACCTCCGCCCCCCGTCCTGTTCCGCCCCCCACCTCCGCCCCCCGTCCTGTTCCGCCCCCCACCTCCGCCCCCCATGGTGGAGCCTCGTCATTCAGTTTGTCAGTGTTTCTTTATTTTTACCTCCGCCCCCCGTCCTGTTCCGCCCCCCACCTCCGCCCCCCGTCCTGTTCCGCCCCCCACCTCCGCCCCCCGTCCTGTTCCGCCCCCCACCTCCGCCCCCGGCCTCCGCACCTGCAGCCGCTCCCGCATCTTGCGGTACGACACCGCCGGATCTCGTCCCCTCACATTACCCTTGAACACCGCGCCTTGGTGCCCGTAGTTGTCAACCGACGTAACCCAAAACGTGTCAAACCCGAACACGGCGGTCTTGAGCTTGTCGATTACCTCCTGGGGTGGGGAGGAGCGGGGATGGGGAGGGAGGCGGTGGGAGCGTTGCTGGGCGGGGTTTTGTTTAGTGACCGTGACAACCCGTGGTTTCTCTTTCCATAACCCTCCTCCTCCCACTCCCCACTCCCCACGCCATTCCAGCTTACCGTCTGGTTTGCACTCGCATTCAACCCTCCTTTGGGAATTCTTCCTTTTTTTCCCCACTTCGCCACTTCCGACCCCTACCTTGGGCAGTTGCACGTTGCCCTCGTTGTCAACAGTCAGCTGGGCAGGGGACTGCTGGGCAGGGGGCTCCCCGGGGGTTGAGGAGGTGGAGGAAGGGGGTGAGGTGGAGGAGGAGGTGGTGGGGGCGGGGGGCGTGTCGGGTACCTTGGGAGTGGGGGGAGCGGAGGGGGCGGAGGGGCCCTGCGGAAAGGGGGAAGCGAGAGCGGGCGAGAGGGGAAGAGGGAGAAAGGAAGGAACTGGGTTAAGGAGCATGTCAAGGATAAAAGCGGATGCGGGATCGGGAGGCAAGCAGGAAGGAAGGGAACGCGGGTGGGGGGTGTCGCGTGTGTGTTTCACACCGTACCTGTTGGTCGGGGTCCCCGCTAGCCGCTACCACAATGCCCCTGCGTGTTGTTGCATGATGCTCGAGTAACGGCTGCAGCAGCTGCGGAAGCGGATGCCGCCGGTGGCCGCTTTGAAGGAAGCTAGGAAGGGGTTTACTGGGGGTTGGGGGAGAGGGGATGAGGTGCAGGGCGGCAGGTCAGGAGGTCAAGGGTAGGGTGTTGTGGGTAGGTTTACTTGCTAGGGTGAGAAGGCAGGAACCTTGGCATAGGGCGGCTAAAATTTAAAGCGCGATGAAATTCCAGACAGGTTTGTGCAGCAGCGCGCGACACGACGATGGGCTTTAACCTGGCTTGCAAGGAACTGGGATGGGATGCACACCGCCAATGTCCGCACCTGGAACCGCGTATCGAGCATTTGCGGCTTGCTGAAGATGATGTATCGAAGGATATTGGCGAGTTTAGAGATCCCACATTCATGCGAGACATCGCAACCCGCGGCAACGGTCGACAAGGATTGCCGAATGCTTGCACCAGGGTAACCAACTTGGAGGGCAAGTTCAATATAGCCTTTTTCAATGGCTGCTATTACAAAAAGTGAAGACGGCCTAGCAATTGACGGATGCCGTGACCCTTCTGTCGTGGGTCTTTGTCAAAAAACAACACAACTAACGCGCTGACCCAAAAAGCACATAGCCTACCTATGCAGACTACGTATACACATACGAACAGCATGCTGGCACTAGGTTCCAACTCCTCGTGCTAACCGACAATTAGCAACACCACCAGGAGCTCACCTTTACACTTGGGAAGCCTAACATGGAACAGGAGGAATCAGTCGGTGTGAAATGCTTAGACAGTCAAGGTACGTGACAGCCTTTTAGGGATTCAGCCGCCGGGCATGCAGCGAAAAAGGAAGACTGGCCTTTGCTGTCGACGTATCCGCATCATATGCAATCCTCTCCGCACCCAAAAGTCGTGAGATTGTAACCTGCTTCATCTTCCCATCGTAGCCCCGGGCCAGGAGCCGTCGATGTCACCCATCCCCTTGCGATGATGTTTCCAATCCTGCTTACCCCTACCGCCACATCCAAAAGCTCCTCCCTCTCTCCATCCACCTCCTCTGCATTCTTACCCACCCACCCACCATCCGCCCAGTCAACGCATTTGCTGCTACCACCTCCCTGCCCTCCCCCCGACATCCCCCTCCCTCTCCCCCTCCCTCTCCCCTCACCCCTCAGCCTCCCCCCAGCAGCACCCCGCCTCCTCCTCCTCCCCGCCCTCCTCCCCCCCGCGCCCCGCTCCGCCCCCCGCCTGCCAGCAATGCGGCGCCGCTGCCGCCAAGTACCGCTGCCCCGCCTGCGACACCCGCAGCTGCAGCCTGGCCTGTGTACGGCAGCACAAGGCGGACAGCGGCTGCAGCGGGCAGCGGGACCGCACCGCCTTCGTGTCCATCAAGGACTTTGATGACCGGGCGCTGCTGTCAGGTGGGGATACGAGGAGGAGGAAGAGGAGCATGTTGTCGGGGTAGGGGGGTGGGGTGAAGGGCCGAGGGCACTGCTGCCAGGAAGGGGGGCGGCGGGGGGCTGCCCTCCTTGCCCCGCCTCGCCTATTTCTCCCAACCTCCTTCCTCCCTCCTCCCCATCCGCCCAGACTTCCGGCTGCTGGAGGAGATCGGTCGCGCCGACGACGTGGCCCGCCGCTGCCGCCCCCCCGCCGCCAAGCCCCAGCTGCCGCCCCACCTGGCCTCGCTGGTGTACCAGGCCTCCTGGAGGAGCGTAAAGCTGCTCATCATGCCGCCGGGTGGGGCGAAGGGGTAGGAAGGGGATCAAAGAAAGAAGCGGGTCAAAGAAAGAAGCGGGTCAAAAGGGGGCGGGGAAAGAAGCGAGTGAAAGACCAGACCATGTACCGTAGGGAGGTAGGATAGTGACCACACCTCCACAAATTGGGGCAAGGTCAAACCTCCTCCCCATCCTGCCCCCACCCTGCCCCCATCCTGCCCCCGCCCTGCAAGTAATTTGAGATGCGTGTTATTAGTGCCTCCGAATGCGCTCACTGCATGAGTCGGGATATGGGATTGGGACTTAGTTGTTTGCATTTCTTATATAATTTTTGCCCCCGCCCTGCCTCCGCTGCAGGCATGGCCAAGCGGCGCGCCAACACCAGCCGCTACGATGCGCGCAACCGAACCATGTGGTGGAGACTGGAGTGGCGCTTCCCGGGGGCAGCGGGGGCGGGAGGGGGCTTGGAGGCGGTAGATGAGCGGGTGGACGAGCATGCGGTGGTGGGGGAGGTGAGGTGGGGCGGAGCGGGTGGGGGGAGGTGAGGGTGGGGGGGCGGGGTGGCTAGAGGGAAATGAGAAGTGTGCGCTGTCTCTTCAACACCGGCCCTGCGGGTTTGATACCGCTAGCTGGGGCGGGGTTGGCGCATGTGATGGCACTGCGGACAAACACGCCAGCCCATGCAAGGGTCTTTGCTCGCCCCCCAGGAGCTCCTGTCATCTTGTTTGCCAGCCTCATTGTCATTCTTTCTCACCGGGTATCCTTCTTTCCCCTCCCTCCCTCCCTCCCTCCCCACCCGCAATGCACTCACTGCATGAGTCGGGATATGGGATTGGGACTTTAGTTGTTTGCATTTCTTATATAATTTTCCTCCCCACCCGCCCCCACCCCGCGCAGGTTCTGTCCGCCCACCTGCGCCCCCCCTCGCCGCACTACATCCCGCTGCGCCCCTACGCGCGAGCGGGGCTGGGGGCGCTGCGGGTGTTCATGCGCAAGGAGAAGACACCGGTGAGGGGAGGGAGGAGGCGGGGAGAGGGGAGGGGAGGAGGGAACAGAGGCGGGAGGATGAGGCGGGAGAAGGGAGGAGAAGGAGGAGGCGGCCCTGCTGCGTGAGGGGCCTTGCATGTTGCCAGGACCAGACCGCTTGTGGGTAACGTGACCTGGACCATGGCCAGCATGTCCCCACACACCTCTTCAACCCGGCCCCTCCTTCCTCACAACCTGCCCCTCCTTCTGTGCCCCCCGTCAGGCCAACCAGCCCGCCTACTTCCCCATCGACCCCACCCAGTCGCTCGCCTCGCAGCTCGCCTCGCGCACCATCATCGAGTTCCCCGTCTTCATCGTGGCCCTACCGCATGAGGTGGACCAGTACCCGCCGCCACCGCTGCTGCAGCTGCCGCAGCCAGCACAGCAACAACAACAGCAACAACAGCAGCAGCAACAGCAGCACAACCAGCACCAGCACCAACCGGTTGCAGTGACCCATGGGTCAGACGCAGCAGCGCAACCGCGGGGACCGGGTCCGCACCCACATGCGCACCCGCCCCCGCAGCCGCCGCCACCCCGGCGACCTCCGCAGCAGCAGCACCCCCTGCATCCGCAGCAGCAGCCCCTGCCTGCACAACACCAGCAGCCCCTGCCGCAGCAACCCCAACAGGGTGCTGTGTCAGGGCCCCAAGCACCCCAGCTGCGAGCACAGGGCCCACTGGCTCCCCACTGGGTGCCTCATCCTTCGCTGGTGCCTCCTCAGCTGGTGCCTCCCGGGTCCGCAGCCCCTGCGGCCGCGGGGTCACTGGGTGGGTTCCGTGGGGAGGAGGAGGCGGCCCTGCCCCCCAGCAAGCGGGCGAGGGTGGTGGAGGGCGAGAGCAAGGTGGAGCAGCAGCAGCAGCAGCAGCAGCAGCAGGGGCATGTGGAGCAGCAATGGGGCGATGAGAATGAGATTGAAATTGGGGAGGAGGAGCAGGAGGAGGAGCAGGAGGGGGCTGGGGAAGGGACAGGGGGCGAGGGCGTAGGGCAAGGGGCGGCGGCAGGGGTAGGAGGTGGAGGGAGAGGGTCAGACGGAGGCGGTGGCTGCAGTGGCGGTGGTAGTGGTGGCAATGATGGAGGAGGAGGCGGAGGAGGGGAGGTCGCTGATGGTAACGAGATCGTGTTGGAGGAGGTGGATGACGTGCTGGAGGGTTGAGGGGTGGGCCGCGAGGTGGTGGCCCATGGGTCATCCGGCAGGAGCTCTGGCGAGGGGAGGAAGAGCCGCTGCTTCCGAAGATAGCTTTTAGGTTACGGGTAGGCTAGGTTCCGTGGGTATCGGAGGAGGTGTCAGGGGGATGCAGGAAAACCTGCGCGATTGCTTTCCAAGCTCGCACATGGAGGGTGCGGCTCTCGCCCTCCGCTGCACCCTCTGCTGCCCCCGCCTGCTGCTTCTGAGAGTCGGGCCGGTTCAGATCCTGGGTCGAGCTTGTTTGGACATATAGGCTCCTCATCTTTATTACCCGCATGCTGCTCTCTACGAAGCAGCTACGATGCTACCGGACCGATATGCGGCACCGGGGGTACAGTCCATAAGGTGTAAGCGTTCGGCAGGGTGAGCAGTGCGCCCTGCCTCTTCAGGCACACGATTGGAAAAGGGAAGGCGGCTGCTCGGGGCGTGGGCTGTGGGCATGTACGTTTCGGCCAATAGCCATTGCCAGAGGCCCTGCCTGAAATGTTGCCTATGTCTGGCATTGCAGGACATGTGCTAACCGTTCAGTCGTACTGGATGTACGCGCAAGGTAAACAGTTGACGCAGGGTTGGTGATACCAACAGCTGCATTCAACAATGCTCGCTTACTTGATACTATAGCCTGCCTACCTTGACAAAATGGTGGCAACGCACCAGATGCTGCACACATCGCAGCGGACACTATGCCCGAAAGCATTTACTGATCGGCGAACACGTCTTAGATCAACATTTGCTCAACGCCCGGACAATGCAACTGATGGACCTTGCGCAAGCGGTCGTGCCGCCGACAGCCCAGGGCTTGCAAGCTTGTCGCAAGACCAGCTCGCACAATTAGGGAGCGCTTCAAAGCTCATAGCTGCAAGCGTAATTGTTTACCATGTCGCTTTCAGCAGCAGCGCTGCTCGTGCTGGGGACCGGCCATGGAAGCCTCGTCGGCATCATCGACGAATTGGAGAGCGTTTCACCAATACTTGGGCGGAAGAGCTTGTCGAGGTAAGTTATGCTAATCTAAGCTATTATCCTTTGGAGGCCTGTGGACCATGGATGGGATCGCGTGTTGCCTCATTCTCGTGGATAGCCGCATACCCTGTAGTTCGTGTTAATCAGTATGAGGCACGGTCTCTATGTCATACGGTTTTTGGTTATTAAGCCTTGGATCCCAGATACGCTGCTTTGACCGATCGATGTGCAACCCCTTTATCCGCCATTGCACCACAACAACAGGAGCAGGAGGGTGCCCGCGAGAAGCAGCATGAGGCGGCGCGGCTGGCCAGGCTGCGGCTTGCAGAGCAGCGGGAGGTGCGAAGGGAGGAGGGGCTTGGGCAGCATGGGGATGGATGAGGTGTCGGGGTTGCATGGGTGCTTGGCTAATCCGTTCCAAAGACCTGCGAGCCTGCATATGGGTAGGGGTGAAAGGAACAGTCAACGAGGGCTCCTTGTACGCCTCCCTCGTCCTTTGACCCACTGCGCACCTAACACCTCACCCACCCCCCTGGCCAGGCGGACCAGCGGCGAATCCGGGAGGAGGAGGAAGCCATGAAGCGGCGAGCGCAGGAGGTAGGGTGCTCGCTACCTGTGCAGTGCAATGCAGTACAGTGTACGGGTTGAGCGGTTGACTACCGGTATCGACCGGTATCGACCTGCCTTTGGGGGAATGTGATGGGGGACCGTTGGGCGTAGGAGGTGGGGTGCACAGTGCAGTGCAGCGCACGAGCCCCGGGGGCAGGACCCTTCCTTAACGCCTCTCCGACCCTCCCCATCCCGACCTCACCTTCCCTTTTCCCCCTCCTCCCCCTCCTCCTCCTCCTCCATATCCCTAGATCCTGATCAAGCAACACGAGGCCGCACGATCCAACGGCCTCCCATTCAAGATCCTCCTCCCCGGCAGCTCAACCGACGTCGCGCCGCTGGTCGTCTGGATCGCACTCGGCACCGCACTCGCCGTCGCGTATCGCTCGCAACTCGGCGAATGGCTGCGAAGCGGCGGCCGACGACGCAAATCCGCCGGCGGCAAATGGGTGTACGACAGATCACTCGGCGGCCGCAAAGTCTGGGTTCCCGATAGCTCCTCATTCGGCGGTCCGACGTCAGCCGTAAGCCTGTCGGAGAAAGCCGGTCGCTCGCTAAAAGACGAGGAATTCGAACGGTTGGCCTCATTCGCCGCCGCCGCTCGTACCGGCGGCTCGTCAACTTCCTCCTCGACCTCTTCCCCATCAGGGTCGTCGTCATTAACATCATCTTCTGATGCGGCGGCGACAGAACCGCCTGCGTGGTGGGATCCGCCGCCAGTGTTGTACGCGCCCGCTGCAGTAAAGGCGGCGCGAGCGGAGGAAGCAGCGCGGTTGCTATCCCGACTCGAGTCCGCCAAAGTGTCTGGACGGGACTACGAACTAGCAGACATTCGCGCACTGAGGCGCGCGTGTCAGGAGGGCCATGTGAGTGTAAAACCCAAGACGGTTGGCGGTCGCGACGCGATCTTCCGCGCCGCCGTCGAGGCGGCGGTGGCGGCGGCGCAGTCGCGTAACGCCTCGTCGCTCGACGACGCGAGCCCCGGTCGGTGGGTCAGTGCGGTGGCGACGGATCTGGGAATGGAGCTGCAGCGGGCGGTGGGGGTGGCGGCGGCGGTGGTGGCGGGTGCGGCGAGGGCGAGGTTGCTGGAGGTGAGTGGGATCTGGGGGGGGGGGCGAGTGGGTAGCGGGCAGGGGGCGGGAGCCGGATGGAGCTGGGAAGAGGAGAGGTTGCCTCTCCTAAACACATGAGCAGGGGGTTAAGGTGTGCAATCGAACATGCGTCTTCGGGAACAGCGACCCTAACAAGCGGTTTCTGGTTCCTCCGCCTGGTTTGGAGGAGGGTTTGGGGTTCTCTTATCTCTCTCTGATGAGTCCCTCTCCTCTCCCCCCTCCCCCTCTTCCCCTCTTCCCTCCCAGGCTGTCAGCGGGCTGCGAGGCGGCGACTCCTCCTCCGCGCTGCTGGCCCTGGCGCGTCTGGGTGCGCTGCTGGAGGGGCTGCCGGTGCTGCAGCAAGGAGCGCCGCAGGTGTGTATGGGGGGGGGGCATGGGGGACGGCGGGGCCAGGTGGGGGCTGCTTGGGGGCTAACTGGGGCAGGAAGGGTGTTCCTTGGCACTCCCCTTGCAAGCATGTTGCACACATCGCTCCCCTTGCAAGCATGTAGCATACATCGCTCCCCTTGCAAGCATGTTGCACACATCGCTCCCTTCTAACCCCTCTCTCCTTGTCCCTCCACGCCTTCCCTACCACCCCCCACGCTTCCTGCCCTCCCCACCCCACCAACACCAGGTCGAGGCGGTGGCCTCCTCTCTACGCGACCGCAGCACCCCCGCCGAGCGGCAGCTGCTGTTCAGCCTGCTGGCGCAGCTGGTGGAGGGGGCGGGCGGGCAGGCGGTGGGGGCGGAGCTGCTGGGGTTTGAGGCGGAGGGGGTGATGGCGGCGCAGCGGGAGGCGATGAAGCGGGCGGCGGCGGAGGAGGAGATGGAGGCGGAGGGGGCGGGGCGGTAGGGGGAGAGGGAAAGGGAGAGCAGGGTTGGAAGAGGGGCAGGAGGAGGTGGATTGATGGGTGGGAGTGGTGGTGGGTCAAGAGGAAACAGCTAACTGACCGTGTGATAAGGCATCATCATGGTTTGCAACATGCGAGCCAGCCCGACCCGCCCAGCTCGAAGTAGCCAAGCCAGTAGGTTGTAGTGGTGGGGGGTGTGGGGATGATAGCAAGGGGCGAGGCAGGGGGTTGGGAATGTGTGGAATGTGGCGGCGGGGAAGGTAGGGAAGAGGAGGCGAGGTGAGCGAGAAGGAGGCTGGAAGGCAAGGAAGGAGGCTTGTTGTTGGAAAAATGCGTACCGTGGTGTAGCGTGCAGAGAAGAGAAGAATATGAAATGAGCATGGAACAACGGAGTCGAGGGAAGTTCGTCTGCTTGGGGCTCGTGTCATGTGGTGCTTGGGACATGTCAGGACGGCGCATGAGGGCGACACTTTTCTTGGTGCGGTCGTTTATGCTCTGGAGGATGTGTTTGGGGTTAAGTTGGTTGTCGTACCGCCCTGGCTATTGGGCCATATGCCAGCAGCCCATTGGCAGACATGCATGTGATGTTGGGAACTTTAACTTCTTGACGGAAACGAGCGCCGCAAAGGTGGGCCTGTGTAATGGGGAGTTACTTTTGTTGTCGACTTAGCGAGGGCACGTGATTTGGCTTTGGAAGCTGGGGTGCAACGGGATGCTTGCGTACGGCGCTCGTATAAGGCCAGGAAAGCCGACATGCTTTGCCGCTTGCATCGACTACGCACACTTTAACTATGAAGCTGAATCTTAAGAGCTGTTCAGACCCAATATTACGCGGCTTGCACCTTTCCTTAGTATTACGACAACAGCTGTCGACTACACCGTCGTCAGCCGCTGCATTTTGCAGCCACACTCTTGTGCCTTATTGCTAGCTGCTTAATACACTGGCTTAAAGACGACTAGATTAGAGCTGGGATATGGGATTGGGGTTGTTATTCAAGGGGTCTGTCGCCCCTGCTGCTGAGGACGACCCGGAAGCGCTTGCAGAGGAACACGAGCGCCGTGGTTTGACCGCTTGGGTGAGTATAACACAAGGGATTACTTTGTTCACTTACCTCTAAATAGGTACATATGGCAAGGCTCGTGTAGCTGCGCTAAAGCCATGACCCTCGGCGTTGACTGGAATCTTGCATTGCTTGCCTGCAGGTGAAGAGGAACCCCGCACTATCTATTGCTGGCATTGTCTTGCTTGTCTTGGGCATAATTGCGGCGGTAGTGGTTCCTGTCACTTGTTCTCTTCATGGATGCCCACCTAAGCAACCAGAGGTACGTTATTGGAGCCAGAAGAAAAGACTATGCGATCGAACACACTGAACAGAAGGTTAACGTGTCCCGTATTGCTCTATGCGAATAGGCCTTCGGGGTTGCCGCTTTATAACTCCTCATTACCGGTACATCCCGAATCCTACTTTACACCGAATATCTATGTCGTGAACCCATGCATGTACGCAGGCTGCCAAAAGCCCCCTCTACGACGGGGCGCCACTCCGTCTGGTCGCTGCGTTCCTCGATGACAAAGATGTCTTGGACTTCGTCCCAGCCATCTTGCAACAATATACGTCGCGGGTTAAAATGGAGCTGTCAAACCTCCAAATTTTAGAAGCACTGGACGAAAGTGTGCTGGAAATTGTGCTTGCGGAGGTAAAGAAGTACTCAGGTAGGGTAACCGCATAAGGTAACCGCGCCGTACTCCTCTTTCCCGCGTTTTCCGTTTGCTTAATCTAGCAACACTCGAAAACGGTCGCTCCTGATTCCCTTTCGCCTTCATATTACAGGTCTGGATTTTGTGGTACGGGATTTCATCTTGCGAGCTCCCAACAGCTCGACGACTGCGCGCGCAGCAAAAGACAGCAGCAGCACCGCTTTGGACGATGCAACTGCGGACTCCAACTCCAGCAGCAGCAGCAGCAGTCCTCCATCGGACGAATCCACCAGCGCAACAAATAACAGCAGCAGCAGCAACTTACGCCGGTACGACACATGCTCACATGCAACCTAAGGGGGGCCTTATCCATCAACCCGCCGCTCACCCTCACGCATCCCCGCATCACTTAAGTCTCCTCCCTCCTACCCTTCCCTTTCCCCGCCCTCCAACCTTAGCAGTCGCCTGCAAGCTACAACCACTGCAACCACCACCACAACCACCACCACCAACTACTCTCTGAACGACCCGGGCCTGACACTCAACTCCAGTTGGTGGTTCACTCGCATCAATGTGACCGGTGCCTGGAGCCAGCTGGGGCTGAGCACCTCCGCGCCCCAAACACGCAGTGAGTGAGCGGGTCTGGCGGGCGGAGGGGGCATGGGGGGGGGACAAGGGACAGGGAACCCAACTGCCGGCTGGCAGGGCAGGGGGGGCCAGGGTTGGGGCAGGCAGGGAGGGAGGAGAAGGGGGCATGCAGGGAGGGAGGGAGCTGGGGGCACTTCGTTAGCTGGGAGCTGGTCGTCCCGCGGGTTCGGCCGCAGGGTCATTTGGCTGGGCGGCTGTTGGCTGGCTGGCTGGCGGGGGAAGCGTCAGTCAGCAGAAGGGGCTTGCGAGAGGCCTTGCCTTGCCTTGCCTTGCCTGCTTTCTTCAAGCTGCAGATCTCCTTTTCAACCCACCCTCCTCCTCGTCCCCGTGCCTTCTCCTCCTTCAAACCCAATCCACCACCTCCCAGCCAGCGATGTCGTCATTGCCGTCACCGACAGCGGCGCCCTGGTAACCCACCCCGACCTCACCTCCTCCTGGTGGGTGAACCCCGGCGAGACGGACGGAGACCTCCGTGACAACGATGGAAACGGCTTCATTGATGATGTGTACGGCGCTTGCTTCTCAACCAAGCAGTGTTCGCCCACTTACACGGGCAGCAACGTGTCACGATGCGGCATAGGGCCCTCCACAGCGGCTTGGAATGGAGTGACGGATAAGATTGGACATGGGACGAAGATTGCTGGGTTGATTGGCGCGCGGCCGAAGAACGGGATTGGTGTAGCGGGTGTAGCGCCGAACTTGAGACAGATGATTCTCAAGGTAAGTGGGAGGAGAGGCTTGGGTTGTGAAAGGAAACATGAAGTGAGGTGGGGCATGTGGGGTAGGATATGTTTGGAGTGGGGGGCAGGGAAGCATGCCGAGAGGGAAAGGTTCGGGGCAGAACAGTTATAGCGACATGCAGGGGTCAAACTCTTGACCCGCCCCCGGGTGTACCCCACCTGCCTTACCCAACACCGGTGTCACCTCCCCCCACTCCCCGTGTGTATTTTCCCTTTTTATCCTTTTTCCCTTCCATGCGTGTGTATACAGGTTACGGACGAGACAATCGACCCGGCCAACCCGCCGTACGCCTACAGCGATGTCGTACGGGCGGTGGATTACGCGTACGGCAAGGGGGCGCGGATCTTCTCCATGAGCTTCGGCAACGACGCGAAATATAGCATGAACGTGCGTGGCTGGAGGGATGGATGGGTGTGTTGGGGTTTGTCGTACATGGGTGCTGCTGCTAGGGGAGCAGTGGGGAACGGAGCTGGGTGATGCTGGGGGGTATAGCAGGCTACATACAGGAAACTGCGAACCGCTCATTAATTCAGTAACAGTAACATGCCAACGGTTCCATGGGAGGAAACTGCGGAATGCTCATTATTCAGTAAGAATAGCAACCCGCGTCAGTTGGTCCCCTCAAGGCTAAAGAGACCACATGGACCCAACGAAGGGGTATAGCGTTGGGACTTGGGAGTAACGCGCGCCTGTCAACCTGCCTCATCCCCCCATTCCCTTTCCCTCGTTTCCTCCTCCCCCCAGCTCGTGAACAAGCCTGCCCTGGACGCTGCTGCCTCCGCTTACCGCAACCTCTTTAACCGCTACAACAACGCGCTTTTCGTGGCGGCTGCGGGTGAGAGGGAGGGTGCGGGTGCAGGGGCGCACGGCACCTGCAGGGGAAGGGACGGGCGGGCGGCGGAAAGGGTGCGGGGTGGGCTGGGGGTAAGCCACCTGAGCCCAGGTGAAGCGCTGACTTCAGTGTTATACATTGGTTTCCTTAAAACCCCCCGTTCCTTTCCTCCCGTCCCCTTTCCCCTCCCTCAAAACTTCCGCGGCCAAGGCAACGAGTGGACCAACCTTGACTCCTGGCGCGCCGCCAACTACACCTACTCCCCCTGCATGGTCGACACCCCCAACACGCTGTGTGTGGGCGGCACGGCGGCGCCCGACGCGCTGTTCTACAGCCTGGTGCTGGGGCAGCAGGTGGGAACCAACTGGGGTCCCACAACCGTGGATCTGGCTGCGCCGGCGGCCAACATCTACACCACCGACCTGAGCTACAGTGAGTCGTGCTTGTGCGTGCGTGTTCGGCGCAGGAACGGGCGCGTGGGGCGTGTGGGGGAAACAGTGCCCGCCTTCCAGCGGTGGGAATCAAGAGATTTGGGGCGGACTTAGGAGGTGTGTACTGGGAGGTCCTTCTCTAGCCCCGTCATCCCTCCCTTCCCTCCCCCCTCCCCTTCCCCTTCCCGTTCTTGGTCCCGTTCCCGCCCCCAGGCAACTACTACAGCACGGTGAACGGCACCTCCTTCTCTGCACCCATCACCGCGGCGGTGGCGGGACTGGTGCTGGCGGCGCTGGGGGGGCAGAGGTGGGGGGAGGGGGGCGGGAGGGGAGTGTGTGTGTGTTTTTGGGGGGGAAAGGGGTCTGAGAGAAACCCCAACCCAATCGGGAGTTAGTAGTAAAGCCGTGCGGGTGTTGGTGGCTGTTGAAGGCGCTGGCAGCGTGGGTGCGAGGTGATGGCTGCAGTGTTGGCTGCAGTGGGGGCGCATGCAGCATGGGGGGCCGGGTAGCGTGGGGTAGGGTGCATGCCGCGAGACAAGTGCCAGCGGATACTTATGCCATCGGACAACAAGGTCAACAACCTCAACCATACCACAACAACCTCATCATCATGCTGGCCTATCGCCCCAAATTGAGAAAGCCCCATGAACCCCCCCACCCCTATCCATGCAGCCGAGCCACCTCCACCACGCCGCTGCAGATCAAGAACATCCTGCTCAGCAGCGGAGACACCGTGCCCGCACTGCAGGTGGGGGGAGAGGGGAGCGAAGGGATGGGGGAAGAAGGATATAAGACCAAATCCACACAGGCAGAGCAGCAGGGAGCTGGGTGGAGAGGGGCTTGATGGCTGTGCTGGGGTGGGGGGATGGGGACGTACTGTAACATGTGAAAGCACACATCGGCTAGCGAGCCGGGCTGCGGATGTGGGTCATGGATGAAGTGTTGATGGGGCTGGTGGCTGGTGGCAAGGCAGTGGGGCTTTTTGGGTGGTGCGGCCTGCGGAGGGGCCGCAGAGACACGCCCTGCAGCAGCTGCCAGGCACAGCAGGCATCTCATTCCAGGCACACCAGGCTTGTCCACAGAACTCCATCAGCGCCACTCCAACTGGCCGCCCTGTTCCTCTCCTCCCCCTCTGGCCCTGCCGTACCCGCCCTCCTGCCCCTCCCCCTTCCCCCTCAGGGTATGTTCCGAAGCGCTCGGCGGCTGAATGCGGGCAATGCGGTGGCAGCTGCGCTGACCCTGGCGGCAACCAACCGCACAGGTAGGAGGGCGGTAGCAGCGGTAGGGGGGGTGGGGGGATGGCAGCAGCAGCAGCAGCGTGGGTGGCGGCGGTGGTCTGACATCTGTGCTAGCATGCGGCTTGCAGCTTGCTTCGACGAGTCAACACGGCCTCTGGTCGCCACTACCGTATCGTTACCAGCTTGACCAGTCTTGCTAAGCTATGTTACTTTTAGTACAAATCCCCCCCCTCCCTCTCGCTCCCCACACCTCCACCCCCCGCCTCAGTCCTCAAGATGGATCGCACCGTGTCCAGCCTCAACGCCAGTGTGGCGCTCCAGGGCTGGGAGTACTACTGGTGGAGTGGCACAGCGAGTGACGCCAGCTTTGACGCGTTCGGCTCGGACTGGACCTTCATTGACTACTACGTGCGGGTGAGAGGAGGGGTGGAAAGGAGGAAACTGATGTTCTGAGGGGAGGGGAGGGGCGGTGGCGGTGGCGTGGGCGACAGTGGGGAGGAGTGGGCCTCCTTGCACAAGGGGATCGCACGCAACGGGCCACTGTAGGTGTTGGGAGTGTGGGGAGCACAGCAGCGGGAACGGCATGTGTAGGGTACAGTAAGAGCCGCCCCCTTTCCCTCTTAACCTTCAGTTCTAATCCTCCACTTTCGTTCTTAGCATGGCTGCCCCTTCTCCCAACCCTCCTTCCTCCCTCGCCCTTTCCCTTTCCCTCCCAACCCCAAACCTCCTCGCAAAAACCCAACCACAACAACAACAGGGCCAGCTCAATTCCAACTTCAACGTGTTCCGCTACGGCTCCCAGACCTTCACACTCGCCACCGCCCTCGTCCGGATCGACACCCCGGGGGTGGTCAGCCTGCAAGCGCGCACCTCCGCCATCGACCCCACCCGCTGGCAGCTGAGCCTGGGCGAGAACGTTATGCTGTGGAAGTGGGCCAACAGCAGCTTTGGCAGCGTGGATGTGCTGTTCCCGTCCGCTGGTGGGTGGCACACACGCACACGCACATGCAAAACACATACGTGCGTACCCACTTCCCCCGAGCCCCGGGGGCATGATGCTCCCGAAACCCACCCCCACCTCATCACTCCCCATCCCCCACCTCCCCCCAGGCTACTACAACATGACATTGCGGCTGTACTGCGAATACGGCACCACCATCAACCTGCTATGGCAGCTGCCGGGCGCCTCCAGCTTCACCTCGCCCTCCATCTTCTGGGTCGTGCACGTGAGTGAGGGTTGGGGCAGGTTGGGGAGAGGAAAAAAGGGAGCAGAAACAGCCGTGCTGTGAATGAATGTGACAACAACCCTTGGTGAAAGTCCGTGCGCTGCTGAGGGCATGGTTCTGGAAGCTGTGTTAACGGATCACCGTTGCTTTCGGTCTACGGCCTATGTGACCCACGGGTCATTAGCAATCACCCTGCGACCGAACGACCATTGAAAGATGAGAACGCACCGCCCCCTTTAACCGCACGCAGGAGGACCCCCCGAGTAGCCGATACTACGACCCAGGGGTCACTCCCAGGTAAGCAAGGAGGAGGGTCGCCTTGTCCGTTCTGGAGGGTCAGGAAAGGCCAAACCATAGGCAATTACGAGTTAGGGCAAAACAATGGGGGACGGAATCGCAGGTACCGAACCTGTGGACTTACTCTCGGAAGTCTGTTGGGGCTAGGAACCGGGTCAGTTTACTACCTGTTGCCTCCGATATGGAGGGTTACACATAGTTTGGTGAATGAAATTATGTTCATGCAACCCTAACTACCAACCATCCAATCCCAACAAACCCACTCAGGCCGGCCCTCTGGCACGTTGTGTGGAACGAGGCCTCCGACTTTGACGACTTCTCGGCTTCTGGCAATCGAGGCTACTTCGTCCTGAACAGCAACCCGCAGCTATACCGCGACGCACAAGCCACCGTGACAGATTTCTCGTTCACTACCGGCACTGATGTGAGGCGCTGGGAAGGGCGTTTGTAGGGGGTGGGCGGGTGCTTGGGTGTGATGGAAGGTGTGCTTTTAAGGGTGCAGTGCGGGAGAGGGGCGGTTATTTCAGGAGGGCATGGTAGACTGTTCTAGAAGGCCATAACAGTGCGTGCTTGTTCCCTCTTCATCGGTATTTCTTGCGCCAACCTTTTTATATTAAACTTCAAAACCAACTGTTTTTGTGTGTCTTGGTCCGAATTGCGTCCCCCGCTGCAGCTGCGCAACGCATTGTACGGCACCAACGGTGCGCCCTCCAACAACCAAACCGTTGTGTACGGCTACGCGCGCGCCAACCTTCGACCGCTCAACTTCTCTTCGGGCATCAGTTTCCGCATGCAGGGCCCCCACACGCGGCTGTACATTAACGGCCAAGGCATTTTCGACTTGCAGTCCGACTCGCAGCTGCAGACCGTCACGCCCTGCGTGACACTACGGAACGGCACAGCGCATGAAATCTACTTCTACTTTGCTGCAAGGGTGCGTGTTGTTGTTGTTGTTGGGGTGCGTGTGTGTGGTAACAAAACTGGCCACGTGCTGCTGCGGCCTATGTGTGTCCACCCCTGTTGTGAGCAGTGTGTTTTAACTGACACCACCATGTGCCATGGGTGCTTTGGATGTCTCGGTGAAATATTGTCCCGAGTGCAACCGTATTTTATAAAATCCAGAGTTGAGCTTGCTGCACTCGCTACTCTTACCTTTCCTCCGCTCCCTCTCCCTTCCCTTGGTCTTATTCTGCTTATCCTATCTCAATCCCCTTCCCCTGCCCCTCCCACTAGGTCAACTCAAGTAACCCGGTGGGCCTCACCTGGGCCTCCTGCACCGCCTCCAGCGTACCCAGCGGGAACAGCGGAGCATACGCCTCCATGACCTCGAGGTGCGATTGGGGATAGATGATGGGAATGGAGGAGCGCCTTCGGGACGGCTTTGGGCGCACGATGGGAGATGGGCTCTTGCTGCAGCTGCTGCCATCAGCATGTGTTTTCTCTCCTTCGTGCCCTTTTCCGTCTCCATGGCTAGCCTGAGCCCTGCCAGCTCCAAGCCTCAAGCCATCCCCTCCAAACACGTATGCTTACTCCCCGTTCCCACCATCAAACCTTCTGCTGTACCCTCCACTCCATATGCGACCATATCTATCTCCAACCCCGCAGCCTTGCCACCAACTTCTTCTGGCAACCCACCAACATCACCAGCCTGCCCCGCGGCTTCCGATGCGACGCCTGGCCCGCCAACCTCACCGTCAGCGCAGTAGGTACGACACCCCAGTACGGCACCCCTGCCAAGCTGACGTGGATGTACCCCCGAGACTGCCCGGCGGCCAACAGAGTCACCAGCGGTAGCGTTAGCGAGTGTAGAATGGCGACGGTGCTTCAAACGCTCTTTCCGAACATCACTTGGAACGTGTGGAGCATTCGTTGCTTCACCTACTACGCAGCAAGCATTTCCGGCGGTAAGAGTCGCGCTCAGAACCTGGGAGGACCTGTGTTCCAGCACTTGGCTGGGGTTCGAGTGTACGAACAGTGGGGAGACGGGCTCAGCTTTGCCAGCATGGCTCCTGCGAAAACGCGGTTTGGGTCGGTGCTGTATCAGTTGTATGTGATTGAGTGGGTTGCCATGGGCCAGATGTGGAATCGGCTGGCGGGGCAGACGGTGTGGGACGGGACGCTGGATGCGGGGAATAGCTCATCAATCCTGACCACGAACTCGAATGCCATGATTCTTCCGGCTGCGGCGCTTGCGCCCATGAGCTGGCAGGATGTGACCAGTGTGTGAGGAGGTAGAGGGGGCAGAGGAGGAGGTAGAAAGAGAATGTGCTTTTTGGGGAAGAAGAAAAGGGGGTAGGAAAGGAGGGGGTAAAGATGGGAGTTTGTGCAGTGGATGGATTAAGAAGGCGATACGGGTGATGGAAGGCGTGTGGTAAGGAGTATGAGACGTGGGCTTGGGGAAGCTTTGATGAGGGAGATGTGCCATAGGGAGTGGTTTAGAGGAGGCACAAAGCAGCTGCGATGGTGTGATAAAATGTGATCTGTGACGTCGCATGGGTTGTACATAAAGTTCATTTACAGAGGGGAAGCAGTACATATAATGCGGTGCAGCGCGTGGTGGTGCCTCTAAACCGCTGTATAGCAGTAACATGGGATATAGGTTTGGTAAGGATTGTATGTGTGTGCGCCGCACATACACACGTTAAGGCGCTGAAAAGTACCGTATGACGATTTTGAGGATGTGAAGGACAAGGGGCTGCAGCGACATGGGGCTCACCAGCGGAATTCCGTGCCGTGTGGAGGTTACGGCGCCGCTGAGATGAGATTCTGCACGGCCGTCTACAGCATGACCGTACATATGCCATAGTTAAACACAAGCACAATGTAAGCTCTTAGAGGAGGATGAGATGTGTGCATGCATGGCTTTTTCCTGCCGCCATCGTCTTTGTTGACGGTTGTTGCCTGGCTGTTGTCGCTCCTAGGGAACGCTCAGCCCTTGCACCGCATGTGCTTGGAACCGGTAAACATTAATTGATTACAGATTGGTAACAAGTTGGTGACTTTGGGCCTGCTCAGGCTCCTAGATTTTGTGCCTATCGCGGTCCTCTGCTGTGTTGCGATCTAGGAGGGGTCCGTAGGCATGCATTTGTACATCTATGATTTGCGGCGTGCGCATAGGGGTTCGAGGCTCAGCGTGCCTGGATCCTTAAACAGATATGGGTACGCCGAAGAGGACGTGCCAAGAGATTATCCTCGGCTGTGCCGGCGTTATTTATCCTCTTGGATCAGGGCTGGCGGTATCCAGCCCTGCTGCTACCTCCAATGTTTGTTCCTGCTTTCACGGCCCCCTAACCAGATGCTCAATGGATGCCGGTTCTTAACATTCGTTCTTTTTGCCTTATGTTGCTCATATAATGGCGGACCGTCTCTCGTGCGGGCCTGTGCTGTAGCTTGTTTTACATCAAGAACTGAATGGGCAGGGAGGTGACCCATGGGACATCCCTGGTGCGATTCTCATATAACAACCCGCCCTTGCAAGTTGCAACCGAGAATCATGTTGTGAGGCCCCATCGCTGCTTGTTCGCCGCTATCCTGCTACAAGGCTAGTCCCAAGCAACCCCTGCTGGTTCCTCTGCCTTGCATTGAAGAACGGGAGCATGCAGGATTTGGGCATGCACGACGGCTTGGCTGGGACCAGCGCTAGTGCTAGAGCGTAAGGGAGGGCCTTGACCTCCGCATGTCAGGCGGAGGTCCCGTTGGGTGTATTTACATTGGGTTCTGGTGTAAGCGTGTAACAACGGTACGACCGAGTGTGTGAATCGGCATCCGTCAGCAGAGCTTGGATAGGAACGGGCAGGTGAGCGAAACCAACGGGTTAAAACGAGGTCAGACCTAAACAGGTAACAGCAGAACGATAACATAAATTATCATGACGACTCGATCAGGACCTACCTTCCTTCTATTGTTCAGACTACACAGCAGGGGCATTCAAGATGGGTCCTGCCGGCCCACAAAACAAAAGGAAACACACCTTGCACGACTGAGCATGCAATGGTTTCCTAGATCATTACGTGTAGTACGACAACCAATAAATTAATATCAGCATGCATTTAGCCATATAAACAGTCAAGGACATAAGGACACAAACACACAATGCCGTAAAGAATGTCAAAGTACGGTTTTGTAACAAATAGCCCCCCAGAGACACCTGGTGTTACGTACCGCACAGAACGACTTAAGAAGCCAAATCACCAAGACGCACAGATGGGGTACAGAAGCGAACAGACTACGCAGCTTTCTATCGTCGTTCTATCTGTCGGTGCAACCTAGCAGGCCGTTCTTATAACGTGATACACACATTTTCAATTCAGCACACAATGCCAGTGTCAATGCCAATGAAACCCTTGACAGTCCACCGATTGTTTGGCTCCTACCAGCTACAAGTTCATGTCGGCAGAATCCGTAACAGCAGCAACTGTTACAGCACAGGCAGTTCATGGTTGAAGTTGTAATAAGGCAAAAGTGCATGCCGACGCAATAGCAATAGGTATAAGGCGCCATTTCTGCAGCAACCGCGGCTTCAATTCAACCCACTTGGGCGTACGGCTAACGGTTAGCATGTGAACAAAACCTACAAAACATACACCTGCTGCTGGGGACGCTGCGAGAATTCTATTTCGCTACGCAGCAGTACGGCAGTCATGCGGCCACCAGTACCACAGCCAACGGTACGACAAAGATGCAGCTCCCTTTATCATCATGCGTTGCACATTCATAATTAGAGGCTAATAGCAGCTAACCCAACAACAACCTCATTCCATGCAAAGCATCATCACAGCTTGATCAACAGCGACGCAAGCAACTAGACATATTTTTGCCACATCAGCAGGCCATACGGGCACATGCAACGACACAATAACGCAGACACAAACATGCACGAGCGCATGAATAATAACCTAGAGGGAGCAAGAGCGCCTATACACAGACCGCAAAGCAGCTACCATGCACTGCCTCGTGCCCGAAAGCTGAATGCCTATCTCAAGTATGCATGGTCAACAAGACAACAGGCCGTCAGTCTTACCGGTAAGAGGAACACAGGAGGCAGTCAAGTAAGCAGTCAAGATGCCCTGCTGCATGAAAGGAAACGGCTATCCAACGGCGGCGGGATGCATGAGGCTTGGGGAGCATGCGTCGGCCATTCGTGCAATGGCCAACGGAAAGACCCGGGTGCGTGAGACCCGTCACCCGAGTGTCTCCGTTGCTAGGCTGTTTGTAAAGCCACCGCTGCTACTTACGTACTCCTGCCTAGCTACTACCCGCTAAAGTCACTCGCAACCCGCCTGCCGCTACCGGCCCACCCGACAAAAGATCCTCATTTCGACACCCCATTCGTCTTCTTGTGCGCCGCTCCCCCTCCCCAGCCCCCCAAGATGAGATCCATCGCGTCCTCGTCCTCCTTGCTAAACAAGCCACCCAGCATGCCGCCGGGGGCACTCCCTGACTTAACACCTCTGCCTCCTCCGTCTCCTGCCCCGCTGCCGCGCGCCTTGCATCCCAGCCCGTTCCGCTGTTGCTGCTGCAGGGGTTGCTGCGGCCCCGACTTAACACCTGGCCGCGACAAGGTTACCGAGGAAATGTCGTCTGCACTCATGACAGAGGCTAGGATACCGTCTTCAAAGCGCCGGCGTCGCTCCCCTTCCGCCATGAACGCCGCAACAGCCATGACTCGGGGGTGCCATCGCCGTTCCCGACGTAACCCAAATCGCAGCTGAAACTTGGAGAGCGCGGAAGGCCCATTCTTGATGGTAATCGCTGCTGTGACGTCTACTGGTGACGATTGCTGTTGCTGTTGTCGCTGTTGGCTTGGGGTAGCCGCACAAGCATCAGCAGCAGCAGGAGGAGAAGTTGAGGTTATGCCGGGGATTGATGAGGATGTAGCTGCGTTGCATTCGTCAGCTGCCGCCGCGGCTTCCAGGATTTCATCCTCTAAAAGCCGGAAGATCTCGTCCTCTGCCGTGTGAAAGCGACTTGTCTTCGCCATTCACGTCGTAAGGCGCCTTCAGGAGGCGCGGATTTGCAGGGAGGTAGCTGATGTGGGTCACGGAGGTGTCTTCTAGTGTGTTGTTGCTGCGTTTGTGGCCGCACGTGACGCTGCGGGAGGAGGAGGAGAAGGAGGGAAGTCAAGTGAAGAGCAGCAGTAGAGGGTAAACTTAGGTACTGTGCGGGGCTGCTGTGAAGGGACGTGCAAACATGGTGCTGTAGTTAGTGTTTATGCGTCATTCCGCTGTTTTTGTGGTATTAGCGCGCGCAGGAAGGAGCATCATGGGGAGCGCATGTCACCGAAGCAGAGTTTTCCCAAGAGGAGCTGACAACCATGGGATAGGTGTCTGCGGTTAACCCCTAGCCATCTGAGCAGTGAACTTTAGCAGAGGCCTGGCATATCCATGCATGACCGCAGACAGGGAGCCAACCGCCAAATCCCTGCCCAGGTTTCCCCCATACGCACCTGCATCCGCAGCCACTACCAGCTTCAGCGTATTTGCCGCCCAGCTAGCGCAGAGTAGATATACGTTAAATCCGTTGTTAACGTTGCTTGATGCGACAATATTTTTGCTTCAAGCGTTGTTATCAAAGTTGACCGGTTCGCGATGCCCGTTACGGCCTGCCCCGGAGACGTTCACCTAGCAGTAAAAGAATGGTGGTCCTCTGAACAATAAGAGAGAGGGAAAATGTTCAGCTTTGCATCGTGTGAGGCGGATGCTTGGGCGAAAAATTCCAAGGTACGTACATAGCCGTCTAGCCGACCTCGCCCAAAGGGAACAATCCCCGCAGTTTGCCGCAATCTCATATGTGATGCTTTACCGGAATGACAAACGTGCCATTTCACGAGGTTTACATCCGAGGCGGACGCCACATACCTTTGCTGTGTACTGTATCTCCACGGCGCTCAACGTGAGCAGCTGGTGCAGGACGTAAGCACAACAAACTGGAAACCTAGGATAATATCACGAAGCGTTGATGATGTATGGTGTCCAACCTGGTTTAGTTCCAGCGGGAAGAGTAAGGTCGAGCAACTTTATTTTATATACTGAACTGAAGAACTGTGTTTTGCAGAATGTGATGTACGTAGGACTTCGTAGCTATGGTACGCATTTTATAATTGCTTCGGCTCCGAAGGGCGTATGATGTAATGAAGCACGGCTATTTGACGAAATACGGACCTCCGGTTATCTAAACACAGCGCACGTAGTTTATTACGTCTATCGCTTATGCTTTTTTGGCATCAGGGGTTCGGTAGGGTGCTTTCGGTCGCCTAGATAGAGGAATTGCCACGATATCAACGGTCGTTGGGATGCACCGGCAGGGTATTTTAAATTGCAAGCACTATCGTCACATGCTAATTCGTATCGGGAAACGGCAAGGTAGTAAGGTGAACCGTGCATCATCCGTACGAGCGTTCAGCTGACACACAGTGCTAGCACGCTAATGCACAGTAAGGGGTAGGATGCTGGGCGCAGAAGATGCTCCTATCGGGCACCGGCAATAGCAGGTTTGGGAGCGCAGCAACTACTTGGCATGGAATATTCAACTGCCTACGTCCAATTAGGTTTCCTATCAGGGAGTTCCAAACCTAGTACGCGCAAACTTCATGCGCGCACGCATCCCTCGCACCTAGGACGCAACAACCCACTCCGAGTACAGCTGTTGGTAGCTTTGTGAGGACACCTGACTCGTTGTAAGGCGTGTAACTCAAGTGACCAAGCTACTTGTGAAACACCACCGGCGCAAGGGCACACTGTTACAACAAAAGGGTGGTGTAAGCCTGTAGCCAGGCTCTCAACCCAACCACATGCAGTGCGTGTGTGACATTGTTGGTGTTTGTTGTTCGCATATTTCCCCTTTCAAATTCCAACGCCATGGCAACGCTGTCGGCTAATGCACAACCAACACTTACAACAAGTCGATTTGGCAAGTCGATTTGTATTAAGGTTCATGACATGCCTTTGATGAGGCACCCCCCAACTCCCAAAGCCTCCTGTCATCACAGGCTACCGCAGCACCGCAGCACAGGTCTCTTGCGAACGGCCCCCCCACCCGAGTGCTCAGCAGCCTGCGCGGCTCTGTCTGCTCGGGTTAGTCCGCCCACCTCAAGCATGCAACACGCGGACGTTCCCAAGATCCTGCATCACTCGCGAATCAAACAACCGACTCCAACGACCTAAGCCGCACTAACGACACATCAAGGGCTAGCTAGGGGCCTAGGGCTATACCAGTACGTAGCTGTCTGTCTGTCTCTGACTACATCTAGACGGGGAACCACACGAAGGTCTGCTTCCCCGGCAACTCCCAACTCTTACACAACAACCCGCTCACAGAGTCTATGCATCTGCATGGTTTCGCTGACGATAGGTAGCGCCTCAGCTCACCAGGATAGCACACAGGGGAAAGCAAACATTCCGGGTCACATGCAAGCAACTAGAACCGGTATACGTATAATGGTCTCAAGACCAAACTACAAACGGTCTATACTAGACACGGCTACCAGCGCTAGACTAACATACATTCTCTTGGTTTGTTCGCGTTCTTAATCCCTCTCATCCATTGCATAACACATACCGTAACGGATCGGACGAGACAATGCCCTCGATAACGCCTATACGGTACCACACACTCAGCTGAAGCTCTTTCTCGTCCTAAACTGCAGCACACAGCAACTCGCAAAACTGAGATGACAGCTGGAGACGCAACCAGCGGGGAATGGATGCCAATCAAGAAAGCAAACAGTAACTTCCTGACGCCTGCACACAGAATGAAGGGCTAAGCAGAAGCTCTGCGCACATTCCAACCCACACACACTCGCCTTCTCCACCCGCCTAACACGCCATATCCTCCGCCCGCCCGCTGCCCTCATCTATCTATCCCCTGCAACCAAACCATCTCATGCCCTCTCCACGCCTCGCGCCTAGTATTAAGCCTAGCTCGCTTCACCTCACCTTCCAAAACCTCCCGACACCCTTTTCTCTCACTACCATGCAAGAAGCACCCATGGAGTCCAAGACTGTCTCAGCACACCCCTCCTGCGCTGCCCTCTCTCCTCCACTTTGTCGTACCACTACGTCGTACCGACATGTCGTACTACAATGCCGTACATCACCACCTTCATGGCTGTCAGTACAACTGGCATTCATGAAGTCACTTCCACTCGCTCTGGTAGTACTTGTTAGGCAGGCCGAACCACCATTTCCACTTCTCAGCGGCCAAGTTAACATCCTCGCTACCACCGCCACCGCCACCACCGTTGTTGCTACTGTTGCTAACGGTATTGCCGCTCCTGCTGCTGCTGCTTCTATTTCCAACACTGCCGTTGCTACTGCTACTGCTCCTACTGCTGACGCTGCGGAAGCCCATGCTGCTGACGCTGCTGCTAGACCGGCGGGCCTGCAAACGGGGGAAGGGGAAGGTTAGGGTACACGACGGCGAAGGCAAAAAGCAAAAGGTATAAGGAGGGGACAGGGAACAATGCCATGCAACTCCCATCCACCAGCAGCAGCAGCCATCCAAGCGGTATGCATCCACCCACCAGCATTTACCCTTTCACCAGCTCACCTGCCCTCCCGCATCTCCCACCTATCCTACGCTATCCTATGTAATATCCCATTCCTACCGTCATCCCACTCACCATCCGACACTCCCTGACGCCTTCCCCGCCCCACCTGGAACCGCTGCTGCGCCTCCTCCCACACCCGGCGGTACATCCCCTCTCGCAGCTGCAAGAACCGCATCAGCCGCATCGCTCTCAGCACCTGACCCGCCGCCTCAAACTCAAACTGCGACAAACACAGCCGATACGCAAACTCGCACATCTTGCGATGCGGCCGACCTCCCGCCGCTAAGAACCGTCGGAATGCCAGCAACGCCGGCCGCAGCTCCCGCCGCCGGCCGTAGCCCTGTAACAGGGCGTACGTCGCCTCCGGCGGCGGCGGCCGGCCTTGGTCCGCCGCTAGTCGGTTGGCTTGTCGTACAATCGCCTCCGCCTCCGCCATGTCGCCTCCGCTGGCGTGTACGGCAGCGAGGCAGTTGAGTGCCCAGATATCGGGTACGGCAGTACGACTGGAGGCGAGCTGCTGGAAGAACTCGACTGCCTGGGGACGTGGGGGTTTGGGGGGTGTGGTGGGTTTGGGGTAGGCTTTGGGGGAAAGAAAGGTAACGAGAAGCGCTTGCATCTATGTGTACCCATCTCAGGACGAGAAATACCTCTCCATCCCACGTAGCACACAAGCTCCCAGCCATCCTCCCCCCCACCTGCCTTCCCCTCCCCGCCCACTCCACACCTGCGCCTGCGGTGGTTGCGGTAAATTGCGCTAACCCTTAAAAACGGCTTCCTTCCTCCCTTCACCATTACCCACCTGCGCCTGCCTCCCTTGTGCCCTGAACAGTTTCATCAGTGCCGTGTAGATCGCCCCGTCCGGCGCCACCCCATCCACCCGCATGGCCGCAAGCACCTGCAGCGCCGCCTCAATGCTGCTCCACCGTACGGCGGCATGCATGAGGGTGCCGTACGTCACGATGTCGGGTCGTAACCCCGCGGCACGCATCTCAGACAGCAGGGCGTCCACGTGTCCACCAACCCAGCCTAGAGCTATACCGCTACCGCTGCTGATACCGCTAGCGCTGCTGAAGCTGCTGATGTCACTGCCAGCGCCGTTGCTGCTGCTGATGATGTCGCCGCTGCTGCTGCCGCCTCTGCTTAGGTTGTTACGGTGTACAGGGCCCTCGTTGAGGACTAGGTTGTTGCTGCTGCTGCTGCCGCCAGTGCTGGGGTTCCTACTGCTGCCAGCAAAAGGGATTTCGGCGCCGCCGTCATCGTCAACGGTGCTGCCGCCGGTGTTGCCACCGCTAGGGAGGCCACCAGTGCTGACGGCGCTAGCTGCATTGCCGCCGCCGCCAGAGCTGACGTCATCAGGGCTGACGAGGCAATTGCCGTCGCTCCCACCCAGGTTCGCGCCAAGGCTCCCGGGTGTGCTGCCTTCTCCGCCCTTGCCTCCGCTTCCACTTACTCGCCCTGGCACGGCTCCTCCTCTTCCTTCCCCGCCCTGACTCCTAGCACCAAGCCCCAACCCTGCTCTCGTCCCTCCTGCCGCCGCCGCTGCAGCTCCTTCTCCTGCCCCTGGCACTGCCGCTGCACCTCCTCCTTCTCCCCGCTCTGCCCCTGACGCCACCGCCTCCCCACCTCCTTCTGTTCCTTCACCCCCCTCCCCAACCATCGCTCCTCCGCCTCCTGTGGCCGAATCGGGAGCCGAAACAGGCGCCCCAACCGCCGGCGAGCAGTAGCAGCGCCCCCTGATCAGCATGTTGTAGTGCTCCCGGGATGGCTGCACCCCCTGCATGCGCATGCGAGCCAGCAGCCGCTCCACACGGGGCCAGTCCTGCAGGGAGGGAGGGGGTGGAGAGAAGGAGGGAGTGGAGCAGAGGGGGTGGAGCAGAGAGGGTGAAGGAGACATCAAAGTGGGCCGCAAGAAGAGGAGCGGGGAGCAGGACAAAAAGATTATAGAGGCCGTACGAGGACGAGGGGATTGAGAGGCAGGATGTCGCGCGGCGGATGTATGACAGCGGGATGCAGGAGGAGGATGTCGCGTGGCGGCGGAAACCCCACCAGGAGCAAGAGTGCACGGAAGGTGGGGATGTGCGCCAACCGTGACCACGTCTGTGCCCTCAACCGCGCACTGCAGCCCAAACACACATGCAAGTGTGTTGGGCATGCAGGAGTGTTTACTGTGCCGCCCGTGTGAAGCCATGACCGCGACTGGGATGGTAACAGCGGACAGGCGCGTAAAGGCGACAAGGGGATGCTAGTGTGCCAGGCGCCAGACAACTTCTATGTGTGTAGTGCTCTGTAGCACTGGCGGGGAGGCAACAAACCGACCACCGGCATGTTGCTATATGAATGCGGACATTCACCATCCGCCAGTGCACTCTTCTTTCGCGCCCGTGTGAAGCCATGGCCGTGACTGTGCTTTGATTCCACGGCCAGGCGCGTAAAGGCGCTCAATTGCACAGATACAACTCGCTACCCTTCCCTCCCACACCCCCACTCCCTCCTCCCCACCAACCCGATCCTCAATCCCTCCCAAACCCCTTCCCCGCTCCTCACATTCGCCCTGACGCAGCCATTCAACAGCGCTCCGTACACCCTGCCCTCCGGCCTCCGCCCCTCCTCCTGCAGCTCCCCAAGCAGCGCCTCCGCCTCCTCCAGCCGCCCCGCGCTCGCCAGCCCGCCCACCAAGCAACTGTATGTGAAGTCATCCGGCGGCACGCCCTCCCGCCGGGCCTTATCCAGCATGGCCCGTGCACATGTCAGATCTCCCTGCCGTACATACCCCGCCAGCAGCACATTGTAGGCTGAGATGCCGGGCGGCTTGCCCCCGTGATACTCGCGTAGCTGTCGGAAGAGCCGCCGCGCGGCGTCCATGTCGCCGCGGGAAACGTGGTACTTCATGAGGATGTGGTAGGCGCCCCAGCCGGGTCGGTGTCCCGCGGTTCGCATGGCCTGCAGCAGGTGCTGCGCCTCGCCGAGCCGACCCAGATCGACGCAGAGGTTCATGCCTGGGGAGGGCAGGGGATGAGGGAACGAGGGTGTTTTTCATGCACGCATCTTAGCCATGCATACCGGCATATCCATACACGCATCTTGTTATGCTTGCATGCGCCATGCAGCCGGTACCAACCCAGCACCCATACCCCCACCCGCGCGGTAGGCAACTGCATCCAGCTCGAGCTTGCTGGCCCGCAGCATCCGCCAGATCGTATAAGCGGCCTGCAGGGCCGGGGTGCCCCGACCCCCGCGCTTGCTGCTGGCAGCGAGGCGGCTGATGAGGGCGCAGAAGAGCTGCAGCGGAGGGGTGCCGTACTGCTGTTGCGAGTGCCGCAGCAGCTCCACGACGTCCAGGTAGTGATGGGACTTTGATGTGGGGGAGGGTGGGATGAGGAGGAAAGAGGAGAAGGGATGTGGGTTGCGGTTGGTCGGTTGGTCGTTGTGAAAAGACAGTAGGAAGGGGAGCGGACGGCAGTTGGGTGGTGCCCAAGGCTTACCTCAATAGCGGCATCGTAAAGCACGCGGTAGCTGAGGAGGTCGATGGGGATTCGAGCTTGCCAGAGCTCGTTGTAGAGCAGCCAGACATTGCTCCAGCGCTCGCCGGAAGAGCACAGCGCTGAAAGGGATAGGTGAAGGGAGGTTGGATATGTGTGAACAGACAATAGCCACCCGTGCACCAGTAAACGGTAGCCGCGCAAAGGAATGTTGCAGGCATGGCAAGGTTGCTAAGCCGATGCACTGTTTGTGTGTCGCCCCATCATTTAATCTGGACAGCCCTAACTGTATATACCTTGAAGATCGCAAATTGACCAATCAACGGCACACAAGAGCCGAAGCATTCTGGCGGCCGTCGCCCATACAACGACATATAAGCAATAGGCGAGGCGAGTAAGAGCCCGAGTACCTACCTCGAATAACTAAATTGCACAAGGGACCGTCGCCCACCGATGTCGAACCATTCTTAATGCCAAGAAGAAGGGCTCGAGCCTTATCCTGTGCATTTAGGAAAGCATTTGTCCGCCCCGGCAACCCCGTAGCCTGTAGTTGCTCATGAATTGTCCTCTGGCTGATGGCTGCGGCCACACACGCTGCCTTCAGAGCGTTGCTGTGTGGTGGATTGTGAGTGGCACCCCGAGGGACATATGCGCTCAGCACGAGCGATACAATGGATTTGGGGTTCTTTGGGTGCACACGTGTTGGGGCTGCAACGTCCGTCTTGTTAAGAGGTAAAAGGGCAGAGGACAAAATTCCACCACCGTGCCTTGACGGCCAGTTTAAGAAGAGCGGGCAAGCATTCATAGCATAGCCATCGCCTAATTATGAAACAAAACACGGGCTAGCCAACATGTAGATTTTGTGGTAAAGAAGTCACCATGGTAGTAGGCTGAAGGGTGAGAAGGTTAAGTTTGCTTCTCTATAGACAAAAAGTCCAATCGAAATAGTATAACTAGGGAAATACACTTGGTGCGATCAGCGTGGTTGCAATCGGCGATGGGTCAAATTCGTCGTACACGGCAAAGACGCTCGAAGCCTGCGTTAATCGTTACATTTTAGCTAGGACAAAGTATAAGACAAAGGAACATATTATAGAGTACAAGGAGTTACTGTTGTTGTTAGCCGCGCAGAGCCGTCCGAACCGTAGTGAGGAATGTTGCTGAAATTTTTGTAATGATAGCGATACGGCTACCGATTAACGGCTAAAAGACGATTAGCTTGAGCCGTACTTGGGCGCGGCACGGGAGGCCTTGGGACCAATGAGCAGCGGGAAAAAGTCGAGGTACGTGGCGCATGCTTGCTTTCCTGTGGCATGTGCATGTTGTACATGCCATGCACAGCCTGGCGAAGCCATCAGTCTGTTAGCGCGACGCACAAGCTAGCAGCACGCCATCTACCGGTATAGCCTCATTTGTCAACAGCCTTAGAGCCCGACGCGGCGCAGCCAGCTGCATGGTTTCTCTGTTGAGTCGGTGAATGGTTTACCGCAACATTGCGGCTCTACTAGCTACCCAAAAGCGTCCGCGATTCGCCGCTTTCGTTTTTGATGTCATTGTTAAACTCCTTCATTTGCTCGTCAAAAGCGACCAAACAAGCACCCAGGCAAAGCCCCATAACCCCTTCTGCTTAACACCATACTCTCAATCTGATCCTGCCCTATCCTTGCATGCGCAAATCCAGTATCCCTTACGACACAACCCCAAAACCCTCCTTACCCATCGGAACACCCTTCCGACCCATTTCCGCCAACCCAAATCCGCAGCTTCACACAATTCCACGAAATCCACCTTTATATTCCCATCACCATGCACCACCTTCCCCATTTTCCTCCTCCTCTCCTCTTCCTCCTTGCAGGGAGGTTCGCGACAGCCTGCTGGTGAACCTGTCGGCATGTCGCTACCCGCTGGTGCGGGAGGCGGCGGAGCGGCTGGGCTACGAGGTGGCAGAGGACGAGGTGGGGCGAAGGAGGAGGGGTTGGGGGAAACAGAGTAATACCCAAGATGTTGCATGAGAATGGCAAACAAGCCGACAGGCCGACGAGGGGAGGGGAGACGGATGAGGTCAGGGGCCGGGAGATGAAGGTGTGGGCGTTCGGAAGAGGCGGACGAGGTGAGGGTTGCCGTTTGTGGGTCGGCCTGCATGTACGCATGCATGCCCTGCCCCCCTCCTGGTTCTTTTCTCTGTGTACCGGTAGCATGCTGGCTCTCCCTGACCCACTTCCCACCCTCTTCCCCGCCCTCCCTCCCTCCCTCCCTGCAGTCGGAGCTCTGGGACTTGTTCTGGAGCGACCTCTCGGTACGTGCCACCCAGCACCACCACCACCACCACCCAGCAGTCCCGCACCCGCACCCGCTGCCGCCACCAGTGCCGGCGCTGCTCCAGCACATGAGCTCCTCTGCGCGCGCATACACAGCAATTCTAACACATGTGCTCCTGTTGCCCCTGACTTCACCGTAACCGTAAGTCAACACGGGCAACAGTCAACACCCCCTTCCTCCCGCCAATTCCCACCCACCCACTCCCCCCCAGGTCTCCTCCGACCGCGTGCAGCGCCTGCTGCCCTTCCAGCGCCTCAACCACTTCCCCGGAATGCTGGAGATCTGCCGCAAGGGCGCGCTCTCCCGCCACATGGCCCGCATGGCCGCCCGCCTGCCCGCGGAGTACCGCTTCTACCCGCCCTCCCTGGTGCTGCCGGACCAGCTGGACGACCTGTTGGCGGCGCTGAAGCGGAATAAAGCGCGGGCGGAAGCGGCGTCGGCGGGGGCGGGAGGTGGAGGAGGAGGGAGTGGGGGAGGAGGAGGAGGAGGAGCAGGGGCGGGAGGAGGGAATGGCGGGGTGTGTACGTACATCCTGAAGCCGAGTGCCGGGACGCAGGGGCGGGGGATATCGCTGGTGCAGTTCCCGCAGCAGCTGGCGGAGGCGGGGGACGTGAGCAGCTGCGTGGCGCAGGTGAGGGGGGGCGGAGGGAGGGGTGAGGGAGGAGGGGAGCAACTACTACTCGTGCGAGAGAGGATGGGTGCGGGGTGATGAGGTTTGGGACAGGGAGAGGAGCACGGAAGCGAGCGAGGTAGGGCATGTGGCGGCCATTTGCTCTGCGTTCTTAGCCTGCGCCACTCCTTCTGTTCTGTCCTCACTTACGGTAGCATGCCAACACACGACACGCTCCTCATCTACAATGAATACGAACACAACCAACCAAAAAACGCACTCCTTGTTGTTGCAGGCCTACGTCGCCAGCCCGCTGCTGCTAGACGGATTCAAATTCGATCTGCGCGTGTACGCCCTCGTCGCCTCCGTGGATCCACTTCGGATCCATTTGTACGACGAAGGGCTCGTACGATTGGCAACCGAACCGTACCAACCGCCATGCGCCTCCAACCTCCGTACGGCCACCATGCACCTAACCAACTACGCGGTTAACAAGGGCGCAGCGGGTTTCGTGTCGGCGGACACGGCACCTGCGGGGGGAGGTAGCAAGCGGCCCATGTCTGCCGTACTTTCCCAGTTGGCGAGCCAGTACGGCACCACTCGGGAGGCCTTGCTGGGGTCCATTGGTGGGTGACGTGATGATGAGAGGGGGTGTTCACGAAAGTGGGTATGTGTAGGAGGAGGAAGGGGAGGGACCGTTTTGATGGGGCTGGGATGTGTATAAAAGACGTGTCTAGCAGCATAGCCCCGTCGTCTCGCCCCGTTCACAGTGATGTCCTCAACCCTTCTCCGCCCCTCTTTTCCTCTTCTTTCCCACCCCTCCACAGCCGATGTGGTCACCAAGACCGTCATGTCCATCCAGCCCCTCCTCGCGCACACCTACCACACCTCCCTCTCCCCCGCCGCCACCTCCGCCTCCCCACCCGCCTGCGCCTGCCCTTCCCTGGACCACGTATCCGCCACCGCGGCCGCCGAGGACCCCACCGCCCCTTGCTCCTGCCCGCCCTCGTTGTGTTTTGAGCTGCTGGGGTTTGACATCATGTTTGACACGGCGCTGAAGCCCTGGCTGCTGGAGGTGAACCACTCGCCCTCCTTTGCGAGCGATTCCAGGTGCGCGGGTGGGGGGGGGTGTATGAGTGGCTGGGTTATAACCCTTGTACCCGTGTTCCTCCTCCTGCACACGCGCTGCCTGCATCCCTGGGTCCCCCTGTCTCCTCGAGTCCTCACTCTCACCCTCCTCCCCGTTTCCCGCTCCGTTGCTTCTCTTCTCATTTAATGTTTCCCGTTATATTCCCGCTCCGGGCCCCCGCATGCTGCACACAGGCTGGATCGGTTGGTGAAGGGCGAGATGCTGACCCGGGTGATCCACATGTTGGGGCAGCGGCACGAGGCCAAGAGGAGCTTCGTGGAGGTGAGGGGGGAATGAAGCCGTAGAAGCGGAGAAGGGTGATGCTGGCCATGGAAGGGATGGATTGGTTGTGTGGGGCCGGCAGCCGCAAAGCGCATCCAGACAGAGCCACTTGCATGCATCATGCATGCAACGAGTGGCCACTGCTTTGGAACCCTGTCGAGCAACCCCCCTCACACCCGCCTGTTGCTCCCCGCCACCCACCAGGCGGAGGCACGAGCCCAAAGCGAGCGATTGTACAGCAACCCCGCAGCCGCCGCAGCGGCAGCAGCCGCAGCCGCAGCCGCTGCAGCCTACTCCTCCACCTCCGCCTCCCCAGCCTCCATCTCTGCTGCAGCAGCGGCGGCGGCGGCGGCGGCCGCGGCTGCCTCCTCCCGCTCTCCCTCCCCGACTCGTAGGGCCCTCAGCGCCCTACCCCGCAGCCGACAGTTACAGGTGGGAGCGACGAGTGGAGGTGGGGGCGCCACCGACTGCTTTCCTGTACCGCATTTCTGCAATCCCCCTTTGCCGTTCCTGGACAATGTTTTGTTTCATTGCCCTATAGGTTATAGCCATGTTTCTCCCACTACATTGCAAGCCCACACCTTCCCTCCATCGCTTTCATCCCCGCTTCAATCTTCCCGCTTCACCCCTTCCCCTCGCTCCAAACTCTTCCGCTCCAAACCCCAGGTGGCCGCAGCAGCCATGGAGGAGCTCGCAGCCAACTCCGCAGCTCTGCTGGCAGCGGGGGGTCACGTGTGGGGAGGCAGCAGCAGCGGATACACATGCAACAGCCACCACAACACCACAGGAGGCGGGGTCGGGGGTGGCAGTGGCAGGGCTGTCTCGGCGGGCCGGCTTTCTTCATCGTTTGGCGGCACGAGTCACGTGGCGAGCGAGAGTGGCGGTGCTGCAGGCAGTCCCTCATCCCTGTCCTCCTCCTTATCGCAGCGAACACGGCAACAACAGCACCAGCAGCAACAACAGCAACATCAATCCGGCGGTGTCAGTAGCGGCAGCAGCGGTACCAGCTGCTGCACACCACCACGTCCCGGCTCCTCCTCGAATTGCTCCCAACAGTACTCCTCGCAGCAACAGCAGCAACAGCAGCAGCAACAGCAGCATCAACGAAACAGCAGCATCGGCAGCGGTAGCGGTAGCCGGGGGACAGGAGGCGGCGGAAGGTCCCCCACAGCAGCCGCAGCCGCAGCCGCATGCAGGACCGGGGGATCCTCACCCTCGTCTTCCTCCTCGCCTCCGGGCTGGGGTCATGCAAGTGGTGGGGTGCGCAGTAGCAGCGGGGAAGCGTTCGGAGGCCCCGGCAACTCCTCCTCCTCCTCAACATCAACAACAACAACACCCCACCGAGCAGCGCGAGGGGCCACACCACCGTCACCCCACCCAACCTCCTCTGCTGCTGCTACTGCTGCTGCCCATACCCACAGCAGAAGCCACAATGATGGCAGCCGCCATGCAGCCCATGCAGACGTCAACGGCAACAGCGGTGGCAGCGGTGGCAGCAGCTCCACGTACGTCGCCACCGAGGAGGTGGTGTCCTCCCGTGGCTTCCGGCTTGTGTTCCCCGTCGCCTCCGACCAGGAACGGCAGCGCTACTCCCGCATCCTGCAAACCGCCGCGGACCTCTTCCCGCAGCAGCGCTGCCAGTGTGCCTGGTGCAGTCGCCGCCGGGAGATTGCGCTGCTGGCGCTCACGGGGCGGCAGCTGGGGCTGGGAACCCGGCCGTTGTCAGCGGCGGTGGGCGGCTTACCGGGACACCTACCGGCTAGGCCCGGGGCGCTGAGCGCGCAGAGACGAGGAGGTGGTGGAGGAGGTAAGGCGGCGGCGCGGTGTAGATCTGCGGGAGGAGGAGGCTGCGGTGGGGATGAGGATGGCGGCGGCGGCGGCGGCGGAGGAGGAGAGGCGGATGGGTTGGCAGCAGCGGGAGCAGGAGGAGCAGCAGCGGCAGGAGGGGCCGGCAGCGCAGGTGGTTGGGGTGGTGGTGCTGGTGGTGGGGGAGGTGGCGGAGCTGCAAGCGCACAGCGTGCGGGGTCCGGGCCCGTTGGCAAGCCGCCCAGGCATGGAGGGGGCTACCGGAGTGGCTTCAGGGTTCGAGCCGACTCCGCCTCCTCCATACCGCTGGGCGGCGGCAGCAGCAGCGGCGGCAGTAGCAGCTGCGCGGCAGCTGGCTCCGGGCTGCTGCTTGGAGACGCCGGCAGCAGCAGCAGCAACGGCAGCCTAAGCATCTCGGGAGGGGAGCTCAGCGCTGCGCTTAGCTATGGCGGTTATAGCTCCGAAACCACCAGCAACCACCACCACCACCACCACAACCACCTCCTTCAACACCACCAGCACTACCATTCCTCAGAAGCAGCAGCAGCAGCAGGAAATGCATCGCTGCATGAAGCCTCCGACGTGCCCCCCAATCCGCATGGACGAAGCAACCAGATGCTTAGTGCCTTGCGACCGCTTTCACTCGCCACGCCACAGACACCTCACCCTCAGGGAAAGCTGTCTTATTCCCAACAGCAGCAGCAACAGAGGCTCACCTCAGCGCACAACCGACAACAGCAGCCATCGGCGCCGGGACGCAAATTGTCTGCCTCATGTACCGTGGGCGGTCATGCGCTTTGCGGCAGCAGCAGCTGCAGCAGCCAGGGCAGCGCCAACGATGGGACTACTGTTACTCCCCCACATGCGCAGTTAGCGGGGCGGGCCTCCGCTACCGCTAGCAGGCAGGTGCTCAAGCCCTCTGTACGGCAGAGCTTCCCAAGCCAGCGGCCGTCCAGCCGTCAGAAACAACGCAGCAGGAGCGGCGCCGCCGGCGCTGACGGCGGCGGCGGCGGCGACGACGACGATGAGTACGGCAGCATGCGTTGCGGCGGCGGCGGAGGCGCCGGCTCGTTGGGTTATGGGCAGCAGCAGCAGCGGCAGTTTGGGTCCGTATCTGGCGACGCTAGCGGCGGTAGGAACGGCAAGCGTAGAGGTGACGACAGCAACGGCGTGCCTGCGCGACCCATGGGTCCTGTCGCTCGGATGCCTGCCGCCTCGCGCGGCGGCGGAGGCAGCGCCGTAAGTCCCGTCACATTCGCTGGTGCTGCTAGTGGTGGCGGCGACGGAGGCGGCGGTGACGGCAGTGGCGGCGGCAGCGACGGAGGCGAGACGTTACGTCGTTCGTACAGTTGCAGCGAACTAGAAGCGGCGTTTCGTCGCGCCGCGGTTGTGACTGCCGTACAACGGTCTAGCGGACCGTGCCCGCCAGCGGCGGCGCCGTCGTCCGCGGCGGCAGCGGGTCGGCCTTGGGCGCTGGCGCAGAGCGCTGGCGGCGGCGGCGGCGGCTCCACTACTGCCGGCGGTGGAAGCATCTGCGCCGCCTACCCTAACTACGGCTTAGGCGGCGGCGGCGGCGGTGGAAGGGCAGGGCAGTTGCGGGCTGGCGGCGGCGGCGGTAGTTCGCATTCAGACGGCCCAGGCATGTCAGCCGACACCGCCGGTGCGAAGGACCATGCAGGCGGCGAAAACGCAGGCTCCGCAAAAGCAACCGGCGGCAACGGCGCAGGCATCCCCCGTGTGGCCTATTTAGGCTCCAAGCAGCGCAAGGGCAGCAGTACGGCAATGAGTGCTACGGATTTGGAACTGCTGATGGTACGAATCCGTACCGCCAGTAACCTGAACAACCGCTACGTTTCCATGTATACACAGGACACGGGGGTACCGCTGAGGACGCCTCGATAGCCTCTTCACTCGCTCGCTATCTAGACTATCTAGGCTTTTGACTCGCTCGCCGCTGGCTGCATGGGCATGGTTTTGCGATTGGGATGGTTACACTGAGCCGCTCGTTCGGTTGGGGCGCGCATCATTGAGGTTCGCATCCGTTTGTTCGTGCGGCTTTCCGTTGTTAATGCCGTTACCATAGCAGTTATTACGTGTACTGTTTGCTTTGGCGGCTTTGCAACGTCTGCTGCAGCTTCAATATCAAACTTGACGACCAGTTTTCACGACCCGTGCGGAGCTTGTGCAGGAGTGGGGTGGTGGTGCGTCCGGGGGTTGATGTTGGGTATGCAGGAGCGATGGAGCTGCTTGATTTTGGTTCTGCGGTGTGCGGTGGATTTGAGGCAGGAAAAGCGGGGCTTGGGTTGGGCACGGAAGGGGACGTCGAGAGGAATAACGAACAAAGGGAGAGTGGCGATGCAAGCTTTGACGGACGGGCAATCCAGGGGGGCTTCATGGCAAGACGTTACAGGGTTACACGCATGTTCGATGTCTCGCAATTCGGCTTTTGGGCAACATCACCTGATATCACCGCAATAAGATTGCCATACCTATTAGCTTACCAATTCCCTTACCATTGATTACCTGGCGCTAGTCATATCTCGAGGCATGTTACATGGGGACATGGCTGCTGCGATTGCACGCGCTTGCATTGCTTGATGGCGGGTCGTGGGCTTGCAAAGGCATCTTCAGAACACTGGTTTCTTTCCAATGCCTGGGGACCCCACTCCAAAGTGACGTGTCTGGTTTGGCCAAATGCCAACTAGCAGCTGATTACCGCGCAATTCCTTTTAGGTGCCTGCTGCCGAAAGGCGTGCTTAAGTACGGCGAACTAATAACGACCCGAGCAATAACGACCCGCAACTCTGTGGCCTACGATCCGGGGGGGGGCATGGAATGAATAGCGATGCTTTAACGTCTTGGATTGGGCTCATCGAACGCCGTCGTAAGCTGCTTTAGCCGCTGGAGCTGACGATGCTATGTGCGGACATGCTGTTTTCGGACATGCTGTGTTGTGTACTGGTGTTGCGTGCGCGACATACCGTATGCTTCATGTTTGGTTTGCTTCGGGACGGTTGGGGGGTGGCGGGTTTGTCGTTCAGGGAACGTTAGTCACGCTCCGTTCAGGGGAACGGAGCGTGACGGGAATGTGTCCTATTTTACCAAAAAGCGTTGGCAGCTGGGGAAGAGCTTGCTTCGTGATTGGGTTTTATGATTGGGCTTTATGAATTGTGATGGGGCTGTGAATGATAACCATGAGGTACTGAGGTTACTCCTTGAGATTGAGGCGAGGCTCTGGGGCCATGCGTGCCTGTTTGATAGCGGTTGGTGGTATAGCCCGCTGGAAGGAATGGAAGGAAGCCCCGTAATTTATGCTACCTGGTCCTGGCCAACATCCCGAAGAGAGTCTGTGTAGTAATCGCCCGTACTTTTATTTAGAACACACAGCATTTGTACGACTTTCCCTTCGCGGTGTAGTACCGGTAGGTCGGCAAGCCAAGGCCATGCGTACGCGCCGCATGTTTCGTAGAGCGTTTGCTTTGTATCCTTTGTTGGAGCTTGCGTCCATTGTCCTGAACGCTCTCATTGTCGTAAACAAGATCGGCACCCACCGACCTAGCACCCACCGACCTGGCAACCGCCGACCAAGCACCCGCCGACCTAGCACCCGCCGACCTAGCACCCACCGACCTAGCACCCGCCGACCTAGCACCCGCCGACCTAGCACCCACCGACCTAGCACCCGCCGACCTAGCACCCGCCGACCTAGCACCCGCCGACCTGGCACCCGCCGACCTAGCACCCACCGACCTAGCACCCACCGACCTAGAAACCAACCGACCTAGCACCCGCCGACCTAGCACCCGCCGACCTAGCACCCACCGACCTAGCACCCGCCGACCTAACACCCACAGACCTAGCACCCGCCGACCTGGCACCCGCCGACCTAGCACCCGCCGACCTAGCACCCGCCGACCTGGCACCCGCCGACCTAGCACCCGCCGACCTGGCACCCGCCGACCTGGCACCCACCGACCTGGCACCCGCCGACCTCGCACCCGCCGACCTAGCACCCGCCGACCTGGCACCCACCGACCTAGCACCCGCCGACCTAGCACCCGCCGACCTAGCACCCGCCGGCCTAGCACCCACCGACCTGGCACCCGCCGGCCTAGCACCCGCCGACCTGGCACCCGCCGACCTAGCACCCGCCGACCTGGCATCCGCCGACCTGGCACCCACCGACCTAGTCCCCATCGACCTGGCACCCATCGACTTAGCACCCGCCGACCTAGCGCCCACCGACCTAGCACCCGCCGACCTAGCACCCACCGACCTGGCACCCGCCGACCTAGCACCCGCCGACCTAGCACCCGCCGACCTAGCACCCGCCGACCTAGCACCCGCCGACCTAGCACCCGCCGACCTAGCACCCGCCGACCTAGCACCCGCCGACCTAGCACCCGCCGACCTAGCACCCGCCGACCTGGCACCCGCCGACCTAGCATCCGCCGACCTGGCACCCACCGACCTAGCCCATATCGACCTGGCACCCATCGACCTGGCACCCATCGACCTAGCACCCGCCGACCTAGCACCCGCCGACCTAACACCCGCCGACCTAGCACCCGCCGACCTAGCACCCGCCGACCTCGCACCCGCCGACCTAGCACCCGCCGACCTGGCACCCGCCGATCTAGCACCCGCCGACCTGGCACCCGCCGACCTAGCACCCGCCGACCTGGCACCCGCCGACCTAGCACCCGCCGACCAAGCACCCGCCGGCCTAGCACCCACCGACCTAGCACCCGCCGACCTAGCACCCACCGACCTAGCACCCACCGACCTAGCACCCGCCGACCTAGCACCCGCCGACCTAGCACCCGCCGACCTGGCACCCGCCGACCTAGCACCCGCCGACCTGGCACCCGCCGACCTTGCACCCGCCGACCTAGCTCCCGCCGACCTGGCACCCGCCGATCTAGCACCCGCCGACCTGGCACCCGCCGACCTAGCACCCGCCGACCTGGCACCCGCCGACCTAGCACCCGCCGACCAAGCACCCGCCGGCCTAGCACCCACCGACCTAGCACCCGCCGACCTAGCACCCGCCGACCTGGCACCCGCCGACCTGGCACCCGCCGACCTAGCACCCGCCGACCTAGCACCCGCCGACCTAGCACCCGCCGAC